TGTAAGAGTTAATGAACTTTTAAAGGTTTTTCAGCATTGTGTCAATGGGGATTTAGCCCGACCTTTTTTAGACAACCAGAAAATCATTAGAATTTGAATAATGGTAAATAACAGTGCAAATCAAAGTTGTTTTGATAGAGAATTACTCACAGAATTCAAATATGCCATCAGATAGAAGAAAACGTTAGTTTTTAATGGTTAAAATGCAGATCTCCTAAAATCTCATTAAAAAGGACCATTGTCTGAAGTTGTTTGCGATAACCTACATGCTCCTTTATAACATTATTATGTAAATACTATCAAATGCTTTAGTCATGACGGTTGAAGTAAACTGAAGTCTTGGTATTTAAATGCAGAATCAGATCTATGTAGAGTAAACAAAATTGAAAGCAACATGTACAGTTGACCTACCAATGTATTTCTTACAATCTCAAATATAATATCTCCCATTGGTAATGTTGTTTAAAATTCAAAGTGTAAAAAAGGGGAAATGTTCAAATTCTCCCAAATAATAATGAATAAGTTATACTAAGTTGTACAAGTGTGAGGCACCATCGGTGGGAAAGTCATCTTTGGTTAATAAAAAAGATTCTTAGCTACTTTTCTAACATCTGGCTGTGATGCATCATGGCTTAATGAGGACTCTGCTATATGGTCAGATGATGAGAACTAACAGTTTTACGGAACTTTTGCCATGTTTTGCACGTTGTAAATGACCCTTCTGAATGGGTTGTAAAGGTATATACCAGGAGGTATATATGGCTCAAATAACTCGTGCCCTAGTACATGGGGCACTGTAGTACATTACTTGTGCATGATGGCCACCGTAGTCTAGTTGCTCAAATGAGATCAATTGATGATTATAATGTTTAGACTTTATGTCAATGTCCTCTCTAGTATGTGATTACACTAGATTTTATTATGATACATGTACTAAATTGAAAACTTACATATAAAATATCTTAAGTCCTATATTCTAATAATAAATGAATTAGAATGTCACCTAACATTTGATGATGGTATGAATTTATTGATTTGGTGTCTATCAATACATGTTTCTAACTTAATGCTGCAAAATGATAAAATTCACCACATTCACTTTCTTCAATTTTCCAGGGGTAGGGCATTATAAAGTCATATTAAAATTACAAAATAGAACTTCATAACTAAAATAGATGTATTACAATACCGCACATAGCTTGGAAATGTTTTTAGAATACTACTATGAGCTGTTAAAGCTGTCATATTTTGCTTGAAGCTACAAATATAAAATTGGCAAGACAAAAATTGCGTATCCTTTTCCTGTTTATTGTATTTTTTCTGAGACCAATAAGGGTATCAACCTATAACTTTAGGATAGTATTCATATTTGTACTAGCAATGTATGATATACAACTCAGAACAATAGCTCATATATCCTTTGAGTTATGAACTAGTTTCATAGTACCCCCAAGAATATTTTCCTAGGAGGGTAAAAATGCCAAAATTCAGTGTCGTGACCACCCCGTTGAGCTGTCATCTTTTAATATCTTTATCAGCATGAAAAACTGATCGAGTAAAAATAGGTCTGTTGCTTTTTCTAAAAAATGCCTCAAAAACTTGAATTATTAGAATTGGAACCTGTCTATTACACGTAAAGCTTCCCATAAAACATCATTGTGGCTCCCAAAGAATCTACTGGATCAGTCTATTTTAAAAACAATTAGGGGAGTTTGGTGAATTCCAGTTTATTGAAATCTTCCCGAAGATAAAACAATCCATGGAAAAGTTTACATTCTGAAAATATTGAGAGGGCGAATTATCCAAAGGATGCATGGGCCATTATAAACCCTTGTATTAGTCAAAAATATCGTCATAATATTGATAGGTAAATCCTGAAACTTCAACAATAAAAAAATGATACTTCACTATTGCTACACAAACAGGCAGAGGTTTATTGACCTCAACACGTGTACTCTTGAACATTTTTCCGGATAGCTTCTTTTATATACTAAATGGCAACACCAACAATGAGTTTTCGGTTTGCTAAAGGTTATGTGTTACCCTTTAATTGTGACATCACTACTTTATTATGACATCACAGAGCCTCACCAACAACAACTGTGTTTTATGTTTGTTACCATGGGGTTTTGTATTTATACAACCCAGTCCAATTTAATCATAGAAATTACCATACCTGGTGTTCTCGTCCATACATATGAGCCTTAGGTCATATGCATAGCTAGGGATTATTTTCTTAAAAACAGGAGAATTGTATTGCATGCAGGAAGCCAACTGATATTGAATAAGGGCAACAATGGATTCATTCTTTACGAGACATACATATTTCTCATGGTTAAAAGTCTTAATCATTAATTCATATTCGAAATTTTGATTGGGAAAAAATCCTTACCAACTCATGTTTATTTTTGCCACATCTGTTCCCGATTGCACAGACCTGAGCAAAAATAATATTGCTAAACAGACTTATGATTTCAAGGTTATTTTGGAACCTGTTTTTGCTTGGTACCAAAAAGACTATCTCCTGTTATGTAGGCATAGTCCAGGTAATTATTTCTGTAGGTACTAATCTATAAAAGGGAGGAGACCAGTAGAAGGATACATGTAAACAGCCTCAAGTTTGAAACAAACATATTGTAATCCTATACCTAATGTTTCTTTTTGAAGTTGATGTGAATGGCCTGTGAAATTGTTGGCCACCTGGCTCAAATAGGTAATTACAAGATTCTTCCTGGAACTTGAACCAAGATGTGTGTGTACTTTATAGACTCCTATTGATTGAAGCAATCCGTCATATAACACACAGCCATGGCTGTTCTTTCTTACTTGACTTTTTACCTGAGTTGCAAAGTATGCTTTACTTGTGTGTGATGTGTTGATTTCCTTATGATGTATGGAATTTTGAATTTACATGTATGTCATAACTGATCAATTTTACCTAGGATTCTGAAGAGAGATAATCTCAAATTTTACTGCATTGCTGCAATGTTAAAACATCTTGAAGGCTTTCTCTGTCTGTTAAAAGTGAAAATGTTCATCAGGTGATGCTGCAGCCTTGTACTGTCCATCTGAACATGAGGGTGCTTGTCCTGCTAATCTGGGCTTCCTGCCAGAACCTCTGGCCAGAATAGTACTACACATTTTGTAATCTGGAATAGTAATAATCTCATAGTATGAAACCATATGTTTTGTTAATGGCATACATATACTGCTAGTGGCTGTTGCTCCATGGGTCAGTGGGTTACATTTTCATTATTTGACCAGGGCATGTCTCAATCTTTGGATTTTAACACTTTTGAGAGCCTTTGTACCTTATGTACATGTTATCTCAATAAGACAAGGGTCATTTTTTAAATAATAGTATTGGAATGAGTACGAAACATGAGGTGTAGCATTCTATTTTTGGGCCTTATTTTTTTTATATTTAGGTTTTGAGGGTCTTCATGACATATTTAATATAATTCCCCCCCCCCCCCCTTCTTCTTTCGAAGTACCGAATAAAGTGTGAAGAAATTGACACATAGAAGGACAGATGTCTTAATCAGATGAGGATTTTTTCACACACCAGAAATATCTGTAAAAACAGAATGTTTCTTCATGATTCTCCATCTGTGTTTTCTACATGCCACCCCCACTTGTCTTACATGACGTTAGGTGTAATTAAATCAATTTGTTATAATATAAAGAACATTCTATCTATAAATGTACTAAGCTAGCAACTTATTTTGGAAATATGAGTATTTTTGTTCTATGCAATGATTTCTGGTGAATATAGTACATCTTTTCATCTCTCAAATTGTATATTTTTCTAAACTGCAATTTTTCTTTGGATAGAGCATCTTACTCTTTTCCTTCTCTTGTTAGAATTGGCATTGAAATAAACAGTCACTTGAAAGAGAAAAAACAATTTTACATTTAGATAATCCTAGTATTCATGACCTTTGCGGTGAAGATTTTCAACCACAAAGGTCAGGATGGGGTGATCGTAGGGTACAGAAAACAAGCCACTTTTATGACCCATCGCCAGGTGTTGTCATATTTCATAAAAACGAACTCTCTTCTCAATTTTCCAAAACATAATTTATATGCGTCGACAACTGTGGTATTCCTAAATATATCAAATATAAATTTTCACTCCTAATAATAACAGAACTGCCAGTAAATCACTATATTTTTGAAGTTTATGATTTTGTAATTTTCTATGGAGGTAAAATAATTTGATAGCCATGAAATGTATAGGATATGCATTTACCAGTCGGCTATTCACCCTGATGTTGACGGCTCTGAAGCAGACGTGAACAAATGGGAGAGTTGTAATAGATAATAAACGCAAAGATGATGTATGCCTTTAAAAGAGCAATCATCATTAAAAGCATATTTTTGGCTTGTCATCAATCCAAAATGCCAACTTGTTTTATTGACAACAAATGCACAAATGTTTCCAGAAATCTCTCACTTTTTACCGTTTGGTTTGCACCAACAGACAGTAAAATCTCTCAGATCTGATTTTTAAGTCAATTTTATTTACCATCAAATCTAATCCCAAATGTAGATGGAATTGAAAAAACAAATTTTATTTTGTTTGTTTACTTTAATTGATTCAGAATTGTTAACGATGAATTGAGTGAAAAATAACAATTTCAGATTACAGAGCAATATAAAAAATGTATGTTTATTAAGAAATATTGCAACTCTCAGAGTCGGGACAACCATCAGATTTGCACTTGATAATGATCTGACATTTCTCATTCACATGTCTTTATAATGATCAGTGTGATGCAATATGTATGTGATGTCAGACCACAATGTATATGTCATTATGATGCTTATATATGTGCTGTCAGATCACAATGTATATGTCAGTACAATGCTTATATATGTGATGTCAGACCACAATGTTTATGTCAATTTGATATCTATACATGTGATCTCAGACTACATGCAGTAGTTCAAAAATTCATAACATACAAAAGATAACCTTCTTGACTTTGTACTTCCAGGGAGTCAATGCTGATGCTGCTCCACCTGCTGCTGCTGGACCCCCTCCCCCTCCTCCTGCTGGAGGTGCACCCCCTCCACCACCCCCTGGACCACCCCCACCACCAGTAGATGCAGGGGCAGCTCCTAGTGGCGATGACGATGCTGCAACCAGATCGAAACTCTTCAGTGATCTCAACAAAGGAGCGGACATCACCAAAGGTTGGACTATTATTTTGTAACTTGATAATAACAATATTCAACACTAAAACTTTTGACTTACTCATTGTTTCTATTTATCATAGACTGTTCAATTGCTTGAAATTTGAGAACTTAGAATGAAATATAAATGAATAATATGAATTCATGGCAGGTCTGAAAAAAGTGACAGATGACATGAAGACACATAAGAATCCTGCTATAAGGCAAGGTCCCAAGCCATTTGCAAAGCCAGCCGTTGCCCCCAAATTCAAGGCATTCAACACCCCAGCTGCTTCCTCTGCCCCTGCTCAGCAAGCTAAGAAGCCCCCTGTATTGGAGCTGCAGGGCAAGAAATGGCTCGTTGTAAGTGGGGAGACATTTAAGAAATAATGAAGTAATAGTTTTAGTGGTAGTATATTTCTAATGATTTCATCGTTAGTATGTGATCTTTAACATCAGTTGGGTATTTTTTGAAAACTAAAAGTCTCTTAAAGCGATAATGACAAACAAAAAATGTATGCAAATTAATTTTTGCACCAAGTCTCCTGAGTCAGTACAGTGAGACAATAATAATAATACCCAAAATCTGTTGCATTTTCCTTCAATACAACAACTTGTTGTATTTTCCAGGAGCACCAGGAGAACAACAAGGCAATTGTACTGGATGATGTCAACATGAAACAGACAGTTTACGTCTACAAATGTGTCAACTCAACTATCCAGGTCAAAGGAAAAGTCAATTCTATTACTTTAGGTACATAGCTTTTATCCCTATTCATTTCCAAGATTTTAATCATTTTGAGGCAATTCTTGAGACTATCATGAGACGGCGATTCTTAGATTCATTAAACATTCATTTATTAAAGTATACCATGTTATAAATTATTATTAACTCGAAATCTCACAATTGCCCAAATTGATCTTGTCACGTTTTGTTTAAGGTATTCTTTCTCTTGCTTTTAGATAACTGTAAAAAAACAGCTCTCGTGTTTGAGAATTGTATCGCAAGTGCTGACTTCATCAACTGCCAGAGTGTACAGTGTCAGGTGGGTTACCCATAATGCATTGTAAAACCAGACAGAACATTTATTTCTCTCTCGTCATTCCTATTTTACTCTTTCCAAAATGTGAATGTTCCAAAATGAACTGCCAAATTGTCTGATCCCTCTGACCAAAAATGACTTAAAATTTATTCATATGGCTCGAATGATTTAAAGTGAAATGCTCTCTAGATAATTTCAGATCATTGTCTGTGGTTGGACAACATTGTTAAAATATATTTACGTCACAAATCATTCAATGAGGCTATTTTATATAAATGTAACAACTTTCAAACCTCAACTAGCCATCCTAAAACACATTAACGATTAGAGAAACACTATTGTTTAAAAATGTACAGTGTACACCTTTGGTGTTTTGATACATAAGTGATAATGATCATGTGCATTGAATGAAAATGCAAATGTTTGCAGATTGCAGATGAGACAATGGAAGAAACAGAAAAAGCAATTGTGGGCACATTAAGGGTATTACATAAGCCTGGTCGGTGCAGTATCAAACTGCATCATTTGGTATTTAAACCTATTTTCACTCATTATAGGTAACTGGCAAGGTTCCTTCTGTGAGCATTGACAAGACGGATGGTTTCCAAATGTATCTCAGTTCTGAGTCCATGGACACTGTCATAACATCAGCCAAGTCTTCAGAGATGAACATCCTCATACCACAGGCAGATGGAGATTTCGTAAGTAATCTTATTATGTATCTGGGGGGGGGGGTAATCTATGTATTCAATGTTGGGACATATACATTTCTCTTACATTTTAGGGCCTCTATACATTTTAAAGTTCTCTTACATTTAGGGCATTATATATTTTAGGGAATGGGGCCTTTACTTATACATTTTAAAGTTCATTTTTTAAGCCCTTGTACATTTCTAGGGTCGTATCTTACATGTGAATGTTCTCTTCATGCATCTTTTGTGCTAGCATGAGCAAGTATAGCCTACATGTTTGTTTACACCACATGATGTTGCAAGGTGAATCTGCCATTTGAATACCATATTTCGGAACATGAAACTTATTTGTTGTTTTTCTATTGTGTTTCCAGAAAGAGTTTGCAGTTCCTGAGCAGTTTAGAACCGTATGGAAAGACAATAAGCTGGCCACAACAATCAATGAGAGCATCTAAACAATTCACACCAAACCATATGATCAGGCATATGATGATCAAGCAGTTATACAAGACATTTGTAACCAGCATTCACTTTTATACAATTATATTTTCTATAGAGGCTCTTTGCTGATTTTGGACTAACATATCGTGTATAAATTGTACATTTGCTTCTATGGTTATTATACCATTGTGCACTAATTAAAGTGAATTATGTCGATGACTAATTGTGACATTTAATAGCACATGCTAATTGCTCCAATGACTATAATAACATTGTTAACTAATAGTTCAGTGACTATAGCAGAATTGACATATAATAAGTGAGTTTACTAGCGTCATTGACCTAAACTTCAGTGACTATAACTATGTCATTGACTAATACTTCAGTGACTATAATAACGTCATTGACTAATACTTCAGTGACTATATTAACGTCATTGAATAATACTTCAGTGACTATTCCAATGGAAGGGTAACTTGTGATGTTGAAGTAGTTGCTTTTAGAATTAGTGTATCAGCAAATAATGATTTTTTCTACCAAGTATCAGTTAACAGTTGACAGTATATAAAACTAATAAAAGGGAAAGTCAAATTTTGGTAAATTATTTGAAATTATAACATGTATTTATTATTATTTGATAACCATGGCAATGACAGATGGTTTTATATGAAGGAATGAATGCAATAATGAAAATGAATGTAATATGCATGTTAGCAATTTGTACATAAACATTGCCAATTTAGCACTATGTTATCATATAAGGAAAAATAAATATTAATTAATATATTAATTAGATTTTATACTTCTGTATTTAGAACTAGATGAAATTGATCTATGAGGTGAGAGAAAATACATGTATATTCCAGGATTTGAATCCTATTACTTTGGCCAGTAAAAGTTGTCCAATTTGTGCACAAACAATTTAACCATTCAGTATACTAGGCCCACCTGAACTAAAGATATCCATTGGTGTGGGAGGGATTCCTTACTCTAGTACCAGTAATGTAAATAAGTCAAGTTTTACCTAGGTGCCAAAATTAAACATAAGTCTTTTAGGGTAGTGCGACAACATTTTTGTTGTCTTGAAGTTCTTATTCACAAGCCCAAGAAATGACAATAGATTAGGATATCATAGGGATGCAGCAACCCTCACCCCTCATACAAACCTCAAGTAAATGGGTGCGGGAGTTTGAAGATTTGACAAGACATCGGCTTTACATAAATCAATGGAGGGCCACATCAGTTTGAGACATTTCTCTAAACTATTCACCAGACTGTACAACAACTAAAACTTAAGCAAATAACTCGACAGAACACCTTTCATAAGTTGTTTCCCCTCATGCTTTATTATACAAACTCCGCCCATCATTAGCATATTAATATATTTACATCTTTATGTACAGTTCTTCCGCCTTCCCATAAATAAACATCAATAATGGTGTCAATGTACAATAATAAGAGATACAAGGACTCGTAATTTCATACATTTAAATCATCAAAATTGTCACTTTGAAAATTAAATATTGTTCTGTATTTATGATGATAAATTGGAGGAACTTGTTTGAAACTTTGTCAAAGTTGTCCTATTTCAAAATAACATTTTCAATCTATATCTAACAATCACATTTGAGATAACAGTGAATATCTTCTAAATGTGATAAACAATTTGATGAATATAATACTAAATATCCTATACATATAATCACAAATCAGCTAATACAACCAAATTAAACATCAGTTGCTTATTTAGGAATATACTAGTACATTGTACATTGAAAATAATACATGTAAATGTTCTATTCATAATAGCACACACACAAATTGAAACTGAACATATATTTTTGAGATGACAATACATCTGTGTGTGCATTGATAAGTTTGATCATTTTCACTAAAACATCCAAGTGTAATTTCCTACATATGTAATTCCCAACATGTTTAATTCCCAATATGTTTAATTCCCTACATGCACAATTCCCAAATGAGTAATTTCCAACATGTTGAATTCCATACTTGCATAATTCCCAACATGTTTTATTCCCTACATGCCTAATACCCAAAATGAGTAATTCCCAACATGCAGTTTTGAGTAATTCCCAACATGCACAGTTTTGAGTAATTCCCAACATGTGTAATTCCCTGCATGTAATTCCTAAAAAGTGTTATTCACTATATGTATAGTTCCCTACCTTTCAACTAATAAGCTATGTTTAATTCCCTACATGCACAATTCCCAAATGAGTAATTTCCAACATGTTGAATTCCATACTTGCATAATTCCCAACATGTTTTATTCCCTACATGCCTAATACCCAAAATGAGTAATTCCCAACATGCACAGTTTTGAGTAATTCTCAACATGCGCAATTTTAAGTAATTCTCAACATGCACAGTTTTGAGTAATTCCCAACAGGCACAATTTTGAGTAATTCCCAACATGCACAGTTTTGAGTAATTCCCAACATGTGTAATTCCCTGCATGTAATTCCTAAAAAGTGTTATTCACTATATGTATAGTTCCCTACCTTTCAACTAATAAGCTATATCATAACATATCTAATGAGTTATGAACCAACATATATTGTTTTCCAAAAAATCATGAAAGTTCACAATCTATGAGAAACAAGCAGAGTCCCACAGACTAAAATGGCAAGTTATCATAGTTTTTTATTTAGTTTTCTTTTTACATATTTTAGCCCAATTACAATTAGCAGGATTTTCCTACCAACTCATACCCTGAAGGTCCCCTTTATGTTGCTCAACTTAATGAGAGAATATGTTCTTTGGTTGAAAAAAGGTGAATCCTTAAATCCAACATTAAAACATGAACTAAATGAGCGATTTAACATAAATAATCAAGACATGATTTCCTACAAATCTCATTTATAAGCCTTAAAGGCCCCATGCAAAGTTTGAAAATATGTTTTAATCATCCAAATATACTTTTAACATTTCATGGAACTTTAAACAGTTAGCTATGTAAGCTATATAATAAGCAGATCATTTAATTTTCCTTAAAAATATATAGTAAACTGTATGTTCTTGTTCTTTTATTTACATATGACTACATAGTCATTTACATATGTCTAAATAGTAATCTACATATTATGTTGTTATTTAATAATAACTATGCAGTCATTTACATATGACAATACTACTTTATTGTGTTTACTGCATTAAATATACTAGAAAAGAACTTTGACATTACAAGGGATTATTAGCAACTTTGTAGCGGAGGATGAAACATTGATTAAAAAAGATAATAAAAAACTACAGTGAAATATTCAAATCCCATTACATTCTATTTTTATGTAAGCCCTGGAGAATACAAATATAGGTGTTAATTCACAATAGGCAGTTCAACTCCAAACTTGACAGTATGTTGACTTCTGTGCAAGTACACCACCCAAGTATAATAAATAATAACCATGGTAACGTTGATATCTAACACAAAGCATTAAGATGTAAACCTCACTGACCTAAATACACAGTATTATGTTATAAAGTGAACTTCATGCCAATATCATGAAATTTATGTCAATATAATGTTCAACACGTCAATATCATGAACTTTGACGTCAATTTCATGATTTCGTTTTATTTTTTATGATCAATGGCTCACTGTAGCTGGTGGCTGAACATCAACGGATGACTTGCCGTCACAGACAACTGTGTACCCATAATTCCCTCTCACTAGTCACCATGCTGTACTGTCGAATTTCAGCCACTCATCTAATCCATTTTAATATTGACGTAAATGTAGCGTATAAACTTCAGAGATGCGAAGAATGATACAGTTCCAAGCATTAAGAAGAAGGCATAGCACGTGAGAATTGTGTAGCCAAAGAATTCAACAGTTTGTAGAACACCAGACATATTGGAACGCTTCGTATAATAGAATATTGAGTACAGCAAAACAAATAGACCAGTGGATCTGGAAATAAAGGAACATAAAATTAGAATTCAATCTACAATTAAGTTTTTAAATAATGTTGCAGTCAAAAAAGAATAATACAGTGTACTAAATACATGGGATGTACCATGCATAATGTCCATAAAATGATAATACCTTATAAACAGGTAAAGGGGGGGGGGGTGATTTGAGCCTAGATAATTCCCAGTTTTCATAACAAGGGGTAGGGATTTTAACATAGTAGGTCATTCTGGGAGTTGGGAATTTTTTTTTAAAGTTGATGAATATTATTGCTGCTAGAATGGGGGAAATTGGCTCACTAGGTTACTTCTAGGATAGGGAATTTGACAGACCAATTTATTTCTGAACTAACTTATCACCTATTTGCCCATGGGGGTCTTACACAAATCTTTGTTTCATATGCATTATGAGATATCAAACTCATTAAAATCAACATTATATGAGGATCACATTCAAATAAAGTCATAGTACATGTATTTGAAGATACTACATGCTCAATTTGAACTGCAGAAATATAAGTTGCCCTCCTAAAGGCAGAATACCAGATGTGGTGGGTGTGTATTTTACCTAGATAACCTACTGAATGTTATAAGATCTCTTCCAAAAATATTTCTTAAACAGACAACTAAAACACTTCCGTACACATACTCATTTTAAGACAACTTAGAAACATTTTTTAATCAATCATTAAACATAGATAAGACACTTTAGGGTTTCAAAGAAATGCCTCCAATTTATGAAAACTTTTCTATTCATTTTGTGAAACTACAGTACTATTGAGTAGGCCTATTTGTATCAAATTAGATACATTATAACACAAGGAAGAAATCAAATGTGTTTCATTTAGGTTATCTGAAATTCTCTGGTTTTGGCACATTGAAAATATCACAATATTGTCTTACTCTCGTTTCATAAAAGAAAATATTTACACTTGCTGGAGTTGTTAAGCACTATCTGATACTAGGCTTTCAAAGTATATACAATCCGCAATTTAGACCAACCAGTGTGGAAACACCTTACATGAAATCACAAATATTCTCATATTTTTCTAATTTATCGTATTATTACAAGCTGTTGCTTTCCTAATGATATATTTGAGCTTGATTAGTTCAATAAACGTGAGTTTGATATTGAAACTGTAAACCTCAAGGGATGTTCAACAGACATTGCCTCTCCATAATATAAGTTAATGTTTTGAAGTTTTGAGGATGTTATACACCTGGGGCCTGATTATGAATTGTATTCAATCTTTTGTCTTAAGGTCAATCACTATCGAAAGTACTAAGAAAGTACTAAAAATTAATTCTGAAATGCTAACAAAAACTGATTTCCACTACTAGGAAATGTTTAATAAACCTTCTATATATAGAGCCAATAGTAATACCATGTCTCTGCCCCCTCCCATAATATACATAGAGGTTTTATCTAGGGATGGATTGTATATTGGGTTTATCCACAGGGAGGGAATATAAGCCAAATATACAATCCGGACCAAAATGGCCTTTTACCATGATAATGAAAAAACTCGACATTATTATCAAAAAGAAATTACCAGACAAAACATAATCAAAACACACAAAATCCTGGGAAGGATGTATGTGGGATGTATATGAGGTATATATTGATCATGGTATAAACATCCCTATCCCAATGCAGAATGCATGCATATTAGTTGAGATGAGGGATACAAACCTCCGTGTAAAACTACTAGTAGGTCATAATATTGATTGAGAAACAGCATATTAATTTATGTGAAATAACACAACACCATACAGGTATTCCAATATAACCTGCTCCTGTTATTCTGCCCTCTTCTAACTATATCTGTTTACTAACAGTACATAACCTCAATTTTTTTTGGTATGTCAAACACTGCCTCATGGTGAAACACAGCTATAAAACACCATGTTGTAAACGGTTAATCAGAAATTATGTGCTCCAGAAAATTTCATTTCATTAACATGTCATATCTGGTGAAAAAATTGCACTCATTAGCACAAGAATATCTGGACAGGAACATTGCACAATTTTCATTTTTAAAATTGGGATGATTCTTCCAAGAAAAATCTGTTTGTGCTTTACTGAATATTTAATGGATGTGCTTGGCTCCTAATACACATGCAGTATTTTGACATGTGATGGATGACTTCTAAAAATGAAACAACTGTTTTTGGTATTCATTTTTAATAGGTATTTTAAATCATATGTGATCAATTTGTATGCTAAATATATTTCAGAGTAGTACAGATTTAAAAGCTTATGGTAGATAAAAAATATGAAAATGACTCAGATTAAAAAAGGAATTTATCCTGTGGAAGGAATTATGTAATTAAAAAACAGAGGGGAGGATCATAAATGACATTTGCCAGGAGAGTAGACACTCATAAAGCTCCAAAATTTACAGGAAGCAAAACTGAGAATGAATACCAAATTGGGGGGGGGGTAATTCAGAAATACAAACATGAATTATTCCTCATTTGAAACTAATTAAACTACATAAACAACATAGCTATCAGTGACCTGCCTCGTATATTTTCTCATCAAGGTGTTAATTCCAAATTTTACCTGTTTTGATGGAGATATCTCAATATTTTATCTTAGATCCTTTTGGCAAAGTGCAAACATGGTGGTATAGCACCCGATTGTTCAATTGATGATATTACTGCCTATCAAGGAATTTGTGAGACATATTTTCAATATTATACTTTTGATTCAAAACCTTAGCAGACCAATTGTAGGCCTTGTTTCTATTTCAATAAAGTGTTTTGTGCTACCGTTGTCATAAAAAGTGCTTTACATCAAGTTTAGCTCCAGTTATCCCTGAAGTTGTGTAAAGATGGCAGCACACTACAGGAGTGTCCAGAGCAAGAAAACTGTAAGATACATGTACTTTGTGTTTTAGTGACTGGTATGAAGAAGATTAGCCATGAACTTCTGCAGATTGTTTGTATCAACATGAATTGTATAATCTACATCTCACATCTAGCCTGTATCATATATACAGTATATATACAGGGTGGGCCAAAAGTGGAACATTTCTTCATTGGAGTTCATTCAATTGTACATTGGGGGCAATTAGTTTATAGATGCTTATCATGTTTATAGATGCAGCCTTTCATGTTTATAGATTTTAAGTAAATTTTGATTTGACCCCCTTTCTTCTGAATTACAATTCAAGCTTGAACCCCCATTTCAAAATAATTTCAACTTGCTGTTGTTGATTTTCCTTCAAGTTATCTTTTTAAGAAACTTCACCTTGACCAAACTTCCTATCAAAGAGATCGAGTCGTCCAGATTTCTATTCTGGACAATCAGTAATGTTCCAATGTAATTGCTCATAAAACATCATATATACCTTAGGTATATCTTGAGACCAAATCATAAGCACAATATCGACAATATATTGAGGATATCAACAGGACAACCAAAAGAACAACCAACTGTCAGAATTGAATGCAATAAGTCGAAAACAGAATGCAATGTTTTGGGGGGATTAATCTATAGTGTAACCCCTTAAAAGTAATAAATATGGCCTCTCTAAGCCAAAATAATCTGAAGGAAAAAGCCAATCAGACTGGAACTTTGAGCGGGGTTTTTAAATTTGAATTTCTATTGATGTAAGTGGAAATTCATGGCTAGGAACAATCATTGAATTGATACTGTTAACGAATTAATTCAAGCCTCAGAATTGATAAGTTGATAAACAAACTTGTTTTACATCAAATAACACGAAAAAATCAGGGGTTACTTTAATTGTGTTTTTAGGAGACCCGATCTCTTTAAAGTTTGCCTAGGAATATCAAATCAGGTAACATGATCAACATTTTGTATTCAGATTTTGGTATTATGTATTTTGATGGTTATTGTTGGACCACAAAATAGAATATGTGTTTGGAGTATTGGTCTTAAAAGCTTTGCATTACTGTCTTGATTGGGAAGAAATCATGATTTTTCTCTTGAGTAGCTTTGTGGGTAACTCAAACATGTTCCCTCTTCCTGCTCTTAAATACTTGTATATCTAATCATTTGTTGATACAAACAATACACTAAATTACCTAGCCAATGCTGTCTAATTTATAAAATGTGTATTTTATAAATTGTGTACAGCAATCAACAAGTTCTTCAAAATAAAGATTCTGAATCACTGACTGGTATATTCACACGGGGTCCTATGAAAAGTTGCCTAGTATAATGCATTAACATTATGGTCAATTTATGGACTGCATGAAGAATTTGCAGCTTAGGAGAAACATAACTTAACTCTGCCCAGAAAAATTAGTGTATCTTAAAAGGAAAAATCAGTTTTCTGCATGCATTTAAAGTGAATAGGAAAAATAGCTATGTTGACCTAAGTGTTTGTTTCTGTCTTCCAATAACTCTATGGTCAAACATCTTCCATCTACCATCTACGCTCTTTATATTCCCGAATATGGACACTTCAACTTTTTGTAGGGTTTAACAAACTTTCCACTATTTTGAACTATCTGATATCATAACAATGACATATTGATCACTACAGTGTACACTATACTAAACTAAAGTAGAACTATCAATCAACAATATTTTTCAAGACTGTAAAATCAATTTTTTCTGACTTTTCATACTCAATACATTGGCATTTAAGTTTTGGATGCAAATCTGATTGGATATCATAATACTGTGCATGAACATGTATTATAGAAGTACTGTTTATGCCAGCTATTTATGGTCCAACAATATGCTGGTAAAATATTGCTTTGCCAATAGATGTAATCATAAAATAGGTTTTTAATTAACATAAATCCTAGTTGACATTCTAATTTGTCTAAATCAGGTGGGGAGGAGGACTTGGTAAAAGACTTATCAAGCTGTAAAACTATGTAAAATTATAGATAGTCTTAAAAGGATGCAATATGTTTCCAAATGATATAAATATGAAATGAATTTATTTAGAAGCATCCCGGAGTCCCATTTGAGATATCATACCATCCCCTGGAATAAAACTCATATTTAATCCATTCCAGTATATAACCTCTATAAACTCACCCAGCACTGAAGATAGACCTCCACCACCATCTGTAGCACTCTGCAGATAACTGAAAGTAGGTCAGTGCCACGGAGATACATGCTGTCACGCTGAGCAGAATTCCATACACAACAAACAATATTCCATAAAGAGTGTATTGTTCACGTCCCCACAACGTAGCGAAAATGTAGTAGAGTTCTACTGAGATTGCACTGGAAATAGAACAGTAATATTTTAGTAAAATGTATTTTTTTTAATTCTCAAACAATCTGATTATAAATATCAATGGTACAAAAAATGACTGACTTTCAGTTGAGTGCAAAAGGTCAATCACTTATTTTTCAAATTTTAACATTCTTTGACAAATGTCTCCAATAACATCTGAAGAAATTATATTAAAATAATGATAAAATAGAAATGTTATTTCGAACTTTACATGGGGTCTTTAAGTACTCACCTAAATGGTAGAAAGCCTCCAACAATACAGTGGGCAAGGGTTGACTTGTACCAGGGGATTGGAGGGATCTCTCTGGGAATATTTTTAGTCCTACATGGAGCGTCAAACCCATTTGCCCAGTTCTTTCCAAATATTCCTCCTATTACCGTCAGTGGGTACCCAACTGAAATAGACAATAGATCAATTATGACATTGAACTTCAAATTGGTTTATGTTTTAACCATACATCAACAACGTAACAATGGACAAAAGGTGATGAGCAGAATCTGCAAATTATGAAAAATGACATTTTGACCAGTTTAGTAATCTCAACCCCGTACTTAAACTGACACAACTATAATTGAAGAAAATTTGGAAACACCAATATGTGATGTCATAAATTATGTAGAAAGACAATCATTCTGGAACCTGTTAAAATGGGACTTTTAACAATAAACGAATTTCTCAAATAAATACTGAGATAATGCTCATTAATATCCCCATATATACATACCAATTATCCAAAGTGCTAGCAGCATGATTATTGTGGTCCAAGGAAGAGCCTGTGTAGAACCATAAGACCAATGTACGCTGTTGATGAAACTCCACACAACAAAGAATGGAACTGAAATAAGAGAAAAGTACATGTGTAATTTACTATAATGGTGAACTACAAATAAGCAGTGAAAAGAAGTTATAATTCCCACAAATATTGTTGAATAAAATTTATGTTTATGGTACATTTAATTTATCACTTGTTGTACACTAGAAAATAATCTCATTCCCACCAGTTAATAATGCTTCCAAAAATACAACCTCAAATTGATATAAATATATAATATGCAATATAATTTCATTTTTCAGAATCTTGAGCTGTGTTACAAAAAAGACAAATAAAAATTTACCAAATAAAACTAGACTTCAAACCCATTTGACTAAATACCTCCCACATAAATAATCAAGAACATGTACGTATCTTTGTATAAATTGAAGCACATATGAAAGGCTAAAAAATATGACTTACAGGCAAACAATGAAGATGATAGGTTAATGTTCCAGACCCAGTTTACGCCACCCATTTTGCGATAGTTGTTAGCAGACACGTAGCCCCCTATACCTAAAAGCCAACACCAACAATTAATTATAATACTATTTAGTAAATGGCACTTACAAGAGAACAGGGCGGATGTCAGTGTGGTGACGCTAAGCCATTGTTCTCCCCCCATGTTGATATACATACTGCTGGCAACATACCCACCAATGCCTACAACATCAAACACAATGCTTAGTGGGATGTTACCTGATCTGACAGATTGCTTAGTGGGGCAACTCCTTCTTTGAGACAATGTTTCGTGGAATAATACCTCCTTCACACAATGCTTAAGGGCCTAATTTGACAAACTGCCAAGTGGGATGCTACCTCCTTTGACACTAGGTGGAACTCATTTGAAACCATGGTTATGCTTAGTAGGATGTAAACCCCAAAAGATAATGCATAGTTGGCCTCTGACAAAAAGCTTAGTGGAATGCTACCTCCTTTGACAAAAAGCTTAGTGGAATGCTACCTCCTTTGACACAATGCCTAGTGGGACATTACCTCCTCTGACACAATGCTTAGTGGGATGCTACCTCCTTTGATGTAATGCCTAGTGAGACATTACGGGGGTGCTAACTCATTCGAGACAATGCCTAGTGGGATCCTACCTCCTCTAACAGATAGACAGATTATTGATTCAAATTCACCAACATTGGGTATTTGTAAACAGTATACTGTATTTACAAACATTTCAAGAATGATAATAATTTTTTATATTTGTTTTGAGTTACTAGAATCAGCACATAATCCAATATGATACATTTCTCCATGAAAAGTCACAAATCATCAATTTATACTAATAATAAAATTAGGTCATGTTCTTAGTTAAATACATGGAGAGCCGAGAAAAATCATTAAAATGTTATACATATGAGTATATCTCCAAATATATAATTAAAGGTGGTATCCCAGAATGCTACAGAGTATACTCTAGCTTTATGGGAGTTAACCTCCACTGACAAAAATGCGATTTTCTCAGATAAACCACTAGGATCTTCATATAAAGGTACATATGGTGTGACAGAACTTTATGGTGTGACTTAACTCAAGTGACAGAACTTACATGATGTGACAGCATATAGTATAATACCAGCTGTATTTATTGAGCCATGTCGGTGGACATTGAAAAAGCCAAGAAGAGCCATCAAGAGAATTCCAGTAGCTATGGCCAGGAAGTGACTGCCTACACCTGGAATATAAAACAACACATTTTAAATGATATACCTAAGTAATAAAGGGGGTGTCTCACTTTGGTGTCTCATACACTTTCTCTCAACGTATTTTACAAAATACTAGTAACAAAAATGCTCAAAAGAAATTGATCATATATGGCTACAGAAGATGTGAATCACACAGCAAAAAAGGGTTTCACCTTACATGGCAAACAGCAATCTACCAAATATGGCAAAGGGTAATTCATTTACCTAATATGGCACAGAAAAGACTTTTGTAAGGTGGGAATCTGAAGACATCTGTGTGTATGATCTTCCAGCCATTCTCATCTTGGTCAAGGTCTTCACTGTCATCTTCTTCAGTGTTATACTTAGCAAAGTCATTCTTTAACACACGTGTCTACAAACATAAAGTCAATCATAAGCAATTGTTCAGAACATATAATATGTCTATAAACACAAAGTCAGTCTTCAGAACATATAATATGTCTATAAACACAAAGTCAGTCTTCAGAACATACATATATGTCTATAAACACAAAGTCATTTTTCAGCATATGTGTCATATGTGTCTTCAGCACAAGTTTCAATAAACACAAAGTCAGTCTTCAGAACATACATGTATGTCTATAATCACTAAGTCATTTTTCAGCATTCATATCTATTAACACAAAGTCAGTCTTCAGCACAAGGACCAACAAACAAATTCCTTGGCACAAGTATCTGTATACACAGACATCAAATTGCACAAATACAATCACAGTCATTCAGAACATGTGTTAATACAGTATGAAAAAAACACATTAATTCTTCTAACCCATGTGTTAACAGACCATAGTTTACTCCCAAAACACAAGTCAATTAAACTGATGAAATCTACATTGAATCCTTTAATAAAAACTGTACAATTATTGATTTCCTGGTCCTAAACATATGTTAACGATTTAAACAATAGCTCAATGATAACTGAAGTATGATAGCCTCAAAATCAATTGTTTAGTCAACAGGTGGAAACTCAGTTAATGCAATTAGCAAAGGTGCTATGTGCTGTACTGGGATTATGAATATATTACTTCAGCTGTATTTCTACTTAATAATAACAACAAGATGAATATGATGGAAGATGAAATGACTAGCAATGCCAATAATCTTAATTAGTTTAAAATTTGTGAAACTGAAGAGATTGTTTTTTCAGTTTTTACATTGAAACTAGTCTGTATATTCCAGACCTCCCAAAATGTACACAACAAGTATAATGTACAGTATGTATGTATGTATGTATGTAATAGAGAAGGGTCGGTTACGGTTCGGTTCGATTAACCGCGGTTTTTGGCCTCACGGTTCTACTGGGACCGTCTGATCACCAAGAACCGAGTCCAAAACGGTTCCATCATTCCTGGGGAAATACTTTATTTTCGTGCAGTGTAACATGAATACCAAATTTTTGCGCAAATAATTACAGCTCTATTTCATCTAAATAGCGAATGAAAGTACCATTTAAACGACAATTGAACAACTTTAAACGATCCATACGGTAATAAAATCGTTTCCTTGGATATTTCATTGTTCTTCCACGTCTCGAGGGAACATAGTTCTACTTGCCAGCGTGAATTTATTTCGCGCTGAAACACTTGTGTTTTAAAAATGGCGGACAGTTTTCGAAGTCTTAGGCAAAGAGCTAGTAAAACCATTATAGAGCCTTTCCCCGCGATGCCTAAGTTGGATGCTTTGAAGTATTCGGTTTCTACGATGAGAATACGTCTACCCTATGTCGGTTGTGCAACACGACATTGAAATACGCTGCAGGTTTCCAATTTTTGTGATAGAAACTTTTTGTAACTTAAATTTTTTTAATTTTAAAAATTAAGACCGCGATCTTTATTAGACTTCAATTCATTCTTTATCTTGTAACTGCCTCCTATTACCCACTCATTGTAACATTTTTTATGACTGATATATACACTTTTTCATGTGTCCTACCTCAGGTCCCAAGTCAGTTTGGGAATTTGGGTAAACACCCACTAGCCCACTGCACTGTTATTCCCAACTGAAGGACATCTTTGCTATCCATATAATTTTAGTTTTCAGGAAACACACTGTCTGCCGTGAGGAAAGGTCTTACCCAACCAGACCCAGTTTAAAAAGGAATCCCTCCCATCTAACACGGGGCAAGCAACTTGTTGATAGCCACATACAAATAGTTCAATTCTAGTTATTTAATTCCATAAATATTCAATGATTATCAGCTATCATCATTCCATATTGATCATTTATAAGATTGAAAATAAAATTATATCCCCTAATAATACAAAATAAAAGTGAAACACCTTTTTATGTTGCCATATTTGTGGCACCAATTGCAATTTATGAGGCCCACCTTATTAAGTATATGATTTAAGAACCGACCGAACCGAGAGACAAGAACCGAGAATCGTACCGAACTGAACCGAACCATGACCGACCCTTCTCTAGTATGTAATGTGAGAAAACATGAATTTAACAGATGAAGGTGAAAAAATATTTTTTTACCAATCAATGATCCCCAAATTCCAGTGAATTGTACCATTTATAAAATAATCATGAGCACATGTATGGGGAGAATCGCGAATATTTATATGCAATTATTTTAATGATATGACTGATTGTAAGGAGGGGGGGTACTCACCAGAATGATAACAACAAATCCTATGAGTAGGAATACAAGAACCATGGAGTTGATTATAGACAGCCAGTGGATCTGAAATAAACATGATAAAATTAATGCTTTACTTTATACTCTATCAATGCTTACCACAATGGGACTACAGAATTCTGGTTTTGTTCATAATTACAACTTTGGAGTCATACAAGTACAGGTTTTATTGTGGATTTTTGAAGGAATGTACTTTGCAGGTTTTTTCTCTGGTAAAGTGAATATATTTTGTGTGATGTGTTCAGAATAGTCACTGAAGAGACCCTACCTCTAATGTCTTTGGAAAGAAACTAGTGTCTCGGAGTCTTTTGCCTCTTTGTTCATATGGAGTTCTGAAATCAGATACATCACAGTTGTTATCCTATTACTATTTCAATATCCTCCATTCATATACTAAAGTTAGACAAAATATCCAATGCAAACAGCAAATTCTATCAAACCGAGACCCATTCGGATAAATATGACCTTTATTCAACGATAGGCAGATCCCAGATGGTCAAAGAGGTCACAGCTCAAAAATATCATGAAAAATGAATTACATTTCAATCGCATTTTTTATTTAAATTTTGAAAGAAAATAAAACTTGGCGCATTGCAATTCACTGTATTTTCCAGAAGCGTGCCCCTGTATAACAAAGACTTACTTGGTTTCATGCCATTTGACACTGTAGGTAAATGTTACTTCAAAAGGCGCAACAACATCTTCTAGACTAACTGGTGGAGTATCTTTCGTTGATACATTAGCAAATATAATCTGAAACAAGCAAAATTTAATACATCTAGCATGGCAAATGTAATGATAAGCAGAAAATCATTTATTTAAATACAGCTCTGGTAGTATACTCAGATAATATTTACAAATGAATTGATTTTTGATTTTAGAGCACAACTTTATTGACATCAGCAGACACTGGCTACACCCTGATAATGTGGGGCTATTTATTCCTCCAACTTTAGATTCATACTCTGAGCCATCATACTCCCATTTATAGAAGTAACAACCTAATCATGATTTAACTAGGGGCTAAAGTGAATCATCTATATTGATCATATTTAATAACAGAAAAATGTTTTGACAATAGTGTACCTGTTCGCCATTGTATTCCACATTGAAGTGGTGATGTGCCCAGAGGTAGATTTTGTGATTATGAGGCAAGAAGCCCCCTTCCTCTAAATGGCCTATAAATCCCCTGACTGGGATCTCATCTACAAAGAACAATAGGAACTTTACAGTTCAATAACAAAGTACATGTTTAGCACTGATCAGATCTCATAATACCATGAGTATGTTTGGAAGGACCATAGCTTAAAGGCCCCATAGAGTTTTTTGTATTGGTAAACTAAATTCTGCAGAATGATCAGCTAAATGCGGATCCCTAACCGTCAATGAATCATGTCTGGTTAGACTCATGAATAATCAGATTTAATATTTTATTGAGTTATTATATTGATCCAAAATATGTATATGGCTATGAGCTTCTGACAAGTCAAAATGCATAATTACTGTACTTCAATGCAATAAATGAAGACCAAAACAGCCCATTAGCAACTCATCAACCTAATAGCCTTATTATTGCATATGTAAACTATGATGCCTGCAGGTGGAAGAATCTATGTGTAAATAATTGGCCATTTGCAATAATTTGTATGTTTTTGAATCATCTGCCATTATGCTTGTATAATTGGCTAAATCTTCTAAAATGATATACAATAATGTTGTTCTCTAAGATAATCACATGTTTTAGTTTATGATACAGTAAATATTCCAAATAAGGAAATCTGTATCACTCATCGTGCATGTTTCCAAATCTTGGTTGATGATAGTTTTTTAGCAGAATGTTTTTTACTACATACCTATAACAAATTCAAAATAATAGAGATCTTCTATGGCATCTCGAATCGTAGTTAGATCCTCTGCGCTGAGGGTTACTTTACAAAGATCCTGTTTGGCAACATCAGCTACAAGAAACAATGTGATTGTATAAAATAGAATAGTCATTGTGTTATCCCACATGTACAATATGATTCATTGTGTTATCCCACATGTACAATATGATTCATTGTGTTATCCCATATGTACAATATGATTCATTGTGTTATCCCACATGTACAATATGATTCATTGTGTTATCCCACATGTACGATATGATTCATTGTGTTATCCCATATGTACAATATGATTCATTGTGTTATCCCACATGTACAATATGATTCATTGTGTTATCCCACATTTACGATATGATTCATTGTGTTATCCCACATGTACGATATGATTCATTGTGTTTTCCCACATGTACAATATGATTCATTGTGTTATCCCACATGTACAATATGATTCATTGTATTATGCCACATGTACGATATGATTCATTGTGTTATCCCACATGTACAATATGATTCATTGTGTTATCCCACATGTACAATATGATTCATTGTATTATGCCACATATACGATATGATTCATTGTGTTATCCCACATGTACAATATGATTCATTGTGTTATCCCACATGTACAATATGATTCATTGTGTTATCCCACATGTACAATATGATTCATTGTGTTATCCCACATGTACAATATGATTCATTGTATAAACATAGCCATTGTGCAATCTCCTATCCTCTACTTGAAAACAAGAATTACTTGTAGATATTAGAAAAGGGGAAGAGACTTTGATACACAACTGGGTGCTCCATACATCCTTTCAATGAACACCTAATCAGAAAAATTGAACATCATTGTAACAATCCACTCAGGGTCACATCTTGTATAAATGAACCTTCAGAATTTCCCATTTATTTCCATTTAAATAAGTTACAACATTAATTAATAATTCTAAGGTAAATTTCCATAACATTTAGAGCAAAATGAAGAAAACTATTCATGACTGGCAATAACTGGCTCCCATAAAGCCAAATACTCACTTTTAAACTTGATGTCATACATGGAGAGAGCCATCCTGTCCCCATCCAGGACCTCTCCCAAAGTGAGACTTTTGTGCTCGATCTGTAACAAATTATAGCACCATAACAACATAGTATCATAGCAACATAGCGTATTAAATTGTTAAACATGATGCCAATTAATAGCAAGATTTTAATCTTGGAGCAGGACCCTGTAAAAATCCCCCTCTACCTCTTTGAGGTAGAACATGATCATGATACAAAAGCTTCATATATTGTGGTCATGTTATAAAAGTAATATGCTTAAACATGTTGCAAATGATTTAGGAAATAAAATCAAATATTTAAAAAGATGAAAAGGTTTTCTGAAACAGCTGTTACTATGGCGAGGACTGGACTGCACAATTCATCAAAGTCACCAGTTACTGTTCATGATAATCAATAAAATGACCCACAGCTACAAATTATGTTAAAACTTTGTAGCATCAATTTCAGTGAAATTAAAATACAATTTCTAAATTGATTTACGAATCATGTCAGTCAGCTTGACTCAAGCAAGATTCAGAAATTTTTGAGTATAACTGAAAATATTTGTTTAAAAAAAAGATTTGGGAATGTAACTGTCAAACATCATATCATTTGCCCAAATAATGTACTTATTTCTAAGATTGAAATTGTCAAGTACTGAGAACATTTTATATGTCTTATTTTTTTTAAATAATATACACAAAATATATTACAAAGAAAATCTTTGTTACCTTTTCTGGTCTGCATACTGGTAATTGGTAATAGTGGTATGTCTCATGTGGATTGAAATATGGTCCAACTTTGTTTACATATACAGGCACCTGAAAAGAAAAGAATATGAACTTAACTTGACGTTGACAATTCGCACCATTAGTATAACAAGGCTCTAAGTGGCTCAAACCATGTTTTGAGAAAAACAGGATTAAAGTTTGGGACTTTGATAACTTTTTTTCTATTTATTGTAGGTCATCAAGATTTTGGGAATTGATTAATGACATAAAACCCTGCCTTTTGGTGAATTTTTATTAAAATTGACACTATACATCTGGTTTTTTCAGCAAAAATCAAAATGCAAATAGAACCTTTTACTGACAAAAGCTAACCAAGTTCTTAATTGGTTGCATATAGAACTTATTTTGCCATTCATTCCATTGGGGGAAAAGTATTTTGATCAGAATCAAAATTCAACAATGTCATTTTGATTTCATGTTGCCTAATTCATAACAAAATTATGAAAAAAGAAAAATACATATTTCTAAAAAATACAAAAATAACTAGTAAATCCAGACATGTCATCATAAAATAAGCATCAATATCAAAATATTGCACAATTACACTGTACCATCAAACAAAACTCTGCAATTGCAGTATTGAAACTTACCATTACTTACCATTGAAACTTACCATGCATATATATGCAAATTAATATATTTCACTGTCATCAGAAAAATATCTGAATACATATCACATTCAGGTTTAATGTACAGGGTGGTCAAAACAGGACCGGGGAAAAGTTTAATAACTTGGTCAATCTTGCATATTTTGTCTTGAAGTTGAAAACCCAATAAATGAACTACATGATTCTGAAATTTCAAGGAAAATATACAAAATTGACAAATTAATTCAACTCTTCTTTGGTCCGGTTTTTGACCACCTTGTACTTATAAATCCTAAACTGCTGGCAAATATAAAAATATACTTGAAATTATCCTTATCCCATACAAGGGTATCCTCCATACACCAATTAACTTTATGGCCTTAACCAATAGATCAGCAGTAATGACTCATGAAACACTTATAAGGTAGTGTAATAAAATACCATTGTAAAGTTAAAAAAACAAGCAAAGAGCATGGATATTATCTTTATCACCATATATATAAAGTTTGCTGGTCTATGCTTTTACTTCCTTGTGTTTCTTATGGTGTTTCTTTTAACGTTCACGTTTTGATTTCATACATTATGTGGTTCATAACTTTGGCACACACTTTCCATGTATATAATATATAAAGAATACACTATTATGGGCATTATCTTCACTACCACTTCATGGTTAACATTTACTTTTTACTTAATTTTCCTTATGTTTCATATGCTGTTTCATTTGCTTTCTGAATTGATTTTTTACTGTATATTTACTATAAAAATACTCTTATGGACATTATCTTCACTATCACACTATCGCTTATGTTTGCTTGTCCATAATTTTACTTTCTAATGTTTCTTATGCTGTTTTCTCTTACTTTCTAGTTTTAATTCTAGTTTTTTTGGTAACATTCATAGGGAATAAATCATATCATTTCATGAAAACGGTGACCTTGTCCTACGGAAATTGAGATTATGTTCCACAGCAAGTTCGCACGGCGATACTGTATAGCACATGCTCTAGGGAATTGATTCTACTTCTATAGACACCAAACACATGTTTGTCGATATAATAATGAAAAAGCCTTAGGTCCCAACCTCCTTTGTTTACATTTACAAAAACGTGAAAAATGACAAAAGTAAAAGTTGTTCTAAATTTTTTTAATTTAAAACTCTTGAAAACGATTTCACTTGCCAGTGACAGATACTTTAGTCTTTCACGTACCGAACATGTCAATTTGGTTCGTAATATCTCCAAATAAACAATTTCACCATTTTAAATATCTCGATGCTTGTCCACGTGTTAATTGTTATTGGTTTTCTGTCACATGACCAAATGTTAAGTTATGATTGGTCAAGACCTGATGTTAATTAGAACCTTATAATACCAGCTATAACTGTCATTGTCTATAGAACTTTTTCATTTAAATTTGATTGGATAAGAGTTAGAACCTTCTTATACATAGTTTATTGTAAATTAAATGGACTTACACCCTTTTGATATTGAGAAAAGCATATTTAGAGTAAAGATGGAAATTTGTTGTTGATTTCATTGGAAAGAGCATGCCCAAATTAGTCAGTATGCAAAGTTACAGCATTTTTCTCAAAATGTCACTTAGAACCTTATTATACTAATGGTGCGAATTGTGTTTCTGTCGTTCATTTTTGGAAATTCAGAGATACCGAATTATCTCCAATAGATACACACTCCAATAAAAGCACACCCAACTTTTCTAAGAAAGACTGCCACAACTTTATTCAAAATCTGACCTGCCGATAATAGGGTTGATATTGAATAATTCACTAACCGCTATCGCTAACTTTAGTAGAAATGCAAAATGTTAAGAAACAGACACCTTCAAAATTTCATATACTGTATCTCTCATAGCCTAAACATATTGATTATGTTCTACATCCGCAAGACAATTTGTTGAAAGGTTGCAGCATATCATTAATCAAGATGAAAAAATATAAACCCGTAAGATACAAATCTCAAAGTTAAATATATGGCAATTTTGTAAACATTGATTCAATTGAGGAGAATGATTACAGGAGAAAACATGACTTAACAGGACTTAAAAATATTGGACATGACTTTAATCTATCAAAATAATTGAACCTTCTACACTGACTATATGGAATATGGAATGACAAGGGAAATCTTATAAATGGAAATAAATTAAGAACATATAGGGAATTTAAATTTGGTGTGTGCACTGAACAGTTTATAAAAGAAAACCTGCCAAGACACCATCGAAAAATACTGGCAGAATTTAGATCTGGTACTTTGAAGCTAGCCATAGAGACAGGTCACTTTAATAACATTCCATTACACAACAGAAAATGTATTTTATGTGATATTGACCAAGTAGAAGATGAAAAACATTTTCTGTTAGACTGTACACATTATATAGATATTAGAAATGATCTATTTTCATATTTAAGAGATTCATTTGATAATTTTAGTGTTGATAATATTACACTCCACTCTATAATGACATGTAAATCTAGTCAAAGGAAAATTGCTTCTTCTTTATATAAAATGTTTCAAAAGAGGGCATTTAATCTTGAACGTTTGCAATAACATTGTAATATTGATGCTATTTGTGAATTCATATAAGTGTCTCATAAGCCGGCATCGTCTAGAGGTTTTTTATTAATGTATTTTAGTATTGTATTTTATTGTATATGTATGAACCTGTGACACTATAATAAACGATATAAACTAAACTATACAAAATGTGACTCATGCCTCGGTTATATTTGATCTATGGTAACTGTACACCAGCCGTAAAACCATTTTGGACCAACCATCCTTTTATTATTGTATATTAAGATTTAAGACGAGGAAAATATCATTCAGACAATGTCGTAGAGACTGAATTTGAGATGACTTCCAAAGTTGATGGCAAAAATGTTGAAAACACTGATATGATCAGAACTTATCGACCTAGATTTTATATAACTTCAGACAGTTTCACTACTTCCATAAATGGGGCCATTTTCCCAAAAAGCAAAAACATGTGGTTGCTATATAAACCGTTGTAGCAATGGTCTTATGGTCAAATATCAAAATTCTTATTCAAATTTTTTTAGTCAAAATTCCTCCATCTATTGGTACATCTGGGCTCTGTTCCCCTTTAGCCATCTTGAAAACAGTTGCAAAAGATATTGATGAAAAAGGCAAATTTCCCCCTTCTGCCGATATAACTGCATGATTGGGGATTTAACTACATACATGAATTCTCATGAGTTCATGAATTCTCATGAGTTCGTCATGTCATTGAAGAATAACAGAGTAGGTCAATATGTAGACTATATCCTATTTAGTCTGAATATATTCAGACTATAAACCAGTGATCCACCTATGTTAAAGTTTGGTAATTCAAATATTTGTTTAGATAGGAAGTGCTATTCAAAATAAAATTTGCACATTTGATACTTCAGCTTTAGCTAGCTTTATTTCTACTTGACAATATGCTGTGTCACTTTTTATTGCATTTAATTGTACCTTACTACTTAATTAAATTTTTGTAATGTTTATTTTATTGAAAAATTGGTTCCTCTAATTGATAATTTTGTGCAAAAAATTTCACTGCAATTTCCACAGGACAGTAGTACATCATAACAGACTGACCTCAGTCAGTCTGTTAGATACATACTAGGTCAATCAGCATTTTTAATTTGATAACTACCCCCGTAGTTTTGATGCCTAGTTGTCCTGCATTGCTTTTTTTCGCCACAGAAGTATCTATCAATTAGTGATTTTGCTGGTGTTTTGAATTCAGGAGTATTTTTCCACTCAGTTGTGTTTTGTCACAACTTAGTTGGATCTTGTAGAAAATCAATTTTTTCAGTGAAAAATCAGATGGGCTCTTTAACTTTAGGTACAATAATGTACTGAGTCCTAAAGGAACCCCATAGAGATCTGCAAAGGACTTGATACAACCACAGAACCTCCCTCAAACAAAGTGATACCTTTCTTTTCTGCAACAGAGCTAACAAGTCTTGTATAGACTACATCCTCATCTTTCTATTGCAATTCTATTGTTTGGTTCTATAAGATTAGGTATGAACACTGTAGTTTAAGTTTAACTGTGGCAAATGTATTTTTGTATGCTCCGGGATTGAATACGCCAAATATGCCCACAAACCTCATCGTTCCTCTGACATCACAAGTCCAAGAAATGATCATATCAATGTAAACATCTTCAGATTTGGTACGCCTCATATTGTAATCACTACATCACATTCCAGGAGGTTCTGGAAATCTACGATGTCAAATGGAAATTTGGCATACTCAGTCCTGGAGGATGTAATTATCCTATTTTTGACTCTTATTGAAAAAGGAATGTTTGGACAACCTTTGTTTGTGATTTCGGAGATACAGAATACAAAGATGCTCCGAATCAGGTATCATTTGTATACTTATGTAATGGCTGCACAAGTTGATGTCTTATCTTCAGTTTTAATTACTGACTCTAATCTACTAGTATAATCTACTAGTATATATTCAATGGCATCTGTGAGTTATCTCGTTCCAAGACTATCTCTACGTTCTAGTCTTGCGAACGTCTTATTCTTTTGTCTGTTCGATTACAACATGGGAGAATTTTCTATGCTTCTTACACTTAAGATACCTATTTCAATAGATTCCTTGGTATTTTAGCATTCTTTTCGTGTAGTTGAATCCACAATTGTGTGGGTTTATCGGCAGAACGAAGAGGTTTTCGTTTTTGATAGCAATATTTGCGTGTAATATTTAACTTATTTCAACCGTCAAATTCCTCCATTCAGTTCCCGGCATGCACCAGTCATAAGGGAAATCCCTGGGGAATTCCCCTTCCGACATTTTGAAAATTGCTGATATATTTCCGATGTAAAAACTAAAATCTCTTCGTTCTGCCGATAAACCCATACAATTGGCAATCTAACAACATAAAAAGAATTCTAAAATACTAAGGAATGTATCGAGGTAGGTCATTTAGGTGTGTAATGCGTAGTATTTTCTCCAACTTTGTAAAAACATTGACTGACTAATTATACGCGTGTACGACCACAATCTAAAGGGGTCGTAGGATGCGATAAATCTGTGAGTACAACTTCTTAGGAAGAGTTTGAAAATATTTTCAGAAAATATGTGAATTTCACCGTCCCGTGTGATAAAAAATGTACAAATGGAGCACTTTCATTCGACTCTGTTTACAAAAAACGATGATGATTTATGTCTTCCATCACTCATTGCCCACACCCAAATAATTTTGAAAAATCAAGACTGCAGGTCTGTCTGAATTTTTCCGTCTACAATTTTTCAATCGACCTCAAAGATCATTGTTATGACACATTATCGTTTAAAAATAATACAAAATACAAGAAAATATATCTGTTACTATGCATATGTTCCTTACCTTCGTGTCTGGCTTGTACGTAGCACAGGACACCGTTGAAATAAGTGCCAACACGGCAACAAAATTAACAGCAGCCATTTTGTAAATATAGTCTCAAAGTATTATTGTATATTGTAATTGCTGTATACTATGCTATATTGTCACAATATAGAATGTTGATAATCAAAAGAATGAACAGTTTATTACCTAATCTTTTCAAATCATAAAAAATATTGTTTCTCATGCATGTAACACATTTAGTACTAAAAAACATTATATCCAATTAGCACTATTTTATTTATCTAGGTTAAATTAGTCCGCTAATACATATAGCGCCAGTTTTTGAAAAACAGGCTAAAATGTGTAGCCTATGCATCGTAATACTTTGTGTTGACTACTCTTTATATATAAAACCTACTTTTTTTCGCATATGAAATTGGAATTCTACTAGTACTTTATCCATGCGTAGTTTTTAGCATTGTTATTTGGCTCACCATCGAGCGTTAGATGGCGCTTTAATCGGGACTTCATTTACCCTTTTTAAGAGTACCAGCACGTTTACACTTTTTCAATAAGAAATAATAATTTCACCTAAACAGATCAAATTGCTGAAACTGAAGTCACCTATTTTCTACAAAATGCCAACTTATTCTCTCAATTAGTAATAGTACTAACCGTGGACTTTCAACTAAAAGGCCCGGTAGGCAACTTCCCATATTTCGAGTCGGGGCAATCTGCGCGAGATTCGGTTTTTACTTGGTTCGGTTTTTCATTAAAGGAAGTACTTCATTCCCATTATTCAAAGTGCTTTTCTGCCATCGGTTCGGTTTAAGTTTGTACAACACTCGTCTACAAATCCGGGGCAGGTTGATATTATGTAATTACATTTGTTTTGGGTGTATACTTTTTGTTTTGACACTAAACAAAAATATTCCCGCACTATATGGTGCATCAAGGGTAGGGACTGCTGTGAAATAATGAACGTAAGTGACATCTATCTCAAATAAATGTTCTAATAAGTTATTAATTGCGTTATAATAATTTGAACCAATTAAATTGCTGGATTTAAAGCGCATGCGCCAAAAACCGAACCAAAAAATGGAATCTCGCGCAGATTGCCTCTAGTGCATATTTCATACCATGTGGTTTCAACTAGAAGGGTAGGCAACTCCCCATATTTCATACATAAGCATTGCCTTTGGGTTTTCAAAATTGGAGAATGTACACATTCCAAGAAATCTTATTTTCTACTTTTTATGGATGATTTTAAGAAATGAATAAAAAATGAAAACATGATTATCTACATACATGTTGATAATTTAATAAAAAATGGAATTCATCATAATCTTGAAAAAACAGAAAGTGAACATTCTCCCACAAATTCTGTTTTTATTGGAATGTGTTCTTGAATAATTACCCACAATGCAATACTCGAAGAGAACATCTTGATACCTCTTATTCTTATTGGTCTTTTTTGTTTACGTTTAGAGATTGAATATATTTTATGCTTAAATCATATTGAAAATTGATTTTTAGTCAAAATAATACTAAAACATATACATTTATCTAATACTTTTTGAAATGTTCGGCCATAAAGGGGAAGCATGGCATTGCTCATTTTAAGGTCTCGTGTTATTGCACAGAGTTGCATACCCTTCTAATTGAAAGCCCGTAATTGAAAGCCCGTGTTTATACATAAGCATTGCCTTTGGGTTTTCAAAATTGGAGAATGTACACATTCCAAGCAAATATTATTTTGTACTTTTCATAGATGATTTAAAGAAATAACTCAAAAATAAAAACATGATTATCTGCATACAATTCGAAAATTTAATAAAAAATTAAATTCATCATAATTATGGAAATAAAGCAAGTGAACATTCACCCACAAATTATTTTTTATTGGAATGTGTTCTTGAATATTACCCACAATGCAATACTCAAAGAGAACATCTTGATACCTCTTATTCGTATAGGTGTTTTTGTTTACTTTTACTTGAGATTGAACGTATTTTATGCTTTAATCACAATAAAAATTGATTTTTATTCAAAATAATACTCAAACATACATTTATCTAATACTTTTTGAAATATTACCATAAAAGGGAAGCATGGCATTGGTCATGTTGAAGTTCTCATGTTTATTACACAGAGTTGCATACCCTTTTAATTGAAAGCCCATGATTTGATTTAATTTTTTTGATGCACTTCCACTTGACAGTCGAGTTGCCTTTTCCATGTACTAACACAAAGAACTATTTACATATGATTTGTATCGTTTTTAGTCTTCTTTTATGGACGTTTTATGAAAAAAAATCATTTAGCCAGTAGAAAAGTGTATGATTGTGAACAATCATCAAATTGATCGCGTAACGAATTAGTTGAAGCCTCAAAGTTGGTAAGTTGATAGACCAACTTCCTTTAGAGCCAAAACATCAGGGGTTACTCTGATTGTGCTTTTATCAGACATTACACCTTTAAGATTTTACAAAGCATTGAATTCAACTACGTCTTGTATTTTTCTGTCCAGCTCAATATTTTGTCATTAAACAACACCTTTCACAATTAAATTTGATGATAAACATGAATTTTACCTACCAATGCAGAAATATTAAGGTGTGGGAAAAATGTAGGGTGTTTCACTTTTCGACTTTTTTCCGGATCAAGATGGAGTTTTGATTTGTGACAAAATCTCTTGCGATTGTTCTTACATTCTGAGAAAATGATTGTAATTAAATGGCGATTAATTGTTTTTAAAGTATTCATTTATCTCAAACAGCTCTTTGTACAGATTTGAAATGCTTTAGAATTACAAAAGAACTGTCATTCCCAAAAGAGCAAGTGCTAGATGTTACATCATCAAGTCTCACTCCAGAAAGATTCACCTGGCTTTATATACTGTATGTCTAAATCATCGAATTATGCTCATCTGAAAATGGGAGTGACTTTAAATCGCCTCGCGCACAATGTATTTTTGCCTTTTTTAGGGGGCCATAACTACATGATTAGAACACGGAAGGTCCTGAACTTTTAGAAAGTGAGACTAAAAACTGACGCAGGTTAGCATTACTAAAATAGCACATTCTTATAAATCAATACTCAAACAATTATATTTTCAGAAATCTCCTAGGTTTAACCATGGATCAAAAAAATATTGAACATCGACAGTGCCTCTTTATCTGGGATCTCCAACGTTCAATACCGAGTATGGAAATTTGCTTTTCATGTTCGAAGTGTTTTAGCTGCGCAGAAAAGGTTAAGGTAGGTTATCGCAAACACTTTCAGACTCTGACTATTTTCTGACCATGAAGACAGGTATATCTTTTAGATTCATTCATTATCTCAAAGATAATTATATACAACGATAATAAAGTCAAACTGAGCTATTTAACTTGCACTCAACCCATCAACACATTTTTTCAAAGATGTTGACCTAATTTTCACCAAAAATGCAATCATTTTTTACAGTGTTTAATACTATTCTTTATTTTAATGTATCAAATAGTTCTTGAAAGAAAAACTGAATTGCCCAAAGATTAGTGTTCCCCATGTTATTTCTCCATTGAAAAATCTTATACTATCCATAGGTTTCAGTTCATTTGGTCATCCAAATTCAATATCTTTAAAGTCCCTGCAGGAATCCACTTTTCCTTTTTGGAAATAGAACAGGTCTCAAATCACATTCTAATTATGCATTCAACAATATGATCAAATGTTGCATTTTTGGTGAAAATTAGGTCAACATTTTTGAAAAAGTATGTTGATTTGTCCATTGCACCGTTAATATCACAAAGGTCTGATAAACTAGATTATCATTATATATATATGCTTTTCTCGAAAATAATGAATTGGTCTAATAGATAAACCCGCATTCATGATCAGAAAATATTCATAATTGAAGTTAGAATCGTCTGAAATTGTTTGCGATAGCCTACGTGCTCCCTTTGCTCATCTAAAGTATTCCACATCGTGTCAATTTTCTTGCCTACAGCTACTTTATTTAATTTATGTTTAGATTTTGAAAAATAAAAGGTGATCTTTTCTATTCTAATTGGGCCATCTAATAAAATCCCTGTATCGGATATCTAAAATCCTTCTTAAAATGGTCATTTTTCATATATATTCTAGGTAGTGGAATGTGCGTTTCTTAGAAATATTGCTCTCTATGTTCAAGTAATGAATTTGACCAGTCCTGCATCTCAAATCTGTTTTTTAGATAATGAAATAGCTAGTACTGTATTGAAAACATGTTCTGTACATTGCAATTCTTTTTCAAGACCACCAACATTTTACCTCTCTCTATCCTTAAAATTGTTTTCAATTAAGATTCCTTGAAATTGTTTTCAATGTTTTATTCTATAGTACATATAAAAATCATTTTCAAGTAGACATTTGTGGATATATTTCTTTATTGTATTTCTTTATTGATTGCGACCATAAATTGATCATTACATACATGATATTACATAACACATGAATATTAATACCTGAGCGTTTACAAAAGTGCATTTTGACCATGAACTTACAGAAAGGGCCATGTTTGAATTATGTTCAATTTGCACATTGTGCATAGTGTGTTTACAATTATAAGCGCAATCATCTTGTTCCTGAGAATCAAAAATATACTGTATATAGCAAAATGTCATTCTAATTCAACCGAAATTAAAGAAAATCGCAAACAATGAAGCAAAGTATCGGCAAAATAAGCAGCCTGGAGGTACTTCAACGTAGCAATTTGCAGAGTTGTTTAGATAAAAATGTCTTGAGTAAACTCATCAATATGATGAACAAGAGGCCAACAGTCCTGAGGTGTAAATTCATCAATATGATGAACAATAATCTTAGACGAAATCATCATTTGCCGTTGGCATCATCTCCTCAGTCCTCTCGAGGTCCTATGTCCTGTTAAGTTCTTTCATTTCTTCAGGATTCATATCAACGTCTTCGACATATGCTTGTTTTCTGCAATGACGTAAAGGATCTATATTTGATATTACAATTGATGTTTTCTAATAATTTCAGTAACATTCAAAAAATGAAAGAGGCAAAATCTAACGGACGGGGCTTTAGGAGGTTCTGTATGGTCTAGAACTTGGGTGTAAATTTCATTTCCCCAGATTTTGTTGAAAAAAGTCTGAAAATATATTTTTCTGCAAGTGTGCCTCGCCTGCCTCAAGCTGGCTACCTCCATGCATAGCAACGATTACTATGTTAGTCCAAATTATAACAATAATACGGATTTGTTTTTTCTGAAATAAGCAAAAATAGATATGATATTAAAATGAGCTTATGTGTTTATCAAAATTCCAGATAGTCATATATCATATAGAGTGATTATACTCTTGTAATTTTGATGATTTAAAATGAACAATGAGTCCCTGGTAGTATACTTGCATTTCTATACAAAAATGCGTTTTACATGGCTTGCTTATTTTTAGCAAAATCAATTAACTTCACGAGCTCTTACACTGAACTAGGCTACTCCGAGTGTAAGGCTGTGCATTATGCATTTGTTGAAGTACCAACTCACCGAAGTTTACGTTTAAAATTCTCGCCATCTTCTAACGTCTGTGGGAGTGCACGACCCAGCGTCTCGGGAAGCAGTAGACTTAACAACCCAGCCACGATAGAGAAACTACCAAAAACTATATAAGGCAATGGTGCCCAAGCAGAAGCCTGAAAACAAACACAAACATTAACTTGTAGTTATTAAGACATTCTGATACTCATAGCATCTTTCTGTTTCACCTGAAGGGCTGAGAAGAAATGAGATGTCATGGTTTATCATGATGTTATTAAGATATTAAGAAAATAAGATGTGTCAAGTTTGATAAAAGTATACTATGTACCATGTACCGACCATCTTATATAACTGATGTGGCAACCGGCCTCAAGCCGTAATCGAATCAATTCGAGTTAAGGTAGTCAAGAATGGAAAACTGTTTGAAAATATTTAAATCAAAAGATACACACATACCGCCTGGCCAATAAATGGTGCAACGACTCCTCCAATCCTGGCACACATCGATCCAGCTCCTACACCCGAATTACGAACGACAGTAGGAAACAGTTCAACACTGAACACGTAGATGATGGCGAACGAACTAGAGATAGCGCATTTGCCAACGAGGGATAAGATTGTCTTGAGTAATGCAAGACCTGGAAAATGACATTGCATATTCAATATTTCAAGATCATCTTGTCCATGGTTTCAACAGTATAGGTGATGAACTTATATAATAGACATTCACGATTCTCCCAAATAAACACTGACTTTTTAAGAATGAATTTAAGATATTTAGATATTTGGATTGTACCTTTAGTCCATGTATTTACTCAAAATAAGTAGAGTGAATGACGAATATAGTCACCACCACGATAAATTAGTTATGAGATGATTGATTTTGGACCAGACGTAAAATATGATATCTTTATTTTCCTCAGAATATACCCCATATCCGAAACCTCCCATAACAAAGCCCTTATACATATTTCAGGCACCTTAGTCACTACATTAATTAACAAAGTGCAGTATTTCATTTACTCGATCTCCAGGCAGTAATTATATATTCTACCAATATGTGAAAAACACTCACGTTTTGGAACAGGAAAACAAGCTAGGCAGGCTAAACCACCAACTACAAGACTTATGGCAAGACTTTTCCTGCGTCCTATGCGGTTCATCGTTAAGATGGCAAAGAAATAGCCGGGGAATTCTACCAGCCCTGAGAAGAATAGATTGATGTAAATGCTGCCAGGAAGAGCCTCAACACCGAACGACAAACCATAATACACCATACTATTCACAAACCTAGAAATAATGGAATAAAAGACTGAGAAAATAAGAATGAGAGAACTTGTTTAAGAAATGGTGGATTTGCCGGGAAATTATTTTACTTTTTGTTATTCATCGTATTGGGGCTGCCGTTGAGAAATCGACTGCAAACATGACAAATTGTTTTAAGTGGTATTGGTCTATACGAATTATACTTGCCAATTAAAGCAGACGTTTAGAGTTGTCAGTCTCAAATTCGGAGTTCTGAACAAATCGAGAATAGTTCCATTTACACTATCAGCACCAGTCTACAATTAGAATAAAGAAAAGTATAGTTCTAACATATTCTCAGATTTTTGAACGGTTGTATTCTCTGTATCTTATGGTGCAGTCTAGTCTACCTCGTTATTGATTTGAGAATCAATGAGCAGTTTGTCAGAGTACTCAGCCTTGTTCATCCTCGCAACCTTGGTAAGGATTGTGTTGGCTTCATCAACCCGCCCCTCTGCTAGGAGCCAACGGGGCGACTCGTCCGCTAACCTACAATTATACTCCACTGGGGGATTTTGCACAAAATATACAAAATCCATCAAACAGGGGAAGGATGGGACGTGCTTAAAATGGAGGTTCCTACTATGTACAAAAGTAGTTTCGTATCAAACCTCCATGTCACCAATTTGAAGGGCGAGGAATTTCCCTCTCAGCCCAAACACCAATGGTTGGAATGGGTAAATGAAAAATAGGGAGAAAATCTAGGATCATAATGTGACAATGGTCTTACCAAAAATATATGAGCAGGGCTAATGGAGGAAGCGAGACAATCAGCTGGACGTGGACGTGATTCCTAACTCCAAATGCAATGAGTGATAGCAGTGTGTAGCCCCCACAGAAAAAGGCGTGATAGAATATACCTGGTATCATCCTTCCTTTAGGTGGCATCATCTCTAGAACTGAAACAATGCAAGTTCTTTTAAAGGTCCCGTGCAAAGGCTACAATATCAATGGTTGAAAAGTTACACAGGGCCTTTAACCATTCAACAAATCGCAAGTCTTGACTTGTTTTTCGGCAATGATTCCTCAGTAAATACGGGCAATGGTTTGCAGTCGTCGTTATCCTTTCAGTTAATCAAGAATGGAGTTAGGCATATATTGATAAATTGATATATTGAACAGTGATCACTTCCCGAAACTTACTAAGGACAAACGCCACAATTGAGGATCCAGCTGCCCCCGATGCAACCACAGCCCTGAGTAAAACGAAACTCCAATATTCAGGAGCGAAGGCTGCCCCAGTTCCACAGATAACCGTTAGCACTATCGCCACCAGAAGGACGGGCTTTCGGCCAAATCTGAAAACATATTATGGACATAAAACATGATGAACCTGAATCTATTTGCCAAACTAGTTACATTGTCTCGAAAGAGAACTGTTTCAGACATAACATACCTGTCTGATAGTCCTCCAAAGATAACTGCCCCAACCATGCATCCGGACATGAAGATAGATGACGCTAGTGCTCTCCTCCAAGACATGCCACATACGAGATCGAACTGAAAATATAATTTGTAAGCTCTCAAGTTTCCCATTTGAGCTGTTTTAGTGTCCAATGAAAGATAAAGTACTTATCAATCCATTGGAAATAATGTGAAGTTCAAAGGTAAGTCTTATTTGCCAAAGAATGTTCAAAATACGCTTAAAGTCCCTTTAATTTTTATTAAGATAGAACAAAGCCAGGCGCCAACTGTGAACAAACATAACCTTATCTTCGACCTTTAATTCAAAGCGCATGTTTTAGATAACTCTTGATTTTAAAGATGGCGACACTTCTATCAAAAATGAATGAATCGTATGATACAAACTTCTTTCTCTGACATTGGTATAAAATTTGATATTAAAGCTTGAGAGATCGACAATAATTTTTGATAATTTGTAAGCTCTGATGTTGCCCATTTGAGCTGTTTTTATTTGTCCAGTGAAAGTACTTATGAATCCATTGGAAAAACTGTGAAGTTCAAAAGTCTTATTTGCCAAAGAACGTTCAAAATACGCGTAAAGTTCCTTTAAAGAGAGAATCAGATGTAGCGAGCAGGCTAACAAAAAACTGTTTCAATTTTAGAATATTTTTGGCTCATGTCATTCCTTGTCATGTCTATTTTCTAAAAATCACAAAAGTGCATACATTTTCCAGGAAAACTTAAGATTTTTACAATAGTGTATTGTTTTTCTATAAGAATGGTTTCCATTCTTATTATTTGGGAGAATTTAAACATTTTTCACTCATTTTTGCACTTTGAATCATTAATAACTTCACCAATTTATAACATATCGTGAATCTTTTGGGAGATATTGTATTTGATATTGTTAGGAATAGATTGGTAGGTCAATTATACATGTTGCTTGTAATTTTGTCACCCCCTATAGATCAGATTCTGCCTTTAATTTTGATTAAAATAGAACGAAGCCAGGTGCCAACTGTAAACAAACATAGCCTTATCTTCGACCTCATAATTCAAAACCCCTTTCCAAAATAATGCTGATTTCGCTATGTGTCTGTGCTAATATAGGAATCTCGGCCAAGGCCTAAACAATACGATATTCTTGTTGATTCAATGCTGGCTGGATGGATTATTTACGCGTAGTTCTTCAAAAACTCAAGTTAAAGGCAGAATCAGATCTATGGGGGTGATAAAATTACAAGCAACATGTACAATTGACCTACCAATCTATCCCTTACAATCTCAAATACAATATCTCCCAAAAGATTCACGATATGTTATAAAGTGGTGAAGTTATAATGGATGTGCAAAAATGGGTGAAAAATGTTTAAATTCTCCCAAATAATAAGAATGGTAACCATTCTTATAAAAAAATAATACATTATTGTAAAAATCTTGAGATTTCCTGAAATAAAGTGTGCACTTTTCATGAAAAGGAATGACATAAGCCAGAAATATTCTAAAATTGAAACACTTTTTTGTAAGCCTGCTTGCTAGATCTGATTCTCTCTTTAACATCGAGTTGCGATATAAATAGCTTCGATTTGCTCACCACAAACCAGTTCTACCCTACATCTACTACTTACCTCGTGAAACATAAAAACTGTTCATAAGTTTTATCTTTCAAGGATGGTAACTAGGGTCTAGAAATGGTCGAGACAAATGTTAATAGGTTTTGCAAATCTGTTAGGCTATAGGATGATATGATGATACAAATCTTTGAAATTCTAGCGAGAAGAGATAGACATACAAATATGTACTTCATTTTACCATTTTACAAAATGAAGGATTCATTACACTTTCATAAAAAATAAATTCAAAAGAAAGCTGAAAACAAAATGAAAAGACTTCGTAGTGTGACCATGCGCTCAATGGAGATTACTTTAAACATAATTGATACTAGTCACCTCCGTCAATGTGGCCATCATATTCGTAAAAACTCACTTTTACCTTAAAATACCGTGATTGTGATTGCTATCATATACTAGTATTTAAAGGATGAATGGCTGTAATTCTCATATTAATGATATATTTAACAACATCATATTAACAAGTGTGCTTCTTAACTAAAATTTATCGCTTCTGAGTCAACCAAACCACTGGTGATCCGCTCGATTACGCTGATTACCGAAACGGTTATTTTAGGTAACAAAATGTCGGAACGTCGGTGGTACGATTTTTCTTTTTTCCTTATTTCACGCGTTGTGGGCAGAATCCCCACAGCATTTTTTCACACAAGCGTGTATCAGTATCATATGTTTTAGAAAAGGTACATGTTTGCGAAAAAATAGCTCAGAAGACAACAGAGTCGTCGATTTAATTGGGTTAAAAGTGCAGATCTTAACCGTTTTTCGAAATATCAATAAGTTCAATAAGCCTTGTACTTTATTACATTCTATACTCTTTGATTCATATACCATCTATCTTTTTCAGTTACATTGTCTGATGCGATCAATTTGATTAACTGAGGTTACTTATTAAACAGATTGATTTACAAACACTTTTTAATTCATATTACATATGTTAAAGGCTCATATCATAAATCAATACCATCTGTTGAGAATTCTAAGATGCATGTTGAACTGGAATATCTATATCAAGCATCATGTCTTATTGCAATCACCCCCACCCCCTCTATGTTAACAAAACAGGCTGAGTTCAAAGTCTTCAAATCAATCGGTAAACAATCAACATCCCTACTTCCTGGTAATAGGATGCACTTTATGGCTTGCTGGTAAGTAATTGTTATAGTTCAGAACTGTGTAAACTGACTTGTCCTTTGTTAAATTGTATATTGAATAATGGTGGTGTATGGCGGCGGTATATTGCACGGTATTGCATGGTTGCGCGGTATTTGTGATACATGTGAATATGGCATACTCACCTGCGGTATCTGACATATTCCACAAGTGAGTATGGCATATTCCGCATTGACATACAGTGCTGATATATAATAATTAAGGGTGCGTTTTCAAACTAAACAGAGTGCTCCTACCAAAATGAATTTGCCTACATACCCCTGAGACTCTTATCTGATAGATAGAATGCACAAATAAAACAAAAGTTTTGCTATTATAGGTAAAAAGTTCTCTTGAAATTTCGAAGTGATTTTACCTGTTAATTCTGTCCATGGTCAGCCATTTTTGCGGAAGTTACACTGAAACGGAAACTCCATGAAACGAAACGAAATCACTAGAAAAAATATGGCACACATTGTGCACATGTGCAGCAAAGTTTAAACCAATCATATTATTTGATTTTTTTGCGCACGTGAATTATTTGCTTCTGAGCACTTACAAGCTTACCACAATAAACAAACCTGGCAGAGACTACCCTTAGCCTACTTCATTTTGGGGAAATTTCAGCTCAAACTCGTGACAAATGCATAATGCATACGCTGGTGTGAAGCCTTGGAGACACTTATTTTGGTAAATATGATTTATGGTGTATACTTTTCTGCAGTTTGTGGGAGTTTGGGACATTAAATGTTAAAATTCAAGAAAATATGCCAATTAAACGACTGATCAATTAATATATACCAGCACTGTAGGATATAGTGAATACGTCATATTCAACTGCGTTCATCAATTTTGACATCAAATTTTGACAGAATGTAATGGAGATATAACATTGAAACGTTGCGGACTTTATAGTGAATAGAATCAAGATACAGATTTATTTTCATTATTGGGATTTCTTTTGTTCCCCGATTAGAAAACAGTCGTTAAACAAATATGGGGGTTAACGTAAACCTTTTAACGCTTAAACGTTTTACCCAAGACGTATTATAATTCAAAAAGTTAAACATAGTCTGGGCCTTATTTCTTCTCTGACATATCTTGTGGCCCACCCTATGTTTCACGTCCGTGCCTATTCGGCCCTTGATGCAAAAAAATTAATGGTGGTCTATGGCAGCGCATGAAATTTCATGTGCGTTTAATTAATAACTGATAGTGAGAATTTGCAACAAATGAAAGCATAGCACGGAAGTTAAACCCAATCATACGGCAACAAGAACATTCAGATGAAAGCCGTGGTATTGGGTTTAAGGTAACTCATAACTTAATCAAAAAATCCAAGATGGCCGAAACCAGGAAGCACATGGCATTTGAGTATAATCTGACCATCAAAATTAACTGTTTTTTGGTTGGATTTTCTCTCAATTTTTTAGTTCCTCTTATCATTTATATAACCAGGCTCACTGTGGTAATGCAAATAGAAACAGTAAACATTTTGGAATGGGAATTTGAGTCCTCTGAAAATGTGACAGAAAAATTGACAAAAAGAGTAGCACGGCAAAGGTCCCTGAACATTTTTTTTTCTAATTTCTCTGAAACATCCCTTTAATATAGCCCAAAATGGAAGGAGCTTTAGAATTTTGAAATCTCTCATACAAATTAAAAAAATAGAAAAAAACAATTTGAGAAGTGTACTTTTTTCCTTATTTTGATCCCAATTTTTTTATCGGGTAATTTTTCAAATTTCCGTTGCTCCTTCGTTTTTGATATATGTTTGAAGTATATTTTCTGAAATGTTCAGATGTTTTGAATCAGCGGTTTTTCACGGGCTACTCTTAGAAAAAAATCTTCTCAAATTCTTTAAACGGCACTTTTTTCTCAAACTAAAGTTTTTTGTTGTTCTTTGATGTCTTTGTAGTGATCACAGTGCACAAGCATATGTGAAATAATAAAAACGACTTCTCAGGAAGAGTTTGAAAATTTCAAGATTGTGTTATTTCATGATTAAGTTAACAGTCACCTTAACTTGTTGAACTAGACGTCTTAGGGCTCTAGTGTAAATCCAACAAATAAAGGTTCACCTACCTCCGATACTATAGTTGACGTGTATTCTGACGTATCATACTCCCAGGAATCACAGTAGATCTGCCCAATTCCAGATTCATTGGATGGCGTATATTCGGCGGTTAACCCGTTGATAGAATTTTTTCCAACTGTGGCATATGTGCCATTTCTTTCGATACTTTCTCGTGTATATTTGATTAACTGTTTTATAGAATTGTTACCCTCTGTGGCGGTCAACAACAATGGCCAATTTGCAATCTTACATTTACTCCTCTGAATTTCGCCATCAATATTCTCATATGGAATAAACGCATTCAGGATATCTGTGCGACTGAAGTTGTTATGTAATGACGGAGTAACACAGTGATGTTGAGGCACGGCAGCTATAAAGACTGACACCATGTAATGCATTCCTATAGGGAATCCCACAAGGCCCAATAGGAAATACATAACAATCTGGTAGCGCCCCATTCCTCCAATATTTTCCAAAATCTCGTCGAACTCTTTTGAACCCATCGTCGTAAGTAGACTTGGTCGTGGTTAGAAGTCCTTCGTCAAATACTGAATGAAAACAACCAGTAGTATTGAAAAGAAATCTTATAAGAGTAGATGAAGGCTGATTTTCCCAAGCGTTGACCAATCCTACTGCTCTAATGAATGAAATGAGATACTCAATGTGTTCACTGCTATTAAACCCTTTCTAAACGTTAACCCATGGTGTTCTTTGTTTGCGTGCATATACCTTTAGCACCAGTATCCGTAAAAGCGTATAATTTCCCACGCGTTAATCCTACTGCTCAAACGAATGAAATAAAATGTTCAATCTATTCACGTCACTATAAACCCTTTCTAAGACCATGGTATTCGCTGTTTGCTTCCATATCCAACCTTCCGACCTAATGACCATGAGTATATCATGCTGGGAAAGCGTAACCTGCAGTATTGTAGTTGCATAAGAAGACAAATCCCACGGTGTCCAACCCAAACGCTCTTACATGCACGACGGAGCGTTTCATTCACGTGTAACACTGTGGCTAGTCGATCTATGTGGATGCAGTCATTTATATGTAATGTATCGTGGGTGCTCGCGTACATTATAGGGAATGGGATCATTGCAAAAATATGACAGCAAATCGAGGTAAGGGATCTCAGAGTTTCTACTTAACATTGTGACTTGAAATCTTGCATACATATTCAATATACAAAATATGACAATGTGTGAAAGTTTCAGCTACCATATTCCTGTTATAGAGAAGATATTGAAAAACATTTCGTAAACGTCAACATATATGTATAAAATGGATGCACCTATGTATCATTTGGATTCAGAACGGTAACAAATGGATGCTTTAATAAATTATACTTTTATCATGATGATTTATTTACTGATGGACAATTGGCCAGATTTTCTTTGTATACATTGTTCGGATAAACATTCCTTATTCATTAAAGTAATTAGCCACCCCATTACAAGTAGTCTAAAGACACCCTCATGAAAAATTGAAAATACTATATATAAACCCATCAACTGGAAAATGCCATTACAGATGAAATAAAGGACCCACGGTCCTGCTCACACAGTGTAGAACCTTAAAGTCCCCGTCTAAAGTTTGAAAATATTTTTTTATCATTCATTTACTATTTTTCAGGACTTAAAAAGTGATTTTAGAGATTTTTGAACAAAAAATTTTTTTGAAAAAAAAGTTGTGAGCATTTCATTTCTCAAATATTCAAATTTCCCGTCATTTTTCAAAAAAAGTTGAAATTTCTTAATCATCAAATATTTCTTAATGCATTTCAAAAAAGATTATCTTTTTAACACCAATGCAAAGGTTGAACAAAGGACACACTATTTCAATAATAAAATGACATATTTAATGAACATTAGTGATGTCACTAAGGTACCAAAAACTTTTTGAAAAAAATTGAAATTTTTTTTTCGATGTCAATCTTTTCTAAATATGTTAGACTTTCATAAAAAACCAATGTTGATTGTCTAACCAGGTTAAAAGGAAGAATAAATTATGTTTTAGATATCATTGTACCATTGGTTTCTATGAGAACTAAAATTTTGAAATGCATTTTTCTCAGAACCATTTTCATGCACTGATAAGTTCATTTCTCGCTTATTTATGAACCGATTTTCTTAATTTTTTCGGCAAAAAACACGGGAGGATGAATGCTATGCATTGGTATGAATTGTGGCTAATTAGAAGATATGAGTGACCTCTAAAAGTTGGTTTTAAATAAATTCACAAATTTTGGAACAAAATCAAAAACCACTTTTTGAAATTTAAAAAAAAAGTTTCACATATCACACTTTGATAACATTGGGTAAGACTACAATATAAGCCAAAGTGGTTTAAATTTTATATGGGGCCTTTAAGAGGAATGTATATCCTGATTTTCAAACAAAAGTATTGGTAAATATAAGATCAATGAAAGATGAGTCCTTTGTTGTTGGTTCAGATATGATTTGTTGTAGTCAAAGGAAAAACTATGAATTTGACCGAGATGTTGACCTAGGCCTTTTAGTGTCCAAATTTTGAAGAAAAGTAGATTTTGAGGACGGCTTCTATTATAGATTCTTATTAAGTTGTCTGCATCCAAGCTGTATCTAGTGTTGTGTTGTTACAATTGATAATTTTCTCAAGCCCCATTGACTTAACATGGGATACCAAAATAGCGATTTTTGAGATTTCAAAATGCCATAACTTCCGAACCGGAAGTCGAATCAAAATCTGGTTTGCAGATTCGGATTCTTTGGACAATTCTACACATATTTCATAACTCATACATTGAATTCCAAGAAGTTTTTATTGTGACCTACTTTTCGGATGCCATATCTCAAAAACGGTAAGAGTGATCAAAAACAACTGCCTGTAGGGATTAGCTTTTTTCCAAGGAACATGATTAAAAACGGAGCAAAAATATTGAAGGACGACTGAGAAAATTGAAAAAAATGACAAAGTACTGGATTTGACCTAGTTCTTGACCTTTGACCTAGATAAAACCTGATTAGACCTAGATCTGGACTTGGACCTGAACTGGACCTTGACTTGGACCTGGACCTGGACTTGGACCTGGAAATGGACTGGACTGGTATTTTTCAATCTTTTCTTCACTTCTCTTGACTTTCTATAAGGCTATCATCAGATCGATTTTTCTCGAAATTTAAAATTCAGCTTCTCGGAAACCGGGCGAACTTGGGAAATGGCGATGATAGGTCAAATAGACATTATGGATATGCATAAAATGAATGTGGAAATGACTCAATCCGAATAGCAGTTTTAATTTGTGCAGCAAATGTTGACAGACGGACGGACCAACGGACGGACGGACGGACCAATGGAAGGACGCCTGGTCGATCCCATTGGCTTACTGTGTGAGCCAAAAACTATGGTTTTATCGCTAATACTGTTAATTTGAAAAACGGGTCCATAACATGTAATGATGACAATGAAAATGTTGAAATTAGGTACGCCAATGAAGTGAATTCAGAGCAAAAGACGCATCGACCCACTGGAATAGCCACAAATTAAGTTTCATAGCCTTGCCCAAGTCGGTCTCTTTTACTTATCTTGATTTCTATTATGACCACCTTGTACCCAAGAGAAAGCCACGTGCTTTACCGACCCAATGTTTTTGTCGGTAAAATTTGACAAATCAACGACGAGCCTATATTGCCGGACTAGGTCTTCGTGCATTTCTTCGAGAATTCAGTTTTGATTTTGAATCAACATTGAATTGCATGATTTCATTTAGACGAGTATTAATGACTGCTTACATTCCAATGTACATTAAATAACATAATATATTGTAACTCTCAAGAAACACTCGATCAGATCATTGAATTTCAAGTCCTAGACGGGTAGTTTGCTTTTTTTATGCAGGTCAACCTGATAACGTTTTGATTGGTCAATCAGCCTGAAGTCACACGTCGTGTCCATGTCCATATTGTCAATCAATATGGTTTTGAGATACCGTTAGGTAGCCTAGGTATTATGGGAATCTCGGAACCGCTGAATAACTTAGCATAATATCAGCGATGATGCATTGGATTGTTTAAGGTTGTAATAATTCAAGATCAGATAAGTAAATAAATACCGACTTGGGCAAGGCTACAAGTTTCAGAGCCATTAACATTCCTTGAAAGTGAGAATGAGCAGCCAACAGATGGACCATCCGTAAATCTTGATAATTTTGTCAGCTCAGCTCAGATTCCTTGAAACAAATGACCATAATTCAAGAATAATATTATCTATTTACAATTTCCAATATAGCATTATTATTGTTTTTTGACACTGTGGATTAAAATATTAAAAATACACACATTCAAAATGATTCAATTGAAACCTAGCCAGTCTGTTCAATGAATCCAATCAGAACGTCTACTAATCCACATGATACATCATAATTAAATTGCTTTTTTAAAGCGGATATTTCATACCATAACCCCAAAAATATTATAGAACGCATTGTATTTGTATTTTGCTTCACACAGACATATTTGTGTATGTGAAATAATTATATTACTTGAATTTTTCATTCCCCATTACAAGGTAAACCTATAGCAAATTATACAGCCTTCTCACAGCTGTGAGCGAGATGATAAAACTGGTCGAGTGAATTCGTTTGAGTTATCTATTCTCCGTAAAAATATCAGAGAATGTGTGTTTATAGCGTAGCTTTGGTTTTGTAAATCAATGAAGTATGATATACACGGATGAGTAATTATAGATTATTTAAACAGAAGAGCAAAATTCTTCCATTGAAAAGTACAGAGGCGGGTACTCACGAAACATTACATGTGCCTGACTGCATCCACATAGATCGACTAGCCACAGTGTGTAAGTATTGTTTCACTCCTTTCTCCTACATAGCATACGTTATAGTGACATATTATGTACCATTCGATAAACAATACCCCGAGAAAAGATATTTATTCAACTTCTGTTGGTAAACTGTTATTTGCTTGATCAAAGCTCCGTAGTGTAGATGGAACGAATCTGAAGTTAACTAATTGACAACAAATTACTAATTAAATTAGTATTTAAATGAAAACGTCAATCTTTCTGTCAAAGTAGTAGATCACAAACTCGTATATTCTCATTTGCTAAAATCCCAGTCCAAATCCATTACTCGTTCTAGAAAAATTACTTAGACTATAAGCTATCATCAAAGAGGGTGTCAGACCAATTGAACTCCTCTTTTAGATCGAATATAATTGAAATTGAATGGCTTGTTCCATTATATTATTACTTAGAACCCCTGGCACTATATAACTGCAAAAGGGGCATATAGGTTGGAAAATAAAAGAGTTATAGTGTCTTGAAAAAATGTGGCGTTTTTTGGCCCAACCTGTATTAGGTACTAATATATTACCTCGAAAAAGTACTCATAGAAATGATTAAACAATTTCGACTTTGAAATAGGGAAGATGCAAACAACCCATCCACATGTTTTTACTGAAATGTCCTGACCTCCAACCCCTTCCAGTCCTGCATTTTCAATTTTTATTGCATCAATATGTTGCCTTTGGGTTTTAAATATATCCATTATGGGTGGTCCCACAATAGTGTTGAAAGTAATAGATCGCACGAGTTTTCTCCATGGGAAAATAACATAGGAAATATTGTTTTCCACTTTATCTAAAGGAAACTACTTTAATTCACAGGGGCTATTGTGTGTCAAAACACAACATATTGATGAAGCAATAATGACAAAAGCGGGGTCGGAAGGGGTTGAAATCAGGACAACAGTTCAGAAATAACATGTGGGTAGGTTATTTGAATCTTCCTTGTCTAAAAGTCAATTTTTTATCATCGCTTTGAGTACTTTTCCTATAGGTAATGCATTGCCTAACATATGCACATGTTTAAATCCTCAGAAAATAGCCACAATACAACATACATTCCCCTACATAGGTTTGGCAACCTTAGCTCCCCAATTGAACTATGTGATAAAGCCTCTTTACGTTGAATTTTTATTTACTTAACCTATGAGGAAAATACTTATACTATTTATGGAAACATAACTTGACTTTATTTCCAATACCCCCAAATTTTCTCAATTTTTTTCCTCAATTACAATAGGTCGAAAATTGATGATAAATTACATACATTTTTGAAAATCGACATTTCCATATTAACCAATGGGAAATGGTAGGTAAGGGGAAATTTGTTGCCGTACTTTCCCTCCTCCTTTTGTGAATCACATTTTAGACTACACTTTAATCTCAGTACCAGACTGTCTTTCGCCAATTGTTCCTTGACTCTGTCCTTGTAGCCCTCTGGAAACTGGCTTGGTGGTTCCTCATTTGTGCCAAGACTGCTCATCTCATACAAGATTTTCCTTGCTTACCTGACCTCGTCTTGAAACGTTGCTTTTGACGTTTCAGTCTTCCTGTTATGAAGACTGGCCAACCGTCTAATTTGGTCTGTTGTAAGCCCTGCGTAGACGTCGACAGATATTTTTCTGAAACAAAATACATAATCTTTTTTTCAATACGAAATATATGAAAAATACTTTGACATTTATGCAGAAAGCATATATGATCTAGTTGTCCGTATAAAATGCAATAGAAATGCCCAAGGATGTAAGTAGCTTGAACCTAAACCTATTTATTTATTTATCTATTTATTTATTTATAACAATAACTTAAAATATCCTGAACTACTGGTTTAATTTAATTTCGGTTGGGATCGAAAATCAGAACTGGTGTTTTAAAGAACTTTCTAGTATTACTCACCTCAGCTCTTCATATCGTTCAGACTCATACTGCACGAGTAACTCCCGTATGGCCCTAATCAAATGGTTTCCACCGAGAACATAGGCTTTATAGCCTCCTTGCAGTAATATACTGTCTTCAAATGCATCCCGAGACACCTCGACGTTCATATGGTTGGCTTACCCGCCAAAAGAATGCACGTGTAGTTAACGGGTGTGTAGGCGTTAATTACGCTCGTGCAGATGTAAAATTACGCCCGTGCAAACGAAAAATTACGCCTGTGTAGGCGTTACGCCCGTGAAGAAGTATACTACGGGCGTTCAGATAACATTTACAGGCGTGAACTTACGGCGTTAAAATGATTAATTACGGGCGTAATAAGACGGTTATTTTACACGCGAACCTGGGAACCAACAAGGGGTGGCCCAAATTTCAGGTCTGAGAAAAAACGTCCGCGCTTGAGCGTAAAAAAATTTTGGGCCCCTAAAACCCAAAAGTGGGCCCAAATTTTGAAATTTTGAGGCCCATTTTCTTCAAAAATTGGCCTGAAATTAAAAAATAAGGCCTTAAAAGGCCCAGTAATGATCAAACAGGCCCACTTTTTGGGGCCTTAAGCCTTTTTTGGCCCACAATTTCTTTTGGGCCAAATTTTTTTTTCTGGGCCCACCCAAGGGGGGGGGCGGGCCCCCAGCCCCTAATCCGCCAGTGTACCTAGTATACCTAGCCAACATATGTTCAAATTTGGTATTAGGGAGGTGTACTTTTTGGAATCTTTATGCAGTCGTCTTTATAGTCACATGTTATTTCCAGGAATACATAACTCATTTAATATATGATGTACATCTTTCACATTTGCACAAATAGTGCACCGAGATACCCAAAAAGAAATAATATTTCATTTGCCTTTAATTGCAACAGTTGTTCCTGGCACAATCATGAGTATGTTATTAACTTGCACAAGGATCTTGGAGTTGCACTTTTAGCTAGAATGCATTGTATCATCATGTAAGCAAGATGCTGATTGGTTCGTAATTCACGGCGCTAAAATGAACTCGACGGGCGTATAGGTGTCTTTCAACGGGTGTTAGATAAAGTCTTGACGCCCGCTATTGAACATTTTAACGCCGTTAGTTTACGCCTGTATTTGTTTTAACGCGTATAGAATTCACTTCTTAACGGACGTAATTAACCAGCCTTGACGGGCGTAATTAACGCATACACAGGCGTAATTAACGCCTACGCGGGCGTAAATTACGTCTGCACGGGCGTAATTTCACGTCTACACTGGCGTAATTAACGCCTACACACCCGTAACCAACACGTGCATACATAGGGTAGGTTGGCAAACCATACGTTCACGGCCAATCTGCGTTACAGGTTTTGTAGGCATGCTCCTCATGTCGCTCTTGAGATAGTTTACCCATGCTTTTTGAATGGGCCTCATCTGAAGTTTTGTTGGAGCATTCTCCAGAATCAGTACTGGGATGTTGTATGTACCTGTTATCAGTTGGGTTCGATTAGAGAAAGACTGTAGCATCATGTAAATTCTCAACATACTTAAGTATATGACGTTCAAAATGATATTTTAAATGTCACATGTATTTATTTGACTATTTGAGGATGTATGCATTTAAATATGTGATATCTCAATTTAGCATTCAACCCATGATATAGACACACTAGAGAAATGTCAATGATGATCAATAACTACATTATAGAGCAAGATATAATCATACCTTTGAAAGCAAGTTTGATGCCTTTGTCCAGCTCGTTTTCGGGTGCTTCGTCTGGTGCGAGCTTGGAGGTATCCTCATAACTAATGTCACTTAATAGTGACCGCGACACTGAGGATGATGATGTGATGGATATGTTCTTACTTTTAGCTGACCCTTTTTTATATTCGAGTTGATTTTCAAAGTATTGATGAACTCCCTATTTGTCCTCGCCGTTTTAATAAGACTGCAAAGGGCATTTGCATCCTCCTTGAACATGCTTCTTCGGAAATGCTTGCCATTCCTCTCGCCAGCAAAATAGAACTGGAAAGAACCGAAATATATTCAATGTATTGTTGAAACGTACTAGTATAACAAATAAAATATGATTATTTAAATTCTAGCCTAGAAAATTGCAAATACAACGTTTAATATTACGCACAAAAGAACTTTGTATTTATTCTCATTGATATGTGCTTCAAACATTAATGATCTTGATTTTGTAATCACTGTTCAACAGCTGGATGACTCTAACTGCAGTTAGCGTCATTCACGATGGTTGCTGAAATTCTTTCGTGTTCGGCAAACCTCCGATTTCAGCTGAACTAAGTCGAATCTTGATTCCAAAAGTTTCGCCATGCAAACTAATAGAACTATGATTGTAAAACACAAATAAATGCCCAATCACCCGCAATGTTAGAGAATGAAAGAAAACGGCTTCACTTGACACTACACGTGAGTAATACTAAGACGTCTCTTGCTAAAACGTTTTAAAAAAGTAAAGTTGAGTTTATATATATATTTTGTATCGATTTTATATTATACAAGGGCACGATCGAAAAGGAAACGTGAAACCGCCGCGCATTTTTCTGTGAACAAGGCTCTGAGATAAATAGGGATATCCTTTTGCCCCTTTTGAAAGTGCCCAGTAAAGAAAGTCTTTATAAGGTTGCTCGTTGGACCTTTGCAACATGCGACAAAATGTTGAAACACAAATGTAGATTAGTTGATGGGGGGGGGGGGTCTACAGATCCAACAGGTTGTACTGCCTAACTCTTCCCTTTCTATCTGATACATAATGATTAATTGTGTATAAACCTGTACATTCTTTAACTCATGTCTTATTGACAAGTGTTGTTGCAAGTTGTCAAAAAATGAAAAAATATGTCATCTCAATCGTAAAAAGTAAAGCAAAGCAAATGTAATAGTGTCCTTGACAGTATACACTAATCAAAAAATAATTCACTTTTGAATATATAAGGATAATTCATCGTTATATTTCTTTAAAATATGTATTCTGTCAGATCAATATATTCTATTTAATAGGAGTACACTTTACGATTACTGATTTTGACATGATCTTATATAACAAACATAACTAAATGGAAAGACAAAGTCTATATACTCAATAGCTGCAACCAACAGATAACCTATCATGTGCGCAAGCCCGGGTAATCTTTAGTGCCTGATTATTTTGGGTTGTTATTTACAAGCATGAATGGAACATTATGTAACTGAAATTGAAAAGAATTGGTTTATTTTACCAAATGGCATTCAGTTAGTTTAAGTGGCCAATTAATGGGTATGTCTATAGGTACTGATCATATCTAACAAATTCACTAAGTGATCATAGAACCATTAAACTCCAAATGTTGTAGAGAAAATGTGTTGACACAGTTCAAGGTAGGTAATACCTTTTTGATGGATCAAGCTGACCGAATGAGTGGTTGTCCAAATGTGTGGGGATGTAGCATGATAAACTACCAAGTTCAATAATTATCAATCCACTCGATACTTACTCGAGTCTCTAGCCAATACTTGGCTAGAGGGGATTCATCTGGAATACTGTGAACTCTATTTGAAAAAAGCTGCCGGGGTGTCATAAATTTATTGAATATTTTAAAAATCGCCAGATAAATAAATCATTAATCAAACCGGACCCAGCTCAAATCCTTGATGAGATATGACATGATTTCATCAGGATTTCGTCTAAAATTAAAACAAAATGGCTCCAAGAAAAATGGCGATGTTCGAAAACTGGACGAAATGTCGTTACGTCTGACATTAGTAACTGGCTGTAAATTGTAAGTTAGCGATCCAGAAGATGTGAACTAATACACTGATCACTTTGTGTGTGTTTTGGAATTTTTGGTGAGGTAATAAGACCAAAACTCGCAATTCAAATTGTGATGTGGAAAAATGGCGGACATATGATTTCAAATTTTATGATTACGACATTACCAGTTGTTCATGCAGGAATATATCTGTACTGGAAGGCCACGATACAGTGGCCTTAGAAGAAGGTAACTCGATACCATTTACTACATGTAAAGATAACTTACCACTAACTCCTCGCCGTCGTTTCCCTTCTTTATGAAAGTGACCTCTTCAAATGGTTCCTCTGGCGTCTTTTTACACCTGGTTCCATTGGTGTAGATATAAACATTTCCCTTGTCATTCTTTTCAAACTTCCAAATCTTCAAATTTCCGTTTATGTTCATTTTTATGCAATAACTGATAATAACAGAGAAAGCAGGAGAGATGTTTCGCTACGTCCTAGCTAGGTAAAACCTTGTTTTGGGATATAATGACTAATTGGAATTAACCTAGCACATTTTGAATGTGTCAAGCTTTAACGCCCCTGTGAATTTTACCGGCCTGGAGTAATGAATGCAAGACTTAGCATATGATGAGATATCTAGCGTTATATAACAGGGAGCTAAAAAGGCACATCGCTTTCCGAGGCCCATTCACATTATCACGAAACTAAAAACGTTTACGCCGAAACTTTGTTAAAAATCAAATGCAATATGAAATATGATTGAAGTGAACAACATAATCCTGACTGAGTCATCAATAATCCGATCATTAAATTTACAAACAAGGCATATGACAAAATCTCACCGCCATTTATTTTCACACAATATCAGAGTGAGCAAAATTAAATGTTAGCACAAGTCTCACTTAATATGGTTCTATGTACCAGATTTTACTAAAAGCCAATTGATGATCACTGTAGGAGTCATGTTTCATGTCGAGCTAGATGATTTTGAAAAGAAAAATTGGTCAATTTTGAGCAAGCTGAAAAATACATTTTGACCTTTTTACCTTAGAAGGTGATTGAAGATCAAATCCGATTTCGGAGAACTCGTAGATGATTTTGAAGAAAAAATTGAATGTTTGACCTTGAGGTAAAATCGAGAATCTAAAGTAAGGTTTGATCTTCTGAAGAACTCGGATCTGATTTTTACAGTATTTGTTAAGTTATTAGAAGTTGTAAGAATTTGTCACAAAAACGGACACATAATAAAGTAAATCCGTTTAAAAAATCTCAAAGGCAAATTCCTTGGAAAAACAGTTTCTGTATTCAGTATATGGTTTGTAAACATGTACCAAAATAGTAGTAAATCGGCACCTGCCATTCGAAGGCCAATTTGCTACTACTTGCGTGTCAACAGAACAAATGGAAACTGCCAGGAGCAGATTTCAAAATTAATTTGGCACGGATGTAATTTGGTCAACAGAGTAACAATCCCAAAAATTGAATAAAGCAATTATTTCATAATTTATGTCTCTAACTTTTGACTAAAGCATCTGTTTTCAACCGGAGTTGCAAGGATCTTTTTTAAATTTTATGGGCCTTTTATGTAGCAGACTTGGATTGTAACATGGGATGCAGGGCCGTGACTGTAACAAGAATTTGCAAAAATTAAAGATGTACAAATGTATTTCAATTTCAAACTGATTACAGATGAATGAATGCCCCCAAGGTTTACAGTATATAATATTGTTCAACCTATATATAGAAATACATATCTATTCACTGGTTGTTTTTGTGTATTTCTGATTTTTGTCCTGATGATGAATTGCGATTACAATCACATTTTGTATATTTGCATGCGCAAATCAAGGCTCATTTTCATGAATGACTGGTTTAAAGATTACTAACAGAAAAACCCAAAGTACCCTAGTCTGTTCACTGAGTTTGACTCTTGTTGGGAGGGGGTGGATATATATGAAAAACGTGTAAGGATTACTGTAAATGTATGTTGAAATTTTCACTACCTTATCAATGATATAAAAGGTAATCTTGGTTCAAGACCCTCGACCCCCCCCCCCCTATCTACTATAACAGTAGGGTTGTAATTTACATGTAGAGTGAAGGGGGTACAAGAGTCCCGGGACAAGAGTAAATCATTCAGAGCCATATGTGTTTTATATGTTTCTGAGTAAATGTACATTGAACATGCTTTTCCCATTGAATTCAAGTTTTAATAGGTATCATGTACAAAGTGTCCGTGATATGTGATGATCAATGGGAAACTCCTCATCTGTGTTAAGTTTATCTGTTCAATTGATTCATTCCTTTGAAAGTCAACAAGTGACAAATTTGTTACGTAACCATTTATAGTCAATGTTTTTACATTTAGTACTTTGACGCTGGTTGAATTTTTCTTTCTGGGTCAAATCTCAGATTTCACTGGGTAAATGAAAATGAATGAGAAAAGCGAAAATTGTCGCAAAGTCAAACTAACTGTTGTCCGTCATTTTGAATGTGACGTGATAGATCCAAGGAGGATTGGCTCCCAGAGTGCACCACCGATATTCTGTCCCATATATGGGTATGTCGTAATACAAAATTCGAATTCAAACAGCCGCCATTTTGTTCACTTCAACATTTAAATCGTGAATTTTGGTCTTATTTCCAAACGAAAAATTCCAAAACTCACAAGAAATGATCGAGATATTGGTTCGAATCTTTTGAACTGTTTATTTTGAATTTATAGTCGGTTTTAATTTCAGAAAATAACGACATTTCGACGTTTTCATTGTTGGAAAATATCGAGTTTCGATCCTGGGAGCCAATCCTCCTTGTGATAGATCCATAAAAGGCATGTACAGTAAGACCATATACGGAGTGCTCATTAATGTTAACCAGTGATTGGTTGTACACGTGCCAAACTGGGGAGCTACTCACTTCTTATTAAAGTATCTGCACTGACTCGTTGTTTTGAATTTAAAACATGGCAGCACAGTTTACAGAACAACGTTTTCAGCAAGGCTTGAAATTAACTATTAGTGTTTTTGCTTGTTTAATGCTGATTTATGCACTCTACGGTATAGGTCCATGGAAAAATAATACATTGCAGCCATGGATCAGGAATCAGTACCTACCCATTTCAAGTGCAGAAAGGAATGTTCAAATACCATCTGTAACCTGTGACGTTATGATGAATATCGTAACAAGCTTTCCAGATTCATTGGCAAACGAAACATACCTTGCCAGTAGAGGATACGCACATGAGAACACGACGAAGAGACGCAACAGACATATTGAATACCTGTATACCTTAAAAAAGAACACTGAACACCCGTGTGTTGAGCAGATACATTTGTTAGTGGAATCAGGCAGCGTCAAAGAATCCATAAAATCTCAAACATTGATCCCAATAAACCTATCACGTGTCGATAAACTTCTCACGTTTTCAGAGATAAGGGAGAGACCAACTATGAAAATGCTTGCCGAATACGCATCCGAGAACCTAATAGGCAAGGTAGTGGCGTTTCAAAACGCTGATATAATAGTCGGTGAAGGATTTGAAAATGTTAAAATGCAATACCTGAAAGACATGAGAATTTTCTATTCACTCAGTAGACAAGGAGCAATGGACGCAACTTCTTGCCAGTTGAGGAACTATTGTGACAATTATAATGGAGCTCACGATACGTACATGCTTTACTTAGGCACTCCTTTTACTCCAAAGGCAATGTCCCTATTGGATTTCCCCATGAACGCCCATGGAGCGGAAAATGTCCTTATGTATGTAATCCGTGAATTCATGCATTACAAATTGATGAATCCATGTAAAGTGTTAAAGATTTACCACCACCATTGCTCCAACGTTAGATCCTCCAAACGAGAGCCCCGTGTGAACAACAATTACTCGGCAATGTCTTACCCAGTGAATTCCCTTTTCTAGAATTGATATGATGAACTTCCGTGAATACATCCAAGTGGCCGTTTTAACAACAAATGTTACGTACAGGGTGACACAAAATACACCACCCACTAATTTCGGAAAAGCTTTCTCAATAATTAAGGAATATACGTGATTTTATTTGTGTAGATAGAATGTTCAATGAAAAAAAAAGATTGTTGCACTGGTATAGCATCAACAACTCTCAGATTTAGATATTTTTCCGTCCAGGCATGCTCTCGGTGAAATCATCAAATCATGAAATCTGGATTTCTGTCTTTGCCATTATTTGGGTCATTTCGAATTGTTTCCTCGAAACGCTTCCTCGATTTTGGACACAATTTTAGAAACTCGAATCTATCTCTAATAAACGTGTTGTACTAGTAAATTGAAACCTCCCAACCTGGCGGTGCTACACATGCAACAAGCCGACTGAAGCCTACATCAGATGCTATGCCTACATGTGTGCTAAAACTATTGACAAATTAACAAAACATTTATATGTAAATTGAACTTTCTTCTTTTTATGCCAAGGGAAAAAGTCAAGCTAATTCCTAAATGCCTAAACATATTTAGACAAATACCACAGCGTTTCCAGTTCACTGTATTAACCAGTTCGCAGCGTTTCTTTAATATGAGATTGTTATCATTTTTAAGACTGGATTTTCGGTCATCAAATCAGAATTACAATAATGTTTGGTGCGTTGAAGCTTTGTAAATTGACCAAAATATACTCTGAGGCTCTAATGTTTACACAACTAATCACATGTCTCGACAAAAGTGGTCAATTTTGACCGGTAGACTGACAAATTCGTTTGATAACTATACTGCTTCGTACAGCACTTCCAAGTTGCTTCAAACGTCAACAACCAGCCAAGTACAACATGAATATCACACCCATCGAATGGTAAACTCGAAATACGTAACACATACCTCTTATTCCCATTAATTGGGAAATCGTCAGACGGCCCATCATTCCCGCCCGGCATTTTTACTACTCCTGAGCGTTTCTTTGTTTAGCTTCAGTAATGAAACGGCGCCCCGTCGTGCATGTAAGAGCGTTTAGGTGGGACACCGTGAATCCCAACTTTGAAATCCAATGAGTAGGAAAAGAGATAACCCTCCCATATAGTTTAAGTGGCTCTGGTGTGATAGTTTCTGTAGAATTGGAATATACATGGAATAAAAAAGAAATGTAAACAGTAATATGGTCAGGGTATGGTCATTACTGTTCAAATATAAAAACAAGAGGCACCAATAAAATCGATTCAATGAAATTATATGCAATGGTATTTCCTTTGTGTGTTTTCCTCGGCAATAGTTTATCCCCCTTAATAATCCTATCGATCATATTGAGAATGCCGAAAGGCTCAAGGACGCTAAAAATAATTTTTAAATAAAGAGGGCAGAACAATCAATCTGTGTTTATTTATTCTTCTCTTTTCATGTTTTTGCAGGATTCACTGGCAAGGAACACGTTTTGTCTCGTAATAAATCAGAGTCTCTCTCAGGCGATAGATTTCAATTATCCGGGGGCCAATAATGGATTGCCTTGGCCCAAGAAGCGTATTATTGACATCAGTGAAATCAAATTAAACCTAATTAAATATACAAGGCGGATCTTGAACAAGAGGGGCATGTTTAAAGTGTGCGCCTGACCCGGTTACGTATAGCACAGAGTTTATACTGGCGGATTAGACTAGTTCATTTTTTATATGTGTGTGAAAGCTTTCTCTTATTTGCGTTTTTTCGTTTAGTACGGTTTTGTTATAATTGCCGAGGTCATATAACCGGGATAAAACAATGATTATCGTTGACTGCCCACACACAAATCATACGTTGAGTGAACAGTGTTATTACAAACAACAGGCTTTGGAATACAAAGCGTAGTGTGATAATAAGCTGCACACTACCACTGCTGCATGTACATATTACTAATTTACTAGGGCTCCCAAAGAGTGGATAGGGAGGTTGTGTTTGTCACTTTTAAATTTTACTTTTCAAAATTGTCATTTTACATGTCAGAATTTGTTGGTTTCATTCGTTTAGCCAATCAAAACATTGTAAAACAATATATTGTCTGTTACGTACAATCAATTTTGTTCAGTTTTGATTAGTTGTCAGAATAAAGTTACGTTCATCTGAATCCATGTATCAAAACAAAAATCCTATTTTCACTTCAAAATACTTCAGTGAGATGAAGGCTCGTAATTGTCACATGCAATAACTTAATGTCGTCTTCGTTATTTTATCTTCTCGATAGTACCATTTAGTCGCACATTTGATGCCAGGTCACCTTGTCGCGTACCTCTTGGGGAACCCCACATTTATGTGTGTACTCATGGAAGTAAATTCCCCGGTGTATCCGAGAGCCACAAACTTTTCAACAGGTTCGAAATGACCAATTTCTCTCATATATACTCTAAATATTTTATTATTTAGCACCTACAAAGTATTGCTAATAACCATATGTAATTTCAATAAGGAAACTTATCTGGCTACATATAAATTCAATATCAACACTAGCTGTTCTCTCAACACGTCCTGGCTTACCTTGTGGTGACAAACCCTGGGTTTTCGCTATTTATAGTTTATCAACACCTGGACGCATGCGCATTTTATACTTTATCGGGCACTTTAAAGTCTGAAAAAAATTCCGAATTTGAAACCAAAGAGTGGGCGCAAAATTGAAAAGTAAAGCCTTAAAAGGCCCAATAATGCCCAAAAGGCCGTACGTAATTTCAGTCATCTTTAATGTGGGTAATTAAATCCACTCAGTTTTCTAAAATGCTTACCTTAAACGTAGAAAGATTCTCGGCCTGCAAACAAAAATCTAGTGCCTGCTTCTACACACTTGAATAGCCTGACAACGGTAAAGTCAGATCCGTTGTCACAAATGGCGGACATAACCGTCGCTTCAATTAGATTTTCATGAACTGTATGTTTAATAGAGCACCTAGACCACATTGTGCACTTTAAATGACCTACCTCGATACATTCCAGAGTATTTTAGAATTCTTTTTATGTTGTTAGATCGCCAATTGTATGGGTTTATCGGCAGAACGAAAAGATTTTAGTTTTTACATCGGAAATATGTCAGCAATTTTCAAAATGTCGGAAGGGGAATTCCCCAGGGATTTCCCTTATGACTGGTGCATGCCGGGAACTGGATGGAGGAATTTGACGGTTGAAATAAGTTAAATATTACACGCAAATATTGCTATCAAAAACGAAAATCTCTTCGTTCTGCCGATAAACCCATACAATTGGCGATCTAACAACATAAAAAGAATTCTAAAATACTCTTGAATGTATCGAGGTAGGTCATTTAATAGTGCAATGCGTAGTTCATTCTCCGACATTGTAGAAAGACAGGCTTACCAATGAATCGGGCGTACGACCACAATCTAAAGGGGTCGTAGGATGCGATAACATTTCCTTGGAACAATTGTACAGTTAATAATGTTCTACCATCGAAATAAAGTTTTTAATTTAACCGATCAAAATGAGATTTCATATGATACATTATCACAAGAGCTTATAATGCATGCACAGAATTAGCGACGATAAATGAGGACCAAGTGATTAAATAGTTGAAGCGACAGTTATGTCCGCCATTTGTGACAACGGTATCTGACTTTACCGTAGTCAGGCTATTCCGGTGTGTTCTAGAGATGATCCAGTGCGACTATGCGAGAACTAGTCCTGCTGTTTATAATGGTGTTGTTGAAATAGTTAACCTTAATTTTCAGCCATGCTTTATTGCTGTTGCATTGCGTGATTGTCATACAAAATGTACCACTAGGTTTAGAACCTAAACTATTCAACTCACAAAGACATGAAAACATTCCTTACCTTATTTTATGAATTACTCAACTTAACTTCAAGATTTTTCTTAAGTATCTTTGAAAGTCAGAAAGAGGCTCGGACGAAAATTATCAGCCGAGAGCATAATCACACGTTGTCATGTGATAGTAACGATGGAACCGTTACGCGTGTAGTCTTTCTTCAAGACCCTGTACAACAACCTGTTGGGTTCGTGTTGTTTCGTTCAGTATGATAGTGCCCTCTAGACCAGTGTGGCTGTTTAGAAACAATCAAAACCCCAGAAAATACAAAAATACTAATTATATGTCCTATTGATTAACTCATGCCCTATTGATGAACTCTATCTTTTATTACTTGGAACCTTTAGTATTGATATTGCTCCTCTGTTTTAAAGCAAAACGCACGGAGGTTTTTGAAGTAATAAAGATTTCAGCAAGGGGCAATTTTCAAAAAAATATTTTCAAAATAAATTTCTCAACAGTATACCCATTTATTTCACATTAAATATATATCTGAAAACCTCACAATGTCAAAAAACAAAATATAAATTGTCTCATATTGTAATCTTCAGATAAATAGACGAGCAATTTTTGTCTTTCCCTATTTATCGCGCTTTGAAAAAGTGATTTATTACCGTCGCCTTGTGCTGAAGGGGCCATGCGGGAGGTCGCATGTGCTGGCGCGGGCGCTACATAACAAATCTTGTCACCAAAATTCCAGGAAAACCGCCGACGTGGTCAACTTGAAATTTTTACAGATGCAAGACCAGATCTGATTAGACCAAGACTAGACCAAGATCTGATTAGGTTTAGAGTATGCTGGGAAAATAATTTGGCGGCCATTTTGAATTTTCCATAAATCTTATCATTCGAAGTTCCAGGAAAATCACTTAGTAAAAATAAATCGACCATAAATTTACCAATTTTTGAATCTTCTTAAAGTTCTCGGTAATTAAAATCTGACCATTGATTTGAGATTTGACCTTTGGTTGACCTTCAGAGACCTTCGAAAGGTCAAAAAGTTGATTTTTATTAAATTGATTTTTTGGAATTGGATTTTTTCAAATTCAGGTCAGCTTTCACAAAAGACCTACTAAGATCTGAAGAAGTAAAATAAAGTAAATAAATAAAAAGGTCATTAAACTTGGCCTGTTCAACTTGAAATTTTTACGGATGCAACAACAGACTAGTGCTAAGATCTGAATAGGTTTTGGGTATGCTGGCTTGATTACGTGATGGCCATTTTGAATTCTTTGATAAAGCGGCCATTTTGATTTTTTCAACTTGCTTCAATTTAGACCCAACTCTCAGGAGTTCAGATGTGACCTTAGATTTTATATTTGACCTTTGGTTGACATTTAGTGACCTTCGAAAGGTAGTAAAAAGTTGATTTTTGAATTAATCTCCTGGATTCAAACGGTCAGCTTAATCACAAATGACATACCGTGTGTTGCCGTATTTTTCGTCAATTTAGATAAGAAATATGCTACTCATTTGTACTTAGTCTATTAACCAATTACAAGCGACCGAGAGCAAACTTGTAAAACGTTCACCGGCCTTTCCGCCATTTTGTGAATATTCCGTATACGGTAACTACAGTCATCGAAACGGTTATTGCCGTCTATGTAAAAGTTAACATATCAACAAGTGCTTGGAGAAGTGCTTAAAATTGCTACATTTTCACCAAATAATGTTGTTATGATATTTAGAGATGACACACTTGGCACTCGAGCGATATATGAAGATTTCGGATCAATGTTTTGTCTAAGTTAGGTTGTTTGGTAATGTTATCTTGACTTGATTGCCTTGCTTGTCTCTTAGATTGTAGGATAACAACTGCGGAAAAAATTCTTCCTAAATAATAACCGAATGACCCTATTGCAGAGATCATGGGAAAGCAGGTGTATCTACACGCAAGCCTCTCTCTGTAAACAAACGTCAAAGAAGCATGGATTCACTTTTTGCAGACTGTGCTATGAAAACAAGCAGTGCGGATATCATGTGCCTAAGGTGCGGATATTAACGGTCATTTTTGAATTTGATTTCGTGATATTTCACCAACTAAGGCATGTTGGGTACTCAATTCTATTCATACATGTGTACAGGTTCCCTAATAAAAAGGAAATTGTGTAAATAGGTGTTAGTTCATTCTATAGCGACACATCAAGCAAATAATTTGAAATTGCAGCTAACGATATCCGCACCGCTTGATTAGAGGTAGCACACATCCGATAAATGTTTTCAATTTTTTAAAAATCCACACAGAAAGTTTATGACTTCCAAAATGCAAAAATAATTTATATCGATTGGTCATCTCGATCACCAATACTGAATGAAGGCTGTAAACTGTGTAATAAAGCAACAATTTCAATTCTTTGCTATGGAGCAAGGGTGAATGCTTCGTGCGTTTTTAAAGAATGAAGAATACATATCTAGACAAAATTTTCCTTTTATTAGGTGTCCTCTACAAATGGATGACTATTCAAATTAAAAAATGACCGTTAATATCCGTACCACTTGCTTTCAAGCCTGTTTAGGGTGGGGTTTATAATGGGAAAAGCAAGGCTATGGGGTATGCATCTGATCAACGCACGCAAGTTCTTAATGAAGTCGATATGAATGATATATAGTATAGTAGGAACAAGGGGTTCCCATGCACCCATAAGGTGTGAATAAGTTACATACATTTTTGTAATCCCTAGGGTGTCTATTTAATGAATTCATTTGTTAACATTGCCAACTAATGTCCCATAGTACTTTTACGGCGGCATTCAGTTACCATGGTTACGCATCTTTAGACATCTTACCTTGGTATCTTAAATCATTTGTAGCTCTGTCATTATTTGGTCTATAGAAATGATATTGGTACCAAATTAAACCTCGTTAAATTTCCGAAAAATTTATGATATTCAATTATGCAAATTATCTAATTTGCATAAATTATGACGTCATCAATCTATTTTTGGTTCAGAATTTCCAACTATAGCAACGTATCTATTAGAACTGAGGCCGTATGGCACAATTTCTGAAAGGTTTTGTCCTTTATTCTGTTAGTAGAAGGTATAAGCAACATAAAAGTGAAAACAGATTCAAAATTGAATCAGTATTACGAAAGTTATGTAACTTTCGAGGCAGCTATCGTGAATGTCATTATTTGACAATAATATACATACGTCTTACCTTGGAGTCTTGAATCAATGTAGCTTCGCCATTATTTGGTCTATAGAGATGATATTGGTATCTGATTAAACCTTATTAAATTTACTATATGGTCACAATATTCAGTTATGCAAATTAGCTAATTTGCATTAATTGTGACGTCATCAATCCATTTTTGGTTCAGAATATCCTGGTATAGCAACATATCTATTAAAACTGAGGCCGTATGACAGAATGTGTGCATAGTTTTGTCCCTTATTTGATGAGTGGAAGATATAAGCAACATTAAAGAGACAACAAATCTTCAAAATTGGATCAGAATTAACAAAATTATCCAGCTTTGGAGGCGGCTACTGTGAACGTCATTGTTTGACAATTATAAAAAGAATATTAAATTAACAAAAAAAGTAACAACCATAGTTGTTTCAATCTTATTGAGTAAAAATGTGCATGTATTGAACTGAACTAATAAGTATGTGGAAAGGTTACATGTATTTTGACTATCATTCACAGGGGTCAAAACGGTTATCTCGACGCTGTATATTAAAGATCCAATTTTATAATTTACCATGCACTTTCAATGATTCATATAAATAGTATACATATAGTCTGATTTTCATCATATTCATCATATTCTTCATATTCTTGATTCTTAAAGCATCTGAAGTATAAAGCATGATTAGAAGTGAAGATGATTCATCATATGGTTTATGTAATATTTCTAACATTTCAGATGCTATGGTAACATCACTTGATAATGAGGTTTTTACATTTCACGTTCTTAATGAGTTAAAAGAAAGTTATTCTCCCTTTGCTTTAGAGATAAATAGTCACATGAATTTGTTTAAAAAAATTATAACTTAATTTAACCCCCTCCTGACAGCCCCCATATTTGAAGATTTTGGTGAAACCTGGCAAAATACATTAATTATTAGGTTCCAGAAGCCCCTAGAAGCTATATGATGGCCCCCAGTGTCCCAAAGAATCTATACAGGGGCCCCAAGTGGCCCCCAGAAGGTATATGATGGCCCCCAGAAGCTATACAAGGGCCCACAGAAACTATACTGTGGTCTCCAGAAGCTATATGGTGACCCCCAGTGGCCCTCAGAAGCTATATGATGGCCCCCAGAAGCTAATTAGTGGACCCCAGGAGCTATACGGTGGCACCCAGAAGCTATACAGGGAACCCCAGTGGCCCCAAGAAGCTATACAGCAGCCCCCAGAAGCTACACGATGGCCCCCAGAATCTATATGATGGCCCCCAATGGCTCCCAGAAGCTATACAGGGCCCCCAGTAGCCCCTAGAAGCTATACGGTGGCCCCCAAAGCTATATGGTGGCCCATTGGGGGACACTGTATAGCTTCTAGAGGCCATTGTATAGCTTATGGGGGCTACCATATAGTTTCTGCGGGCCCTTGCATAGCTTCTGGGGGCCATCGTATAGCTTCTGGGAGCCACTGGGGGCCCCTGTATAGCTTCTGGGGGCTACAGTACAGTTTCTGTAGGCCCTTGTATAGCTTCTGTGGGCCATCGTATAGCTTCTGGGAGCCACTGTGGGCCCCTTTATAGCTTCTGGGGGCCACTATATAGCTTTTGGGGTCACTGGGGGCCACCGTATAGCTTCTAGGGGCTACTGGGGGGCCCTTTATAGCTTCTGGGAGCTATTTGGGGCCACCATATAGATCCTGGGGGCCATTGTGTAGCTTCTGGGAACCACCATATAGCTCCTGAGGGTCACTATTTAGCTTCTGGGGGCCATCATATAGCCTATGAGGGCCACCGTATAGCTTCTAGGGGCTACTGGGGGCCCTTCACATCTTCTGGGAGCCATTGGGGGCCATCATATAGATTCTGGGAGCCATCATGTAGCTTTTTGGGGCTCCTGTATAGCTTCTAGGGGCCATCGTTTAGCTTCTTGGGGCCACTGGGAGCCACCGTATAGCTCCTGGGGGCCACTAATTAGCTTCTGGAGGCCATCATATAGCTTCCGAGGGCCACTGGGGGCCACCATTTAGCTTCTGGAAACCATAGTATAGTTTCTGGGGGCCCTTGTATAGCTTCTGGGGGCCATCATATAGCTTCTGGGGGCCCCCGTATAGCTTCTGGGGGCCACCGTATAGCTTTTTGGGGCCACTGGGGGCCCCTGTATAGCTTCTGGGCGCCACTGTATAGCTCCTGGGGGCCACAGGGTTTCCTGTATAGCTTCTGGGAGCCACCGTATAGCTCCTGGGGGCCACTATTCAGCTTCTGGGGGCCAACATATAGCTTCTGGGGAGCACAGTATAGCTTCTGGGGGCCACTTGGGGCCCCTGTATAGATTCTTTGGGACACTGGGGGCCATCATATAGCTTCTGGGGGCTTCTGGAACCTAATAATTAATGTATTTTGCCAGGTTTCACCAAAATCTTCAAATATGGGGCTGTCAGGGGGGGGGGTTAAATTAATTAAGTTATAATTTTTCAAAACAAATTCATGCGACTATTTATCTCTAAAGCAAAGGGAGAATAACTTCCGCAAAGGGAGAATAACTTCCTTTTAACTCATTAAGAACGTGAAATGTAAAAACCTCATTATCAAGTGATGTTACCATAGCATCTGAAATGTTAGAAATATTACATAAACCATATGATGAATCATCTTCACTTCTAATCATGCTTTATACTTCAGATGCTTTAAGAATCAAGAATATGAAGAATATGATGAATATGATGAAAATCAGACTATATGTATACTATTTATATGAATCATTGAAAGTGCATGGTAAATTATAAAATTGGATCTTTAATATACAGCGTCGGGAAAACCGTTTTGACCCCTGTGAATGATAGTCAAAATACATGTAACCTTTCCACATACTTATTAGTTCAGTTCAATACATGCACATTTTTACTCAATAAGATTGAAACAACTATGGTTGTTACTTTTTTTGTTAATTTAATATTCTTTTTATAATTGTCAAACAATGACGTTCACAGTAGCCGCCTCCAAAGCTGGATAATTTTGTTAATTCTGATCCAATTTTGAAGATTTGTTGTCTCTTTAATGTTGCTTATATCTTCCACTCATCAAATAAGGGACAAAACTATGCACACATTCTGTCATACGGCCTCAGTTTTAATAGATATGTTGCTATACCAGGATATTCTGAACCAAAAATGGATTGATGACGTCACAATTAATGCAAATTAGCTAATTTGCATAACTGAATATTGTGACCATATAGTAAATTTAATAAGGTTTAATCAGATACCAATATCATCTCTATAGACCAAATAATGGCGAAGCTACATTGATTCAAGACTCCAAGGTAAGACGTATGTATATTATTGTCAAATAATGACATTCACGATAGCTGCCTCGAAAGTTACATAACTTTCGTAATACTGATTCAATTTTGAATCTGTTTTCACTTTTATGTTGCTTATACCTTCTACTAACAGAATAAAGGACAAAACCTTTCAGAAATTTTGCCATACGGCCTCAGTTCTAATAGATACGTTGCTATAGTTGGAAATTCTGAACCAAAAATAGATTGATGACGTCATAATTTATGCAAATTAGATAATTTGCATAATTGAATATCATAAATTTTTCGGAAATTTAACGAGGTTTAATTTGGTACCAATATCATTTCTATAGACCAAATAATGACAGAGCTACAAATGATTTAAGATACCAAGGTAAGATGTCTAAAGATGCGTAACCATGGTAACTAAATGCCGCCATAAAAGTACTATGGGACATTAGTTGGCAATGTTAACAAATGGATTCATTAAATAGACACCCCAGGGATTACAAAAATGTATGTAACTTATTCACACCTTATGGGTGCATGGGAACCCCTTGTTCCTACTATACTATATCGCGTCTCTGTTCAACTTCATTTTGTGTTTAACCTAGGACCCTGGGTCCCAAAGGGTTAATTGTGATTAACAATATTCAAATTTTCTAGTTAAGTTATAACTTCACGTAACTTTATTTTCTCACAGTTGATTGAGTGCCAATTTTGAAAACAAGAAAAATGTAATAACATAAGAAAGACAACGCGAAATATGCCGTTATACATTGTATGTGTCAGATTGAACTGTAATTTGGACTTTTAGGTTTTTAGGTACATAACAGAATTCGTCAGCATTGGTTGTTTATGATTCAAGAAATATAGATGAAGGTCAATATTGTTGAAAGTCAAAAATTCTGGAAGATAAAGTACCATGTGAGGTAGGGCCTTGGACCTTAAATGTTTGTTTAACATAATTTGTTTATAGATGACACATATGACCGGATTTTCTGATTTACTCGAAAATTGCTAAATCAAATTATTATACTGAAGTCCTGTTCAAAGTTGTTTATCATTCAAATAAACTTCCACATTGACTTTAAAAGTCACTTTTAGGATGATAAGGCAGTCATTGTTAAACAGGCATTTAATGTGTAATGGCCTCAATGCCCCATATTCGCTCCCTCCATAGCTTTTGGACAAAGGGTGGAAGAAAACAAGATCACATAGAGGTACTCGTGTCTTGAGTGCAGTTTTGTTGAGTATGACCTTGTGCAAGTAATGTAGTTTTATAGTAAACTTTAGACCAAGAAAACTTGTTCTTAGTCACTAGCAGGTTTACATTTTTATTTTTTTACTTGAATATATGTTCTTTGTTGATGTGAATAAAAATTACCCTCTCTCAAAAATGCAAAAACTGTATCCACGGTGTGGGTGTTGTTTGTGTTAATAGAGATTTTACATTTTGGCATGCCAACCTAAGGTCCTTACCATGGCATGGGTGCACTAAGGTCCCATCACTTTTGGAAGAGTTTATTTTCATTCAAAAGGTAGTATAGGAGTCGATACATTTTATAAGCACAACATTTGAATACACACTCAGTGGAGTCAGTTACTTGAATAAAACCTAGACATTGCAAATCTATATAGTAATGTATTAGTATAGTATATAATTTATCAATTGTGCAAAAGACCCCATGCAGAACAGTTCTAGTGATAAAGACAATCTTCCCATTACAAACCAAAGGCTTTACCAAAATGCCCAAAAATCACTATTGATTTTTCTATTATTGCAGACATTTCTGGTTAGTTTATTGATTAAATTTCACAAACAGGCACAATTCTAAAAAATCTTACTTGGAAATACAGATTAAGGTGCCATGGAAGTTAACAGGAAATGACAAAACAAAAAATGTCAAAACCATGCTGGATTTTGAAATTTTTTTGAATCAAGATAACAGAGTTCTGTTTGGACCTCCAGTCAGTTTAATTAGTTCCACATATCATTTACATGACTGGGAACACAAGAAAAATGGTCAGAATGACCATAAACATGATGAAATAACCTTTTCAGCCCTTTGAAAATATGACTGAAAAATAGCTAAGAGTAGGTGCGCAGGAAAGGTCACTGAAGAGAATCTTTTGACTTTTTCAGAAAATGTGCCCAATATAATACTCTAAATGATACAATTTAAAAAAATTCATATCATTCTCAGAAAAAGAAAAAAATGAAAAAAACTGAATTTAAAATCGATCTATTTTCCTTTTAACTACAGCAATTATTGTTTCAGACAATTTTTAAAAATTTCAAAGATTGTATCATTTAGAGCAATATATTAGACACATTTTCTGAAAAATCAAGAGATTCTGTTCATTGACCTTTCCTGAGCACCTACTTTTAGCTATTTTTCAGTCACATTTTCAGAGGACTGAAAAGGTTATTTCACCATGTTTATGGTCATTCTGAACATTTTCCTTGTGTTCCCGGTCATGTTAATATGTTGAACTAGTTAAACTGACTGGAGGTCCAAACAGAACTCCGTTATCTTGTTTCAAAAAAATTTCAGAATCCAGCATGGTTTTGACATTTTTTGTTTTGTCATTTCTGTTAACTTACATAGCATCTTAAATTACAAATTAAAATGTGAATTTGTTCATACAAACTGGAGAAAGTATATAATCTGGGTTCTCCACTTTCAATGAACACAATTTTGTACTTTCTCCTGCATGTATGAACAAATATTTTGAGTCCATTCTCCAACATGCATAAGCAAATGATTTGTACTTTCTCCATTGCGCATGAACCAAAACGTTGTTCAATCTCTTCCGTGTTTTCAATATTTTGTTAATTAATCAATGTGTCAGAACGAATAAAATGTACCTAAACCAGTGAGTATGAACGAATCTAATGTACTACAATAACTATAATGTGTATGAAGAGACATTGCGCTCTTTCTCCGGTATGGACATGTATATCATGAACCAACACGCCTGTGTATATACTTTCTCCAGTATGTATGAACAAATATAATGTACTCCATTGTTTATGAACACACATTTTGTATAAACAAATACTATGTACATTCTCCAGTGTGTATGAACGTACAGAGTATTGGTTAAATAACTAGTGAAAGTACATAATATTTGCTCATACACACTGGAGAAAGTACATGATATTTGTCAATACACACAGTTAAAATTTATTGTTTCATATATACACTGGAAAAATATAAATAGTAGTCCATACACACATACACAGAAAGTAGATAAAACAATAAATTATTGGTTTAGGCACATGGGAAATTAACCTAGTTTCGATTCATACATACTGGAGAAAGTATACACAGAGGAGTGTGACTCAGAAAATGTGACTCAAAAACAGTTAAAAGTTGGACTTTTAGAAAGGTCACCAGACAGAATCTATTGCATTTTTGAGAAAGTGTGCCAAATATATTATTTGAAATTATAGAAGCTTTTGAAAATTTGAATTCATTCCTAAAAATAGAAAAAATGAGAAAACTGCTTTAGAAAGCAATCCATTATCTTTTTATGATCACAATATTTGTTTCAGACAACATTTCAAAATTTCAAAGCTCCTATGACATGTATGATTTAGAGTAATATATTGGGCACATTTTCTGAGAAGTCTTTCACATGATGTTTAGGGTCTTTCATTCATACAAACTAGAGAGAGTATGAGAATATTGATTAATCCAATCTGAGTAATATGATAGATAGTTGGTTCTTCAAAAAGACAGGTTTACTCAGATTTTGAATATCAAATAGATTTGGATCAAGTGTTATAAAGAATCTGATCTTCATAACTTACTTAACTTCGAGCATGCAGATAAATATTCAATGGATTTACCAAGGAGGATTGGCTCCCAGAGTGCACCACCGATATTCTGTCCCATATATGGGTATGTCGTAATACAAAATTCGAATTCAAACAGCCGCCATTTTGTTCACTTCAACATTTAAATCGTGAATTTTGGTCTTATTTCCAAACGAAAAATTCCAAAACTCACAAGAAATGATCGAGATATTGGTTCGAATCTTTTGAACTGTTTATTTTGAATTTATAGTTGGTTTTAATTTCAGAAAATAACGACATTTCGACGTTTTCATTGTTGGAAAATATCGAGTTTCGATCCTGGGAGCCAATCCTCCTTGGGATTTACATAAAATGCAGAGTTCCTGTGACAATGGCATTTATTTTTAATGATCAAGAAAGTACTTTGCATCCTCCCTCCAAGTTAGGAAGAAGCCAGAGCTTTCATTCTGGTACACATCGCATCTAGAAACATGTCTGTGTCTATCATGTAAGAAGAGAGGGTCAAGGTATTACATGATGGAGCATTTTGGAAAGCCTTCTGAGAAATTACTATGCTGAAAAAGGGCTATTCAGGTATACACTGTGTACAAGTAATGCAGATTGCTCCGATTTTCACTACGGCGTCATGCCGATTGAGTATTTTGTTCAAAATTGAATACAATATTGAACAAACGGAGCAAATGTGACCCAGGCATCAGTGTAGTATGAATTCATTTTGTTAGGATGCCAGTCAGAGCTCTTGATGCAAGTACTAAGTTTGCAAACATGCATGTCAACCATGGCCAATTAGAAAAGTGCACCCCTTCTATATGATAATATAAACTCTTCCTACACCTTCACACTACCCTACCACGTGACCACGTTTAAAAGGGAAACAGGGTACAGCTTAGTTGCAAATGGAGGACGTGGGTTTAATTCCATATTTCTGAACGTAAAATACATTTTACATATATTTCTAGTGTTCTACCAGACATAGAATTGATTCATCAAGGAGTGTGTAGAATATTGTTGGCAAAAAACCACTATAGGCAAAGATAGATAATAGTGGGCGCATTGAAGCAAAACCAAATGCAATACACGATACATTTCAGTAAATCTATCAACGTACAGGGAGCATGTAAGTGTCCCTTCGAAAATGTTACATTGATATGTAACAAAAAAAACAGTTAACTGTTGTTTAAACTGCGTGTCATCGTGTTATAGGTGGATACGTTTTCTAGTATGTTAGTCAACTGTATTTTTGTGAATTTGAACAAAACATTTTGAATGGTCGGGTTTTTAGGACGGTAGTGAATTAGACCATTCAAGGGGTTCTATAGAAAGATTCTTCATATGTAGTTCAGGCAATTTTAATTATTCTGAGTAGCAAATAGTCATTAATACTGATAGCGGATAGTCACTATTTATCATTAACGTGTTGATATTTAATTTCGTTATTTTATTTCAATTTGATACCCTAGTAACACGTATAATCTAGCGTTCTTGTTAATTTAATGACTAAAATGCATACGACTTGAAAGCCCGTGTCTAAATCTACAAAATAATGTTTACTTTATTTGGATTAAATAACAATTGATGACACCTCAAAGCATCAACAGGCGGCCTTTTTAGCATTACTTTCACTGTTTGCAACGTAAATGTACATGAGGTCGGGACATAGTATGTCTGTATAATCAGCTTACTTTCTCGCTCCCTGTACTATTGAACAATTTACATTCCTTGTACCCTGTATTGATCAACTTTTGCAGTTGTGTACCGTGTACTATGACATATCAAATAGTTTAAAATTTAAAACGACATTATTTACATTATTTCTTCAACTATCATATAACTTGGAACATGGACTTCACTATTGCACCACTGAAGTGTAGAGAATAGCAATATTGACTCACTCCGAGCACCAAACGTATTAACCTTTTGACTAAGCAGTCGATATACTCAAAAGCGACATGTTTGAAAGCCAAAAGATTCGCGCATGCGCGATCGAGGTAGGGTAGTGTGACCTTGGTTTAGCTTTGGATCACTATGCTATCACTATGTGGCAGAAATGCATTCTGATTGGATATAAATGATCACATGACTTAGTTCACTAAGGTGTCAGGAGATGGCATACCAAAATGTAAAATCTCTATTCCCCATTGAAAAAACGAATTATACAAAAGAAAGCAAATAAAAGAATGACACTATGCTTGTATTCACAAATGCAACTAACGCCTGTCGGCTACCAGATTAACTTGCTATTTTATGGGCAACTCATTTAAATATGAATAGTACCTGCCACTATTCCATTCAAATTTAAATGAGTCATGAGATAGTAGTTTAATCCGGTAGCCGACGGACGTTAGTTGCATTCGCGAATACAAGCTATGATATATAAACTCATTGGATTTGAAGTCCAGGCTGGTAACATAAGTTAACAATAGAACTTTCCATCAGTTAATATTCTTTATAATTTATTTAAGGATTATAAAAAGTCACTGATCCCGTATTCCATACTCTTACTGCTCTTAATGTCTAAAAACATATGTTGGATTCATGGATATATTAAAAGTATCATGGTCTGTTGAGTTGTTTCAATTCAGCAGCGTTATTTTCCCCGTTGATATACAACTGTTTTCTGAAAATATAAACAAAATATTCCGATGAGATAATCGAGAGTTGTAAATTAATCAATCAAATTAATTGTATTTAAGGATAAAATTCAAATTTTATTGGCAGTTTTGAAGCATTGGAAGATAGTCTCACCCTGAGCTGTGTGTAAAATTTTCTCCATCTTCCAACGTCTGTGGAAGTGCACGGTTGAGGGTCTCTGGTAGCAAGAGAGTTAACAGACCGGCAGCGATAGAAAAAACGCCGAATATGATATAGGGCATAGGTTTCCATGCAATGGCCTGCAAGTACAAGAAGTAAAGCAATTATAGGCTTGTATATACTTTAATAAATAAATATACATATAGGTCAGTAAACGCACAACCATCTCCAACGTCAAAACCCTCTCCACATGGAATGTACTTGTTGTGTCACGTGATCAACCAAACGATATGGTGGATATCCCTCGGGCTCAATCGGGTAAGACTAAACGTTCAGGAAAATCATTTACTCTAATAGTCTTGCTTCGAGTCTAAGGACCGCCTTCCTTATCTGCTTCACCACCGGTGAGAAGATGTGAATTGGGGGACTGGGGTCACGGATTGTTCTTAGAGTATCATTTACGTGTCTTATATGTACATCCAAAAACAATATTACTATGATCTGAAATTCTGAATGGATCCGTCTCTCACTAAAGTAAACCAAGGGTTCAATATTATAACTGAGAAATTTTCAATTCGTTATATCGACTACCTTTTAATGATCGCCCTAAAATGTATTCACTCTTCCAATATCAACTTACCGCATAGCCAATGAAAGGAGCGATAAGGCCTCCAATCCTGGCACACATAGAGCCTGCACCAACGCCAACATTGCGAACCACCGTTGGGAAGAGCTCGGCACTAAATAAATAGATGATGGCGAAGGAACCAGAAATAGCACATTTTCCGATGAGTGAGAAAATTGTTTTGAGCAATCCAAGATCTAGAACAAAGTGATGGCATATCATTTTGTAGTATAATGATTAGTGGCATGTTATTTTGTATTATCATAAGTTATGACATTTAAAAGTGATTTGCATATCATTTTGTGGTATCACAATTGATGGTATATCATTTTGGTACATAATATATATGATGCACTGACTAAATAGCCCAACTGAACATCAAGAACATAACGTTGTGTATGTCACGCCTTGGCGGATTATGAAATAATATTTTAAGATGGCTTACGTTTTGGAATGGGAAAGCAGGCAAGGCAAGCCAGCCCACCTACACAAAGACATGTAGCGAGACTTTTCCTGCGTCCTATGCGGTCGAGGGTTAAAACGGCAAAAAGATAACCGGGGAACTCCACTAATCCCGAGAAGAATAAATTGATATAGACACTACCAGGAAGACCATCAACGCCAAACGATAACCCGTAGTACACAAAGCTATTTACAAACCTGGAAATGTAATGATTTTTTAATGCAGACATAAAAGAAAGACATGCTGATGAAAACATGATTTAGTCCAATCAGCGGGCGAAACTAAAAAAGATGAAGTGGCCAGTTTTATGGAAAATAAGAATAGCATTGAGCAAAGATGGTGGAGCTGCCGGGATTGATCAACAAGTCAACAAATAATGAAAAGAAGCTCTCTTTTGAAGAAACTAAATAAAACTGTGGAAAAGGGTAGTGAACAACTTACCAGTTGAAACAAATGTTCAGCGTTTTCTTTCTCATGTTAGGGGTTCTTATCAAATCAATAACAGTTCCCTGGACATCGGTTTCGACCTGTTTAAAAATGAAATTTTTATTCTTTAACTAGCTTGTTATATTAAGAAAATTTCACAACACATAGAGTTACCTCTAGGTTATAATCAGTTTTATACCTCGTCAGTATTTTGTGAATCAATCAGCAATTTGTCAGAGTATTCCGCCTTGTTTATTCTCGCCATTTTGGTTAGTACTATGTTAGCTTCATTCACGCGTTCCTCTGCTAGAAGCCAGCGAGCCGACTCGTCTGCTACCCTGAAATATCGTCTGTTTTTAATATTGCATCAATATTGTGAACAGAAATTTGACAACGATGGAAGAGCACAAGGAGCGACTTTTGAAGAACACAAAGAAATCCAATATATTGGTAAATCAAAGAACATAGTACGTGTGATAAACTAATTAGATTGATGATGTTATATTCAAAGGGTTGTATGGTAAAGGAATCAGAGACTATAATCCTTATCATGTAAGCCGTAATAGAAGCTAAGTATAAATACAACCCGTATCAGAATAATACAAGCCTTACCAAAAGTAAACGAGTAATATCAGGGGCGGCAGCGACACCAAGAGTTGTAAGTGTATATGGTCTCTAACTCCGAATGCAATCAGCGATAGTAAAGTGTAACCGCCGGAGAAAAATCCTTGGAAGAAAATCCCAGGGATCATACGACCTTTTGGAGGCATTATTTCCATAACTATAAATATGTAAATATTAAATGTATTAGTGCGTTTGTGGCTCGTAATTTATTGCAGAATCTTTGTATACAGGTTGACCCAAAACAACGTTTTAATTTAACAACGGTCTAATTTTGTGATTTTATGATGATGGATCTTTGTGATTTTTTGTGTAGATAGTGTTTATCAATTTGAAAAAACATTGGTGTACTTGTATTGCATCTATGATTTTGAAATCTGGAGTAATCAGGTTTTCCGTCCAGGTATTCTGTCACGTGAAATCGTCCAGAAATTTTCAAAAATACACTTTCAAAGTTTCTGAAATTGATATTTCTGTCTTAGTCATTATTTGATTCATTTCTGAAATGCTTTTACATATCAGATTATCAATAATGTGTCATATCCACCCATTTTTCTAAAGCAATTTTGTCAAATATGATGAACTGACTGAGAAAGGAAAACTTAAAGAAAGACAGGTTTCCTGACTTACTTTTTTGAGTTGTTTGGCGTCAGAGCATGTGTCCACGAAAAACATTGCTAAATCTCGAAGTTGTTGATGCTATCCAAGTACAACGATGTTTTATGCATCGAATACTCTATTTACACAAAAATTTCATGCAGATTCCTTTATAATTGAGAAACTTAATTTAAACTACAGGGTTACGTTTTTGGGTCACCCTGTATACTATATTATCCTTATTTTTCATGCTACGGGCGATAGAAATAAGTTGATGAAAAGATGACAGTGTAATCAACCTGTTTACACGTAAAAGACACTACTGCCATCTTTATACCGGTTTTAAACCTACCTAATACAAATCCTACGGTGAACTGGCCAGCCGCTCCCATGGCAACCAAAGCTCGGAGAATAACAAAGCTCCAATACTCTGGTATAAACGCTGCCCCAGTTCCACACAATACTGTCAACACTATTGAGAACATTAAGACAGGCTTTCTCCCAAATCTGAACAGCAAGTAAAAAGAAGGATGAGTTATGGATGGATATGAAGGACCACATGAATTTGAAGCCCACTACCCTAGGCCGCTCTCAGAAAGGCTATAAAAGGCCGGAATTCTATTCGTGATAGACATCCAACTGGTAAAATGTCACTTAATTTCTTGGTTCATCAAGTATTTGATATCAACTAACGTACTTATCAGATAGTCCCCCGAAAATTATCGCTCCAAGGAGAAATCCTGTCATATAGATGGACGAGGCCAGAGCTCTCTTCCAATTGCTTCCACACACGAGGTCAAACTGGAAAAACATGAAATCGTTGTTAGTTTGTTTTGCCACATGTCTGCTTACGTGGGATGTATTTATTTAAACAGCATACATAGGCGTAGCCAGGGGGTGATGGGTGCACCAATAACCAATAGTAATAGAACCATTAGATAGAGGAAGAAAATACCTTTAGAATGCTAGGTTTATTTGAAGTTTTTGGCTCAATTTTGAAGGAAATTACATCAATTTTTGTAGAATTCAAGACAAATCTTGAAAATATTTTGGCTCGCTTATGCCACGATCGTACTGATTGATAACCGGAATTTTTGGCGATCAAAAAACAGAGAATAAGTAAATAGTTAATCAAAAGCTAATTATGGTCGAAATGCCAGGGGGAGGGTTCATTGTATTCAAAATGGCGGGGGCTCTAGGCTGAACCCTCAGATATCAATATGTTCCCATACCAATCTGTCAAATTTCAATGTGTTCCCATAGCAACCAAAATAGCCCCCAAATATACCAAATGTCCAAATATAAGACCAATACCATACTAAATGTTCAAATATGGGACCAATGCCATACAACACAGAAAAAAACTAATTTTCCAACTGAATCAGGCCCGAGAAGAAGTCTTTGAGAAAGACGATACCAGAAAGTTGAAAATCCGACCATTGCCATATTTTTAAAGTCATAATTTCGGGGGCATTTCTTACACCATATCCTTAAATTTGGGTCCATTGCCCCGGGTCCCCGTGTCGAAATGGTAATATGATTGTAATTGTGTCTCATAAGCCTTTGGAGGCTGGCCGTATAATTACGGGTGACACTGTAATAAATAAATAAATAAATAAAAGGTAGATTTCTTGAATATCATAACAATAATGGAATAAACATATTTTTCTTGATTTATGTTCAATAGCGTCGGCAATTCCTATAAAAGGATGTGACACGATACAGGGTGGGCAATAAGAAATGCGACACTTTATATCATTCTTAGAAGTATTTAGGATCACATACACAAACCATGTATTATATACCAAAGGATGGACAATTGATTCACCTTTAATAACCTACAATATTCTGTAACTTATTTTCAATGTAGTAGAAATTTGATTGTGATGTCAGAATTCAATCATAAAAACAGATTAAACAATCCAAAAATGAAGAAATTCTTGAAAAATTCGTCTAATATTTCTGTTTAATTTTCTTATGTGATTGTATCAATGACATGAACGGAGAAATGAATGGAGGGGTGAAATGTGATCAAATCACACCAGTATTGCACCTAATATTCTTTCGACCGATCTTTGGTATTCTGCCCTTCTAGAATGAATTGATAGAAGAAGGCTACGCAATTCTATTTTCACACTCAATTATACCATTTAACACTCCTTTCTACTATTAGGACATCCAAAGAACGTCTTCGAGGACGTTCTTGATAGTGTAATCTTTATTGTTGCATTAATTGAGTATTGTCATTTATGTTATGGTGCAATTTATATATGTTCATTGATAAGATTATCTTCACCAAAATGTTGTAACTACCTAATCTACCTACTTGTTTATTTTCATGTTCTGCGAGGGTTACCTTTAAACTTAACAAACAGAGCTGAAGGTAAATTCGTATCTATGGCTTCCTCATTAGAATCACGTGTTTATATTTCCAGACAGGTACTCATAACTCATAACTTTCTTACATGGTTTACAACTGTTTTTTGCACGATGAGTTCATGAATATACCTAGATTAGGGACATGGGTATGGGGATGATATTTTTGAAATGGTTGAACTAACCTTTACTGACCTACTTCATAAAGGCATCATGTTTCATCAAGGTATTTCATATTTCGTTTGACTGAAGGTACCCTGCGTGCAGAGTCTAGTTAAACTATAGACGAAGCTCTTAAGAAGTGAAGTCAAACGAATGCAAAGGGTAGACTGAAGGAGACTTAACAGTATGTTATAACAAGCGTAAAGGGGCAAAAGCTAGCAAAGGTCTCAGTCATCGTGTTATACCGCACAATATAACTTGCTCTTATTCAATCAAAACTCCCTAAATCAGAGCTTATCTGTTGCAAGAAGATGTGATGAACATTAGAATGAACCCTAATGTTTCCTGCAGACATTAGGTTTACAGGAGTTCAATATCAACGCCGAAAAAGAGAAAGCGATTCGTTCATAATGAAAAAAGTTATTCCAAAATTGGATGGTTCCATTTTTGTGTTAACCTGTACATAATACTTACTTCTGATACAATTGTCGATGTATACACTGATTTATCATACTCCCAAGAAGTACAATATATTTCTTCAATATCAGATCCGCTTGTGTTTCTACTACTTCCATTTATATGGATTCGTTCTCTTACATATTCTGTCAATTTTCTCTCGGGATCAGAACTGTTCCCCTCCGTGCCGGTCAACAACAATGGCCAATTTGCAATCTTACATTTACTCCTCTGATTTTCGCCATCAATATTTTCATATGGGATAAACGCATTCAGGATATCTGTGCGACTGAAGTTGTTATGCAATGACGGAGTAACACAGTGATGTTGAGGCACAGCAGCTATAAAAACAGACACCAAGTTATGCATACCAGTAGGAATTCCAACCAGACCAATCAAAAAATACATGGCAATCTGGTACCGTCCCATTCCTCCGATCTGTCTCAAAATTTGGTCGAAATCTGATGAGGCCATTTTTGTAGTCTTAGATATTTTCCAAGCTGCAGAAGAATTGAGTATCCTTACGTTATTCCATATTTTATACGATAGATAGTACTAATAATAGGGACCATCGCTAGCATATGCGACCCAATGACGTACAAACTTTGTATTAATATGTCCAATTTCACGAATCTTTATCTGGAACAATTTAGTTCTGATTCAGGTGTCCAGTTATCCTTTAGCTTTGCAATCGTTCGACTTCGCTTCTTACAAAAGAACTCCGTCTTCTCCCTTTTCTTCTTCGTTTATAACTAGACTCTGTGCGCAAGGTAGTGTCCAGTCCATATCAGTAATCATTTGACCGCCATCAAGTTTATTATTAACTTCACACGTTGCATCACAAGTGCCTAGCGACGAATGTGTCTCCAAAGCTCTGAAAATGCGTAAATCAATGCATTAAGTTTGAAATTACAAACTCAATATATGACTCAAGCCTATCAAGTCGTCAGCACACGTGTTCTACATCACTATCGTATAGTATAATAATTCAAAATTATTTAATTAAAATTAATTGCACTTTGAATTCTGTACTTCAATTTTAGGTTATTAATTACTGACAAGTATAAATAAAAAGATGATTCTTCAGTGATATCAAAACCATGCTTTGGCTGACCTCTAGCAAAACTTAAGAAGTTATCCTCAGGTAGCAATTTAAACGATAAGCACTAACATGAGTAAGATTATGCGAAGGGCGTCAGTGACTGGGTGCCAGGGTTAAGCATTGCTAATTTCTGGCTGGTTTCAAGAAAAACTCCCCTTCAAAACAAAAATTAAAAGTAATAAAAGAAATTGTGAGTTCATGCAGATTTTCATGAACATACAAGTACTGTTAAAAATTCTCTTTCTCTTTTCTTGAAATTGTATTTTGCAAAAAGCAAAAGAATATTATGAGTCAAAAGGAAGTCTCGAATTTGCCCGGGTGATTCTGCCTTTAAAATTACGAACGCCTGATTATACTCACTATATTTTTAGATGGGCCATCTTTTTATTAATAAGATCTTCAAAAAGTTGATAAAATGGGATTGGTATCCTACCAGGTATTCTTAAATAGAGTATCTTTTGCTGTAAAAGTGAAAATTATTCTTTTGAAAGATAAGTCAACACAAACCATCAGCAACGTGACTATCTTTATCAATTTTAATAATTGATTTTAATAACTAGCTAGAAATCACTGAAATGAAACGTTGCATCTCTCTCGTTCTGAATGTGACCAACAGAATATGCCATGATATGAACTAATTCCATACAATCATTTATAGTTTATCAGCAATGTGTTCTTTACAATCCCAAAGAAATATATCAAAAATTGAAGTTCCAATTCATCAAAATATAGTGGTTTGAATATTGTTATCAGAAAATATCTGGACCTTTGGATTATGATTTTTTCTAATTAGCCTCTCCATGAACTTAGTCAATAGTATAGTTTCCATATAGCTTTTGAAATCTCGCTAAATCTCGTTTTTCGTGAGATTTTAAGAGACTTGCATATTAGACCTCTAATGACTTACATTACCTTCTTTTAAATGGTATATTTGAATTCAGTGGAATGTTTTCTCCTAAAATAGCTGTGATTTACACAGTTATGTAATTTGAATAATTTTCTATGACAATTTAAAAAAAGTTGGGCCAAATGTCCATAGATGCAATGCTAAAATTCTTTAAAACCGTGGATTATTTGTATGTCAATCAACATTAGCATGTTTAATCACAACATGTTCATAAACAGGGTCATCATGTGGTATATCATTCAAGTTTTATACAGATTCAACAAACACACTTTGATAAATCATGAAATTAAGCCACTTTTCCAAGATTTTAGCATGTAAGTGAATGGAGCTCTAGCCAGAGTTAAAAGCTGAATAAAAGATGGCAGCACGAGATTTCATTGATTTTTCTGCTATTTAGAAACTATCCTATTAAAAGGACAATGCCTTTTTATCATAGATCTAAATAAGCGAAAATATTGGACTAAATGAGAATTTAACTTACTTACCTTCTGTATGAAATGGTTGAAAAATCTATTTTAGAAATCTTTAAACACCCCTCAGTCAAAACATTTTCAGATAAGAACAATGAAGCTGTAAAACCAGAGAAAGACTACTCATGAGCCTGCAAGTATTCAGTTAATAGGCAAAAAGGATGAAAATGTAAAGGACCAGGTGTAGTATGGCAAGTGATTTTAGACGGTCATATGATTTCGGCACTTTCTTAATAATTTAAATATGACATTTCTCATTATCACAACAAAATATGTTATCTTTCAAGTAAATTCTCAAGGATTATAGAAATATCTATTGAAAAATTATAATGTCAACATCATTTTCAAAATGTTGAACTTATTTACTCAAAAGAGGATCTACTTTTTGATATTTATTAAATGAAAATATTATTCAAGAAGGGGTCTAAAACTTCTTCATAACTAGAATGGTATTGAAAGTATAGTTTTGAAAATATAAATTTTCGATGACGAAAATTAGGCTGAAAACAATGGACAGCATGGCTTTTCCCATAACATTGGATATGCGGTTTTTAACTTCATCGCATTTCAATACCCATACCCTTTTCAGAAGTTGTTACAGTAGGTTAAAATCATTAAAAATACATTTCCTTTTAAAAATTCGTAAACACATTTGTCAATTTTTTTATTTGGTCCTGCCCCCAGGTGAAGTGAATCACCAATAATCCATTGTAGCTTATCATTAAGGCTCGCTGATAAGTATTCACCTACAAGGGCAACGTCACATGATATGAAGAGATTAACTTGTTAACGAATAGGTTTCTTTTATCCTGGAGGACGGGGCAAAGGAACCGGCGATGGGACATAGAGTCATAAGAATTGGAGGGACATAATTTACAGAAGCCATCACTTTTATTCCACCTTTTAAGGTCTGATTCTAATTTAAAGCAACCCGACTTAGCTAAGAATTTTTGTCTTGCTCCTTGGAAGTTGAATGTTTTTTAGGTACTCTAGCTTCTTGAAAGACATGTCTCTTAACATTTTTAAAAAGGGATAGGGATGGTCGGTTGCAAATTGATGAAAACAATAGACTAGATGCGAGTAGAAATAATGTTCAAAATTCAGTCAAAGTGATGTCGTATTTGAAATAGTACGTCTAGAAATGTAGTTTCGAAAATTGTTTTTGAACTTTGAGAATTTAACTTCTAGTTCGGGTTGATTCCCCATAGACCCAATCTTACAAAATCACAAAAAGTGAAATACCTTTTCTTTTATTGGACAGATAACATTTTCTTTTACTTAGCATATTTTTATTTGCATAACTATTAGTTACATAAATAAGGGTTATATGAAAGTTGAACCACTAAAACAGGTGTAATTTAAGTTAAAGGGAACTTTCTACTATACCCGCCATGCTATCTGACCCGAACGAGCCACTTGGTGGTGAAACTGGTAACTACTTCCTCGCATCTGCGCCTTGGATGAGTACCATTATTCAGCATTAACATTCAATTTATTATCGAGCCCATGGTGCACTAATATATTTGCTATGTTAGAAACATAATTCCAATTAGATTCTTTAAAATATATAGTATATAATATTATTATATACTATATATATTCGATTATCTAAAATACAGTATATAATAAACTTTTGATTTTAAATTGAGTAAAACAAGATCCTCTTTTTAGAAAATAAGCCCTATTACATTTTTTAAAAGTGACCAGGTCCTAATCTACAATTTTTCAGTTGGAGTTTGATTGATATTTTTATAATTATGGGGACTTCACTTGTTTTAATAAAAACACTGTATTTATGCCCTGAAATTAATGATTGTGAAAGATACGACTGTCTCATATCACTTGCCGTACCATACCTGGTCTTTTAGTCAAAAAGTAACTAACACTACAGACAGTGCCACTTTAAGGGCATCACTGGGTGTCTGCTTCTAGACTACATTACTCAGAGTAAATAATAGGTCAGTACGAACTCCCGTGCAGTTATAGGGTTAGGGTTAGGGAGTAAAATAAACATGCGTCTTTAGTTGCTGATTGGGTTGCAGATAATTTGTCTGCGACTGCCCTTGTTAGAATGAGATATTATTGCCGGTAACCTTTGGAAATTTAAATATAAATCAATGTATGTGAACAATCACTAAAAAATTGCAAAGCACGGATACAATTTTTGCATTTTTGAGAGAGTGCAATTCATAAAACAAAGAAAACATATTTATGTAAAAGCATAAAAATGAAGGTGACCAAAGCATGTTTTTCTTGGCCTGAAGCTTACTATATAACTATGTAGCAAAACTGCACTTAAGACATGTGGGTTACTAGATGTATTTTTTGTTCATTTTGCAAGAAATTATGTTAAACAAACATTTAAGGTCCAAGGCTCTACCTCACATGGTACTTTATCTTCCAGAATTTATGACTTTCAACAAGTGACCTTTATCTATATTTCTTAAATCATAAACAACTGAGAACAACAGTAAGCAAGAGAGATAGGCCATGATGATGATTTCTATTATGAACCTAACAACTTTAACAAGTCCAAATTACAGTTCAATTTGACATATAAATGTATAAGGGTATAAATCATGTTGTCTATCTATAAGTACATGTACAACACTATCTTTGACTTTGTCAATTTATTTTTAGATAATAAGAGATATTTGTTGTTATTATTGTTATTTAATTTCTGTTTTGATTCACACAACAGATAAACATAACCACGATTGTTTATTGTTCAAAACTTAAGATATTTTACATTACATAGTCTAGTCTTAACTATTTCCTCATATTGGATTGCTTTTAATGAGATTATACCATTTCAAAATGTCTTAAGCTGGTTCTTGGTATGGTTTTTGACATATTTTTTCATATGATATGGTTTTTCTATTGTCTGGAATTCATAATGAAGTACAAAAGTCTATGTTGAGATTGTTCGTAGTGTATTTATGATTTGCTTTTAGTGGATCTGCCTGAGCCTTTTCTCTTTGGTGATTTCTCTCTCGAGGGTGACTTTCCTCCTTGCTTTGCCCTAGAAAGAGGAGTCTTACCCCGGAACCTTGGGGGTGGTCCTACAATTAGAACATTTAGCATTTATATCACAGCAATAAGGATGAGTACATGTAGGTTATCACAAATGTCAACCTTTTTTTCAAGTGTTTTGATGGGCTTCCCATTGCAGTAAAATTGGGGGGGGGGCCAAAAAACTGAAATTTCAATAGCTAAATTTAAAGTAAAAAATCGAGATATATTGTTTTGTCCTCGACAGAGTCTGACAGACTTACAAGGCCTTCTCTAATCTGCAAGAAAACTTGGTTGTCAGGGGAGGCTATAAATCATTTATAATTTACTGCATAATTTATAGATGGCATCTGACACTGACAGTCATCATCCAAAACTTCACTAAGATTTATATGTAAAACAGGTTATACCTAATGCTTGAGGCCTTGGAAGACTTGTTTTCTCTAACTTGAACTCCAGGTCTTCAAGCACACTTTCTATGTTTGCCACAATGGAGTGTGTTGCGGCTGTTGCATGTGCCTTAGCTGCATCTGCGATAAGCTTCACTATTGCCTAGACAAATACACATTTTAATGGTTGAAACGTTTGACAGCTACATTATGCTGGACCTATGGAACAGAATGCATAACTTAACAAATATGGAATAATGGAAAAAGAAGACATAATTCTTATATTTCCTTATACTGTAAAAACTCAACTATTGATAACTCTAAAAATTACTTGAAGCCGAAATCAACTCCAACACTTATTTGTTATATGTACATGTACTGCTGTACTACTAGCACAGTTTTACCTATTTATAATTATTGTATCAATCATGCATTAATTTACAATATTTACATTTATATATCAATCACATATTACTTTAGTATAGTAGGAACAAGGGGTTCCCATGCACCCATAAGGTGTGAATAAGTTACATACATTTTTGTAATCCCTAGGGTGTCTATTTAATGAATTCATTTGTTAACATTGCCAACTAATGTCCCATAGTACTTTTATGGCGGCATTCAGTTACCATGGTTACGCATCTTTAGACATCTTACCTTGGTATCTTAAATCATTTGTAGCTCTGTCATTATTTGGTCTATAGAAATGATATTGGTACCAAATTGAACCTCGTTAAATTTCCAATAAATTTCTGATATTCAATAATGCAAATTATCTACTTTGCATAAATTATGACGTCATCAATCTATTTTTGGTTCAGAATTTCCAACTATAGCAACGTATCTATTAAAACTGAGTCCGTATGGCAACATTTCTGAAAGGTTTTGTCCTTTATTCTATTAGTAGAAGCTATAAGCAACATAAAAATGAAAACAGATTCAAAATTGAATCAGTATTACGAAAGTTATGTAACTTTCGAGGCAGCTATCGTGAATGTCATTATTTGACAATAATATACATACGTCTTACCTTGGAGTCTTGAATCAATGTAGCTTCGCCATTATTTGGTCTACAGAGATGATATTGGTATCTGATTAAACCTTATTAAATTTACTATATGGTTACAATATTCAGTTATGCAAATTAGCTAATTTGCATTGATTGTGACGTCATCAATCCATTTTTGCTTCAGAATATCCTAGTAAAGCAACATATCTATTAGAACTGAGGCCGTATGACAGAATGTGTGCATTGTTTTGTCCCTTATTTGATGAGTGGAAGATATAAGCAACATTAAAGAGACAACAAATCTTCAAAATAGGATCAGAATTAACAAAATTATCCAGCTTTGGAGGCAGCTACTGTGAACGTCATTGTTTGACAATTATAAAAAGAATATTAAATCAACAAAAAAAGTAACAACCATAGTTGTTTCAATCTTATTGAGTAAAAATGTGCATGTATTGAACTAATAAGTATGTGGAAAGGTTACATGCATTTTGACTATCATTCACAGGGGCCAAAACGGTTATCTCGACCCTGTATATTAAAGATTCAATTTTTATAATTTACCATGCACTTTCAATGATTCATATAAATAGTATACATATAGTCTGCTTTTCATCATATTCTTCATATTCTTGATTCTTAAAGCATCTGAGGTATAAAGCATGATTAGAAGTGAAGATGATTCTTCATATGGTTTATGTAATATTTCTAACATTTCAGATGCTATGGTAACATCACTTGATAATGAGGTTTTTACATTTCACGTTCTTAATGAGTTAAAAGAATGTTATTCTCCCTTTGCTTTAGAGATAAATAATCACATGAATTTGTTTAAAAAAATTATAACTTAATTTAACCCCCTCCTGACAGCCCCCATATTTGAAGATTTTGGTGAAACCTGGCAAAATACATTAATAATTAGGTTCCAGAAGCTATATGATGGCCCCCAGTGGCCCCAAGAATCTATATAGGGGCCCCAAGTGGCCCCCAGAAGGTATACGATGGCCCCCAGAAGCTATACAAGGGCCCACAGAAACTACACTGTGGTCTCCAGAAGCTATATGGTGACCCCCAGTGGCCCTCAGAAGCTATATGATGGCCCCCAGAAGCTAATTAGTGGCCCCCAGGAGCTATACGGTGGCACCCAGAAGCTATACAGGGAACCCCAGTGGCCCCAAGAAGCTATACGATGGCCCCCAGAAGCTATACAGCAGCCCCCAGAAGCTACAAGATGGCCCCCAGAATCTATATGATGGCCCCAAATGGCTCCCAGAAGCTATACAGGGCCCACAGTAGCCCCTAGAAGCTATACGGTGGCCCCCAAAGCTATATGGTGGCCCATTGGGGGACACTGTATAGCTTCTGGAGGCCATCGTATAGCTTATGGGGGCTACCGTATAGTTTCTGCGGGCCCTTGCATAGCTTCTGGGGGCCATCGTATAGCTTCTGGGAGCCACTGGGGGCCCCTGTATAGCTTCTGGGGGCTACAGTATAGTTTCTGCAGGCCCTTGCATAGCTTCTGGGGGCCATCATATAGCTTCTGGGAGCCACTGGGGGCCCCTGTATAGCTTCTGGGGGCTACAGTACAGTTTCTGCAGGCCCTTGCATAGCTTCTGGGGGCCATCGTATAGCTTCTTGGGGCCACTATATAGCTTTCGGGGCCACTGGGGGCCACCGTATAGCTTCTAGGGGCTACTGGGGGGCCCTTTATAGCTTCTTGGAGCCATTGTGTAGCTTCTGGGAACCACCATATAGCTCCTGAGGGTCACTATTTAGCTTCTTAGGGCCATCATATAGCCTATGAGGGCCACTGGGGGTCACCGTATAGCTTCTAGGGGCTACTGGGGGCCCTTCACATCTTCTGGGAGCCATTGGGGGCCATCATATAGATTCTGGGGGCCATCATGTAGCTTTTCGGGGCTCCTGTATAGCTTCTGGGGGCCTTCGTTTAGCTTCTTGGGGCCACTGGGGTCCCCTGTATAGCTTCTGGGAGCCACCATATAGCTCCTGGGGGCCCCTGTATAGCTTCTGGAGGCCATCATATAGCTTCCGAGGGCCACTGGGGGCCACCATATAGCTTCTGGAGACCATAGTATAGTTTCTGGGGGCCCTTGTATAGCTTCTGGGGGCCATCGTATAGCTTCTGGGGGCCCCCGTATAGCTTCTGGGGGCCACCGTATAGCTTTTCGGGGCCACTGGGGGCCCCTGTATAGCTTCTGGGCGCCACCGTATAGCTCCTAGGGGCCACAGGGTTTCCTGTATAGCTTCTGGGAGCCACCGTATAGCTCCCTGGGGCCACTATTCAGCTTCTGGGGGCCAACATATAGCTTCTGGGGAGCACAGTATAGCTTCTGGGGGCCACTTGGGGCCCCTGTATAGATTCTTGGGGCCACTGGGGGCCATCATATAGCTTCTGGGGGCTTCTGGAACCTAATAATTAATGTATTTTGCCAGGTTTCACCAAAATCTTCAAATATGGGGCTGTCAGGGGGGGGGGGTTAAATTAATTAAGTTATAATTTTTCTAAACAAATTCATGCAACTATTTATCTCTAAAGCAAAGGGAGAATAACTTCCTTTTAACTCATTTAGAACGTGAAATGTAAAAACCTCATTATCAAGTGATGTTACCATAGCATCTGAAATGTTAGAAATATTACATAAACCATATGATGATCTTCACTTCTAATCATGCTATATATGCTTCAGATGCTTTAAGAATCAAGAATATGAAGAATATGATGAAAAGCAGACTATATGTATACTATTTATATGAATCATTGAAAGTGCATGGTAAATTATAAGATTGGATCTTTAATATACAGGGTCGAGATAACTGTTTTGACCCCTGTGAATGATAGTCAAAATGCATGTAACCTTTCCACATACTTATTAGTTCAGTCCAATACATGCACATTTTTACTTAATAAGATTGAAACAACTATGGTTGTTACTTTTTTTGTTAATTTAATATTCTTTTTATAATTGTCAAACAATGGCGTTCACAGTAGCTGCCTCCAAAGCTGGATAATTTTGTTAATTCTGATCCAATTTTGAAGATTTGTTGTCTCTTTAATGTTGCTTATATCTTCCACTCATCAAATAAGGGACAAAACTATGCACACATTCTGTCATACGGCCTCAGTTCTAATAGATATGTTGCTTTACTAGGATATTCTGAAGCAAAAATGGATTGATGACGTCACAATTAATGCAAATTAGCTAATTTGCATAACTGAATATTGTAACCATATAGTAAATTTAATAAGGTTTAATCAGATACCAATATTATCTCTATAGACCAAATAATGGCGAAGCTACATTGATTCAAGACTCCAAGGTAAGACGTATGTATATTATTGTCAAATAATGACATTCACGATAGCTGCCTCGAAAGTTACATAACTTTCATAATACTGATTCAATTTTGAATCTGTTTTCACTTTTATGTTGCTTATACCTTCTACTATAGTGCTGTCCCCAGGTCTGATTTCGGTGATCGGCTAGTAAAAAAGGTTTGAGGGTATCATTTTGTTCTAGACACTCGCTAGAGTAAATTATTCTATCTTGAGTAAAAATGTGTGGTAAGTGAATTCGCTATGGGCAGTTAGAGAGGCGCCATCTATTCATTTTCAAATAGGGGGTAGGGGTATAAAATAATTTTTATCACATTTTGATAGTAAAATGACATTGAAATACTAATAAAATCTCATCAAAAACATTATTTACAATCAGTATGAATTTTCTTGTGCGGATTAGGGTGAAAATAAGGGCATATTTTGAAAATCACTACAGGGGCGCCACCTATTTTCATACTTCTACCACGTGTAATAACTTATTTTAGATTCGTTAAGGTACAAAATGTACTGAAAAAAATCAATCTAAAGGACCTATATATGTTCATACCATATACTTAAAATTGGATCAATAGCTTTTGTACCGGGGGAGAAAAAAATTCTTGTAATTTAAAAATTTGGCATCATGCAGGATAGGGGTGACCATATCTCACATGATTAACTTCCAAAATATGGAGCATATGTATCTCAAATGTACTCAAAATGGTGTATGTACTCTTGCTTTGTCATAATATTACTAATAAGAAGTAGAAAAATGATTGTACAATTTAAAAAAATATTAATTCTCATTTTGGCTTCAGACGTCCCAGGGGTGACCATATCTCACCTTAATAACTTCCAAAATATGGAGCATTTGTATCTCAAATGTGCTCAAAATTGTGTATGTACTCTTGCTTTGTCATAATAATACTAAAAAGAAGTAAAAAAATGATTGTACATTTAAAAAAATATTAATTCTCATATTTGGCTTCTGACATTCCAGGGGTGACCATATCTCACCTTAATAACTTCCAAAATATGGAGCATTTGTATCTCAAATATGCTCAAAATGGTGTATGTACTCTTGCTTTGTCATAATATTACTAATAAGAAGTAGAAAAATGATTGTACATTTTAAAAAATATTAATTCTCATTTTGGCTTATGACATTCCAGGGGTGACCATATCTCACCTTAATAACTTCCAAAATATGGAGCATATGTATCTCAAATGTACTCAAAATGGTGTATGTACTCTTGCTTTGTCATAATATTACTAATAAGAAGTAGGAAAATGATTATACATTTAAAAAATTTTAATTTTAGCTTCTGACTTCCCTCAATAACTTTTAAAATTATGTAACATATACAACTCAAATATACCAAAAATGGGGCGTATAGTCTTGCCTTGTCATAATACTATTCATGAGATGTAAAAAAATTATTACACCTTTTTTTAATTGAAATTTTCATTTTAGCTTCCGAATCTGACATCTCAGGGGTAATTATATCTCACTTTGATATAACTCTCTCTCATATATGCAACATATGCATCTCAAATGTGTGCTCAAAATGGTATGAATATAGTCTTGTTTTGTCATATTTATTGAGATTCATGAAATCAGAAGTTCAGAATTTATGGATTTGACTGTCTCCCCTGCAGGCTGCAGCTACATATAATTCAGAGACATTAAGATCTACTTTCAAATATTTGCATCTTCTCCCCAAACACTCCTTGGAACAATGGACGATAAGTCTTTTGCATGCCTTGGATGCAACATCTTTTGTATACTGGTAGCCTATCAGTAGTGTGAGTAGCCTCATTTACCAAAATTGGCCCCTTAACCCCAAATCTAAGAATAATGCAATTGTTCCAAAAGCTAAGCTCTTCTTTGGGACCCTAGAAGTGTGGGACATCACAATCATAGATAAATATTTCATTACAATCAATGTATGTTGTATGACAAACATGCAAACTAGAGAATGTTAATGTGGCTAGAAAGATTTATCATTACAAAGAGCTCCTTTTCCCTGTATTTTACATACTCAAAATCCCTTAATTCAGTGTATAATCCAAGGTGCATATATTGCAGGCCACAGGATAACATATTAACACCTTACCAACAGTTGCCATTACTTCATAAATGGAAGTACTCCCACTATTGACAGGCTAAAAGGATTCCTGTATGGATTACAAAAGACGTTGGGTCCAATGTATGCAAGGGAATAATCTCATCCATTGTACCTGTAAAGGGTGTTTGGGGAGCAGATGCAAATATTTGAAAGCAGATATTATTTACCCTGAATTATATGTAGCTGTAGAGGAGACAGTCAAAATCCATTGATTCTGAACTGTTGATTTTATGATTCTCAATGAATATGACAAAACAAGACTATATTTATACCATTTTGAGCACACATTTGAGATGCATATCATGAGAGTTATCAAGGTGAGATAGCCCTTAGGACACCAGAGGCTAAAATTAAAATTAAAAAAAATGCAATCATTTTTCTACATTTCATTTAAGTAATATGAAAAGGACAGGACTTTTCTGAGAATATTTGAGGATTATATGTTACATACATGTATCTTAGAGTATCTTAGAAGTTATTATTATTTTATGGTGCAATATGATTACCCTGGAACATAAGAAGCTAAAATTAAAATTTTTGAAATGTATAATTATTTTTCTACTTCTTATTAGTAATATTATGACAAATCAAGAGTACATACACCTTTTTGAGTACATTTGAAATACAAATGCTCCATATTTTGGAAGTTATTAAAGTGAGATATGGTCACCCCTGGGACGTCAGAAGCCAAAATGAGAATTCATATTATTTTAAATGTACAATCATTTTTTACTTCTTATTAGTAATATTATGACAAAGCAAGAGTACATACACCTTTTTGAGCACATTTGAGATACATATGCTCCATATTTTGGAAGTTATTAAGGTGAGATATGGTCACCCCTGGGACGTCAGAAGCCAAAATGAGAATCAATATTTTTTAAAATGTACAATCATTTTTCTACTTCTCATTAGTACTTTTATGACAAATCAAGAGTACATACACCATTTTGAGTACATTTGAGATACATATGCTCCATATTTTGGAAGTTATTAAGGTGAGATATCGTCACCCCTGGGACGTCAGAAGCCAGAATGAGAATCAATATTTTTTAAAATGTACAATCATTTTTCTACTTCTTATTAGTAATATTATGACAAAGCAAGAGTAAATTCACCATTTTGAGTTCATTTGAGATACATATGCTCCATATTTTGGAAGTTATTAAGGTGAGATATGGTCACCCCTGAGACGTCAGAAGCCAAAATGAGAATTAATATTTTTTAAAATGTACAATCATTTTTCTACTTCTTATTAGTAATATTATGACAAAGCAAGAGTACATACACCATTTTGAGCATATTTGAGATACAAATGCTCCATATTTTGGAAGTTAATCATGTGAGATATGGTCACCCCTATCCTGCATGATGCCACAATTTTAAATTTCAATAATTTTTTTCTCCGCCAGTACAAAAGCTATTGATCCAATTTTTAGTATGTGGTATGAACATATATAGGTCCTTCAAAATGAATTTTTTCAGTACATTTCGTACCCTAACGAATCTAAAATAAGTTATTACACGTGGTAGAAGTATGAAAATAGGTGGCGCCCCTGTAGTAAATTTCAAGTTATGCCCTTATTTTCACCCTAATCCACACAAGAAAATTCATACTGATTGTAAATAATGTTTTTGATAAGATTTTATTAGTATTTCAATGTCATTTTACTATTAAAATGTGTTAAAAATTATTTTATACCCCTACCCCCTGTTTGAAAATGAATAGATGGCGCCTCTTTAACTGCCCATAGCGAATTTACTTACCACACATTTTTACTCAAGTTAGGATAATTTACTCTATAGACCAAATAATGACAGACCTACAAATGATTTAAGATACCAAGGTAAGATGTCTAAAGATGCGTAACCATGGTAACTGAATGCCACCATAAAAGTACTATGGGACATTAGTTGGCAATGTTAACAAATGGATTCATTAAATAGACACCCTAGGGATTACAAAAATGTATGTAACTTATTCACACCTTATGGGTGCATGGGAACCCCTTGTTCCTACTATACTACTTCTTCATATGTTTTTAATTACACAACAATGATATATACCTCTCGTGAAATTTTGACAGCATTTTCTTCCTCATCACCTGGAACACAGCCTTCTTTAAATGTCTTACTAAGTAGTTCATGGTCTTCAGTAATGGTATTTTCAAAGTCTAATCCTCTCTCTGCTTTAGTTTTTTCTTCCACTGCTTCAATGTCAGCTATCTTTTTCTCATATTCCCAGATATTGTGCTCTTTTGAGTCTTTTAAAGGTAATGGAGGAATGGGAACATCGACTTGTAAGTCATAGCTGTAAAAGTTCCGTTCTTGTTCAACACTGAACACATATTTGTAAAGTTTATAGTGGGTCAAATATGTTGAGAAATAGTTTGTTGTAAATATTTTTATGTTATTTTCACTAATCCTGTCAGAGAATTGTGCAGCTTTTGACGTATAGCATTTGATCACATCTACAAGTTCTTTACCTGAAAATCAATTTTAGTTGACATAATTGCATCATTTGTAAAATACATGTAGCTATCTTATTTTTATTGAGCTAAATTCTATAGGCCTAACAATCAATTCACTGTCATGGGAAATATATATTTTTATACAACAAATAAACAGGGCTGTCACTGGTTTGTGGGGGATAGGGAGTGGGAGTGGCTTTGGATGGATCTTATGCTAATGTAGATCAATATGGGGTATGGCTAGATCCCCTTGAAAGGTTTTACATTTTAAAATGACTGTGATGGTTTGTTCAGTTTCTAAGTCAAATATAATGGTTTACAATCAACTATCTTCTTGCTTTTAGTCATGGGAGGGGGCTATGACCCATCCAATGCTCCTGAATGAATACACTAGCTTTACATGTACATGTAAGCTTACCTATAGAGTCATTATGTACATCCAGTACAAGATGCAAAACATGAAGAACTTGAGACCATGGGAATCCTTTGGCTATAGCAAACATCAAGTTGTCATAGAGATAGTCGAGTAATATTGAGCTGCGTAAGTCAAAGTCCTCGTCAAAAGCCTTCCAACCCAGACAAGTTGCAAGTCTCTTATGTCCTTCATCTCGCTGTAAAACAAGAAGATCTACATTATAAATCCTGGGATATGATACTGTTGTACATGTATTGCACATGTGAGTTTATCATGTTTATAAATGTATATTGAACACATGATAATATCAAAGCCAACCAAACTTAGCCTCAGCTAATCTAGGCCTACAGAAAAATTGAATGAAAACAGAAGATTTTATTTTGTAAAATGAACCTGAAAATAAAAAGACTTGGATGTATTGGTCAATGTCATTCTTCTAATTTGAGGAAAAATATACTGAACAATACTATGATACTGTTTTTGACATATATTGGTACTCCTATTGACTCCTATCTTACATTTAAAGAACCGATAATTTGGACATCATTTGTTGTTATTGTCGCCATTTTGTAACTAAAGTATACAGTTTCAAATCTCGTAAATTCTCACTCTACTTTAACACTAACCATGAAATATTTAGACACGTTTGTCCTTACAAATACAGTTATACATTTTTAATGGTTCCTAATTTGACTATCAATCTATGAATGATAGCCTTATTTATGTTAAAACGGGATAAATATCACTCATATAAAAAGTCACATGACTTGAGGTATCTAGCGAGACTTCAACGAGATTAGAGAAAACATGCAAACTCTGCAGGTGCTTTTCAGGTTTGTTTTTGCTTATAAGTTAACTTCCCTTTTCGATATATTGATAAATTTTTTTATTTCGTGTCTTAGAAATATTGTGAAACACGTGAATATACAATTTAAGATATCCATTCACTTGAAACTTTGTGAATTCGAACTTTGTTTTTGTTATTTTTCAAAAAATTCAATTTTTTCATGACTTTTTTTATTTCAATCAAAGTAGAAGCTTAGATCACTGACCTTTGCCAGATTTTCCTCCTGTTGGCCATTATGAGGTAATATTGTTACAGTTTGAACATGAATTATCGATAAACTTCTTTTTCCACGTATTGTGGAAATATGTATGGCACATTGTAACGACTCTGGATAGCAAGTTGCTTCTACAGCACAGCTGCAGTGGCGCTATATAGCTCAGTTGATAAAGCATCAGACTAAGGGTCCTAGGTTCGATTCCCACATATGGCATACAATTTATCGAGATATTGATTCTTGTATCTGATGAGAACACGGGTGAAAACATCAAATCCGAGTCTCCCTATGTTATAATTCTCATATTCTCATGCCTGTATGTAAAACATATGTAGAGGGCCTAACATTTGTACATTTTGGTTTGTTTTGTAGCTTGGCTATCATGCGTGTGGCCTCTAATATTTCGATGCTTCTCTGCCATGTTATTTTCGAAAAAATTAGCATGGCTGAAACTCCCAAAATTACAAAATGCCACAGCTTTGTTGCATATTATACCTAACTATCTGAAATATACAAAAGTTAGTTAGGTCTTGTACATATTTTTCTATGTTTTCATCTGTTGCAAAGTGGTCCTTTGATTGCTTATTTTTTGATCAAAATTGTTCATGGAATTATGAATCTGACTGTAGTTGGGTCTCCTTGGGGCCACAACATGTCTCAAAAGATGTGTATTGTAACTATTGTTTGTTGTCAACTTTATCTTAATCGCTTGAATGTCAGAGACAAGCACCAGTGACTAATTGCCGAAATGCTACTAGATTAAGTATTGTTTATTCATTATTACAGTCGAAATGTTGAGACATGCGCAGAGCTCTATTTAGTGATATTTTCATTTCAAATATGGCGGCCAATCCGATGTCTGACGACCCTTACAAAGAATCTAGGCAGTGTGCATTTTTACCTCCTGTGAAATAACAAGTGGAATTAAGTAGTTGTTTTGTGTTTTATTATCATTCTGCATTATTATTCTATGTGATGTGGTGTTGAAATGTCAGAAGAAATACATATCCATACGATAATCGAGTGAATCAGATAGCAGATTTTTCGAAAACCCGTCTCGTGCTAAGAGTGTAAAAACTTGTATTAACATGCTCAAAAGTGCCAATGTGCAAATCAATGTCAAGCTAAATCAATGTTGTGTCTAAAACAGGTACCTGATCTACTCAAAACAGCTTGTCATTCACGTATACACGCTTAGCAAACACGGCGAAATGATCTGAATCTTGGAATTTTGTTCGAGAGCTAGTAATGTTTGCTCCGGTCTTCGTCATAAGTGTTCATCAGACTTCACGCATGCTCAGGAGAAAAACCATAAACCAATAACGTTTATAAATCAATTTTGCGCATGCGCCTTACAACAGTAAAGAAATTCGTATTTATAAACAAACCAGTTTGAGATAACCCGATATCAGTCGAAGAAATCTGACGATCTACGAAACTCACTTCAAAAAATCAAATGCGGACTGATGGCGTATTCTACTATGTTTGGATCTAAGATTTTTAGTATAGATAAAGTCTTTTATGATCTTTCGAATGAGGTAAGTCTCTAGTTCGAAAGACAATCGTATCAACTTGAACAAAAGTTAAAATGTTAACATGCGCAGAAGTCCCATTTTCGTTGTACCATATTGACTGATTAGTCAAAACATGTGACCAGTCAGTATCGCACTGCAGTTTCAATTTCAGTTTCAGTTTGAGACAGTAATTATCCATTTCGGGACGAGACATTTTGGCCAGGAAGGGTCATAACCAATGAAATAGTTAATAACTTTAAAACAGTTCAACAACTTACATATTTTGTCTACTTCCCGTTATGCTCACGTATCGCAGATCTTTTGAACGTCACAAGAGGGCTGCGCATGTTGCGCAAAAACTTGTTATCTGTGATTAATTTTAACACAGATACAAGGATTCTGTGATTCCACGTCGCCGCAGAAAAACAGTTTTTACTGGCATGTACCAGGTCGTTCAATAAGTTCACGGAAAAATGCTCTCATTATAAGGATTTTTGATATTTTCTCTTGAAATTTTCACACAATGTATAAAAAATACTTTCTGATTGATTCTGAAAATATCAGCATCTCTTATTTGATTGGTCAAAAATAAGGGTTACTATGGTAACTTGACTTTTGGGTAGGCGGGGCACTTTTTACGTCACATTATTCATTAGAAAAACAACAGAATAGTAGGCAATTTATGAGTTTATTCCATAATACTACTGTTTTCCCAGGGAAATATGAAGGAATAAAAATCGTATTGAATCGTATTACATGAAAAAATCGTATTGTCCCCGGGAAAAAAATCGTATTGGAGCGTATTACATGGAAAAATCGTATTGTCCCCGGGACAAAAATCGTATTGGAACATATTAACCTATTTTTGGTTTTCCCGGTTATTCTTAACCTTGACTAATTGATAAAAGCATTATCCAAATGTAACATTTTAAGGAGGAGTGCATTATGGAATAAATAGGTTATTTCTGGTCGGTATTGAATATGGGTTTTATTCCTCGGAAAATATGATATTGACCTTGGGAAATATGATATTGACACTCGGTCGCTGCGCTCCCTCGGTCAATATCATATTACCCTTCGGTCAATATCATATTGTCCCTCGGAATAAAACCCATATTCAATCCCTCCCAGTAAATAACCTATATATATCACATGAATTTCTTCTCCGCTTTCTACTTGTACATGATATTACTTAATGTAGTTATAGTAACAACTATTGTCCCATAAGGTTTTAGAAATATTCTCCCGCATGTTTAATGCACAGTAAGTTCCATTCAAGCCATTGACGAGACAATGCTCTGAAGTCATCTCGAAAACTTTTTTGAAGGGCAATCTGGACTGCAGTCGAAAGTAGATTCATTGTTTCATAAAGTCAACCTCTTAGCTGATCCTTCATCCTAGTGAATACAGCAAAATCAAAGTTGTCTCATCTGGAGAGAATGTAACTTGGGGCAGCTTTGCCATCTATTTTGCCAGTTATTTGTGATGGTTTCCTGCACAATATTAGCAGTGTGATCGGCTGCATTATTCTGATGGAAAGATTTAGAGTTCGGCTGAATGGAAGTTTTAATCAACTTACCATACCATTACTTTGTTGATTTTCTGGTCCACTGGTACAGCATTAACTAGCACAATTTCAAAAATGTTCGTGAAAACCATTAACATCAATTTTCCCTCAAAAATTTGTAATTTGAATAAGAACAAATAAAAAATAAGGATCCTTCCTTTGCACATATTGATAGATTTCTGTAATGGTAAATTGTGTGACGTAAAACGTGCCCCGCCTACCAAAAAGTCAAGTTACCATAGTAACCCTTATTTTTGACCAATCTAATTAGAGATGCTGAGATTTTAACAATCAATCAGAAAGTATTTTTTATACATTGTGTGAAAATTTCATGAGAAAATATCAAAAATCCTTGAAATGAGAGCGTTTTTCCGTGAACTTATTGAACGACCTGGTATGGTACATACAATTTGGTTTCCTGGTTGGTACCACTTATTGTTTTTTGGTTGATACTACACAGGGAGGAGCTGGAGATATGCCGCATACTAAAATAATAATCATGGCATTTAAGTGCTAATTGAGTACTCATTTCAGTAAATATTAGTACAACATGAGCACTTATGACATGAATACTGATTTATTGCATTTTTAGTACTAAATAAGAACTCATATAATGAGTGATAAAATAGCGCTAATTTCATTGATTTTTCAGTACTCATATATATGCCAAGTACTCAGTTAGTACAAAATTAGCACTTAATTAGCACTGATAGCACAAGTGCTCATAAGCGCACTTTTGCCGGAGTACTAATTTAGTACTTATTTTGTACCAATTGAGTAATCGGCATATCTCCCTGTGTTGCGGTTTTCCTGATCAGTACTTCTTGCTGTTTTCTGGTTGGTACTATTGAAGCCATTATACTCCAGTTGTCCTATATTTTTTCCTATTCAAAGTATTTCTTTTATCATATTATTTGAATCACATACAGGTATATGTGACTGTACAATCAATGCAGAAATAATATATTTTATAGATTTTCCTAAAAATATAAGGGTAACTGCTTTGTCCTTGATAGATAAATCTAGGATGTATGAATATGCATGTATTAGCTATTAATTCATTATCTGTTATCATTGTCTTCTGGAATGTTTCATACCGGACAATTATTGGAGGACTTGTTTGTCGGGATTAACACCACAATGCTGTTCAAATATTCATCTTTTTATGTGGCAGAAAATAACTAGCGAGAGAGGTAATGATATTACTTATACATTAATATACAGTTGCATTGTGCTTTTAGAGTCTGCTGCAAAAGATTATTATATAGTGTAACTATGGTGAAATAATATTTGCTGGCTGTTGGTAGACAAAAAACCTTTAAGGTAAGGAAGGAATTTAACAACTAAACTTATCATCTGATTAGATGCTTCGATAGCTTTTGATAGATTTAGTTTTTCTATTTGATTTATAGTTTTATTCATAGAGTGTAATGTTCGCTTCCACAATCAGCAATCTTTTGTCAAATATTATGTAAAGCATATTTTTAGCACAGTTCAAAGACAATGTTGAATCAAATATGTATTTTTAACAATTCTGAACATAGTGAAATCGTGGGCTTGAAATATAACTTGAATTAATTAATTGATTCAAAATTTTCTAAAATCTAATGATAGTCCAAGTAAAAATTACTAATTACTAATATAAGATTCTTCACATGCATAAATTTAAATGACATATTTGTTAAATGGATGTTGGAAATCTTTTATCTTGTGAGATTATATCTCACCCTTGGTATACGCAGCTAACGAAAATTGACCGGTACGGGTCAAAAGCTGGACCGGCACGGGTTAACGGTTTTATTTGAATTTAAAACAGCCATAACTTGCTCAATATTGACTTCCTCGTGTCTAATTTGAAATATATGATGCCTTCCGATGCTTTTAAGTACCCCAATTTTTTACAGATTTTTAAACGATCCAAAACGCTCTAAATGCGCATTTATGCTCTTTTCTCTCGAGAACGACTGTCTCATTTTCATGATAACTTTTATTTAGTACTTCTAACATATATATTCTATCTTTCCCCATCAAGGTATGATGTAAATGACATGCTATTTACATCTTGTGAGTTTCAATGATGCACGTTTGATTTTATAAAAAATGCCAAACTTTGTGACAAAGAATTTCATCCTGCTTGCAGTGAGAAGACGGACCGGTTCGGGGCAATCTGCATGCAGCGAGAAGACGGACCGGTTCGGGGCAATAGCTGATGAAATTCTTTGTCATAAAGTTTGGCATTTTTTATAAAATCAAACGCGCGTCATTGAAACTCACAAGATGTAAATAGCATGTCATTTACATCATACCTTGATGGGGAAAAATAGATCTTATATGTTAGAAGTACTAAATAAAAGTTATCGTGAAAATGAGACAGTCGTTCTCGAGAGAAAAGAGCATAAATGCGCATTTAGAGAGTTTTGGTCCGTTTAAAAATCTGTAAAAAATTGGGGTACTTAAAAGCATCGGGAGGCACCATATATTTCAAATTAGACACGAGGAAGTCAATATTGAGCAAGTTATGGCTATTTTAAATTCAAATAAAACCGTTAACCCGTACCGGTCCAGCTTTTGACCCGTACCGGTCAATTTTCGTTAGCTGCGTATACCAAGGGTGTATCTACTGTTTCACAGAGAGCATGTTTCTTAATGGACACCTTAAATATGAAAGTATGTGTACTTCGGGTAAATATTCTGTAGGTGGTATATGTTGTATAAGGGGGATTACATTACATGTACCAACTTACACGTAAAAGTGGATGGTGGCCCATGATGGCCAATAGACTTATACGCAATAGACGAAAACATGGCCATTAATATAAATATCTTCATCCCGCAATGCAAATTTTCATTGGTCCGTTGATTAATCTAAATTCTCCCAACCTTAAAACCATGTTTTTGTGTATTGTCGGAACGATAAATTTTATACTAATACCAAGATACAACCTCACAATAGATACCAGTCAAACAAATGTAAACATGAAATCAAGCCCACATTATAGACACAAGAAACTTGCTTCTTGTTTCATATCGAGTCATCGGGTCTTGGCCTCCGGGAATGAAATTGGTGATGTCATCATAAAACATTTCATTTTATCGATTGTGAAAATGTGCATAATGTGAAGAAGAATGTAAAATTCAACCTGAAATGATGTGGTCAAAATTGGGCCCTGTTTATTTCAATGGGGAAAACCCCGGATGTAAGAAATCTGTACCTGGAATTTGAGCTCTTCAACACGAGAGGAAAGAATATTGTTGTCATTCTGAACTATCGCATATAAGTCTATATTCAGGAAACACAAGATACCTTTCTTAGCACCTTACCATAGATAAGCCCAACAATTTAAACAAGTTCTTTAAAATAATAAAATCATAAAAGAATCTGTAATTAACTAAAATTCAATCTTTTGACAGTAGTAGGATTACATATGATTAAAACACATCAATGATAGCTAGTTCAAGTCCATAATTGTTTACTTTATAAAATAAGCCTAAACACTGCATTACAATATATGTCCATGTTAAATGTCTCATGTATCATTGGGTTACATGAAATGAGTGTCTTCATTTTTGTCATAATATCTTAAAAATTGTTTGTTTAGAAATACAACATGGATGCATTAAGACACACCAACTAATCTTGACCAATGATAGCTCCAATATATGGTATCTATTTGTTTAATCTCAAGTGTTATCTTTATGCTTTATATCTAAGATCTAATATTTTATTTAGTATTTACTAGCTAATTTGTATATAACGTCCATTTAAATATTGTCAGTATACATCAGTCCTGTTGAATGTATTATGTGATAGCCATTACAGAAGACTAGCCTTAAGAAATCTCATTATATACTGTATTATAGGAATTCAAATTGGGGATATAATTAAAATTGTTGGATTACATATTGTAAGCAAATTATACATGTCAGTTCTGATCTTGTCTGAAGGCAGAAAATCACATTTTGTGCCATCAATTAGCAATGGTTGATGGCATGAAACGTGAGATCTGTTCTTGGCTGAGATTCTCTTGAAGTTATTCAGGGTAAGTCAAATTTTGTATTATTTATTAATTTATCTTCATTTTTTATTTTTTTGTAAACTACGCCTATATAACAGCGGCACATAGAATTGATGATTTGCGATCACCCGATGGATTCTATCTCGTTTTTGACATCACAACTGGGGTATTCTGCTATAGCTGTTTGATTTTGAGGGATTATCTTCTGTATTTCGTGCTTTATTGATTTATTTTTCACAAAGTTGTTTGATTTTGAGTAGACCAACATTCATTCTTAGCACATGCCAAGTCTAAGATTTTACTGACATGATCTAGATTGCAGTTGAGCGCCCCCCGATTTTGAGAAAACAGGGGGCGCTTTTAGGCATCGATTTTTGATGGTAAATATCCGACCCATGCTTTGGGGAATGATTTTATATGATTTTAATTATTATGAGATCAGCCTGACACAATAGGTATGAAATGAAATCTCATTTGTTCCCACTCAGGATCATCATTTGTCTCTGGTTACTTTCATATGAGTTCATTAATCTAACAGCTAAAAATACTGTTACTTGTTTATGGTTAATGAAAAAAAAGTTTATGAGTAATTTATTTCAATACTCATTGTTATAGCCCAAAATTTGTAACCAGTCTTGGTATTGACATTTTGCATCAGCATCTGTGACAAATGGTTACACCTTTGCAATTTTGCAACCAGGTGATGATATTTTATACAAGAAATTGTTGATGGTTTATAGGGGTTCATGTAATGTTGCCCTTTGTGTATTCTATTGATTTTTTGATTAGTTTTGATATCTGTAACAATCGTTACACTTACGTTATTTGCAATAATTTCGGAATGTGAGGAGTTTCAAGCATATTATTGGCAGTATCTGTTTCTATAGTAACGAGCAGTCATCACTTGTATAACACTTTTATAATATGCAATAACTTAAAAAGAAATGTGATACGGTCTGTACCATGGACAAGTAATTGAAGTCTTAGCATTGCAAGAATTTTATTTATTTATTGATACAAAGAATATTTTATTATAACAAGTGCACATGTGCAAGAATTTTAACATTGCAAGAATTTAAATACAATTTGTTGTTACAAAGTAATAAGTAAGAGATTCTAGGATTGTGTACAATCAGGTGTTGACATTTTGCCATGTAAATGCCTTGCAAGTACGTTCACACATTGTACCATATGAACATTGTCAAATATAAATACCAATTTATATAAACATTGTCTTATTAAACCTTCAATATTATGACAGATTGATTGATCCAAAATCAATACCATATAAGCAAGTTCATATTCAGTTTTTTGCATAATATTATATTATCAATTTAGATGAAAGGGGCGCTTGTAGATGTCAAATTTAATGAAAATACACCTAATAAGTGCTTGTTAATTAGCTTTAACGTAGTGTTTATTGTTTTAGACAAGGAAAAGAACCATCCAAATTCTGACTTCTGTCGTTTTCTTGGAATTCAATCAATAATCTGATCTCACTCTTTTGAATCCACCGTGAGGTATCGTAATATTAAACCATTTAACAAATGCAAATATTATTTGAAAGAATATTGAGTCACTTCAAAGGTAGAGAAAGAAGGGAACATTATCTAACATGTTGTCATAGTCTCCAACTTTTCTGTGGATGGTGTTCAACGTTTGGTATTTGATAGTTTTTTCACAGCCTTATATCTCTCTTTTTGTTGGTTTGTTCTTGGCAAGGCAGAGATAGTCTGAGTATCAGAATGATCATTCCAGATTCAACCTATATGATTGTGAACTTTATTTATGAGTCTTTGTATATCTTATATTTATGTAATTATCCGCCTGTTGCTATTAACGCTTTAGTCTTTAAATATTTGACAGCAATTAATATCAATAATGATTCAAGACTTAACTGAGAAAGACAAGATGCACATTTATCCCATAGTTTATATAAAATTAGTGTAACAAAACAGGTGGATAAAAAACTAATTTTTTAAATATGTATATTTATGTTGTTCCTGGTCTAAATCCTGTATAAGTTGGAAATGTTCAACTTAGAAAGGTTCTTTGAGTATGAAGTTGTTGGTGATTGTACTTTGAAATGTTTAACTAAAAGGTGCTCTACTTTCAGAAGTGTTCAACTTGACAAAATAAAATATGATATACTGGTTGTGATAGCTAAGCAATTAAAATTATTTTGTTTCATGAATTATTCCAAAAAATCATGATGTTCTACAATTTTACTTATTTTGATGATTGTAAGTTAGAAATATTATATTTATACATAATCTATCTCAGTATTTTTTCTCAGATGACTTATCATTTTTCTAAATTCAATTTGTAGCTTTCTCATAGTTAGAAAATGTCATCAAAACTCCTTGTGTTCTGGAGGGAATAATCACTTATGCATATAAGTTCCAGTCTTGATTAGTGTCTCTAAGTATAAGTTACCATGGAAACCAGATGTGTTATCCCTAAATGAATTATTAGATGCTAGAATTAAGCCAATGAACCTGGTAATTGGAATATAACCGGATGACACATTCAGGATTCATTTTTTTAACACACAGCTCATCACCAAGACATAACAGGTAAATATTAAAGAATCATTAAAATAGATTTTAAAGGTAAGAAATCAAAAGTTCAAACAAATTCCAAATCTGTTTGTTTTTTCAGACAACAAAAAATGGTTTTGATGTGCTAAGTAAAAATGTGTATCTGATATAACAGCTTCCTGAAAGCAGCTGGATATTGTTCGGGAATTAGAGTTATTGATCTCTACAGATTGTGTTGTGGCGACCAAGCCAGGTTCACTCTTGCCTTACAGATTCTCTTTGTAATGTTCTCTGTGTAATTTTATCTGTCTTTTTCATCTGAATGAAATTAAAACTATACTATCGCTTGAAAGACATCAGATAGTGGTCAATGTTATGAATTTGCATAAGTTATTTATATTTATATTTATTTTATTAGAAAGCTATAATCAGGTTGGTATTTTGTATTGGGAATGTGACATCACAGTTAGTTAGTGGCACACTCGAGCACCCTTACTATTATACATACTAGATACTCCACTCAGGGTTAAAAGCTATCATCACTGATCCAAGAGCCCTCGGGACAAAACTCAAATGCTTATGAGAGAGATTCACTAGTAAAATACACTTCAAATGTTTATAATGATACACTTATGATTTTTATATTTTTCCCCTAGATTTTTTCATCATATTATTTTATTGAAGCCAGATTGCTCCCAAAGCATTTAATTTTGTATCTTGATATCATTAAATTTTTTTTTTTTTATTATTTTCAAAATCAAAACATATTTACATATACATTTAATCAAGAATACAAAGGTTAAGTAAGGTGTGATAATATAAAATATAAGGCTACAGTAAGTACATAAACCTGCAGTAATCTCACATCTAATCTATAAGATGTAAGAAAGAATAAAATAAACCCATAAAGACATGAAAAAGAAACACAGCAAGTACATGTCTATAAAGATGTGAAAAAAGTATATCTACATATACTATGATCTACATCTACTATGTTAATATAACAAGTCAAAAATATTAATGCAGTCCTCTAAAAGGTGCAGCACTTCACTTTGATATCATTAATGAAACTCAGTCTATCATAAAATTAATGTTCTTGTTTTGCTTTCTTTTGGATAAAAATAATTGGCAGGCTTTTAGATTATATTTTCATTGATCAACATATTTATATAGGAAATACAGACCAGTATATTATATATGGATTATGTAAATCTATAATATATTGATATCTCAATTAAAAGGGTATTAACCCTGAGAGTTTATATAAGTTTATATAAAATATAAATATTGGTGCGAAAATGAATAGTATGTTCTGAACAATAGATCTTTTATAGAGGATCACCTGTGTGATGAGAATATCTCGGAATGCAAATACTTTTTGACAAAAATAGTCAACTATAACATTTTATCTGTTTGTTAATGGAAGATGCGTGTTGAGTCCTACATATTGATTAAACTTGCATGAGCTTTGCTTGCTTAACAATGTTACAAAAGAATCTAGTTTTCCAGCTCATTAATGTTGTTATGCCACCTTGATGTTGTGTTTTGTGTTTATGAATCTTTTCATAAATATGGATGTTAAATTTTTTTGAATGGAAATAAGCATTTCTAGGAAGAAAAGTTCTGTTCTTCATCCAAGGTTTTTATGTCACCACCAAGAAGTCGTAACATATTGTTAAAGCCACCATCTTCTGTGACCACTTTGCCATGTGGTGACATTTTCATATGAAAGCTTCATTTAAAATTTATTTCTGTTTTTGATGAAATCTTAAAATGTTCTGAGAAAAATGAAAGAAATTTTGTTCTAAATCCCATTGTTATCTCACTGAACGAAGTTCAAGGGGGATATAGAGAAGCCATCTGACTGTGCATTCATTTGTCCGTGTGTCCTGGCAATGACTCCAGTAGCGATTGACTGATTTGATTCAAATTTTATAGGCTTATGCCTTATGGGTGTAGGACCTCTGCTCAAGAAAGAATTTTTTTCTGGCCACTCAAGTCACAATAGCCACCATTTTTGTTAAAATTTATAATCTTTGATAACTCAAATTTTATCTACTGATGCCTAATCACAAAGAAGCTTTGCTCAAGAAGAGATTTTTTTTTTTTGGCCACTGAATTTCAAAATGGCCGCTAATTTTCTTAAAAAAACATAAAACTCAAATGCCAGTAGACAGATTTTTTGCTTCAGATTTTACATGCTAATGCCTAGGCACACAGTAGCTCTGTTCAAGAAAGTATTTTCAAGAAATAAGATTATGAGATGATTTCAACCGGGATTTCTAAAGAAAGGAAATGTTTGTGATTGAAATGTCATCTTTGTATTCATATCTATTGTGTCAAAACAACATAAGCTTATCTTACCATCCTTTGTGACATTTGATTTCTAAGATTAGTGTTACAGACATCTATATATGTGATATTTCCATTGAAATGTTATTATAATCTATATTATCTATTACCCTTATTGTATCACAGTTAAGTAAACAGGTATATCTGTTACCTCAATGAAACGTTTGTCATATTTTCAAAGGTGTGATACCGCACTCCCCCCATGTTTTAGCTCATTTTGCTCAAATCAGGTCATCATTTTTGCCAAGTATGATTTTTTCATGAATTTTTAATTTTCATTGGGATGCCTATAATAATATGGATGCAGTTCTCGAGAACTCATTAGATTTGAAGGCACTTTGGCTAAATGTATTAATCTTTTCATTTTTTTTAGTTTTGATATGTTCACTGTATATTCTATTGCAATCATTAAACCTACCAAGTGATTGTTGAAATAATGTTCATATACTAAAAAGGGTCATTTTATTAAATATAGCTGCTGAGTATGTAACATGATAGGGAAGAAGGGTTCTTGAATTACTAGTGTGCAGATTTGTTCATTTTGCTTGCAATATTAGCTTATGTAATGCTGATGGCTAGGATCTGACAGATATAGGTATATGTTGGTATCATTTGTGCAAAGACCGGGTACTAAATATCTTAGATACTATTTATGGGAAGTGATTTTCTAATAAATACATCTTTTCTGTATGTTCTCTTTTAATGCTTGGAAACATCATTATTATAAGTGAATGTAATTTTTGACATCAAACATAAGATAATTATCAATTGGACATAATTAAATGTATATTAGGAAAGAAAAAATGATTATATGGTTGGTTCTCATAATAGACTTTATTATTAATAATCGTGTACATTCAGAAATTACATGCTTTTCAGCAATGGTCAATCAATTAGTTATACAGTATAAGATATTGTTCTGACTTATTTTTGTTGGTTAGTTACCTCAGAATCAATAAAATACAAGTTCATTAATGGAAATCAATATGGGTCCGTGTCTGGATGTTTCTAGAGGGTGGGCTTTTCAGAAAATATCATGGCTTGCCTCAGGCCCAAATGGTATAATGGAAGCAGAGTAAAGAGGATATATTATGTATCATTGGAAAGTTTATTCAATTCCCAGTATTTTGAGTTTACTTATCATATTCTAAGAACATCGGGGTTTATCGTTTCTACTGACAATTTGGGCATGTCAGTTACTTTAATCAGCTCTAACTTACCTTCTAGGGGGACTAGAGTCACATTTTCTGAATAAGCACGTTTATCAAAAAATCTAACCATTTCAGGGTTGATATTCTAATCTATTATTTATTGAGGGTCTTTAGAGTATTGTAATTGGCATTAGAATGATATTTTAACTTTGTTTTTTCGGCGGTAAAGTGTCATTTGTATTACCCCCCTGGTGATAATGGCCTTAAATTAAAGTTTTTATTTTATAGTATGTTCACATGTAAGCTTATCTTTTGAGGCTTAATTGGTCAATATCGATACATTTTGACATGCTATATCAATTTATATATTCATTACTCAATAGGATACACTTTCCATTTCCAAAACATATAAAGATATATAAATCATATAAAGCATATTAGATATTTGAAATCGATCAATCCATCATTAATTTATAAGGAATGATAGGTTTTATATGGGAAGGTGTTTCATGCAGGTGGTTTACTGTTGCCATGGTGACATTTTCATGGTGGAATGTTTGTTTCTTCGCCACCTGTTGTACACAAGCTGAATCAGCTCTATGTTGGATATATTTTCAGTTAAAAGCTGATAGCAGAGCATAATTATCTTATTCTGATTAGCTGAAGTGGATTTAATAGTTTTGCTTTTGCTGTATTATTAGATATTAGAAATATATGCAGCGTACAATTCTAGTAAAGCAACAAACATGTTCTCATACATGATCAAGGAGGATTGGAAGCCGTTATTCAAACACGATACTCCAAGATTATTGAAATATAAACTGTAACTGTATTTTGCATTAAATAGTGGTCATTCTTAAAATCTTTTTATCTTTTTCCAGGTAGAATCATGATTGGAGATCAGAACTGACGTGTATAATTTGCTTACTGTCACAATGCAGCGCAGTCCGCAGCAGCCTGGCAATACAGGCCACAACCCAGGTGGAACCACTGGTTACTCAGACCCGTCAAACCAAACTAATAAAACAGTTTACTTTTATAAAGATGGCGATACTAACTTTCCCGGGATTAGACTCAGTGTTAACTCGCGTAAAACGCGGAATATGGATGCATTGTTAAATGAGTTGAATTCTAAAATACCAAATATGAGTTTTGGAGTTCGTAGTGTATTTACCCCTGGTGGTCATGACAGTATTCATTCTGTTGACGATCTTGCCCATGATGGCAAATATGTATGCTCAACTCATCTTAATCGTGCCAAAGGGGTCAATCTTCAACATGTTCGAGGATCACGCTCATGGCATCAAGCTGGAAGGCCATCTAGTGGCAAACGATCGTACTATGCCTCATTACGGCAAATTGAGAGCGAAAGGATTTATAGACCAAGAGCCGCGCCACCTGTCTCTAAAAAACGCTTATCTCCCAGACCTCCACCCCCTCAGGCCAAACATAAACCCCCCAGGAAAATCACAGTGATGAGGAATGGGGAACCTGGAGATAAACATGTCATCTTACTAAATACGAGAACAGCACAGACGTTTGACCAAGTCATGAATGATCTTTCTTTTACCTTCAAAATGCCTGCAAGGAGGCTGTATACTCTCGATGGAAAACCGGTAAGTTCTCAACATAAATCATTATTTTCAGTATTGGGTATTTTGTACTTTGCATATCTTATCATAATTAGCAAACTCTATGAAAAGAGCCAATTAATTTTTTTCAATCAGGGTTTCATAGTTTTTAGTACTTCCATACAATACACCCATTATTATTTTGCTAAATACGATGAAAGTCACAAATGGGAAAATCCAATCAAAGCAAGTTTGGCTTTTAATCAATGGAAAATGAGGCTCAGGTGGTACCTTTGCATGGCATTATAGCACCTACTCTATCATGAAAGATCACCCTTTAGCACTTCTTTATGGTGTTTGCTAGTGCCGTATCAGAAAGACGTGGTCTGCTAAGGTTTCATCCCATATTCAGGAAAATAGGTAAATTGATATATTTGGCTGGACTAATTCTATTTACTGCTCAGTATATAGAAGAATAAAGTACCCATCTATCTTAGTATTCCAAGGCAATCTCTAATGTCAATAACATAATCTTACCTGGCCGTATGATTAGATGTTCTCATTCTTAAGTAATTAATTAACTGCAAGATATCAGCTCTGTTCTTCTATTAGTGAAAGTGCTTAAGTGGCATATAATTTAATGAATCTAATCAAGGATGAAGAGTCCAATTTACTCTGATTGAAAGATATTTTCTTATAATGATGATGAATCTTGATTATAAGGCTGTTAGACAAGAGCAATATAAATTACAAAATGCAATATGAAGAATGAATCAAAAAATTCATCACCAGATTTTTGACAAGAATTGGACATATACATGTAGATTGAGACGGGGATTGCAATTTACAGTTTTCCTCATAGTCACTGTCAATGGACTTTGAAAACCTGTTGCTTGAGCACTTGTAGTAGACTGATAATTTCATATATTATGACCATCATGTTTTAAAATAGTTGTGAACCCGAAATAGTGAATGAAATTATTCATGAAAATATTTGAAAAACCACTAACTTTTATTTTATATTCATAATTCCAAAGAAATATCCCAAACTCTGCTCATTTGCATGTATTTTGAATCTTCATTATTTTTTGTTCAAGGTTTCTGGACTTTCTGGTATATTCAATGGTCCTGATACATTTGTCTTAGCTGGCAAAGACAAATTCAAACCCATGTATGGGATGGTTCCCTACGCAATGCAACAGAAACGCAGCCCCCGATCTAGTCAAGATGGCCGTCTAAGTACATCAGATGGAACTGTTGCCGGCAGATTGAAGGATAAAAGAGAAAGAGCCAATAAGACCAGTAAGTTTTCAAGTTAACAGAAAATATTTTGGCTCGAAAAGTTCTGTATTTTAGCCAAGTGAAATACATATACTGTTCAAGTATATTATCCTTTCAGTATTTCCTATTTTGATACAAGTACCAAGAAATGATAACGCATATCGTGGCCTTAACAAAATAGTATGTTACTAGAGGGATGTTATACAGATGATGTAGGGTGTTGGTACTGGATATATTCCATTGACCAATCAGATTGCTTGAAATTACACCATCATCAAATAAATATTTATATTGAAGGAGGCAAATGGAAGGTGTGGGTGACAACCAATGAACTGCCAGCATCAGGAACGGGATCCAATGTCACCCTGACAGTCTACGGGAAGAAAGGCAACTCAGGGCCATTGCCACTAGGTGGTGCTGATTTGGGAAGTTTTGCCGCAGGGAATGTTGATCATTTTGAGGTAAAGTAACATTATTGAATCATGTTTTGATATGAAATAGTTCTTAATTCATATTAGAACAAGCAGTCATTTCCATTATGTACCACCTGGCGTGAAGTATTATATTGCATGTTTTGTTCCCTGATGTACGATTTGATATATCAAGTTTCAAAAGATATACCTTTGAAAGTGATGCTTCTACTAACATTATAGAGATGATTCTGCATGTAGACTGTGATGTTATGATTTATAGCTTATATACAGGGGGTGCCAAACCCCTGAAAATCTCAATCTCAAACTAAATGGTATATACTTATATATAAGAAAGCATCTTTGAATCTATTCCTTTGTAAATGTTTATAAATCATATTATCAGTTTTTTATACACATCTATTAAAATTGCTTTGGTAATGAATGAAGCATTCAAACCATTTTCGTATTTAATGTTCAGTGTTATAGTATCTATACTTTTGTACTACTATATAGATAATGCACATTTTAGATAGATTCTGCTACTACAATACACAGTGTAATTGTACCATCAAATGTGTGATTTTAAAGCTTCTAGGAAATGATAATGAATATCTCTTTAGCAATTGTCAATTTTCAAAGATGAGAAATAAGGTCAGTACATTGATATAGACTCCACAATTGATGGAAGAATTTGATGATTATTCCGAACATTCATTTTGGAAGGGGAGGATTGTGACCAAATTGAAAATTAGACAATGTCAAAACATTGACCTGGTTCCTTAATACATTTGAAAACTTGGCAATAATGTTATTTGTAATCCATGGTAAGTTTTTGTGAAATTGATACTGCACATGTGTTTCAAATCTGCATTCTCCTTTTTAGGGAAAACTGCTTTATTTCAACAAGGTACTATTTTACCAAATTAAATGTGTATATAATCTTTTTGATTTTCAATTAAGCTAACTAGGCCAATAGAGTGTTTAAAACAGAGTGCTTATTCTTTGCTTAATATACCTGCATAGTTTACTAATATCATTCTGAGGTTTGGTAGGGTCATCATCTGATTTTCTGGAACTTGTAGTAGTGTTCTGTAATATTTTGTGTAAAAGGAAAGTCCTCTATTCGTTCAATTTTTGTGTAACCATTGCCATGAGGTGTTTATACTAATTTCAATGAAGTTCAGAAATAAATTGAGTCGACACAAGTTATTTTTCAGATTTCTTTCACCATTTAAAGAGTTTGTTATTTTCCAATTGCCCCCTGTCCATGAATGAGTTATTTACAGTTATTAATTTTGTCACGATGTCAGGTCCAAATGATAATTTTATTTATATTCCTGTCGCAAGGAGGATTGGCAGCCATTATTCAAACTTGATACTCCGTTGCCCGGCGTAAACAATTTAGTAAAAATATTTCTATAAAATTCTCTTTTCACCAAGCTAGAAGATATATATTACAAATATTATGGGAATATTCAAGATTTATTGGCAGTTATAGTCTTCAAAATATGAGTATAATTATTACCAAATTGGTCCATGCAGGGCAACGAAGTATCGAGTTTGAATAAAAATAATCTCTGAAATGAATCTATAACGTTATAACTGTGTTTATGTGTTATTTCTTAAGTCCTCTTCTAATTAGTATAGTTTCCATATAGCTTTTGAAATCTCGCTAAATCTCGTTTTTCGTGAGATTTTAAGAGACTTGCATATTAGACCTCTAATGACTTACATTACCTTCTTTTAAATGGTATATTTGAATTCAGTGGAATGTTTTCTCCTAAAATAGCTTTGATTTACACAGTTATGTAATTTGAATAATTTTCTATGACAATTTAAAAAAAGTTGGGCCAAATGTCCATAGATGCAATGCTAAAATTCTTTAAAACCGTGGATTATTTGTATGTCAATCAACATTAGCATGTTTAATCACAACATGTTCATAAACAGGGTCATCATGTGGTATATCATTCAAGTTTTATACAGATTCAACAAACACACTTTGATAAATCATGAAATTAAGCCACTTTTCCAAGATTTTAGCATGTAAGTGAATGGAGCTCTAGCCAGAGTTAAAAGCTGAATAAAAGATGGCACCACGAGATTTCATTGATTTTTCTGCTATTTAGAAACTATCCTATTGTTCAGACTGCTTTTATGCATTAATACCTTTAAATGTTTTCTTGGAGTCTTTTCTTTGATCATAATATCCCTACATATATCTCACCATGTATTTATGTTTCAAACTAATTTATTGTATTGTGTTTACTGTTAATGTATTGAATTGTAATGTATATGTATTGTGGATATTCATTAGGGGATTTGAACAAACAGTTACTACTCATCAGTTCTTAGAAGAAACCACTTTGAGTCAAAGATTTTGGGAATTGTTTCGTTTTACCTAAATAATCCTTTTGCTCTGATTCATTCAGTATATGTCTGGATTTGTTTTATTTGTATGTTGATGGTCCATTGCAAACAGGATGCAAAACAAACATCAATTTGATCAATACTTGCTCGTTTCAGCCCAGATTTATTGTGAATTCAGAAATAATTTACTCACATCTCGTGATTTGATGTATATATCATTCCACCAGTATAAACCCACATATGTATGTTTTCTGTGATGCAGTTTCAAAACAGTAACTTTTTCCATTTTTCCATTTCCTGATAGCTTCTGATAATATGCATTCCCATAGTCAATTGTAACCATGTGTTGCGAATGTATTGGAATGAGGTGCTCTTGTTAATCATGTTTTCGCAACGTATTACATTAAGTATTCATTACTACATGAACTTACATTATATAAAATAGGTTATTTTCTGTTCTATACATTTCATGATTTTATGACCGAATCTAAATTTTTTATCAGTTTTTTTACTACATATGTCTACATTATGTGACATACTTTGTTAATATTGACACACATTTTTAAATTGTGATCTGAGCAAAAACTGTCCTTTGAATATAGAACCTGCGACTATTGTTAAAAGATGTATTTCTTTGAATGTACAGAGTGTTCACTACATAAGCAGCCTCCTTTAAGGTTGACACCCTGTATATTATATGAAGATTTGTCCTTAATCTTAGGAAATGAAAGAACATTGACACATCAAGATACAACAATAAAAAGCATTGACACATCAAAATACAACAATAAAAAGCATTGACACATCAAAATACAACAATAAAAAGACTAGTGTACTCATCATTGAATAATATCAATTCTGTCAAAGAATAATATTAATACATCCTTGGCACATCATTTGTGCACTAATGAGCCTGAATTGTTGTGAGGTGAGCTGGTAATAAAGAACTAATACATACTATATTCAAGTATATATGCATAATTATACCCTTATTAATTCTGTTCTACTTTTTTTTGTTCTCTGTTATAAAGGTAGTGCATTTTTTGATGGATAATTGGTATTGTGTATTTGTTTTTGTCGTTTGGCATGGTGTATATCAAAAATCAAGTTTTATCATGATATCTCCTCCTAAACCAGTGTCATCAAACAGCTGGGGATGTATAGCCCTGTGTTTATTTTGGAAATGCAATATGATTTGTTTGTTGAAATTCATTAGCTTAATTACAAGATGTAGAATATTTAGGAAATTCCTGGCTTAGTAGAACATATTCCATTGGTGTTGTCATCACATTTATTTGCACGCATGTTGTGGAGTGACTTCCATAACGTAATAAGATTTTAAGATATAATGTGATGAGTTGACATCTGGTCTTTGATATTGTCATTGCATGTCATGGGAGTGATATTTCAAAAGCAACTTTGGGTACCATCTGGCTCTCACATGGGACTTCCCAAATACGATTATGTGTTTAAACATATTTGAGGTGACATGAGACAATATGATATTTACACCTAATAAACATTAAATTGTAATCCAGCTTCATATTGCTATATATGATATTTATGGCACCATATTTATCACTAAACAACGGTGGCCCATGAAATTTTTTGTTTCCTTAATAAAGGTAAATATCATGTTTTGCTATTAGTCAGTTTACAATGACTTTCTCCTACTCCCTCCAAAAATGCCCATTACATGTCTCAACTACGAACACTAATTAAAAGATTTGTTTTCAGGTGTCCATAGGTAACATAGGAGAAATATATAAGATTCGTGTGGCTCATGACAACAAAGGGGAGTTTCCAGGGTGGTTCCTCGATGAGGTATTTTTTAATTGATTTTCCACTCCATTTCCATATTGTTATAGTCTCCAACTTTTTGGGGAAGGTGTTGGGTGGTTGGTACAGCATTATAACACTTTAATAAATAACCTTACCACTGATATCACTGGAAAAGTAAAATATGTAAATTAGTCAATTCAAAATAAGCAAAATACTATGAAATTTGGAATTTAATGCATTTATTAATTATCAAACATGTGTTATGGTAGATGGATGAATAATACACAGAATTTGTGTTCCTCTGTAGGTGAAGTTGCGAGACATGCACACAGAAGAAGAGTTAATCTTCACCTGTCGTCGCTGGCTGTCACGAGACGAAGACGACTCTGAGATTTGTCGGGAACTGCCAGCAGTTAGAGAAGGGGAACCTGTCCTGCCAAGTGAGTGTTTCCTGTCTTGTAATAGTGAATTTAAGGACTTTTTGTTATTTTTTGTTATGTCGGCACTCACATGTGATTAGTAAAGTCTTCCTTTGTACGAATCACTTTTAGAAATTAAAGGAAAATAAAATTTAATGAACTTGTTGATATTGGAAAGCAATCATCAATAAAAAAGGAAATTTTTATTGTAACCATGGTTACCTAATATGTTGATATAACTTGAAAATAAAACTTAATGAAATAATAAATAATATATTGTTATAAGAAAACAATCAACAAAATGTAATGTTAGTAAAATTTTAAGAATAATACAGTTATCTAATATGTTGGTATATTCATGAATTACTCATAAGATCACTTCTCTGATTCTGCATGAGCACTGATTTATATTTGAATTATTCCCTTGAAACCAATTTGTAAATTAGGAATAAAGATAAAACAAGCAGTAATGATCTATATTTTTGAAAGTTCCTATGAAAATGCAGAAAATTATTAAATATATTGTTATAGAGTTATGAATGTATTTCAGTCCACAAATATGAAGTGACTGTCCACACTGGGGATGTCTGGAATGGTGGCACGATGGCGAATGTCTACATAACCATATATGGAGAACGTGGTGACACAGGCGTGCGACAATTATTCAACCCAAAACGAAAACCAAAATTTGACAAAGCTCAGGTAGGTTCACATACATTGCTTTATGAAATATTCACATTTTTCATTGTTTGGTTGTGATTGTAATTCTTGTTATTGATTTGGTGTTACATTGATAATGATTGTGCGCTATTTTTGTATTTTTGTTAACAATGTGCTAAACATGTTCTCATGAAGATCATCATGACATCATATTGTCATAACAATATGGTGTCAACATGATATGATGTCATGACATTAATGTTTTATGACCCATATGAGAGGGGAGAAAACTGCAACTTAATAAAGAATATAGTAACCAAGATTAGAGTTATACTTTTGTTCCATTTTGTGATTTTTTTCACAAGGTATGAAAATCTTTTACATGTATCAGAAATCCAACATGGATTTGAGTGGTGATTCTAAATTGTATAAATATGCAAGAAAAGTATGTTTCATTTAAATATTATAATTATGATAGAGAAATGAGTCTTAATAGGCATGACTCATGTATTGATATATTTAAATGTTTGCTATTTAAATGCACAGTCGTTGCCAGTTGCATCTTTTAGTACAACAAACAAGCCAGTCATACATGTATTTATTGAATCCTTTTTGCTTTGCTAATATGTGCTGTTATCATGTTTGACTTTTTTACATACTAATATTTGTGCACATACCTGTAGCTTAATGTTTTTTGTGTGATCAATAGGTGGAAATCTTCAAAAAGAATCAGGTAACAGGGATAAAGGTTATTAAATGCAGGCATAAGAACTCAAGATATATTTCATCTCTCATTTTCTGAACTATAAGTTAAAGCACAATTTAAATTTCCTTTGAATGATCTTTTACCATTTAACATTCAGTGATGAAATGAAAACCTGATATTTAGATATGTCAAGGCATGAATTATTATTTATATATTTCAGAAGTATACTGTATTTTGTCTTATGCCTGTATTTTATGTGTTGCATGTATCCTGATATGTGTCTGTTTCCTCCTAATTCTTATTTATTCTTACCTAAATCATACAATAACTATACAATAATTGATCAATGTATTCATGACCAATCTTGTTTGGCTTTATATGGAGTAAATGTTAAAAATATTTTGATTGACTTTATGAAGTTTAAGTGATCTCAAGTATTGAATCAACAGGGGGCGCTGCAACTCAAGTACATATGTATTTGAAAATTGAGAAATTGAAGTCATGAAATGTTGGTGTATTTTGTCCAATTTGGAGATTTGATATTAATCATGATATTAATCATTATTAATCATGATATTAATCATTATTAATCATGATATTAATCATTATTAATCATGATATTAATCATTATGATGACCATGAATCTTAAGTGTTGTCTTACATGTGGCAGAGCCAATCAGCTTCAAATACTCACTTCTAAAAGTAGTAGTAGCTAGTATTAAAACTGCATGTATGGTAATGGTTGTACGACTTAAATTCAAAACAGATCTCCAAGAAATAGCATTCAATGACAGCACAGAATGCACAAAAATTATGAATCTTTCTCTTTCCTCAAATCACAGTATCTGCCAATTCTTGGTCTTACTCATCAGTGTTTGTTAGCTTTAGCATGGGCTTTCAAGAGAGACCCCATGGCTTTACAAGCCCTGAATTTGAATCAGAAATTATAAATATCAGAAATATGAAACAAATAATGATATTCTACTTATAAATCGTACTCCCTTGATAAGCTTTGCATCCTCCCTTATTGGCATGAACATGAACATTTGGTGGTGGTTATATTATGTTGTATGTTGTCATTAATGAAGGGCATGTCAGAAAGGGATAATAAAAACATAAAATATAGCAAAATAGATTGAAATAATATTATAAAAAGTACATTTTTGTTGTATTTATTCAGAAGAGATACACATTAAGAGCATTTGATGTATCCATTTATATGCTAATGCTAAAGTACAAATTGACTTTAATGTCATGAATTAAATCAACATCAACTATTATGTTATCTTGATATCTATCAATTTATTTTATGACACACTTTGATCAATCAAGGTTAAGAGAAAAATATGAATTAGATATAAATACTTAAGTCCAATCATGGGCTTTAAGCCCATGGTCCAATCCATCATGGACTTTGAGCAATGTAAATCCTTGAACTCATTGAATTAGAAATCATTGTATTGGTTACAAACATGATACCCAAATCCCTATTCTCAGATTGGAAAACAGGGAATGTTCAGACTATAAAACACAGTTTACATTAAATTTTGAGTTTCATTAAGATTGATATACAGAATGCAGTTTACATCAAGTAGTTGTACATTCAAGTGTTTAGATTCACATTCAGTTTACATTAAGTATTTTAAGCATATAGTTTACATTGTATTTTAGATTGAGATTCAGTCTCTTAAACACAGTTTACATTGTATTAAGGTTTAGATTCAAACTAAAAGTTTACATTAAATATTTTAAGTATATAGTTTACATTGTATTTTAGATTGAGATTCAGTCTCTTAAACACAGTTTACATTGTATTAAGGTTTAGATTCAAACTAAAAGTTTACATTAAATATTTTAAGTATATAGTTTACATTGTATTTTAGATTGAGATACAGTCCCTTAAACACAGTTTACATTGTATTTGAAGGTTGATAAATTTAACATTGAGGCAGTGTCCCTGGGTCGTCTGAAGAAGATTATCGTTGGTCATGATGCAACCGATGAAGGGGATGGATGGTTCTTGGATCGTGTTGTTGTCAAGGAGTCTCCAAGAGCCTACACAGACTACACTTTCCCTTGCAGCAAGTAAGATATTTATTTACCATATTGTAGTAAACCATGCTCTGTGCTAGTTGGATCATTTTATGGGAAGTATGTTGATTTTATCTATGACTGACAATGTCAGTGAGGATCTCACCTGTTATAAACTTTACATGTACATCTATGTTTGTAATAGTCTGGTAAACTGGCAGTAACTTCCATGTGACCATCCTTTGACCAATCAGGAGTCAAATAGTAATACAATGTTGACTATATCAGGTGGTAGTATGCTGGGGAGGATGATAATAAGATTGTAGTTTTCTGTCATGTGATCACAAATTGACCAATTATATTTAATGTTTTAGGTTGTAGTATGCACGGGAGGATGATAATAAGATTGTAGTTTTCTGTCATGTGATAACAAATAGACCAATTATATTTAATGTTTCAGGTGGTTAGATGCAGGGGAGGATGATAACAAGATCGTACGTGAGATTAAGGTCCAGGAGGAGTTTCAGCAGGACCTTGTTGAGCAACAATTGGTATGTGTTTAGCATGTGGTGGCTTTTGTAGGGAGTCCAGATAGATCATTGAGAATGTAAGAGTGAATGCATTTGTGTGAGAATAAATGCACTCATGCCTGAGTGAATATGCTCATGTTTGAGTGAACCCACTGACATTTGAGTCAATACACTCATGTTTGAGTGTATGTCCACCCATGTTTGAGTGTATGTCCTGAATCTCCTCATGTTTGATTGAATACATTCACTTTGCAGTCTTATTGTAACTAAATATATTTCATCATGCCAAAAAATACCATTTACTCACCATCTAATTGTGATATATTACTATACTATTTGTGTCCATTACAGGTTGTGACATTTTAAATCTTGTTAATTAAAGTGTGACCTTTATATTGACTCTGCTCTAATTGTGAAGAGAAAATAAATGACTGTGATATATTTCCAGTGGGAGCTTGAGAAGTGGAAGTTTGAATCTGATCGTCATGTGATGTTGTTCTCCAAGAGCACAGAAAGAGCACTTAGGGTTCGTGCAGATGGTACTGTAGATGGGGAGGGGGACTTGAGCGATCATGAAGGTAATCAAACACAGTCATGAACACGTCTTTCAGACTTAACCTGGCTCTTGAGTTGAAATGCAAAAATGAGTTAATGCAGTTTAAGATCATTATTCCTTGATTTTCCTTTGATTGGGCATTATTATGTTAATTGCATTCTAGGTGTATTGAGAGTTGTTACAAGGCGTGGCATGGTGCGAGTGTTCAACAGTGTGGCCAATCCACGCTTTTGGATTGCAATAGATAATGCAAAGCTTGGAACACAGGTGAGAGGGATTAAAGATTTCAATACATTTATGTGATCTATTCATTTATTTTTATGTCCTATAACTGATTAAAAAGACACAGTAGAACATAAAACATACATGGACAACTGTATACATCAATGCATTTGATCATCACATTTTCTAAAGATGAATGAAAAAACCAGACCTTATTTGAAGTTATAATTTCAAAAAAGGAAACTGTTTCAAAATTGCTCAAAACACTTGTAATTTTGGTAAAAGCAACCAAAGAAAACCTCCTCCTTAAGAAACCACTTAATACAAAGTAAGATATGAAGTTTCTAGATTACTATTGTATACTGTTTGTCCATTCACCCTGTTATCTCTTTATATTATGTAAGTTCAGTTTATGCACTTTGATTTTATTGCTTTATTATTATTTTATGCTAATCTTTATATTTATTCATGTACTTTCAATTTGATTTTCATTGCAAGAGTTACCCTGTATTGAAGGGTAAGAAGGTAGGATATTCACTCTACATGTATTGAGAAATTAAGATGTATTTCACCAATTATTACATATATTTTATCCACTCTGAGATGTATTTCAAACAATTGTGAGATGTATTTTACCATTTATGAGATTATGTTTCAAACAGATTTATTTCAAGCAATTATGAGGTTTATATCAACCAATTTTCAACAAATATTTAATGCTCCCTTTCAGAAATCTATTTGTTCTTGGTAAAATGCACCTTGGGAGAATTGGTCAGTGTGGTCATGAAGCATTTAGAATCTGTGAAGTTGAATAGCAAATGTATTTATGAATGCTTGTGGTCTTAATCAAACCAAATCATAATTACTCAGATGCGAGTAAGTAGTTACCAATTTTCGCCACCAGTTGGCTGATTTGGGGGAAATAACATGGCAGGGTATTACAAAATTCCCTTAAACTGGAATATGCATCAGTTTTAGTGGTTCACTTTTCATATTACCCTTTTGTATGTGATAGTTATACATATTAAAATATGTCCAGTAAAAGAAAAGATTATCTGCCCAACACAAGAAAAGATATTTCACTTTTTGTGGTTTTACAACATGGGGTCTATGGGGAATCTCCCCGACCTAGAAGTCACATTTTCAAAGAAAATTAAATTTTCAAAGTTGATATACTCTTTTCAAAACCACATTTTTAGATGTAATTTTAGATGTATATTCCAAATATGACACCAGTTATATGAATTGTGATCGCATCTAGGATATTGACTGCTCACAAATCAAAAAAAGTTCCTCAGTGAAATTGTCCATTATAAATCACCACCTGGTGGTCAATATTTGAACACATGTAAGGAAATGAAAGACTCTAACTCAACACATGTGTTTGTTACATGCATGGTTATATTGCATGACTCTTCATATTGTGGTTGTGCGTTGAATGTCTATATGAATGATTACATGTGGTGGTATAGGGGTAGGCAGGGCAAAAAAGTACATCTCCTGTTCTGGTTTGACTTATGGTGGACATGAGCCAAAGTAAAAATAGATAAGGTCATGCAATTAGAAATAACATGTTAAAGATGTGCAAAGAATATTCTATGTATCTTTTTGTTTCATAATTTTTTGGTATATAACCAGAGATCATATTTTTCTGATTATAAGTTCTAAATCATTTCATATCTTAACCACACATTTCATTTTTCTGCATTTTAGGGGAGGGGGAGTGCTTATTGTGACTTCCGTATAAGAGTACAGCAAGATAGAAGCATTTTACTTGAATCTGTGAAATATCCATTACAACAGATGACCATCCTCCCCACTGGTCAAGCTGGGGATTGCCGCAGTAATACAACTAGTCCAACTGTGAATAGGCAGTTCTATGCATATTGCAAGGTAGAGTAGAAATCAAATTAAGAAATTATCCATATATTTCATTAGTTTTACCTTTACCTATGAAAGGGAGATTTTTGGCATATTGTTATAGTCTCAAACTTTTTTGTGGCCTGTGTTTGGCGGTTGGTGTTCAGCATTCATCATTTGGTGTTCAGCATCTGTCAATGGCTGGTGGTGACATTTTCCATGTTAATGCCTTGTTAGTTTTGTGTTTGTTATGATTTGAGTAACAGATACTTGAAGTTTTGTCAGAAAAGAGGGGGTGAACTGCTGGCGAGGAGGGTGAACTGGAAATTGAATTGATTTTGTTGGTTAACATCCATTTCATTGATGTAATATATTACTAGATGGATCTTGATTCAATACTTTCAAAAATTTTTTTTTTTTGATTTAGATTTGTAATCGGAAATCTAGCTTTAACCAAAAGATGTTTGTTTATTATCTTCATTGATTTTCCTAGGGTATGTTTAGAGCGGAAGGCATTCTGATGTTCTGTACATCTCTGTACCAGACTCTGGTTGTGGATCATGAAGATAACCTTTATGCCACAGGAAAGCGTAACCGCACAGCACACTTCAAAGTCCACAAAGTCTCTGAGGGAAACATCCGCATGTTTGAGAGTCTTGTGTCACCTAATAAGTTCTTGAGAATGAAAGATGGACAATGTGACTGCCAGGTAAGTTGTTAGACTTGGAGGGGGATATTGAGGTAAAAGTATATAAAATTAGAGGCAAAGTAGAAACAAATACATTTATATCTTCATCAATTTGTCAAAGCGTGATTTATTAATTTTCACTTCAGGGTTCTGGAGATGAGTCTTGCCAGTTTAAAGTTGAACGCTACAAGGAAAAGGGCTACGTCACGCTAGAATCAATCTCCAATAGGGGGCTCTTTGTAGGGATGACACCAGATGGCAGTGTACGCCCAACAGTAGACACTGGAGCGAACAATGTCCGGCTGTACCCAGAAGTGCTTCACTGTAAGTATTGAACTGAAGATTTAATTTGAATACTATTTCCATTGAAACATAGTTACATTGGAGGTTATAACAGGTTCATATATCCTTCTACAGTATACTGTGGTGTGAGTACAGTGGCCATGGGTTGTTTTATTTGCCTAGAGAGACACTTCAACTGCCTCGTTATTTTGATCATGAAAAGTTCAAAATGATTGTTATTTGTATTATTTATTGAATTAGTTTACAAAGCCCCAGAGATATACAAGTATTAATTGTCAACATTTACAAAAAAAACAGTAACTGCAATTTTCATCATTCAAATGATTAGAAAATGAATACAACATAATTGAAAGAAAGTTAGCTTTGCTGTATTGTTAGTTTTACATGTGCTATAACATTGTACAGCTACTGTATCACATGAAGCAGGTACCGGTGTTTGTTGACAAAATGCATCTGAAATTTACTTTTCTATCTGGTTCAATCTATAGTGAAATAATAATAAAATAAATAGTTGTTGATGAGTTTGTGGTAATCAATGTCCTTTATGATGACATACAAAAATTAGAAATAAATAAGTTTTAGAAAATTATTATAAAATAAATAGGTTTTTGATGGTCGTGATGGAATATGAATTTTTTCCTTGAGAAAATGATATTGGCCTCGGAAAATATCATATTGACACTATTTTCCCTCGGAATAGAATTCATATTCCATCCCTCCCATTAAATAACCTCTATTTACAAACTACAATCAAAACATGAATATCTTAAATCTCAATGTAAAGTTCTTAACATTTATCGTTTTTTAAAATTCCACATCTATAAAACGAAATTACTGGGAATTGTTGAGCGGGTGATATATATATCTCCCGCCTACCTCAGATATCTATTATATATAACAGGAATACGTATTTGTCACTTAATAAAAGGGAAATTGTTGGATTTGCTATTCTGTATTTCTAATATATTGTAATGTATTTGTTTACTTATTAAGTCTTCTGTTTGTCTTGTTTCGGAATGTGTCTAAAGTCTATATGTTGTAAACTCTGTCATATCATTGAATGTGACAAGGTCACCTTGATCCAGTTCAATAGGGAAGAGTTTCATTGCAAGATCCTCAAGTTTCTGTAAATCATTGCTTATGGCATCTATTTCTTGTGGAGGAACTTTTCTATACTGATAGACTAAAGTAATGTGAAGTCTACCAATTAAACGCTCATCTTTATGGCCAAAAATCTCTGAACACGTATCACGAAATTTATCTACCATTTTCTGATCTTTTTCTTCCATTATTTCAACGAGCATGCTCTCAAGTATGCGTATTGGTCTTCCATAAGGATCCATCTTGGGCCTGACCTTTATTGACTTTGGTAGCATCTCTTGGGCTAATTTCTGAGCACGTTGTAGCGTTTCTCGCATTGCATCTGGTGGTAGAAGTTTAGAATTGTCGATTTTGGTGATGCCATGTTCGTCCATCCATTTTTGAACAGGTGCAATAACAGGGCGTTTTGATACTGACCAAACATCATAAATGGTCATATGATATGAAGATACAGGTAACGGTGAAAAATACATTCTCAATGATGATGTCTGGATGAAATCTTTAAGTTTTTCCAATCCTTGATTCTCTCTACATTTTGCAATTATAGTGTATCCATAGAACGGCAGATACTCCCCTTTGCTGTTTATTTTCTTCTTGTTTATTTTATGATTTATGAAAACATCTAATTTGGATTTCAATATTTGATTCTGATTTGGCCCACGTAACATCCATGCTATTATAAGAATCAAACCCAATAGGCACACTGCTGCCATCTTTATGGTAGGTTTTTGTCTTGCCATGTTTTTCATCATGAAGGTAATCTAGCACGTAACAGATACTAAGTATAGGTCCAATTCTTACAGACATGTACTCCTTCTACATATTCAACACATGCTGTGTTTATATTATATATATTTAGTGTATTGGCAAATGTGTTTTCTGTTCTTTAGTAATAATATTGTAAATGATATTGATATTGCACAGTCCTGCTTCAATATTCAACATTAAATGTTTATATGACTCTCGTTCACAACTGCATTTGATAAGCACAAGCTGTGTGTAAATAGAAGTTGTTTGTTCAAAGTTCATCATGACCTAATATATGAGTAGTATCTAAAATACAAACTGGTAGCTGAAATCATTCAAGATGCTTATTATTAATATAGGTTACCATGAACATCAAACAAACATATTGTATGTGTTTGTTTTTCAGTAGACTCTTTTTGACATAGGTTTTAAATCTCGTTTTAATGAGATTTTAGAAGATCCCCATAATAGACTAACATTTTCTTCTATTTGATGGCATATTTGAATTCTGTATGTAATTTTCTATCAAAACAACTTTGATTTGTACAGTTATTAACCTTTATTCAAATTCTAAATATTTTCGAGTTTTCTATAAAAGGTCGGGCTAAATCCCCATTGACACAATGTTGAAAAACTTTTAAAAGTTCATAACAATTCTCATGTAAAATCACAATCCACAAGTCAATAAGATCATATAGTTAGATTCCAATGGTGTTTTAAGTTGATTCAAATGAAATTACTTGTTAAATCAAGAAATTAAGTGACTCTTGCTATAGGCTGCCATGTATTTTAGCCCTACCAACACTCATGATGCCATCTATTTTTCCATTTATATGGAAAAGGGTCAATTCAAACCAAAGTAATACTTATTTATGGATATGTTTATAATCCCACCAAAATTCCTATTAGGGATATACAGAAGCTGTTTGACTATCAGTTTGTCCAAATGTCTGTTAGTGTGTCTGGGCATCTTTAGGGAAAAAATGCTTGCCAGACATACTGACCTGTAATTTTGAAAAAGGTCTGGTCCTTATTAATTTCAGTCAGACTGTGCTTTGTTCAAAAAGATTTCTAATTCTAATAACACCCCATGCAGACAGATCGCCTAAAATTACATTTGTATGATGCGAGACTCAACATTCAACGGGAAACTAGAAGCATTTTGTCATCCATTTTATTACTGGTTATTAGTAAATTGTGAACGGCAGTCACATTAGGTTTTACAAGTATGAGAATAGCATGACGTTTTGATATTTCAAAGTAACTCGTTTCAAAAGTGAGGGTGGTGATTGAAATTACGATGTAAAGATAAACCGCAACGTAATATTTGTAGATTTCTTTGAAAAACTGAAAAATGTACATCATATATTGAATTCTTCAAAACAGAAAAAAATATGTATAAATAGTAAGGCCTGCAGGTCAAATTACCCTGGTAGTATTAGCATTGGTCTCGTATATGTCATACAATTAATATTTGAAACAAAACTTTTTTATTGGAATGTATGATCGGACATAAATATGATGTGTACTTCATGGTAATTAAGTAAAAGTAACATCATACTTATGTCCGATCATAAGTTCGAATAATAGTTGTGTTTCAAATAATCTGCCTTCTTTGTGACTGAGATTGAAACCCTGGATCATTTTTTATTTTCATGTTTCATTTGATGAATACATCAAATTAGCGAAACTATTAGACAAGTACAGTGACATCGGCGAGACGGACAATAAGAATATCGTATTTAACTCTAATGGCAATGTCACTTATTCAGACATGGCTTGTATTTCGAAAATTGTCCATGCAATGTATAGTATATCAAAAGATCAAAGCTCATCAGCTAATATACTGGCAATTAACATACATGTACTAGTGAAACACATGCATTATAGGTGCACCTGATCTCTTATGTTTAACAAGGTGTCACTAAACTGTAAATATGTTTTGAACCACCATAACTGTATATTTTATGTTTTGTACTAATCTGTTTAAATACAGGTTAATAAATTAATAGTTTATTTATTTATTATTTATTAAAATAGTTTATTATAGTGTCACTGGTTTACATTTGGTACAAATAAATACATATTCTAAAAACCACCAGCCGATGTCGGCTTATGAGACACTGGACTTTAAAGGTCAATAATAACAGTGTTTAAATAGATATGACATTCAACAATAAAACTACAATTCATCTACGTTAATACATAGATTGATAAATATTAATAATTCCATCTATAATAGTCATCACATTACCACTGAGTAATTACACTGCATGTATGTTTGGCTTTCAAAACAACAGTATATCTATATTCTGTTTGCTGTTTTAACATTTTAGTTGGATTCTCAAAGAATGCCCCATCTCCCGCTCTCGAGTCTGTCCCTGAGCCAGCTCTGGTTGCAACCCCTCCCCCTACCAAGAAAACCCTACGCAGTAAAACAAAAACACCTGCAAGTCGAGAAAAGCCACCACCCTCAAGGAAACAGAAGAAGAAAGTGGAGAAGAAAGAAAGTACAAAAGTGGTTGAGGTTGAAAAGGAAGAGGTAGCTCAAGAGGAAGATGTGAAGGAAGAGGTTAAAGAGGAAAGGAAGGTTGATAGCGCTGCTTCTAAATCATCAGTTGCTTCATTGTTTGAAGGTGAGGACTTCCTCATATTATTAATATACCAAAGGTTATTTGCTGAAAGGGACGCGATGGTGTATTGAAGACAGCGTATTGAGTTTAAGGGAGGGAGTATTGAGTTTTTTCTGTGGCGAGTTATGTCACTTTGATATTTTCTTAAAAGGATCTAGTGCACCCGCCATTATGATTACCCCATTAACAAAATGAATCATTTTTAGGTGTAACATAAAGAATACAATGTCACATAATACTGTGGAAAATATTTAAGCGTTTGGACCCACATGGGCTGAGGTTGAGGTCATTACGTTCAGCAAGGGTGTATTGACTTGCCATTGGATGTGCTCCATTGACTTAACATGTGGATATCATCAGATTCCAATGGAGGCCATTGTTTTCTATTGATTTTCACAAAAATACCTAAAATACACTATGACCTGAATCGATTGCAAATTAAATAATTTCACAGTATGACACAAATGGTATATCACATCAGATGTGCAAATATAAAGTTTGCAATCGATTCAGGTCATACTTCAAATTAAAGGCTTAGACATTTTTTTCATCATTTTTTTCCTACAAAATGGCTATAGGAAAATGCTTCAAAAGCAACTTTTACACTTATGAAATCCCATACAACTTTGTAAAGCCAAAGATTATACTGTTATGTTTCATTAATTAATAACATATTTGGAGAAGATGTAGGGATGTGTAGGATGCAAATGGATTTTGACAGACACAAAAACACTTCCTGGTTTGGCATCTCGACCCCTGTACACTTTATGATTGAATATTGGCCCTAATAAGTGGCCCATTCATCAATACAGTGCTGAATATAGGTCAAAAAGATACTAGTGTACATATAAATGTAATAATAAAAGCAGTATTTTTATTTTGAAAAATCAGATGAATTATTTTTTTCTCATGGGGAGATCCCAATGGAGGGTGTATAAGGTCCTTTCTTGTCTTTGTATGGCTATATGATTAAATCTAAAATAAAGTCATGACTATGTTCAGATCTACAATACAATTATACTATTAAATAATGGTTCACATATTTTTAAATGAATGTTGTAGAAGGTGATTGGAAGGTTTGGATTCACTCTGAAGAGACTGCACAAAATGCTCACATTGTCATGGTTGTCTATGGGGACAAGGCAAACTCTGGGCCTATCATCCTTGGTACTGCAGGAGAGGCAAAACTGTTCCTTAAGGCCAACAATGATCACTTTAAGGTATAATCTTGCTCCAAATTAATGAATGAATAGATGGCGTATTTTGGTTGATAAATAGACCAACAAAAATAACTGAATTATTGAGAGGTAATATGAATATATATTCACATCGGGTGTATGACATTGCAAAAACTTGTGGAAACGTCTTTTTACACTTTTCTTTTATTCTAAGCTCTCATGTGACCTGTTTTAATTGTCATTAGTATCAATGAAAAATTGTGTACTTATCAATCCATTTCAACACTAGGTCTATGAAAGGTAAATCTTTACTGAAATCAATACTGAGTCACTTTTTTGGGGGGGGGAAATGTAATCAAGTATTTGAGTTTGCAGAATTATATTTTGTTTTTCTATCATAGGTGAATTTGAAGAGTGTTGGAGAGATCTACAAAATGAGAATAGAGCTGCAACATGCGACCACGGTGACTGCTCCAAGTGATATGTCTTGGAAAGTAAAAGAGGTCAGTATGACTTTGAGTGCATCATTCTAAAATGTCATATGCCAGTGAAACAGCTCCTGTCTTTGTAGATTAAACGTGTATTCGGGAAAATTATTTAAATAACTACTCAAATATATGTTACATACAGGTGAAACTACAAGATTATACAACCAAGGAACTGTTGAAGTTTAAGTTAAATAGATGGCTCTGTATGCAAGAGGATGATGGGGCACTGATGAGAGAACTACCAGCAATTAGACCAAAACAACCAGTCCTACCTGGTAAGTAGTTTTTTTTATATCACCACCAAAAGTGATGACATTTTTTTATAGTCTCCAACTTTTTTGTGGACGGTGTTTGGTGGTTTGCGTCTGTCACAAAAAACAAGGTAGTGACGTATTGTCATTTTAATGCCTTGTTTTGATATGTTTTAAATCAAAATTCATTTTAACACTGAATTATGAATGTTAATACATAAGGTTGTGAAGCTATACATTAACAATGCTCTACTTCATTCACTATATTCCAATGTACATGTATGATATTCCAGTGAATATTATCCTCTTATTTTCCAGTGTTGCGTTATGAGATTGAAGTTCACACAGGGACTGAGCCAGGCTCCGACACTGATGCCAACGTTTACTTGCAATTGTCTGGGGAGAGGGGAGACACAGGGAAGCGATTGTTACATAGGTCAGATAAGGAGCAGAAGTTCCTAGAAGGACAGGTGAGGATATTTTTTTTATTATTATTAAAGGAGCATGTAAGGTATGGCAAGCCATTTTCAAAGGGCTATATCTTTGGTTCGAAGAATAATTTAACCACAAAATCAAATGGTTCTGTTAGATCCATGTCTTATCTTCAATAAATGACACGAGGATGATAATCAAGTTGATTGGATTATCTCTTAAGCTGTCCCTAATCCACCCATCCTCACCAATTTTCCCTAATTCTGACGCAATTTTCACCACAAGTGCAGGCCTTTTTAATAATTTTTAGTGCAAAGTTGTATTGAACTTTCAGACATGATTTAAACTGTAAAGGGTAAAATTTAATTATGAACCTACTTTTTAGTATTTTTTTAATGATTTTTTTGGATTTTTTCTGATATTATAAGGTGCTTCATACTTATATTATACAATTACAAAATAGAGGGCAGCTAAGTGTCATAAATAATTTTCAAACACTCGGATAGTGACTTACTCAGCCTTATGAATTGCCTTAATCCTGTATTTTACCTTGTATTGTTTGTGTATAAAACAGTTGTGTCATTCACGTAGAGCTATTTATATACTGAATAGTTCTTTGTAATTACATGTGCCTGGTTTTGGCTATTCAATCTAGACTCTTTGTTTGGGCAGGCTGAAATGAATAAGTGTGAAAATAAAATGAATTACAGGGTGAGGCAAAAAATGTCATCCAAAGAAATGTTATTAACTCATTCATCCAGTATGAGTTGAAATCATATTTAGTTAATCTTTTTGTATTTAACCATGTTTTATGGGTCCATTCCTCAAGGTCACAATTCTATGGCCATTCTACAAATTTCAGCCTCGTCCCTTCAGGCAGACCTGCACTGGTCGGTTGAGAATGTAAGGTCACCGTCTCCTACTTGTTGTAGGGGTTGACATTATCTCAGAGATAGCCCGTAGTCATGAGATGAGGCTGGCATTTTGGACCATGTTTCGTTTTAAACTTAGTAAAATGAAAGAACATTAAACAAGGTTTTATTATGCGAAATAACACTTTAACAGATGTGGAATTTGTTTGGGCTACATTTTTGGCTCACTCGGTATTAGACTGCACTTTGATAGTATTCATGATGTCATATGTTGGGTAAAAGGCGATGATTTAACCTACTGTTGATGGCAAATTCATTTTAATACAAATGAATAGTGGCAGGTGCTATTTATATCTAATGAGCCATAAAATAGTAGGTTGATCTGGCAGCTGTTAGTTGATTTCTCGATACTACTTGTAATGGGGTTTCAAAGCCCGTGGTCACCTATGTTGTTTCTTCATCCTAGGTCAAATCAACTCAAGAATGCCCTTAATTACAATGGTGTTATATTAGATGCAGCATCTATTAATTTCTTGAATCACAGTACCCCTAAGCTTAATCATAATTCCGTTGATTGACCTACAGCATAGGCCTAGGGAAAAGTAGTAGGAAGGCAGCTTTTGAGTGCTCTCGATGTTCATAAGCTTACTACTAGTTTTACATAGGCCTATGGCCTACAGATAAGTTTGGGATCCCTTATTAAAACCAAAACCTCTAATTCTAATTACAGCCCCTAAAAACAACAACCCCGAACCAAGTGCATGTGGCAGCCATTGAACCCAAAAGCATTTTTATATGCTAACCTATAATGAGACCCCCTTTAGTGAATAACAACCAGGTAGTCGTCTAAGGTATAGCAACATGTTCAGTTTGTAATTTTATAGAAGGTCACTGAATCCTCTAATCGTTCATTCAGTTATGGATAAACTATGAGTACTGGGTTTTATGAGAAATAATAGCAAAGGGGCTTGGCCTGAGGCTATTAGTTCTCATAAGACCCATTTCGAATAATTTATCTAACTTAAAACCCAGACTGACTCTTAGGAAGGGTAAATGACCCATGATCCAAGTCTAGAAAAATTCTTTTGTATTAACTGTGAGGTAAATGTGTAGAGAAGTGGGTTGTTTTAATTGGTTCAGCTTCAATGCACCGCATGTATCAGGCAAGGTACAGTTAAAAAGTGTATTTATTTTGTGTTTACAATTCAACTATTGAGTGATTGAAAATGGTTTAATAAGTACAGCTTCGGTGCACTGCATGTGACAGTCAAGGTGTAATATTGAGCCAAACACTGTCAATCATATTTTGTGCCACACTGGTTTTAGATAGCTTACGGTGTCCTTTCTTCAAAAACAATACAACAAGAATGCACTCCTCTTTCTTACTACTGTACATTCTTGAAGGTGAAAAAGGTCTTCAAATTGATCAGTTTTTCAAAATCACATCAGCAGGGTCTCAAAAATTCAAATCTGACTTTAGATTTTACAATTATTGACCGCCAATGACCTCAAAGTAAAAAGGGTCTAAAAGGTATTTTTCAACTTGCTTCGAATTGACCGAATTTTCAAAATCACCTACAAGTTCTCAGAAGTCAAATCTGACTTTTGAATTGACATTTCACCTCTCAAGTTCAAAAAGTTTAAAAAGGCATTTTCAACTTGCTTCAAATAACCTTTTCTTTTCATGATTTGACCTAAACTACAAGGTGGTGACATTCGTATCTCATACCCATGTACATGGGTGGTGATACAGTTTTGAAGGGTTCAATTTTTAAAGTTCTAAAAGATTATTCAATGTAATGCTATCTGAGGTATAAATACATTCATAGTATCCATAGATGTGAAATTCGTCTAGTCAAAGATAGATAGATATAGAGTCATAAAATAAAGCCAGAATTGTTAATTTTAGTTTTTCATTGATTGTCAAAATAGCGCCATTCAAACACGTAGGTCTACAAGTGCATTAATGCACCAACAATTCATATAATCTGAATAATCTGAAACGTTAGAATTAAACTCTTCAAAGAATATATCATGCGCCAAGTACGCGGGTAAGTGGGTAGGAGGTATAAGGTTTTTCATACAAAGCCCGAGGTATTGACTAAGAGAATAGAGTGATCGAGTGACAATATCATAATTACACAAGGCAATACACCTATTGTCAAAGGGTAAAGCCCATAGCATTAAACTGTTTATTCCATAAAAATCCCAATCAGCAAAAACAATCCAATAAAAAGAACAGGCGCGTTTATTGGCAAATAATATCCCCATGGTCAAAATAAATAATTCTTAGATGTAACATGAAGAATTGAATGTTATATAACTCTTTGGAAAATATTAAAGTGCTCGGGCACATATAGGCTGAGATAGGGGCCATTTAGTTCAGTAAGGTTGTATTGACTTACATGGGACTGTGCATCATTGACTTAACATGAGGATATCAGCAGATTCCTATAGAGGCCATTGGTTTCCATTGATTATCACCAAAATACTAAAAATACACTACGACCTGAATCGACTGCAACCTTAATAATTTCATAATATGACACAAATGGTTTATCTCATCAAATGTGCAAATATGAAGTTTGCAATCGATTCAGGTCATACTTAAAATTAAATGATTGTGCATTTTTTCATCATTTTTTCCCTACAAAATGGCTATAGAAAAATGCTCCAAAAACAACTTTTACACTTATCAAAAATCATACAACTTCGTAAAACCAAAGAATATACTATTATGTTTCATTATGTAGTAACATATGTGGATAAGATGTAGGGATGCTTAGGATGCAAATGGATTTTGACAGACATAAAAATACTTCCTGGTTTGGAATCTATGCCTCTACACTTCATGATTGAATTATGACCCTAATAAGTGGCCTATACATCAATACAGTGCTGAATATAGGTCAACAAGATGCTAGTGTGCATATAAATGTAATAATTAAAGCAGAATACTCATTTTGAAAAATCAGATGAACTATTTTTTTCTCATAGGGAGATCCCAATGGAGAGTGCATATGGTCCTTAGAAATGAACAAAAAGTGCAACAAATGTTTGGCCAAACCATTGGAGAAAATTATTATCTGCGTGTACTCTGTATACTGTGGTACCTGTATCAATACCTACTACATATAACACTATTCGAAAGATCATTTATGTTTTACTGAACATACTTTACACGACACAGTCATGTTGACATTATCCATGCTCATTTCTATAATACGCAATTATGCAACATTGAATACACACTCAGGGTATTAAGCACTCACCTATGTACAATATATCATGCCATCTATGGAACATATATAACTCTATCTATAAACATCATTGCATAAAATAGGGTACATCAAATGTCGCTCTAAGTGACATCTTTTCATACACTTCACACTAAGGTCATGGCCTATGAGGTAAAAATGACAAATGGATTATCAGATAATGCTTATCTCATTTAGATCATTTTTTCCTTTTTGGAAATCAATCATGTGAAATAGCTCAATGTTTTCGTGCATTAATCTCATTAAAAAATTGCTATTTTTAGGTAAAAAATTCGGCCTAAAAAAGTTATTGTTTTTGGATTATCCTAATCCCAAAGTAATCAAGTTTTCCTTTTTAGAGGTAGATCATTCCTTGCAATAAATTGCAATTTTGCCATAAAAGCTGAAATAAAATGCTGCATTTTTGGTGAAAATCGCGTCAGAATTAGGGAAAATTGGTGAAGATGGTTGGATTAGGAACAGCTTAAGAGATAATCCATTCAACTTGATTATCATCCTACTGTCATTTATTGAAGACAAGACATGGCTCTTACAGAACCTTTTGTTTTTGTGGTTAAAGCGTTATTCGAACTAAAGATATAGCCCTTTGAAAATGGCTTGCCATATCTTACGTGCACTTTTATTTCAATAGAATACAAAAAATATGTAACAGACATGTAAATTCTTAAATCGCCACAATGGCATTATATAAGAATAGGGGGCAGGTGGAAGTAGAAGTGGCAGAGCAGGCAGGGTCTTGGACTAGGGCAAGTGTGACGGGACTTGAGGATACTAGAGATGGATAAGAAGGAGGGAATTAGCTATTGTCTTTGATAAAATTAACAATGAGAAGTAGTATTTGGGAATTTGCATCTATGTTTAATTTGGGAATTCCTGTTTTCAAAATAGCTGTGAAATCAGTTTGAGAGAGATTATGACTGAAGATGTTTGGTTCGAGATCAGTGAGTTTGTCCATGAATTGCTGTCTTTGTATAGTAAGTAAGTCACATTGAAAGAGAAAATGTTTCAGAGTTTGTGGTTTTCCACAAGTGCAATTAGGGCTGTCAATAGACTGAAAGTTGTGAGCGTAGAACTGGGCTTTAAAGTATAGGTAGGCTCTCACTTTATTGAGAACTATTTCTTGAACCCTTGTTAGATTAAGCTGGCTTGTTGACAAAATTGAGGGCGTTTTTTGGAAATGTACTCTTTGGTGTTTTTTAAAATTCGAAAGAGTATTCTTAGATTTAATAGCAGGTGGAAGGTTGATCCAATTTGAAATTGCAGATGGTATTGCTGAGGTGGAAAATCTATTTGAACATCTAATGGGCATTTTAAATGCTTCATTATATCTCAATGCTCTGTTTGCATGGTTTCTAAATTTGTCAAAAATATCAGTTACATAGGGAGGACTTGTACCATTTACAATTTTGAACATAAAGTTGTTAATCTGGATACTGCGTCTTGATTCAAGAGTTGGCCAATTGAGTAGGTTTAAAACCTTTTTTGAACTGCTTCCTTGGATACACCCAGAACAATAAAGTGCAGCTTTGTAATAAAGACTGTCGAGTCGTTGTAATAGGAACTTTGAGGCTGTGCTGTACATGATAGCACCATAGTCAAAATGGGGTAAAATAAAGGACTTAAATATGGTTTCTAGATGCTTACTACCTAACTTATATTTAAGTTTCTTTAAAGGGTTCAACATTTTTCGTATTTTTGATATGATTTCTCCAATATGCTTGTCATATGATAAGCTTGGGTCAAAAGTAAATCCCAGATGTTTGTGCTCGTGATCTCTGGTAATTTCAACATTGTTTAACTTTGAGACAGAAACATTATCTACTTTAGATCTGGATGAGTGGAATATCATTTCAGAAATTTTCAGGATATCATATTGATTTTGAGGGATATCACTTTTATCCACTTAAAGGTGGATATGATCATTGACATTAAAAAGATCTGTTCTGGCTCTCTAGATTACAAAGTGATGATATATAATTGCAGATATCCTCTATCTTCATGATCTAGACAATTCCACACTTATTTGTAAAGTTAAATTTTAATTGGAAGATGGCATTTTGTGGTCACCCTGTACATGTACAAATGCATTCAAATTTATTTATTTCCTTTTTGTATAGAGTGCATTATACTTAATTGGGGACCTTATTCCTCAACACACATGATAGAACATGTCCCACCTTAATAAGGAAAGTATATGTAATATTTTCTCCAATCTTTCCAATTAGGTGGATACATTCTATGTGGAGGCTGTCTCACTAGGCATGCTAACAGAGTGCACTATCAGTCATGATGGAGAAGGTCCGGGTGAAGGCTGGTTCTGTCTCAAGGTAGTCGTCAGGGAACACCAAGGGGATGACAAACAATACGTTTTCATGTGCAACAGGTAAAATATCATGTTGAATTTGCTGAGTTTTAGGCCTTAGTAGAATGTTATCAAATGTCTTACCCAATGTTATTAAAATGTCATTTGTGAAACTGAAACTTTGCACAGGGCCTATACACTTTCTTCATATTGACTGTTTTAAATTTAATTTGATTGGTTAGTAAATATATATTTGACTAAATATTACACAATATGTTTTACAGTTGGCTTGATGCTGGTATTGATGACAAAAAGACAGAACGGACTCTTACTCTTTTTGGTGAGACCATATTCTATATTGTTTTATAGGTAGCTCTATATTTATGAAAACAGTTGTTTCCCTCGTATCACCCCTAGTTATGTAGGTCTTGAATATTGTCACAACAATTCATGTTAATGCATGGTTATACATATTTTGTAGGTAGACTGTATAGATAGATGTTCAATCAAATATTTTCAATACACAATTTAACTATATAAAAGTTCCATTGAGATTATAGTACCAAAATGCAATTTTGTACAATCAATAGAGACATATATCACAGTCTGCATGTTTTTGTCACTTTGAAATTGTAATCTAACCTGTGTCAAACATATTATGTCGAGCTTGAATGATTTAGTCTCAATATATTGTATGTAGCAGCATGTTAAAATCCTATGTTGTTTAGGAAGTAACTCAACGAGGAACAAGCTATTAGCTAGTCTTCCCCACTGAACTCTTTTAAACACCACTTTCTATTATGGGAATATTCTACAATCTGTTTTTATTTTATAAAATACTACTAAGGGGAGAGAATCCCTAGAGTCTTATGACTATGTTTGATACCTATCACATGGCATGGTCTTTTAAGTTCAGTTTTTCACACATTTTAAGCCTGAAAAGATTTCACTAAGATATATCTAAATCCTCTGTATTTTTAAGTATTTTTTATCACTCAAATCTTTTTGTTTGTTCGTTAGATATTGATGCATATGATAATGAGCTGAACGTGGTGGCTCAAAGATTGGCAGGTATGAGTGACGGCCAACACAATAGCATCCAAATATAAGTACATCGTAGCACCATACAGTAGAACCTCTATATGAACACGGCTATTTAACTTCACCTATGTACATGTATAATGAAACCTCTGTTAACATTTGAGACAGACTAGACAAAAATCTAATTTATTTTATTTATTTAGTGATTAGAAACCAAGGAATTAAATGAGAGCATTTCTGTATTTTTAGTTTTTTGGCAATGTTTATAAGATTGAAAATCGTAAATTAAGTATCTACAGTTTGTTCATGAAAATATGCTTGATTTTTGTTATACAGTATATCCATGAAGTCTTGACATGCATCACTCGCATGATGAGGTTTGCTGTAGTGTAATATTGGTGCTATTATGTACTTTGTATCGGAATGGCTTTAATTTTGAATCTTGGCTTTATCTTATTTGCAATGATTTTTATATTACATGATGTGAAACACACTTCCACCCACTAACATATGCCATTGCTCTTTTTATGAATATTTTTTGTCAAACATAGAATATGTTCAGACTGCCAAATATTTCATGGCAGTTTGTATGAGAACTCATTGACCTCAAAGTCGATGAAGAGCTCATTCTAAATCATTAAAATTGATGTACTGTAAATGTACATTTTAAAATGATTTTAACAACTTTTGAGAGTGAACGAATCAAGAATAAAAACATTAATTGTTTTGAACTTATCATACAAAAAGTCAGTACCACGCTGGAACAATTTAATTCTATTCTTTTTTTGAATCAGTAAGGTAGAAAAATAAGTTTCAGAGAAAGATCTTTTATATTTCCGTTTGTCAGAGTGATCCATCCAAATAGCTTATTATAAGCCAACCTTCTTAAATGGCACAATAGAATGATACTTCTGTTTTTTTTAATTAGTGAGTACCCTCTTATTTAATGCACACAGTGTATTACTTATCTCCTTTCTACTTTATTATTAACAGCATGACTACATATTTACTATCTACAATAATCTACTGCACCACATTGCTGTATCTTGAGTTTTTTGGCTCACTCTTTTGCCCCATTTTTGGCTTTTCCACCAATTAAGCCAAAAGAATAGGCCCATTTTTTCCATCAACAATACCACTTCTTGCACAGTATTACTATGCATTAAGTCAAAATGCACTTTGTCAGTGAACACTCCATTTATATCACCTTTCACTTTTAATTTAGTTTTGCTGGATGTGATGGCTTTGTGCATTTGACATTGCCCAGTTGATGGTATTAGAAACAGCACATTGTATGCAGATTCCTTGAGTTTATATTCAAAAGTGAAAGTAAAGAGAACAACTTGTCAATATTAGTTTCAATTTGATGTAACATTATTATAGGGCCTTGAGTATCTTGCATAGTGTAGCTAGATGTTAGTTGTAATGACATTTATTTTGTTTTGTGTGCTAGTGCGTTGTCTCTCTAGTGAATTTGGTGAGTTAGTCGAGAGGGTTAGCTTCAGATTTTAAAGAAATTATGTGCATAAATGTGTACTATTGTGACCACCATGGGTTACCATTCCCCTTTCAACTAGTTTTCGCAGGAACCCAATGTAACTGATTTCATATAGCATGATATACTCGAGTAACTTAATACTGTGAAGGGAGGGCTAATCCCCAGAGGATTATATAATTCTACGTGTACACATTCATTCATAAGTTCTCTTAAAAATGTGTGACTTAACCGCCCTAATATATACTTGCATGTGGGGTACCTTTCAGTGAGCACCATGGATTTGTTGGGATATGACATCATACACTGTATTTTATTGGTTCACTCCCCACCTCAATACTATAGCTACAACAATGTTGAAGATGCTGACATAATTCAATGACAAAGTGAAACTGCTCTAGAAAGAATTCTATTTTATTTGAATTGTTCAATGACATATTCTGATTTCACAGTTTGTCTTGGCATCTTGAGACATCTCAGATTTTCCTGACATCTTGTGTTATCTCGAGTTATCTTTTCCTGACATTTCGTGATGTCATAATTCTAGCCTGTATGAATATTATTTTAACTCTTGTGGCATGCATCCATATAAATGTCATGAAATGTATTATATCTGATTCGTGTAAGAGTTGAATTATGATACATACATGTGTATTCTGGGAAAAGGCATTCTATGGATATAATTGGGGACAAAGGCATGTGTTACATTATAGGGATATGGTGCATGTATGAAGAGAAACTCTATACAATTCAAACTTTGTAATAGGTCTTTAAAAACTTTTCTTTTAATGGAGACATCAAACTTTACAAGTTTTATTGTAAATAATATCTTACTTGTAGATCACCAAGTCCACGTAATACAATGCCATATTATGTATCATTTGAGGCTTAGGAATAATCCAAGGCCATGTGTTTGATTTGAGGCCATGTGTTTTATTTGAGGCCATATGTTTCATTAAAGGCCATATATGTCATTCGGGGCCATTTGTGATATTAAGGCCATGTTTGCCATTCAAGGCCATATGTACCATTTGGGGCAATTTACTTTACCATTGAACCAAACATTGCATAACATTTAGGCTAATTACTCACTGTCACACAAGTTGTATATTTATTACTTCATTGGAAAATATAACTTATATTAGCTAAAATGTTTTGCTTTGATGAACCATTGACAATGAACTTATTTATTAGACAAAATGTAGTTAATATTTATTTATCTGTTTTTATTAATTACAGAGGAGATCCTGCAAGATGTATTGGACTCTGATAGTGGTGAGTAGCATTCTCTATAGGGAACACCATGATAACTTTCTGGGGGTTACATATTTCATATCATGGGTACTATGATGTATATCTGGGATTTACTTTTGTACATCAAGGGGCTTCTGTCATACATCAGAAGGCTATTACTTAATCGAATCACATATCACAGTATGTGGTACTATTGTTGATTAATTAGTTGGAATTGTCACAAACATTATTTTGATAATTAATTTATTTGCTAATTTCTTACGTAGATTAAATTTTTCACTTTTTCTTCACTATATTTCTTTTCTGTTTGTTTCCATGTTAGTTTTAAATCAAGCTACACCAGTTCCTAGTCCCCCTGTACTCTCAACGGCCTGTTTACTTTACAACTCATCAGCCAAGGGGCCTTTACTTTACAACTCATCAGCCAAGGGGCCTTTAGTTTACGACTCTTCTAAGAGGTCTTTAGTGTACGGCTTTAACGTTGCTGATAGAGACCACAGTTTTGACTCTGGCTCTGAGTCGCCATTCGATAATGAGTCTTATTCTGATACATTCGAAGACTGGTTTGACTCTGAAGATTCGTTCACTGAATCTTTTATATATCACCATGGTGAGAATGCATGCACTAGACTCACATGATGATTCTATAATGGTCATTCTATTAGAAAGAGAAACAAAATACAATTTGTTCTTGAGTACCAGCTTGAAAGCATTCTTCATTTAATAAATCCAGATATTTCTTTGACTCATCAGATTTATACGAATGTGTCCTGAATTTGCCAAGAAAAAACGTTTAGTGTTTGCACTACAGAGAAAGTAAATTATACAGAAGTCAGTAGAGTATGTGTGGAGGAAGGGTGTCTACTAGAGACAGGTGTTCACTAGAGAGAGAGATGTTCACTAAGACAAGTTTTACTGTAGCACCAGTGTGTTATTTCTATTTGACTCAATCTATTGTTACATTTTGAGGTTAAAAGTTTCGAAGAAAACTACAGTTACTCACATTCTGAATTGAACATCACTCATCCAGAAGCTATCTTACTACTGCAAAAATTTCAAACTCAAAATTCAAACAGACGGAGATACAGAATGACCATTATAGACTTGTCTTTGATGCCTTGAAGCATGGAAACACTAACACCCATGTTGGCCCTTACTTACTTGACCGTTAAATGCGATACACACTTCCCTCTGGGCATTTAACAATTAGAGGCATTAGATTATGAAAGCATGTATCAATATTAATATTCTTTACATTTGTCAGAGTTTGACTTAGCATTGACAGCCGTGGAGTCAGATGATGGTAAGGCCTCAAATATTTGGCTCTGTAACTTTATGTCGGCTAATCTGGTTATATTACAATGTTGTTAAGCTCACCTTTTCTTCTTCATGTTTCTTTTCTCGTTCGAATCATTATTGATGTAATCAATATTTTGTTTTATTTTAACCTATCATAAGTAAATGTATTTATTTTTTAACTCATTAAATGTTGATTGATGTATCTAACCTGGAGTTTAATCTTATGATTATATTTGGGGGTTTGGTATCCTCTCATTGGAGGCTGTTTCTGTTGTCTAACTCCAGTGAGGGATTGTTACAGATGCTACAATTCCTGTAATTCAGATAAACATGAGCTATTGTGTCTTGCTCTAACAGTCTGCTGTGATTATTAGTATATTACATCCTCAATATTTTACACCCATTCTGCATGATTCATGACTTGTATTTTTATTAATTGTTGGAGCAGAGTTTAGGCTATGCATGACTATAATATCTAAATTAATATTTAAAAAAAAGATTGTTGTTGGAGTGTTGTTATACTCCATTTGTGACTAAAATCACAATATCTACACTAACTCATGTGTCAACCCCCCCCCCCCCCTCACTCTATGTCACTCCCTATATCCTCCCAGCTATGTCAACCTCAATATTAGAATGGCTCTTTTATTTATTTGCATGAAGGGCATCCTGTATTACATCATTTTATACATATGTACATGTATAGTAGTTCTGTTTTCTTGTTGATTTGATATAATTTAATTCTTTCTTATAATGTAGGGCCTGTATATAGTATATGTTGAATAAAGTTTTCTCTAACTATTCTAAAACATGTTTTTCACTTACATTCTTGCACCAATCAATTCTCATAGACTCATAATAGAGATTTCCTTTATCACATACATTTTGAGAAAAGTCTCGAGTTTGGAAGGCAGTACATTGAAACAGTATATATTGAAGGCATGCCGGCAGTATATTTGAAACTCAGGTTGCAGTTTTTCTTCATTTAATGTGATTTGCATCTTTTGTTTTAGGAGAGGTAGAGGTATTAGAGAAAGATGAGCCAAAAGGTGAGCAATAGTAGCTATACTGTCTTATCCTATATTAACCTAATTCATTTGTGGAATTTCTATGTGGAGTGAATCAGTCATATCCAATTTATTTCATTTTCATGAATTTCATTTTTATAAACTTCTCAAAATTAGTTGTTTTCTATACTCTATCATGATAAGTGTATGAATGTATATTATAGATGGAGATTGGCACATGTTGGTAACAACAGGCAAACAAAGCAGCACCATGACAACCATAGATGATGTAATCCTTGTGGTGTATGGCACCAAGCAACAGTCAGCACCAATAACCCTTGGCTCTGGAAAGGCAAACCTTTTCCTACCTGGCACCACTGAAGAGTTCAATATTAACATAGGGACTGATTTAGGTGATATTTACAAAGTTAGATTTGGACTTAAGAACGCCACCCCTGAGTCTGGATGGTTTCTTGAACGTGTCAAGGTGAAGGATTTGTTCCGGAAGGAACTATTCAATTTCAAGGTGAATCGCTGGTTTGCATATGAGCAAGATGACTGTGATATTTGGAGAGAACTACCTGTTGTACGGCCAGGCAAACGCCCTTATCCTGGTGAGTATTTCTATTAAACATATTTAGTGGGAAATTGAAGCTCTTAATGGAGGTTTGGGAAAAGGGGGGCAATGGTAGAAGTCATGATGGGATTAAACAATACTTGAGGTATCAAAGGTTGAGATTGTTTGAGTTTGATATCGGTATAATTCGGGTAAATATTTTGACATTTTATGTCCCTCAGCTTTCAGAATTCATTTGTATTTGAAAGCTTAAAAACAGATACTGACATTGATGCCTTATTACCATTGTATCATTTTAGTTCTGAAGTATACTGTTGAAGTGTACACTGGCACCGAACCTGGAGCAGATACAGAGTCAAACATCTATGTGAACATACATGGTACTAGGGGGGACACAGGATCAAGGCGGCTTTATAGGACCCTCAACAACTCCATAGCTTTCCAGGAAGGCCAGATGGACCAGTTCACCATTGAGGCTGTCCACCTTGATGAAGTGAATAAACTTGTGGTGGGTCATGATGGGGAGGAATCTGGTGCTGGGTGGTTCTTGGAGAAAGTGATTGTGAGAGAACCAGAGGAATTTGGCAAGGAGTATTATTTCCCATGTTCAAGGTAGATCATTTCAGTTGAATTCTTTCTAGTGTCAAACAAAAAAATATTCACTCACAAAGTTTTTCATATAAAACTGGATGGGTTTCTGCAAGTTATACAGTGTCTTTGGTCTTTACAAAATTAATTTGGCATCAAATATTCTGTTAGTGATTGTTATAATGCTTGTTTACCAATAACATTTATACATGTATTATGTACATACACGCTTGTTGATTCAGATGGCTGGATTGTGGCCAAGATGATGGCCTTATAGAGCGCGAACTAGTGGTGACAGCGCCACCTGCCAGCTCTGTAGGACATTACAAGGTGATCATCAAAACACACACTGATTCCCTAGAGGCTCCAACTAATGCCAAGGTAATTGATAATAAATACCAGCTTTAAACTAAAACTGTTGATTACTATTGCACGTTTGATAAAATAGATATTACAGTGATACATTGAACAAATTACTTACAAGAGATTTTTATAGTAGTGGTTTAGAGTATACGAGTATCTAAGCAAAAATATTCATTTAACTCAAAATCTCTACTGAGGCAAGACTTCTACCTCTTTATATGATATTCAGAGAATTATTTTGTCTTTCCCAGGTTGACTTTGTTGCCTATGGTGAGAAGGGAGTGAGTCAGGAGATTACTCTAGAAGGGGAAGAAAAGTTTACTCCAGGCAGTGAAAATGAATTTGAGGTTTGTAGTTTCTACATCTGCGAAATCTTCAAAATAAATATTTGTCACCAGAAATCTTCAAATACACAAGCATTTAATATTTTTACAAGTATTGTTGAATGACTGACCTTCTTCGTATATGAACATGTCATTACGGCAATAACGAGTTATGGTGCTAGTGTAAGTGGAAGCAATAGATGATAGATTATGCTGTCGTCTGAAACTACAAAAATAGCCATCTTAAGTATATGTAGTATGTACTTGGGGAAGAGGAGGGTGAGGTCATAACCAATTACCATATGTACCATATTTGCTATTAAGATTATGTCATATCATATTAATGCATTTCTTCCGTATTCTCCTTTAGGTTCACTTAGGGGACATTGGAGACTTGTACAAGGTGCGTGTATCACAGGAGGACAATAACGACTGGGACGGGTGGTACCTGGAATGTCTTACACTTGTTGATATGGATACACAGGAAGAGAAACGTGTGAACTTTGATCGCTGGATGGCACGAGATAGAGATGATTGGGACGTTGTCAGGGAGATGCCTGTTGCTAAGGACAATAAAGAGCTTTTACCTAGTGAGTTAAATCAAATTGATTGATTTTTTGCTGGCTATGTATGTTGTTGCACCAATTGATAAGCAACTGAATTGAAGTCACTCTAGTATCAAAGTCTTGACAAGGGCTCTAGATGTTACACAAAATACAAAGTCGTTCATTCATGATTGATTTATTTGATATTTCAGCACAGTGCTATGATGTTCACGTTCATACAGGCGACCACTGGGCAGCAGAAACCGATGCTGAAGTATACATTACCATATATGGAAGTAAAGGTGATACTGGAAAACGCAAACTCATCAAATCTAACCAATCAGAAAAATTCCTGCGTAACCAAGTGGATACATTCACAATAGAGGGCGTCACAGTTCAAGAGTTGTCAGCAGTTGTGGTGGGTCATAATGGGGTTGGTCATGGAGCAGGTTGGTTCTTGGAGAAAATTGAAATCGAGACACGTGAAGGAGAGACGAGTGATGTCATGTATACATTCCCCTGTGGTAGGTGGCTTGATGATCATGAGGATGACCATGTCACAGAGAGAAAACTTCGACCACTTGGTAAGCATACATTTGAATAAGCAACATATCTAGCCAATCTGAGCTTTCCAAGAGTACTTTTCTTCTGATGAGGTAACTTATTCAAAAACAGCTGACCAATTGTGAAAAATTCAGTTAGTATAGATGGTCCAGATTGTTCTGTGTTATTTTGAGTTTTATGTAATATGAGGTTTATTATCTATTCTGAGACAGAAACATAAGTTTACTTTGAATCAAATTATGAGATGCAAAGTAAATCTGTTTCTACAATTTCTGTAACTCTCCATTTCTGTATTTATACCTGTTGTTCATGTACCTTTATCACACTTGGTTCAATTTTTATGGAAATGTTTTTGATTTAATTTTCAATTGATAGTATTCTTTTATTCTAATTTTAGGCACACTCAACAAGACTATAGAGCAGCCAAGACCCAAGTCTGACGCTAAAACTCGTAAGTTATCTTCTGTGTATTAGATTAATCTGTATTATTGATTTTCTTAAACCTTTGAAAGTTGTTGGGATAAATAGAGGGGTTATATATAAGATTATAAACACCCTACCTTCTCAAATGTTAGGGTAGGAATCTCTCCATAACAAGAGGGAGTGTTAGATACAGGGGATAAACATGTACATAAGAGACGTTTTTAGGCATTCAGAGACCTCATACTCTAAAGAATTTTGCTTTTCTTGGAAGAAATTAACATTGACATTTTGAGCCAAGTTTTATATGGAATATTATGTGAAACAACATGCTCAGTTAGTACTGTGTTTTCTAGAAGGTGCATGGAAAGTGGTTGTACATACCAGTGATCTACACAATGCTGGAACTCTTGCAAAGGTTCATCTGACTGTCTTTGGGGATAAAGGAGTATCAGGGCCTACCCAGTTAACCACAGGGAATGAGGAGGACTTTTCCCAGGGGGCATCAACCTCCTTTAACATCAATCTTGGTGATATTGGTGATCTATTTAAGATCCGATTGGAGCATGACAACTCCAATGCATTCCCAGCATGGCATGTTGATAAGGTGATTTAGGCTAATGGCAACTTAATCATGGATAAAACGCTAATAGTTCTCCTACACACACCATTCAGATGTATTACAATGAAGGCATCTTTGGAACCTCGTTTAAGTTGTGTTTTTGATGAGAGATTCACATATTTAAATTTTAACATAATTTATTTAATATTAGGGATTAATGTTTTCTGTTTAAATTCTTTGCACTATATGAGAATTTTGAACTCTATGGGAAAGGTCAGTGCACAGTTCATGGAAACCAGGAAACCATGGCAACAACTAACCTATGAGATAATGAATCATATTGAGTCTTGTGGCAATATGTTTAATGTTTAACCATTGCACATATATTTTTTTGTTAGGTGATCATGGAAGATGAAGACACAGGGGAAGAGCTTGTTTGCTATATTGACAGATGGCTTGCAGTTGATGAGGATGATCATTCACTATGTAGAGAGAGTGCAGCTGCTACAACGAGAATGCAGACTCTCCCAGGTAAACCATTTAGTTCTTTATTTCTGGAATTTTCTACTCATCGTCATTAAGATAGTTAAGAGGACTCTCAAGTTTAATTATGTAGTTCAACATTTCAACACAACTAGTAAAAGGTGTGAATCATATCACTTGCTTACGTATTCCACAAAGCTTATATGATATATCAAATTGGATATTCAAAAGTAGACTCTAAGATTAAACATTGTTATGATTTTTTCAGTTCTCCATTATGTTGTCTGCATACAAACTGGGAAGCTACCAAAGGCCAGCACTGATGCAAATGTCTACATAAACATAATCGGGGAAAATGGCGACACTGGAAAGCGTCACCTATTGAGCTCTTTGACAAGTGAGACGAAATGGCAGCAAGGTCAGGCTGATGTGTTTATAGTAGAAGCTGTGGCATTGGGCAAGATTGACAATGTCATTCTGTCCCATGATGGATCCAAGAAAGGTGAGTCATGTAGTTTATAGTGAACCATATTTCATTTAATAATAAAAGTGAAATATGGAAAAATGCCTCTATGAATTGCAGAGTAAGAGAAAGCTAAACATTAAGGACGTAAAGTGTGTAGATCATAAATATTGTTTAATGTAATGTATTGTATAATGTAAATATTCGATAATGTTAAGTATGAAGTTTCCGGCCCAACCTGTATACCGAATCTTGATTTTGCACCTTAGTTGCTTTTGTTTTGGGTTTCTCTGTATGAAGTACATGACGTGGTACATGAAGTACATATTCAGTGTAAGTTAAATTTAATTTACAGCAATGCTGAGGATTGTCATGTTATTCTTATTATTCAGATCAGAGTTGGTTTGTTGACCATGTAAGCATACGTGAGAGTGAGTATGCTCTGACAGAGACTGTGTTTGACTTTGGGGGCTGGCTTGAAGCTGGATCAGAAGGGGCAGAGGTGTCCCTTCTACTTTCAGGTAAGAATTTAATATGATTGATGTATTACACATGGAAGCCAAGAATAATATTTGATAATATATACTGATATATTAAGAGTATCAGTTCTGCTTCCATGTACATACTTTTTCACTGTGGTATATGGACATGTATGAAAATCCATCTATACCTACACTTTTACATGTGAATCAACTACATGTATGATAAAGTAAATTTTACAATGACAGTATGTAGAGAGTATTATATTTTATATTAATATAACTTCAGGTGATGAGGTTGCCATTCCTCTACCCCCATACCTTGACGAGAACTACAACCCCACAGGGCCAAGCTCAGGGAGGTGGATCATCTGGGTAATATGTGCCTCTGAGAACCTCCCTGGGACCACTGCAAGCCTCAGTATGGTTGTGTACGGCACACACGGCAACTCTACGCACATTCAGCTGTCTAACACGGATGAGACTTTACAGAACTTTGAGCCATTGTCTAGTCAGGCTTTTGATGTAAGTAACCTTTTCTACTCTGATTCAGAAAACAAAGGATGTGTTTATTGTAAAAACATAATTCTGAATGCTACTGGGACTGGCCAAATGTGTTTGGAATAACTGGTGTTCACATTTCAACGTTTCTTTAACAGGAGATTCAATGGGATTCAAACTGAGAGAAACTTCATATTGAATGTTCTTTTGATCACAGAGGTGTCCAGATATACAAGTTGTATTGTAATATTATCACTTAATTGAGGACATGCTCCTTTTGTTTTCTCCAGGTTGACATTGAAGACATTGGAAAATTCTACAAGATCCGACTCTGCCTCAGTCCACAGACACAGAATGAGTCAGTCCATATCAAAAAGGTAATTTTTTATTCTTTACTTATTATTGAATATATCTTCTGTTGGAAAAGAATAGAACTCAAACCTAGCATCTCAAAGTTCAGATTGAACTATAATTTAATTGAAAAACCACTAAATGATAACATTTAAAACATTAAGCCAGTATCATAGTTATTAAAACTACCCCCTCTTGCATTGTTTCAGCTGAAGATGAAGGATATTGAAACGGGGGAAGAATATCTATTCCTGTATAATGATTGGCTCTCCAAGACAGAGACAAATCCTGATGCTTGTGTAGAGCTACCAGTAGTCAGACCTGACCTTCAACCTCTCAAAGGTAAGATATCAATATTATACTGGAGATGACATGGAGATTTGTTTATTAGGTAGCTGGTTGCCATGACCATACTTCTGGAGTTGTGCAGTAGGCTAATTGTTAGCATTTGAGCGAGTTAATTGCAAAAAACAAATAGATAAGGAATGAGTTCACTTCTTTCACACACACATTTACAAAGATAAACATGCTTTGTGAATAACTCCCAACTTTACTGAATGTACCTGTTTCTATTTTCTAGAAACTGTGTATGTTGTTTCTACAACAACTGGTGCGGCTCCACGTGCAGACACAGAAGCCACTGTATATTGTAAAATATATGGCGACTGGGGCGATACAGGCTCAAGGCTCCTCGCAACATCAACAAATAATACGCAAAAGTTTCAACAAGGGCAGGTATGATAAATATTCTTAAAACGTTATGTATAATTTAGTGGATTCACCATATTCTGAACAAAGATTGGCAGAGATACTTGTGATTATTTTAAAAGTATGTCGCTTAAGAATTTTAACAACCAATACAGGTATGAATACTTCATATGAGATTTATAGTAAAGATATAGAAGGATGGTACATCATCCACTGTTCTCCATGTTCCAGACTGATATATTCCGTATCTCAGCTGTGGACATAGGTGATGTACGCAAGGTTTTGATTGGTCATTCCTCAGAGGGTAGGGGTCAAGGTTGGCTGTGCCAGCAAGTCACTGTTATTGCCAAGGAGATGTCAGATCGTGAAGTTGTGTTTCCATGTCATAGGTTTGTGTTTTAGTAATTGTTTTATTGTCTTTGAAAATGTTATTGGACATAGAAATTAGATTTCAACATTAAGCTTTTACGTTGAAATGAAATTACTATTGCATTATTATTGAGATAATGTAGTGTTACATGTCTCTATGTAAACATACATGTACTTGTAAGTATGATTAGGTACAGTTTACATGTACACATGTTTATGTACATTATACATAGATATGTGTTTATTGTTTTGCTGTAGGTGGCTTGACACTGGTTGTGATGATAGAAAGTTGGAAAGAGAACTTCTTCCCCTCACAGATGTCCCTGTCTTTGATGTGGAGGAGAAACAGACCATTGAATCTAGTATGTATACCCTCACATAAACCCCCTACCAATTTTATCAAATTGTAAAATTGTTAATTCAAATTTTAAAAACATGAAATCTTTGGATGCTGAAAAGTCCATTACACATTATGAAAGTGAATCTTCATCACCGATTTGTTGCATTTTACAGAGGGTGAATGGAAATGCTATGTGAACATGTACAACAAGAGTCCTGAAGGCACATTATCCCCTGTACAGTTGTACGCAGTGATGTATGGAGATAAAGGTAAAACTGACATGTTAGAGCTGAAGAAAGAAGAGACTGAGGCTGGAGAAGAAGGCCACATGGATGAATACCAGGTACAGTGTATTTGATCAGCCAGAATAAATGTGGACTTTAATGTACAAAGATCTAACATATGTTGCATACTGTATATAGGTACAGTGCAACACAAGAAAGAATAAAATCCATATTTTAGTCTTGATAAACATTCTGATGTTTTAACTTTCAATTGTGGAATTTTGTTGACGTGTTAGACATTATGTCCAATACTCATTTCCAGTTGAAGTTTGAAGTTGGCCAGCTGTACAAGATGAGAGTGCACTACTCCCAGGAGAACACTCCTGACTCTATATGGCCTGTGCAGGACATCTTACTGGAGGACACTTCCACTAAGGACCAATATAAGTTTGACTTTGGAGGATTCATAGATGAGGGTTATACCCAGGATTCTCTGGAACTTCCTGTGACAATTTCTGGGAAAGTACCTGCTCGAGGTAAAGAAGAAACAATTTCATTTTTATTGATTCATAAAAATTATTATAAGTTGAAAAACTTTGTATGAGAAAACAATTATAAAATTATTTGAATTTGATGTGCTATAGAACAAAATTCTGTCAGTTAAGCAATCCACAGCATTTCAAGTAAAACATATATTTCATGTCTCTGTCGTTTCAGTGGTGAACTACATCATGACTGTCTACACAGGGGAGGTAGAGAGAAATGGCACTGGTTGTCAAGTGAATGTTTGTCTCCATGGTAACCTTGGAGACACAGGGTCAAGGTCATTGAAGTTGAACCAAGATGGAGAAGAACCCTTCCAAAGTTATCAGGTAGGGAAAATGTCAAGAAAATAATTCACTACAGTTGCTTAGTTCCGTATTAGAATAGTTAATTGCTGTTAACTAATATTTTTCTGAGGTTTTAATGGTATATTATTTATAGTTCTTTATAACACATGGTATGTTTTGATGATGTAAATAACACAAAATAACACAGAATAACACAAAAAGTAAACAATCACATCTAACCAGTTTGCTTTTTGTTCCTCCGTATAGGTTGATACATTTGAAGTGAAGGCAGTTGACCTAGGAGACATAGAGAAGATCTCTATAGAGAAGATTGGTAACACAATGTGGTTCTTGAAGCAGATCACCATCAAGGCAGGCCCCTATGCTCCAGTGGAATACATCTTCACCTATGACAAGTCAGTTAATCAAGCTAAATATTGTTTAAAATAATCTTTCAAACTTGTTAAATCACTATAAATCGTGACCATTGAGAAAGACCACTTACACTTTGTAGAATGGAAGAAGATTTATCAAAGTTTAATTGTGCCAAATATGACTTTAAACTCATGCTGAATGACTGAGTTTTTGTTTTTGGCTCACCCTGTATATTAGTTGAAAGTATAACAAATCATTGCAGTGATGTCTTCAGTATTTTAAAAAATAAAAATGTTAAGACATTTTCTATTGTTTTGATTTGTTTTTAGTTGGTTGGGTCACAATGAGGATGGGGATGTTATGGAGTTGGAACTGACTCATACTGATGAGACACTCGGTGATGTGGCAGAGAAGGATGTAGAAGGCATCAAGAAGACTGGTGAGTTTAAGATGGGAAATTGTATTTGCATATTGTCATAACTCAGTGTTGATCTTCAATGTCTGCCATTACTAGATACCAAAGATATAAGCAATATAGCGTATTTTTACTTACTACAATTGGATATTTTGTCAGATAAAATTGTTTTGTAAATAAATAACCAATGGGACATAAATTTCACAGAATACATAGATGCTGAGTTAATTCTTTTTCATGCTATATGTTTAGAGGGTAGTTGGGAAGTGTGGACTACTACAGCTGCTACAGAGGGTGAGCAGGATTCATTCCAGGGTGATGCCCAGGTAGTTGTAGTCTTCTGTGGTGACAAAGGGGACACCCAACCTGTACCTCTCACCCCTTCTGATGAAGATAAGATCTTCCAACCTGAGCAGACGGACAAATTCAAAGTGAGGGTCTTTTTATTCAGCAATGAAAATATAAATTGAAATAAATGTAGCCTGTATTGTTCTTGATTTTTTGAGCAATAAAAATCATAATTGAGTATTTTTCACAGATTGCGATTGACGATGTTGGTGAGATATTCAAAGTGAGGTTAGGGTTGACAGGAACCAATGAAATGGCTGCATGGTTTGTTGAGGAGGTGAGGTTTCAGGATGAACATACACGGGACACATTCCACTATGAGCTTAATACCTGGGTCAGACTAGATGATGCCCACGATGGTCTTCTGGAGTTTCCAATCATCTGGCCTGCAGTAAAAACATTCCAAGGTAATACAGTTATCAGATATTTTATGGGATATTTATAGTAATCATCACTTCCAACCTTTTTGTGGATCAGATATTCTTCAGCTATTGAATTAATGTCAATTGTAATTTTTGTAATGCTTATTTTAGCAGTTTTAGTATTTTAGTTTTTCGCTTACAGTTCTTTTTATAATTTCTAATACTACTAGTGTACTTTTGTTTCAGTGATCAACTACTGTGTGGAGGTGTATACGGGCAATGAAACAGAGGCTAGTACGGAGGCAAATATCTATATGACCTTATATGGTAAACATGGCAATACAGGGAAGAGAATTCTCAAGCAATCCAGCAACAATGACAAACCATTCTCCATTGGACAGGTATGTTTATGTGTATATTGTCTAACATTATCTTTCATTCTCGCATCTTTGCAAGTGTTTTCTGTGAGCTTTGTCAGTAAATCGTAAACTTACTGAAATTGCCTCATCAATGAGATAATATATGAGAGTTTGCTATGCCATTATTTGCATGTTGCAATAGAAACATTTAAAACAAATGCTAAATCCTTTTCAGATGGACATATTTGAAGTGCAGGCTGTTGACTTGCAAGATATTGACAGAGTTGTGATTGGTCACGATGGAACGGGTGAAGGTTGTGGCTGGTTTTGTGAAAAAGTCATCATCAAAGAGTCCCCTGATGCTGAGAAGCAATATTATTTTGGATGCAATAGGTTTGTGTTTACAAAATCTTATTTACAAAAAAATAAATAGAAATCACAATTTAATTTATCAAACAATTTGGCCTTTGTGGCATTTTTATGTCATGTTACATTGTGATGTCATGTTATGTACTGATGTCAGTTTACATTGTGATGTCATGCTATAGGTGGTTAGATGCAAGTAAAGATGATGCAGCAATTGAGAGAGAACTTGTCATCTCTGAACTCCCAACGCAAGAGGATCCTAAAACACCTGTAAAAGGTAAATATTTTACTTACAGTTTTCATGTTTTTTTGCAGTTGAAAGAATGTTGGAATAAGAATATTACATTGTGAAGATTACTAGTACATTTTGTCTTATTAGATTTTGGATAATTATATCCATTCGTAAAACCTTATGAAATCTGTATAGTATTTGTATTTTTCTACAATTAATGTCACATGTTTCATCCATTTTAAACAAGTAAATGTATTTCAGATGAACAGAATATCTGGAATGTCTCCATAATAAACAGTGATGGAGAGAAGGCAAAGATGGAAGATGATTGGTCAGGAAATATTGTCATGGTGATCTATGGCAAAAATGGACGCAGTGATGAGATTGTCATTGGATCAATCCATGATAGAATCATTAATGAACAGGAGGATGCTTTTGAGGTAAACTAATATTGTAAAGAATAGTATTGATGAATCAATTAACATAATATAAGTGTAGCCCTGAGTATATTCCTCAGTATAAACACAAGTAAATAAAAAAAGCAAAAATGTTAAAAAAATATAAAATACTTCTATGTATACAATAATTTAGGTACTATTTCATTGTAAATGGTAGTGTCACTGAACCATTCCATTACATTCCAGACTGAGATAAAGGATGACCTAGGAGAGGTGTATAAGATACGACTTGGTTTCTCACATGATACCACTGGAACCCCATCATGGCAACCACAGATGGTAAGATTCAATTTTTTGACATTGTCAAATTTCATTTTGCATTTACTCATAAATTGTATAAACTAACTAGTATATTTTAAATAAGACATGTATTTGTGTTGATATAAAATCAAGCAATCAGAAATCAGAATCTTACATGGCGGCAATTCATTTCCATAAGAATAGCACACTACATCAGAATATCTGGATCAGTTAAGTCCATTGCCGATATTATCTTTGTATCCACCATAGGTTTATGATATGAACATACAATCTATAAAATTAAACTATTATTTGAAATCCACAGATCACTCTAACGGAACAAAAGTCTAATGCGGAGTACAAGTTCCCCGTGACTCGTCCTGTTGCCTTGACAACACATGTTGATGGCTGGGTTGAGTTTGCCAGCCTTGATAAGGAAGATGAACTTCAGAGTAAGTGCATTGATTGTCAGAATATTTAGTTCAATATGGTTTGAAGGTGTTTTCATGTTCAATATTATATTCAGGTGGATTATCTGTTTCTTTTTTATATCACTGCACCTTTATGACATAATTTAGTCAAAATTAATAAATATGCGGTATAGTAATCAGATTGTATCACTTCCACTGAAAATAAATATTTAAGTTGATCATCCAATTCACCAATCAATCAGTCAATAAACTGATATAAAAGTTAGAGAAATAAAAATTGAATAAGCCACTCTGACTAATTTGATCAATGAGTCAATAAATAGATATCAAAAGATAAATGAACATATATATTGTTACACTTCAGATGTCGCATATGAAGTTGTTGTTTTCACTGGAGATGAGGAAAATGCCGACACTGAGGCTAATGTTTCCTTAGAGATCATAGGAGAACAAGGAGACACAGGCAAGAGGAAACTCATCACTAGTACTAGTGAAAACCAGGAAAAATTCAGGAAAGGACAGGTATGTACATACATGTAGTTTCTATTCATATTCTACAGTACAATCTAATCAAATTCTGAAGATGGAATACATTTACCATGAATTGAGGCCTATGCAGTCCCAGCTGGAAGAGAGAGATATTTTGATATCATCCATATTAACAATAATTTGTTTGCTGTGATGCTAAGTAACTGTTGAATCATCTTAGTATAAGTTTGGTGATCGATCCATTCATCCATCTTTCCAACCATCTCTCTGTCAGTTTGTGTGGCTATCATCTATACCAGGTATGACAGGGTCATCACAATTACCCATGAAGGTTTTCTACCACTACAGTATCAATTATCATTAAATCCCAATATTCTTGTACATGTATTTTCTCTAGGAGGACACTTTCCGACTTGATGCAATAGACTTACTGACTGTAAATAAAGTTGTGGTGGGTCATGATAATCAAGATGGTGGGCAAGGCTGGTTCCTTGACAAGATCCTGATTAGAAGACTCTCTAGTGAGGGAATCCCTGAAGTGCAGTACATCTGTCAATGTACAAGGTAAGGATAGCAATGAAGGAGTAATATAAAAATACATGCAATTGTTAGTAATGTAAAGTGCTTGGGTAGAGTCATTAATTGTTTTATTGGGAATGACAAAAGGAATCTGTTCTACAATGTATGGTAGATATGCATTTCTTCTGTACTTTTACCTAAATGTATGGTAATATGTGTGTAGATGTTCTGACGTATATGTGGGTAATGGAGTTTGGAATACTTATCTAAAGTATGTTTCTTTGTCTTAAGATGGCTTGATAAGGATCAAGATGATGGTGCTATAGAAAGAGAACTGCTAGCTGAAATGTACAAACCTCCAGAACCAACAGGTAAAATATTTGATATCAGTTAATTTCTGCTTCATTGAATTCTAAATTGAACACTATATTACACTTAACCCTGTCAAATGGAATACTTCTGTAAATAGAACACATCTGTAAGTGGAAATATGATGAGTCCAAATATCCATATTAATGTAAAATGAACCTTTTCAAGTGGAACACCTCCCAAATGGAACACTTTTTAGAGCTACCAAAGGTGTTCAATATACACAGTTAATGGAATAATCAAAAACTATATAAGTCTATAAATATAAAATGCCATTGGTTTAATGTTTTCATTTCTAGAAGATAGATGGAATATACATCTAACAAATGGTAAAGGTGATGATGTAACAGAGTTGCTCAAGGACCAATGGTCTGGGAAGGTTGTCATGGTGATGTATGGTGCTAATGGACAAAGTGAACCAATTACACTGGGTGAAATCAATGAGGATAAGTTTAATGATGAGGCAGAAAATGAGTTTGAGGTTGCTAGTGAACCAAGAGATCTAGGGACTCTGTATAAAATCCGACTGGGATATTCTGATGATGCAACAAGTTTGCCCTTATGGAGACCTATCAAGGTATGGGAAATTCTAGCTAATGCAAAAGAACTGGTTCTAGGAATTATAAATAATTGTCACATTTTTATAAAAATTATTTGGTTCAGTTTGTGAACTTATTTTCACTCTATTTTAGATCTTGGGATACAGAACATAGTAACATTTCTCCCAATTTGTGTTTTCTAGATTAAACTTGATCATATTGAGTCCAAGGCAGAATATGTGTTTGAGATGACAAAACAAGTTGCTATAACAACAGAACAAGATGGCTGGCTTGAAGTTCCTGCAAATGTGAATGATGAATCTTCTGCAAAAGATATTTTACCTGGTAAGGGTCATGCTAAATTGCATTAGATGATGTTTATAGCCTTCTTATTCTTACTATTTGGTAACCTTTTAGATTAAATGATGACAATGAGAAGAAGAGTTTCTGAAAAGATGAATTCACCAACTATTTAGTAAACATAATGTACCATTGAGAATTTGATAGTAAAACAAAACAATGTAAAAATGCGTTATCCAGTCCGGTCTTGTAAGTCTTTGTATAAGAGAATTGTTTATTTTTCAGTTCACCATTACCAGGTGATAACATACACAGATGACAGGTTTGGTGCTGGGACTGATGCTAATGTTTACATAGAGCTACATGGAGGTAGAGGCAACACAGGGAAGCGCAAACTGCACAGGTCTCTTCTTGATGGAGAAAACACATTTGAGTCTGGAAATGTAAGGACTTTTGAAATGCATATTGCGTGTGTTATTTTGAATGAGAGGAGACATTTTGATGGTTTAAAGTTGATTTCAAGTTGAAAGTCTGACTGAAAGCTTCAACTTTCAGAATAGAATTCATATTGTGTTGTTGTTTCAGTATTTATTGGGCAGAAATCCAATGAATATTTAATCCATGAATAAAGTGTGTCTTCAGTTGCGAATGCAACATAACGGGGAAATCTAAGAGGTGAACAATTTTAATAAGATCCAGTAATTATATCACCACAAGTAGTGCACCACCACACGTGATGACATATTGATATAGTCTCCAACTTTTTTGTGGATGGTGTTTGGCGATTAGTGTTTTGCAGTCAGCGTCTGTAATAAATGATAGGTAGTGACATTTTGCATGTTAACACCTTGTTAATAATTATGTTTTCAGGTTGATTTCTTCACCATAGAGGCAGTTGACCTGAATGAACTGACCAGTGTTACTATTGGCCATGATGGCCAGGGTGTGGGTAAGTTTTAGCCTTCTTGATATGTGAATGATTTTACATTGCAAAGAGCAAAACTCAACTTGATTCTGAAATAATGTCATAATTGTTAATTTAGTCCTAAATAGATTAGAACTTAAATCACAATTTCTACTAAAATCAGTGAATTTGTTCTCCTTCAGCAGTTTACTATAAGTCTACCATCACCAAATTCAATCATTTATTCCAGGTCCTGGTTGGTACTTAGACAAGGTTGTGGTGAAAGAATCCAGTGAGGCTGAACAACAGTATATCTTCCAATGTGGCAGATGGTTGGATGAATCAGAAGATGACGGTGCCATTGAGAGAGAGCTACCCCTTACTAAAGTAGAGGGTCAGGAAAAAGAAGGTAAATTAGAGCTTGAATTTAGAACAGAGATGCTGTGTAAATGTTCTTTCTGAATACAGCTCTTAAGTTAGCAGATGGGAGCCATGCATGGTCAAGATGAGATTTGATTTAACTTGATGGCTCATACCTTATTCTATAAAACATTAAATCTGAGCATATTGTATGCTTTTTACAAGCACCTCCCTCTCCACAAAGCATGACACCAAAAAGACATAACTTAACAGCCTCTTAAATAAGATAGTATATAAGAAATATTCAATGTACTGTTTGATTCTTGCTTCAGGTGATGACTGGAAAGTTTGGATTGTGAATGGCAACCATGACAACGCTCCTGCATCACATGATGACTGGACAGGCCGTGTTGTCATGGTAGCATATGGAGAACAGGAGAAGAGTGAGGAGATCACATTAGGACCAATAGGTGTCGCCTCTCAGGGAAGATTCCTTGATGAACAAGAGAGCAAGTTCCAGGTAAGATTCATATGAAGGATTCATACTATCATACTAGTCCCAGTTGTACTAAAACAATGTATTACAGGGCGATCAATAGTAGTGAGCCCCATTTCAACACTTTTGAAATGATTGATAAGGAATTACTGAAGATACATTGCTAAATATGAATCTTGAGTTTCACTGTTGTTCATAGTTTGTATAATATATTTTTGGAAACTATTGAAAGATAAGTTAAGTTAAAAAGTATGTAAAAAATCGAACTAAAAAGTTGGTATCAATAAGAGCTAAAATATGAAACCTTCCCATCTATAACGTTGTTCATAATTATTATTTAGGTGGTGTTAAAGGCTGGACTAGGGGATGTTTATAAACTGAGACTTGGTTACTCTGAGGATACTTGTTACAATGGCGATTCCTCAGATACAGCTACTTTGTCCTGGAAACCCAAAACTGTGAGTTGAATGATATTCTATTTGTACAGAGTGTCAAGTATATACACCTTCCCCATGTGTTTGAGACATTAACATAATAAAACCTCAAATTAACTCTCAAGTGAAATCAAAATTTGCAAAAATTTCAAGTTCAAGAAATATCTATCACAGTGGTATAATTTTTCATGAAAAAATCCAAGATGGCAGCTCTATTGCAAGATGGCTTAGATTTTTTGTTAAAAACATAATTGTTGATAATTTCATATGCTAGTGGCTAGGAGCTCTGCTTTAGAAGAAATTTTCAAAATGACAACTGAATTTCAAAATGGCCACTATTATACAACTTATAGAATACAGATTAAGCATTTAATGAATTCTTCCAGATGATGCTCCAAAACTTACTAAGTGGTAAGAAGTTTATGTTCCACATTGATGCAGCTGTTGCTATCACGAAAGATACAGATGGTTGGCTGGAAATCCCAACTAAAGCAGACCATTCAGGTAACCATGGTTACGAACACTTGATCAAATTAATAATAAAGGATCTTTTGATATATAATCAAAAATCATTTTTTCAGCTTTTTTTTTATCTCTGTGGTTTCATGCATCTGTATGTTCCTTCTCTCATATGTGTAACCAACTGTTGTAGGTCTAGTACAGGAATACCAGGTTGAGGTATACACTGGTGATAAGTTGGGAGCTGGAACTGACGCCAATGTTTACCTAGAAATTTATGGAAAGAGAGGTGACACAGGACGACGCAAACTCAAGAAATCTTTAAATAATTACAACAAATTTGAGTCTGGGAAGGTATGGTTATTTGAAAATCGTGTCATTATTTGTGGAGAAATCATGTTGTGATCAGTCGTGTCATATTGGTTGATACATAGTCTCATTATTCTGCAGATGATTTTAGTTGTATCATAGTCTTGCTCTGAATCTGGTTCACCTAACTACATGGACTTCTTCTGTTGAGGTGGGGTAGATTTGTACCGTGTTTTGGAGACAGGACTTACAAGAGCTTGATGTTAGACCTAATTGGATTTAATTCAACAAATGAATAAAATAAAAGCATTATCTTTGTTTTAATGTCAGTCTAAGAATAAAGGCAACACTATTAACAATATCAAACATTTTGTTATAGATGGATGTTTTTGCTGTGACCGCTGTTGACCTGCTTGAACTTGACTATGTTGTGGTGGGTCATGATGGGAAAGGTGCTGGCTCTGGATGGTTCCTCGATAAAATTATCATTAAAGACTCCCCCGAGTCTGATGAGAAGTTTGAATTTGAATGCAATCAGTAAGTACATATAATTGTGGTCATACCAGTATAGTTTATGATAGACTCTTGAAACAGATATTTCTCATTCAAAATAAAGTAAAACCTCACTAGAAGCTGCAGTTCTATCGTTTATTATGCAACCAAAAGCACATGGCACTAAGAGTCATTAAATTTTTGGGTTTAATCTATATTCTGTATCCGATATATTGGCCTAAAAATAAAAGCCTGTTTTGTGTTCAGGTGGTTGGATGAGGGAGAAGGTGACGGCAGGTTGGAACGAGAGCTTGACGTCAAGATTAATGAACCTCCCCCAACAGAGAAAACCTGGACTGTTACCACGACAACTGGTAATGACCCCAAGGATGAAGCTACTGCTCAGGTTGCTATAGTGATATATGGTGACAAAGACTCTTCCAAGTCCCTACCCCTTGGAGAAAATAAGAAAAATAAATTCAAAGCTGGTACCACCAATGATTTTAGGGTAAGTTTAACTGAAATGATTTCCATATAACAAGTTGTAGTAACAATCTCAAAACATTTGTATGTTTTGCACTGTAAGTCGTACCATTGTTCTTTATGTTTACAAGGTGAGAGTTGGATAAACTGAAGACAGACACGGTAGATATATACATAATGCATATACTGGATGTTTATTGTATTATTTAAATCTGCAGGTTGATATAGATGAAGAATTGGGTGACATTTACAAAGTTAGAGTGGGATACAGTGAAGACAAACATGCCTCCTGGTTCCTAGACACGGTAAGACATTATTAAGTTTCGTTTTGAATCACCAAGAAAATGGCATTTCTAAAATAGACTTAAAAGCGTAACTTGAATGCCCATGGTTATTATTAATCTCTAGAAATATAGATTCATTTAATCACTATAGATGCTATGTATACATTGCTATGGTTACAGATGAAGATTGCACATGTGGAGAGTGGAAAGTCATATGAATTTGAACTTAATGACAGACTTGTAAAAAATGACGATGATGATGGATGGAGGGAGATACCAGTTAAACAAGATAACCAACTCCAAGGTAACTGAAAAGAGTGTCATATATGGGAAATATTATTGTTTTTTAAACCCAGAGTAATGCTCATTCAAATGCCTACCTACCATAACCATATGCATGTAAATTTAATTCAAGAATAAGACTATCATCATAAAACTAATTGTTTGTAATTCTCATTGTTCATCATATTATTAACATATTTCACAGATCATCTCCAAAGGTCTATCACATTCATAATTCTAACATATCATCAAACACTTAACAACTCATTGCATCTCATTCAGCATTTCTGCTTGTTTTAGGCATTCAACATTTGTGCTTATTCTAGGCATTCACCATTTGTGCTTGTTTTAGGCATTCAACATTTGTGCTTGTTTTAGGCATTCAACATTTGTGCTTATTCTAGGCATTCACCATTTGTCCTTGTTTTAGGCATTCAACATTTGTGCTTGTTTTAGGCATTCAACATTTGTGCTTATTCTAGGCATTCACCATTTGTGCTTGTTTTAGGCATTCAACATTTGTGCTTATTCAAGGCATTCACCATTTGTGCTTGTTTTAGGCATTCAACATTTGTGCTTATTCTAGGCATTCACAATTTGTGCTTGTTTTAGGCATTCAACATTTGTGCTTATTCTAGGCATTCACCATTTGTGCTTGTTTTAGGCATTCAACATTTGTGCTTATTCTAGGCATTCACCATTTGTGCTTGTTTTAGGCATTTAACATTTGTGCTTATTCTAGGCATTCACCATTTGTGCTTGTTTTAGGCATTCAACATTTGTGCTTATTCTAGGCATTCACCATTTGTGCTTCTTTTAGGCATTCAACATTTGTGCTTAATTGTTTTAGGCTTGAGAGATAAGCTTGTCGCATACTCCTGTTCCTGCTTACCCTTTCTGTTGCAGCCCCATAGACAAAACTCTGGTGATGATTCCCTTCCTCATTTACCTTCTACCTTCTAGCCCCATCCCTCCCTGTTTTGAATTGGTCTTATATTAAGGCAGGCAGTGCAGAGTGATTCATCTGATTTTTGAAACATTGTGAAGTAATTGTTATCCCATCAAACGAAGTTCGGAGGGATATAGGGAACGCCTCCGTCCGTCCGTACGTACGTATGTCCGTCCGTCCGTCCGTCCGGGCAATAATTCAAATACCGTTGGCCCGATTTTATTCATATTTTGTAGACATATACCTTATGGGAGTAGAAGTTCTGCTCGAAAGCCGATTTTCAAATGGCCGCTCATTTAAAAATGGCGGCCATTTTAGTGCCGATTTTACAGTAATTTAGGTGCAATATGTAAAACTGTTATAGCAATATGTTTTAAATGTAAAAAAATTATAAAGGACATTAATAATGCTACAAATGTAGATATTAAAGAAGCACATGGCAGCCATCTTGAAAAATGGTGGCCTTTACTCGTCATTTTACGATTTTTGCTATAACTCAAAAAATAGTGGAGCGATTTTGTTCATATTTGGTATGTGAATACTATATACAATTATTGACCTCTCCAGATAGTATAGTAGGAACAAGGGGTTCCCATGCACCCATAAGGTGTGAATAAGTTACATACATTTTTGTAATCCCTAGGGTGTCTATTTAATGAATTCATTTGTTAACATTGCCAACTAATGTCCCATAGTACTTTTATGGCGGCATTCAGTTACCATGGTTACGCATCTTTAGACATCTTACCTTGGTATCTTAAATCATTTGTAGCTCTGTCATTATTTGGTCTATAGAAATGATATTGGTACCAAATTGAACCTCGTTAAATTTTCAATAAATTTCTGATATTCAATTATGCAAATTATCTAATTTGCATAAATTATGACGTCATCAATCTATTTTTGGTTCAGAATTTCCAACTATAGCAACATATCTATTAGATCTGAGGCCGTATGGCAAAATTTCTGAAAGGTTTTGTCCTTTATTCTATTAGTAGAAGGTATAAGCAACATAAAAGTGAAAACAGATTCAAAATTGAATCAGTATTACGAAAGTTATGTAACTTTCGAGGCAGCTATCGTGAATGTCATTATTTGACAATAATATACATACATCTTACCTTGGAGTCTTGAATCAATGTAGCTTCGCCATTATTTGGTCTATAGAGATGATATTGGTATCTGATTAAACCTTATTAAATTTACTATATGGTTACAATATTAAGTTATGCAAATTAGCTAATTTGCATTAATTGTGACGTCATCAATCCATTTTTTGTTCAGAATATCCTAGTATAGCAACATATCTATTAGAACTGAGGCCGTATGACAGAATGTGTGCATAGTTTTGTCCCTTATTTGATGAGTGGAAGATATAAGCAACATTAAAGAGACAACAAATCTTCAAAATTGGATCAGAATTAACAAAATTATCCAGCTTTGGAGGCAGCTACTGTGAACGTCATTGTTTGACAATTATAAAAAGAATATTAAATTAACAAAAAAAGTAACAACCATAGTTGTTTCAATCTTATTGAGTAAAAATGTGCATGTATTGAACTGAACTAATAAGTATGTGGAAAGGTTACATGTATTTTGACTATCATTCACAGGGGTCAAAACGGTTATCTCGACCCTGTATATTAAAGATCCAATTTTATAATTTACCATGCACTTTCAATGATTCATATAAATAGTATACATATAGTCTGATTTTCATCATATTCTTCATATTCTTGATTCTTAAAGTATCTGAAGTATAAAGCATGATTAGAAGTGAAGATGATTCATCATATGGTTTATGTAATATATCTAACATTTCAGATGCTATGGTAACATCACTAGATAATGAGGTTTTTACATTTCACGTTCTTAATGAGTTAAAAGAAAGTTATTCTCCCTTTGCTTTAGAGATAAATAGTCACATGAATTTGTTTAGAAAAATTATAACTTAATTTAACCCCCTCCTGACAGCCCCCATATTTGAAGATTTTGGTGAAACCTGGCAAAATACATTAATTATTAGGTTCCAGAAGCCCCCAGAAGCTATATGATGGCCCCCAGTGGCCCAAGAATCTATACAGGGGCCCCAAGTGGCCCCCAGAAGGTATACGATGGCCCCCAGAAGCTATACAAGGGCCCACAGAAACTATACTGTGGTCTCCAGAAGCTATATGGTGGCCCCCAGTGGCCCTCAGAAGCTATATGATGGCCCCCAGAAGCTAATTAGTGGCCCCCCAGGCACCCAGAAGCTATACAGGGAACCCCAGTGGCCCCAAGAAGCTATACGATGGCCCCAAGAAGCTATACAGCAGCCCCCAGAAGCTACACGATGGCAACCAGAATCTATATGATGGCCCCCAATGGCTCCCAGAAGCTATACAGGGCCCCCAGTAGCCCCTAGAAGCTATACGGTGGCCCCCAAAGCTATATGGTGGCCCATTGGGGGACACTGTATAGCTTCTGGAGGCCATCGTATAGCTTATGGGGGCTACCGTATAGTTTCTGCGGGCCCTTGCATAGCTTCTGGGGGCCATCTTATAGCTTCTGGGAGCCACTGGGGGCCCCTGTATAGCTTCTGGGGGCTACAGTACAGTTTCTGCAGGCCCTTGCATAGCTTCTGGAGGCCATCGTATAGCTTCTGGGAGCCACTGTGGGCCTCTGTATAGCTTCTTGGGGCCACTATATAGCTTTCGGGGCCACTGAGGGCCACCGTATAGCTTCTAGGGGCTACTGGGGGGCCCTTTATAGCTTCTGGGAGCCATTGGGGGCCACCATATAGATTCTGGGGGCCATTGTGTAGCTTCTGGGAACCACCATGTAGCTCCTGAGGGTCACTATTTAGCTTCTTGGGGCCATCATATAGCCTATGAGGGCCACTGGGGGCCACTGGGGGCCACCGTATAGCTTCTAGGGGCTACTGGGGGCCCTTCACATCTTCTGGGAGCCATTGGGGGCCATCATATAGATTCTTGGGGCCATCATGTAGCTTTTTGGGGCTCCTGTATAGCTTCTGGGGGCCATCGTTTAGCTTCTTGGGGCCACTGTGGTCCCCTGTATAGCTTCTGGGAGCCACTGTATAGCTCCTGGGGGCCACTAATTAGCTTCTGGAGGCCATCATATAGCTTCCGAGGGCCACTGGGGGCCACCATATAGCTTCTGGAGACCATAGTATAGTTTCTGGGGGCCCTTGTATAGCTTCTGGGGGCCATAGTATAGCTTCTGGGGGCCCCCATGTAGCTTCTGGGGGCCACCGTATAGCTTTTTGGGGCCACTGGGGGCCCCTATATAGCTTCTGGGCGCCACCGTATAGCTCATGGGGGCCACAGGGTTTCCTTTATAGCTTCTGGGAGCCACTGTATAGCTCCTGGGAGCCACTATTCAGCTTCTGGGGGCCAACATATAGCTTCTGGGGAGCACAGTATAGCTTCTGGGGGCCACTTGAGGCCCCTGAATAGATTCTTGGGGCCACTGGGGGCCATCATATAGCTTCTGAAACCTAATAATTAATGTATTTTGCCAGGTTTCACCAAAATCTTCAAATATGGGGGCTGTCAGGGGGGGGGGGGAGTTAAATTAATTAAGTTATAACTTTTCTAAACAAATTCATGCGACTATTTATCTCTAAAGCAAAGGGAGAATAACTTCCTTTTAACTCATTAAGAACGTGAAATGTAAAAACCTCATTATCAAGTGATGTTACCATAGCATCTGAAATGTTAGAAATAACATAAACCATATGATGAATCATCTTCACTTCTAATCATGCTATATACTTCAGATGCTTTAAGAATCAAGAATATGAAGAATATGATGAAAATCAGACTATATGTATACTATTTATATGAATCATTGAAAGTGCATGGTAAATTATAAGATTGGATCTTTAATATACAGGGTCGAGATAACCGTTTTGACCCCTGTGAATGATAGTCAAAATGCATGTAACCTTTCCACATACTTATTAGTTCAGTTCAATACATGCACATTTTTACTCAATAAGATTGAAACAACTATGGTTGTTACTTTTTTGTTAATTTAATGTTCTTTTTATAATTGTCAAACAATGACGTTCACAGTAGCTGGCTCCAAAGCTGGATAATTTTGTTAATTCTGATCCAATTTTGAAGATTTGTTGTCTCTTTAATGTTGCTTATATCTTCCACTCATCAAATAAGGGACAAAACTATGCACACATTCTGTCATACGGCCTCAGTTCTAATAGAATGTTGCTATACTACGATATTCTGAACAAAAAATGGATTGATGACGTCACAATTAATGCAAATTAGCTAATTTGCATAACTTAATATTGTAACCATATAGTAAATTTAATAAGGTTTAATCAGATACCAATATCATCTCTATAGACAAAATAATGGCGAAGCTACATTGATTCAAGACTCCAAGGTAAGACGTATGTATATTATTGTCAAATAATGACATTCACGATAGCTGCCTCGAAAGTTACATAACTTTGGTAATACTGCTTCAATTTTGAATCTGTTTTCACTTTTATGTTGCTTATACCTTCTACTAATAGAATAAAGGACAAAACCTTTCAGAAATGTTGCCATACGGCCTCAGTTCTAATAGATACGTTGCTATAGTTGGAAATTCTGAACCAAAAATAGATTGATGACGTCATAATTTATGCAAATTAGATAATTTGCATAATTGAATATCAGAAATTTATTGGAAATTTAACGAGGTTTAATTTGGTACCAATATCATTTCTATAGACCAAATAATGACAGAGCTACAAATGATTTAAGATACCAAGGTAAGATGTCTAAAGATGCGTAACCATGGTAACTGAATGCCGCCATAAAAGTACTATGGGACATTAGTTGGCAATGTTAACAAATGAATTCATTAAATAGACACCCTAGGGATTACAAAAATGTATGTAACTTATTCACACCTTATGAGTGCATGGGAACCCCTTGTTCCTACTATACTAAGAGGTTTACTGTCAAAATTATATCCTGAGACTGTAAACCGAGACCGTAGGTCGAGTTTACAGTCAAGGGATATAATTTTGACAGTAAACCGAATGGAGAGGTCTATAATTGTTTTGTTAGTCCGAAGAATATCTTAGATTTTTCTGACCCTTGAAGTTGACTTGAAGTTGGATCCAGACCCTCGAGACGTTCATGTTGTATTTCAGTATATCGGCAGTAAGTTCACTCAATGGAGTCAAATTACTCTCCTGGGCGAAGTCCACTAAAAGCTTTGTACAAAGTTTTAGATTTTTCTTCGTATTTTGACTGTCTTTACTCTCTAAGAGACTAATAATATCCTCATCTTCAACATTTTTGAAACGGCTAGTGCTAGCGGCGGCCATTTTATCGTCTGATAATGACGTCATTTTAGTGGAATGCTGGGAATATTATTCACCGGCAATGCATTGCGCGGTGTACAGTTAAAATTATTCACCGCTCGTTGACCAATCAAAATCGAGTATTTCAACTGAGGTACTAACAATAAGCTTTGTACACTGTTTTAAGACACTTTTGGTAGAAGGCGGCCATTTTGAAAAATGGCCGCCATTTTAACTTATTTTACTATAACTCGAAAAGTAGTGAAGCAGTTTTTTCATATTTGGTATGTGAATACTATAAGCACGGCACACTGCCCTATGACACTTTTGGTAGAAGGCGGCCCATTTTGAAAAAAAAATTGAAAAATGGCCGCCATTTTAACATGTTTTACTATAACTCGAAAAGTAGTGGAGCGATTTTGTTCATATTTGGTATGTGAATACTATAAGCATGGCACACTGTCCTATGACACTTTTGGTAGAAGGCGGCCATTTTGAAAAAAATTTTGAAAAATGACCATTTTAACGTATTTTACTATTATTATCGAAAAGTAGTGGAGCAATTTTGTTCATATTTGGTATGTGAATACTATAAGCATGGCACACTGTCTATTTCTAATGACACTTTTGGTAGAAGGTGGCCATTTTGAAAAATGGCCGCCATTTTAACGTATTTTACTATAACTCAAAAAGTAGTGGAGCGATTTTGTTCATATTTGATATGTGAATACTTTAAGAATGGCACATTTTCTAATAAAACTTTGGGGAGTAGTTGGCCATTTTGAAAAATGGCCACCATTTTTATGTGTGTTATTTTACAAGTACGTGTGCGATTTTTCAAAAATTTTAGAGGTGGCTACTGAAAAGCATATTATTTCTTCTGATGACAACTTGGCTAGTGAGCAACCATTTTGAAAATGGTGGCATTTCTTATGTGTGTTGTTTTATGATATTTGCTATTCGTTTGTAAAAATGCCAGCCATTTCTGTTCATTGGGATTCGCTACGCTTTGGCATTGCCGTTGTTCTGGTTCCTAAATTGCATCGTGATTTCCATCAACTTGTACATTTCTCAAGATGCAGTGTTTCAGGAAATGTCCATGAGGTGCATTTAATTAATTAATTTAATTGGCTGTTGCCAAGCATCAAACCAAAATTCACAAAATTGAAATCTGTTTTAAAATCATCATGTCAAATCCTAATCATAGAAGTTGATTTAGAATTGATATGAAAATCACATGATTATTGTCATTACATGTACGTCCGAGTGGGCCATTATCATAATCATTTCATCAAATTCAACCCACCCTCAATATGTAAGATGCTATTTTAGTTGCATACTACAGGATTAGATATTTTCACCATTTGATGTGGATGAAGAAATGGAATTTGTAGCTTAAGTCGTGTTCCAAGATTGTCTTAATTTAGTTATTTGTTTATGAAGTGCTGCATTCATGTGTAGCATTCTTGATGTTTGCTTGAACATCTTCTATATTTCTCATGAAACATTCGATTTATTCCAAAATAGCTTACATGTTCTGACATGCATCAAGGATGTCCTTGCATTCATATACGGCAAAGACATATGCCAAAAGCATGAGATTAAGACTGAACTTCCACTGATTTCAAAAATTAATTACTTTCAGTGAAATTGATACAGTAAATGGCTCCATGGTATACATAATTGTCCATGTCATAATAAAACCATTTTAACCACAGTTGAACAATTCTCTGGATGAAGATTCAAAATTAGTTTTAACATTTACATTTATATACTTATTTTGTTTCTCCTTTGTCTTTTTTGATTTAGGGTAGTTATTTTGTTAGAATTAGTTGAATATTTCACTCTTGCTGAAGCTGCCATGCTTCATGTTAAAATCTTTTAAGAATATATGTGAGTTGAATTAAAGAAGTTGAATTTTGAAGATCATTTGGGTTTGTCAGGCAAAATCTGTCCATTTTATGTCAATGATCTTTATAAATAATGTAATAAATTATAATATGCATTTAAGCATTACATGATTCTGCCATATCATTCTATGATACTCTGTATATACATGTAGTATAAATAGTATTATAGGAAATATCAGACCAAATCAGCACTTGCTTAATAACTTAACTTTGACTGTAGTGAACGAGTACCAGGTAATGGTGTACACAGGCAACAAGGAGAATGCAGGGACCAAGGCTAATGTCTACATGAAGGTTGTGGGAGAGAGAGGAGATACAGGGAACAGACAGTTGCTCAAGTCTCTAACTTATGGTGGGGACAAGTTGCAGGCAGACCATGTAAGTTGCATAAACTGGATCATATGTCAAACAGATTTGTTTTTTCTCAGGTATGTCCGTTTACTTTCGATTTGTATGATTTTCAAGATTTGAAAAAGAAATCGTTAATTCTTTTCAGATGGATCTATTTGTTGTGGAGGCAGTGGACCTGGGTGTGATTAGGCAGGTGGTAGTGGGTCATGATGTCCAGGAGTCTGGAGCAGGATGGCATTTGGACAAGGTAGTCATCAAGGAATCTCAGCAATCAGACAAGGAATATGTATTTGAATGTAGCAAGTAAGTATATGTATTCTAATGACAGCCTTCGAATCAAGAATTTGAAATTATCGCATATTATTGCATAACCTGGGAATGGATATTTGCACATACAAGCATACACAGCAGCATCATGTATTTCCCAGCTAGTCTCTCCAAATTGTTTACCTCAATTTCTAGAAAATCTATTAGTAACAGCATTAGCCATTTCCTAGACAATTATCATTGGTCTGTGAAGGGATATTACATTAAGGAGATTTGTATTGCAATATATTTAGATTAATTGTGTTGTACTGTAACATTCCATTATTTGTTGCTTTCAGTTGGTTGGACATTGGAGAAGATGATGGGAGCATAGAACGCACACTGGAAATTTCCACGGCAACATCAATGTCAGTACCATAGTATGTTGGAAGTATTCACTGCAATGTCAATGTCAGTACCATAATGTATTGAAAATATCAACCCATCATCAATGTCAGTACCGTAGCATGTTGAAAATTTCCACTGCAACATCAATATCCATACCAAAGACATTGAAAATATCCAGAACAATGACCTTGAATCTTACTGCCGTTGCTCTCACAACAGATATAACTAACTGCAATGTTATATATGCCTTTAATGAAAATTTGCCAAACTTGATAAAAAATGGAACCCGGCGTGGGGACTGCCTTAAAATGACCCTCATTCACATATAATCACTTGACATACTTGGTGAATTGTCTCTGCATGGTCTTTTACAATTATTTTTTGAAAAAACATGAATGACATTCGTCATTTCATATGTACGAGGGGTGATCCAAAAGTCTTGGACGCCCCGCTCTAACTTTGCTATTTTCTAACAAAATTACATGAAAATTTCAGATAATAAAGATCAACATCTTAACAATTTTGTGTATAAGTTTCAACAGAAAATAATATATTTTAGCTACTTTTCTAAATAGTTTTTAATACCGGGTCGCGGCCACCCGGAACGGTATTTGAATAAAGCAAATCACATCACAACTGTTATAATATGGCAAATACTTTAGGTGCAGGTGCACAACCTAACACCAGTCATGATATGAGAGAATTTCCAATTTTCAATCTGAGTGTCATCTGCCATCATCATCTTCACATATTGAGACCTACTTTTCAACATATTTTCCATGAATTTGAACACATTTTTCATACCACTTTACCAAAGAATGGAAGACATTTAAAAAACCTCCATTGCTTATGTGATACAAATGCTGCTGGGGTGCCACTCTAAACCTCATCCAATGAGTAAAAAACGTTTTCTTTCAACCCTTCTTTCAGCTTAGAGAAAAAGGAAGAAAATCACACAGAACCATAAGACTGTATATGGTGCATATGGTAGCTGTTCATGGTCAATAATAGTGAAAATATCTCGTAGTATACTTTGTTCCACTTTGATTTCTTTCATGTTCTCCATTTCAGCAGCCATCTTGGAGCAAAAATGATACCAGAATGAGGGTTGCTTGTCTGATGTCATTTTCTTAGAATTAAACATATACAGCCATTGTCATATATGACATGATAATTAAAACACAATTAATTGATTGCTTAATAACAAAGGAAGTAAACTAACATGGTTTATCAATCAAAATTCAAAGAAAGGTAGTGCGAAACAAGTAAAATGGCGGGAACATTTAGGGCTGAAAGTTGTCATGTGCGAATACCGTTCCGGGTGGCAGGGTCTCTATATTAAAAACTATCTAGAAAACTACATCAAATATATAATTTCTCCATGAAATTAACACACAAAGTAGTTAGGTTGTTGGTCTTTATTATTGAAAAGTTTAAAGTAATTTTATCAAAAACTAACAAAATTAGAGCAGGGCGTCCAAGACTTTTGGATCACCCCTCGTACATGTATAAAAAGATGGTGTAAATTATAGCGTTCTGTTTACAGTCGCCAAATTTAATTGCTCATCCTATGACAAAATATAATATATTGATGTACATGTTTAGTTTTGTCTCATAAGTTGTCAAAAAATTATTTAGATATTCATTATTTTATCAAGTATGAAATATAGCCAAATGGTAATAATCTGATATTAACAAAATACAGCCTTTTAGAAATAATATATCATTCATTTTTGAAAGCTTTACATGATTGCCTTTTATTATTTTATTATTTCTTTTATTTATTTATTAATGTAAATTCTATTGAGTTTAAATGTTATAAACATTTTTTCGGTAGGTAAAAAGCATTGTAGAATCCGCTGCTTTGTACTACTATGAGTATATCTTTGTATCATGGTGCAATGATGTAACCTTTACAAAACCCATATTATGAAACTCTATACATATATCAGTATCATGGTACCTAATGAAGCTCATGGTATGAAAAGGGAAATGATAATACCCATATACATTAAATGATGAAATTGTATCATTTTGTTATTGTATTGTTTATTGATTGTAATTTATATATGAATAAAAAAGCTATATGTGCCATTATTTGATTTCTTAACAATATTGCCTAAGACATGTGGCCCATAGATATTACAAGTAAATGTTTAATCTGGGGTTCAATCAGCACCTCAAGAAGTTCATTAAACCCTAAAAATCTCCCTGTTCAGTTTTTTAGTGTACTTTTTGAATATTACTCCATTTGATCTTAGATCAACGAATGATTACAACTTTAAGTAAACAATGTTAACTGTTATGTTATCTATTTATTGTACATAAATATATACATATTATATATTATACATATATTAGATTTTATTCATTACATTATATATTTTTGTATGAATCTGTTATAGAGTGCTTTAACTAGATCTCTTATACTGTATATCATTGTTGGATTATAAGAAGTAATTACAAAGCATCACAACTGAAGTATACAAATCTAGTGTGTGAATGAACTGGTTGGATTTTACATGTTTTATGCTTAATATAAGCATGGCTTTTTTTTCTTAATCATAGTGATGATATGTATTTTTTTGTAAGATATGTCAAAACAAATACTGGCTCAACCTGGAGTAGAATTGTTATTGTTTCTAAAGTATTATAATTGTTATTTACATGTACTTGGTATTTATGTGTAGTTCAACGACATCTTGCCAAAGTATTGTTCGTATCTACATATTGTATTGTGTAATAGTTATGTAATAGTTACACCTATGAGCGATTTTAAAAATAATTTTAGTTTGGCTGCCTTCAATAATATATAACTTAATAGTATTTTTTATTTCCGTCCCTCTGTACATGTGTGGATTAAAAGATCTGTATTTTTGTGCAATATGAATATGTTCTTGTAATATAAGTTTTAAATTTTAAGTGCATGTAAAATACCATGTGCATGTTTCTTCTGTGTTATATCTTAGATCTGCATCTAGAAATATATTACAAGTAAATATAAAATAAGACATAGACTTCTGTTTTTCTCTAATTATCTCAAATACATATTTCAACTGATTATTTTTCAAAAACCATTTAAAATAGAGTGGATGTTTCTTGTAAAATACAGAAAAATGTGTGCCCTCAAAAGGATGTATTTCATTATAATTATGGTACTTCATGAGACAAATATCACCGGAATCATTAAATAATTCATAGAAACTTGTATAGTATAACATTTGCGAACAGTATTGGGACAGGGTTAGTGTTCCTATGCACAGATTTAACTTAGTATCTCAAGTTCTTTATATGTATTCTGCCATGCAGTAAATATTTTTTTCTGAAATATTTTTTTCTCCAACTCTCGTTCTCCCAATAATAATCAGATATTTAATAATATATAAATGAAAAAGGTTTAATTATGAAAAATTGTGCATATCAAATAGAATATGATATTCCATTCAAAGATTTAAGTCGATCTCTTAATAGTGAAGACATAAAGTTAATGAGTTGTATTTATAAGTTTTGTTTGTTTTGTTTTCATTACAGAAAATTAACTTGTAAACACTGCACTCTTCATCAATCAACTGCACATCTTCTCTGTGAAAGATGGTTTTTGAAGCTGGACCATTCCAATAAGTCACTATAAGAGGAATAAGAGAATATCATAAAATCTGTTGACTGATCTATTAACACTTCAATATGGTTCCATTAGTATTTCACTAGACATATTAACAACTTCAGAATAACTTTCAGAGTGATAATGAAATCCATTCTTCATTCTATTGAGTTCTCATAGTATCACAATTACATGAGTCTTCAGAAACCAACTAATTGTCTTTCACTATTTAGAAGATTCACTTACATGAAGACAACTGCCTAAAAACACTTGCATTGACACCTACATAAAGACACTTGTATAGACTAAAAAACAGGTCCAAAAACAGAATAACGCCTACAAAAAGAATTATAATGTTCAGCAATGCTAGTAATACGACAATTGCATGTCTTAACAATGAGACTAACAACAATTCCTGTCATTGGGCAGAACATTCTCCTAAAAATGAGGCTATAGGAGCATACATTTTACGCTGTATTTTTGCAGTGATAATAATAACACTGCAAGGCCTAATAATTTCAACAGTCGCCAGGACCAGAAGTTTACAAACAGTTTCAAACTTCTTCAAATGTGGATTATCCGTTGGAGGCATCATGTTTGGATTATCTGTTGTGTCACATGCTGTCTTGGATATGATGCATACATTGAATCATGCTAGAACATGTAACATAATAATGTTATCTCTGAGCACAGCAGCAGGTATAACAATGTCCAATGTTCTCCTCATATATGTTGAGGCTTTCCTTGTTACACATTACGCAATGATGAACCGTTTTGTTTTTTCAAAACAACTTGCAGTAGGGTTGCTAGGGACAACATGGTTGCTATGGCTGCTACTTGGGTTGCTATTTGGAGTGGCACTGCCTTCACAGGACAATGTAATATCTAGTGACGATATCTGTCATATAAATAATGGCCAAATATCAAAAAGTTATATACTTACTCTTTGTGTCTTAATTATCGTACATGTTTTAGCTTTGATAATTTTACAATTAGCTATAATTCTACGAATCAGAGCTCATGCAAATAAGTTCAATGTCAAAATAGAATTTCCAACTAACATTTGTTCAACAGGGCCTATCTTGAATACTCCGAGTAGTGGGTGTATTTCCTCTCCTCAGTTAAACAGCTTCACACATTTCAGATTCTCTCACTTGTCAGTTCACACTGAAGAAACAGATTCATTGGCTGGACTTACATTGGAATCAAACCCATTGAATGAATCAAATGTGAAAGGTAAATCATTGGCTAAACAAAATGAAGAAGCTAGTTCATTGGTTGTAGCAAATGTGACAGCTAAATCATTGGCTAAACAAAATGAAGAAGCTAGTTCATTGGTTGTAGCAAATGTGACAGCTAAATCATTGGCTAAACAAAATGAAGAAGCTAGTTCATTGGTTGTAGCAAATGTGACAGCTAAATCATTGGCTATACAAAATGAAGAAGCTAGTTCATTGGCTTTACCAAACTTGACATCTAAATCATTGGCTAAACAAAATGAAGAAGCTAGTTCATTGGCTGTACCAAACGTGACACCCAAATCATTGGCTAAACAAAATGAAGAAGCTAGTTCATTGGCTGTACCAAATGTGACATCTAAATCATTGGCTGAACAAAATGAAAAAGCTAGTTCATTGGCTTTACCAAATGTGACATCTAAATCATTGGCTAAACAAAATGAAAAAGCTAGTTCATTGGCTTTACCAAATGTGACATCTAAATCATTGGCTAAACAAAATGAAGAAGCTAGTTCATTGGCTTTACCAAATGTGACATCTAAATCATTGGCTAAACAAAATGAAGGAGCTAGTTCATTGGTTGTACCAAATGTGACAGCTATATCATTGGCTAAACAAAATGAAAAAGCTAGTTCATTGGCTTTACCAAATGTGACATCTAAATCATTGGCTAAACAAAATGAAGAAGCTAGTTCATTGGCTTTACCAAACGTGACAGCCAAATCATTGGCTAAACAAAATGAAGAAGCTAGTTCATTGGCTGTACCAAATGTGACATCTAAATCATTGGCTAAACAAAATGAAAAAGCTAGTTCATTGGCTTTACCAAATGTGACATCTAAATCATTGGCTAAACAAAATGAAGAAGCTAGTTCATTGGTTGTACCAAATGTGACAGCTAAATCATTGGCTAAACAAAATGGAAAAGCTAGTTCATTGGCTTTACCAAATGTGACATCTAAATCATTGGCTAAACAAAATGAAAAAGCTAGTTCATTGGCTGTACCAAATGTGACAGCTAAATCATTGGCTAAACAAAATGAAAAAGCTAGTTCATTGGCTTTACCAAATGTGACATCTAAATCATTGGCTAAACAAAATGAAAAAGCTAGTTCATTGGCTGTACCAAATGTGACAGCTAACTCATTTGCTAAACAAAATGTAGAAGCTAGATTATTGGCTAAACCAAATGTGACAGCTCTCTCATTGGCCAGAGAAAATGAAGCTGAATTATTGGCTGAACCAAATATTAAAGCTAAATCAGTGGCCAAAGAAAATGCAGAGGTTTACTCATTGGCTGAATCAAATGTGTTAGCTAAATCATTGGCCAAAGAAAATGCAGAGGCTTACTCATTGGCTGAATCAAATGTGTTAGCTAACAACTCATTGGCCAAAGAAAATGAAGAAGCAAAATCATTGGCTGAATCAAATGTGTTAGCTAACTCATTGGCCAAAGAAAATGAAGCTGAATCATTGGGTAAACCAAATGTGATAGCTGAATCATTGGGTAAACCAAATGTGATAGCTCACTCATTGGCCAAGGAAAACGAAAAAGCTAAATCATTGATTAAACCAAATTTGAAGACTATCCCATTGCCTCAAGATGAAATGAAAGTTAACTCATTGACTCTAAATGTAGTTAATCTGCACGTGCGCGCCTCACCGAGTCGACGCAATAGTCAATCAAATTTGAAAATCTACAAAAATTGGATGCTTCGTGTGTCTAAGCTTGTGCGTCAAATGACTGCCATACTTGTCTCATTCTTAATATGCTATATCCCCTTCCTGGTGATAACTCTCCTCAATATAAGCACAAAACTAAAACAAGAAGGAATGATTAACATCATATCTTCAAGCATGATTGGACTGAACCCTATTCTCAACTTTATTGTATTTGTTACTTTCAATTATGAATTCAGGACAGCTTTGGTTAAGGTGTTACTGTGTAAAAAATGATGAAATTCACTTGACGTTCTTGAGTTAATAACTTCGAGATAAATTAAGTGCATAACTGTGAGGCACTAGAATCAAAGTGTATTAGTTTTATCATGGGCTCTAATTGAAAGCCCGTGGTAATTTTTATGTTGTACATTTTTCTGAATATTCTATATAACTACCCCAAAAAGTTAAAGACCAGTCTATTTCCACATGGGTTTCCATGGGCTCTCAATTGATTGTTAATTTCTTCATACATGTATTGTGTAATAGTCGCATTTATTAGCTCATAATATATTATATCATGTAGCCTAATAGTATACATTATTTCCATATGTCTGTAAATGTTTGGATTTAAGATCTGTATTTTAGTGCAATATGAATATGTTCTTCTAAAACTAGTATTTCATTGTAATATCAGATTAAATATCATGTGCATGTAAAATAGAATTTACTTGTTTCTTGTGTATTATATCTTTAATATGCATTGCATATAGGATATGAAATATATTGCAGGTAAATATAAAATAAGACAGACTTATGTTTTCCCCTATTTATTTCAAATCCATATTCAATTGATGACATAAATTGTATCATGTATACAATGTCCAGGTAATAAGCCATGTAAAACCTCCATTGAGACAATAATAAAAAGATTACATTAAACAGTAGACTGAGTCATGATATTATTCTATGACAAAAAATCATTGTGTGATTTCCTGCAATCTGATGTGGCAATGACAGGTTGTATATATGATGAATATTTTACCCCCAATCCAGTTTTGTTCACATTAGAATTCACAGTTCCAACTTTTAGAAAACAAGGAGTGACCTCAAGCTGACGTCTCATATTCATAATAATTCAGGGCTTACATAGTGGTTCTTCATGCATTTTTAAAAATTGGTCAACTTTCAAAGTATGTCAAATTATGAGAGATTGAGGGATACGTGATTCCATAGGATCACTATGTAAGCCAAACATACATTTTAATACAAATATGAAGAAAATTTGGCAATCTTAATAACAGATCATATACTGATTCACATGGAATGTTTCATCTATGTCAGTTACTATACAGGATGTCCATAAAGTTTCTTTACAAGTACAATCCAAAGTCTCTAACCCTTGTCAAGAAATTTTATGGACACACTGTATTAATCTTAACCTCAGGAATATCAAGATGGAGAATATATGTTGCATCATTTATCACTGTAGAATTGCTCTCTTCATCATTATTTATTCAGTTTATTTATTTATTTTTGTTTGACAAGTCTATTTTAACTGTGCTTTCCAATGTTGCATAACATATATTTCCTGAGAAAAATGGCAAAGAACATCTTGGTATTCAAGAGGTTAAGGAATAGTCACATGTTTTTGTTTACAGGTATGCATACAAAATGGTTATCACTTCATTAAGCTAAACCTCATTGAATTAAATCCAATATTTTTATATTATTTTTTGTACCATTTGTTAATACAATTTATTAAACAAGTACATGTCTTCTGCTGGGCAGTTGGCACAAACAATTTTTTCTGAAAAATTTGTTCACTATTATAGGACTCTCCCAATACATATAATATATAAATGTCCTATACTAGTAGTAGGCTTCATTATGAAGAATTGTGCATTTCAAATTGAATGTTATATTCCATTCTAAGATTTAGGTCTATCTCTTATACTATAAGCATTTTCAATATTTATATTTCCTAATACAAGATAAAAGAATAAACCTCTGGATATGTTTTTACAAATTACGTAGACACGAATAAAAATGTTACAATATGGACTCAAAGGAATGCAAATTTCTTTTTTTATTATTCATAAAGAAGTTCTTCATTTTCAACTTTTAATATGTGCATTTTGCAGTATCAGTACGCAGTAGCAGAAATGACTACACACTATCTGCGAGTTTTTTTTATAAATTTTCAGTCAGTGATCAACTGTTTGCAATGTATTTCAATTGGAATATTACGATGCCATAATTGGGCAGTGGCCTTGTGAAATTCTTCATAAGAATTTTTTCAGTTTAAGGTGCATATCGCTCTTTCATGTGCATTTATTTCATCGTGTATATATGCAAAATACCTCCCCACATCCTTCTCAAGAATGAAAATTTCATTTAATGTTTTGTTCTTAGAGTTAATCTAAGATGTCACTCTGTGTTGTTCTAACTCATATATGCAAAAATGTAAGTACATGCATTGTACTAATAGGCACCGATGTGGAAAGATGTCACTCCATTCACTGTTTAAAGATTTCCTTTGACGAGTTTAGATGCCTAAGACCTTCCAAGCACCATTGCCAGCAGGGCCATCCTCACATACATTCCATGCTCTGCCTGTCTAAAGTAAGCTGCTCTTGGGTCAGTATCAAACAATGGACTGAAAAGAGAATAGATGATTTGAATAAATACAGAATATAAAGAATACCAGTTACAGTAAAAAAACATGTGTAATTGATAATAATATTGTTCCACTTTTATTTGATGGATCATGATGTCAACATTTGTAAACGAAACACAAACCATTGTAAATCATACAAATATTAATAACCAAATACAAATCATCTATTATCTCAGTGTATCAGTATATCAATATATATAGATAGACATCATGATACAACATTTGAGGAACATAATTACAAGGACAAGTTATTGAAATAAAATCTGCTTCACTCACTCAATTTCAAAGACCCTTGGCAGAGGGTGCATCACTATCATCTTTCTCTTGGCTTTCACCATCAGATGGGGTGTCACGACATTCAATCCACAAGCCTGGAATACATATAAGACAACTTCTCTTTTTACATTCCTTGCAAACAAAATGTACATGCAATTAAGTATGTCATACGGCCATAATATTATTGACTCATAAAACACCAACAAGGAACTATGATCAATATTTGAACCCATTTACTTTTTATCTGTAGATTTTATTGCCTTGTGATAAGACAACATAGAATGAGTGAGATTATCTTGTTAATAAATGACTATCATGTACCCTCTGATAATCCTCATCACTGGTGAATCTTTCTTTCTGTATGCGAGTCATATAAAGAACATCAGTGTCAGGTAGAGCGTCTTCAAGGGACTCGTACTCCTGCTGGGAAATCCCACGAGAGCTAATTAGATCTTTGATCTCCTGAGGCATTCCTAGGCCGCCCGTGGACACATAGCGCAAGTTGACGCGATAGAGAGAAAGGAGTCTCGCTAGTGAGTGAACTGTACGACCATGTTTCAAGTCACCAACCATCGTGATCTAAAATATATGACAAATCAATTGTTAAGCTTTCATACTGAACAGTATAACATCATCTGTCTATTGAGAAAAAGTTTATTTTCAACTTTCATGATTGCTATGTTCTGCCAATGAGTAAACTGTTCATATTTTCATCACATTTTCATTGGATTCTCATTTCAATATCTTTAAGAACAGTCTATTGTACAACATTAATGTGGACTCACTTATGAGTTCACAAAATACAGGAGCTGCATAGAAGTGTATTGTGGTAAGGAATATTAAGTAAAACACACTAAACATTGTAATGATTTTTTTAGAAGTTCTACATGCAAAATGGGCCATAATACAGCTACTTTTATTAGATTTTTTCAGTTAATCCATCTCTCTAAATGTGAACACTGGAATATTGTGCTCCCCATGTCATCCCCAGCATTGATCACATTATCCCCTCATTGCATCTGAGCTCACTCCCCCCACAGTCCCCAGTGTAAACTTACAGTTAATCCATTGACTGTTCCTATCTCCTCTCTAATGGTGAACACATCTAGTAAAGCCTGTGTAGGATGCTCTCCTGTCCCATCCCCAGCATTGATCACTGGTTTGCGGCAGTTCTTTGCAGCTTGCTATGAAAAGTACAACAGAGTATAAATGACCATCGTAATACCAAAGAAGACTTTCATTCCTCATTCAAACTCCCATCAAATAACACTGAAGGCTTCATTTGAGATCATGAAGACCATATTAGCTTTAAACTGTGAAATCATCTGTAATATTCAAAAGGCAGCATGACTGGGTTATATTTTCAATTGACCCTTATATTGTATAAAACCAGAATAAATATCTAAAAATGTTTCTCTTAAATTACTACTTACAGCAACAGCTCCAGGTTGGGGATGTCTCAGTACAATCATATCAGTGTAGGCTGCCATCATCATTATAGTGTCTGAAACAAAATTAGCAAATTAACAAGACACATTTTAGTGTTAATATGTCTACCACGTTCTAGACATCTCAGATGTGACGTTACCAAGGGTGAAATGTCTAGACTTTACATTATTTAGGCATTTATAAGGTAAAGTGGCAAAGTAAAAGAAAAGATGGGCTAATTTTCTCTGGTTGATTCAATCATACTTTTCAGGCATGGCAATCTTCAAGACTGAGACAGTTTAATCCCTCATCATCATAATCCTTTTCCTTCCTCACTAAGTAATCTTGACAGCTATGGTCTGCTATTTTCAACAAATGTGTCTTGGATGAGTTAATACCCATTAGAAGAGGCAAAGAAAAGATCAAATTTGGAAGCATACTCAATGGGCGATTGATACAGTTAATGTAAGGGAAATCTCTAATGCTACTCACCTGAGAGAGTCTCTCCTTTTGTGGCTGATGAATCGATTTCATTGAAGTGTACCACGGTGCCACCAAGTCTCTGCATTGCCACCGTGAATGAACAGCTAGTCCTAGTGCTGGCCTCATAGAACATAGAGGCCATTACTTTGCCCTGAAATACATGAAACATTAACTTAGTATATACCTTCCCTCTAATGACTGGGTAGGTGCAAAACTTGCATTCATGCACTAGTCACAAATTGCACAGTACTTTCTGTAGATTGAGAACTGATGATGTTGAAATTTCTGATCAAAATACGTAAAGTTGATTTTTATTTCTAACCAACACATTTACTTCTATTTTAGTCTTAAATAAAAGAATCAAAGTTTCTATCTATAGATACTATTATAGTGAGGCAAAATAGCTCTGAGTAAATTTAGGTGAGGTGCCTTGCCTCTGTCTACAAGCCAATGGTGAGTGCATTGCTTGCAGTCCATCTATAGTACATTATATAATATAACAACTCTGTTATGTTATACACAAAAATGTTCATAATTATCAAAATAGAAGTTTATTTCATTGATTTGCTTATTTGTTTCAAGACATATAGGGCTACTCCTTGTCATCACTGAGTTGAATATATATAGCTGCTCCTTGTCATGGCAATGGGATGAATATATATACAGCTGCTCCATGTCATGGCAATGTGATGAATATATATACAGCTGCTCCTTGTCATGGCAATGAGATGAGTTTTACCTTCAATACAGTGTCGAGACCAGGTTTGTCTTTGAGTACAGCAATCTTCAAGTTGTGTGCAAGGTTAAACAATGGATGGAGCTGGTCTCTGTTCAAGGAATCAACTGTCAGAATGTGGTGGCCAGTAAGCCCAGGGATGTGGAATGGATGACTCTAAAACATACAATTGTATAACTGTCAGAATGTGGTGGCCAGTAAGCCCAGGGATGTGGAATGGATGACTCTAAAACATACAATTGTATAACTGTCAGAATGTGGTGGCCAGTAAGCCCAGGGATGTGGAATGGATGACTCTAAAACATACAATTGTATAACTGTCAGAATGTGGTGGCCAGTAAGCCCAGGGATGTGGAATGGATGACTCTAAAACATACAATTGTGTTGTTAGTGATCATCAACACAGTGAATAATAGAGCAAGCATTATATTATCTACATACATATCATCAGTCTATACCTTTCTAATAAGTTCTACCTTTACTGTACTTTAACTAAAGAAGAGAAAATGGGATATGCTTGCTTAGTCATAATGTCATGGGTTGATTACAGCAAAGTTCAAAAAAAGAAAAAGATTCTCAATCCAATAAAGTTTCAAAATCAGTTAAAATTGGAAATGTTTATGATTATAGTAAACATGCTAAATGAATATATAGGGGGGCTCAAAAGAAGGTAACAGTTATTCAACAATCAGTAATCTGTAACTATAAACCTACTTTTGGGTTACCCAGTACTTGAACATACTGCAATTATGGTATGTAGAAGGGGGGTGGGTGACTGAAGAATAGTTACCTGTGGTTGAGTACTATGTGGTGGGGTGACCCTAGAATAGTTACCTGTGGTTGAGTACTATGTGATGGGGTGACCCAAGAATAGTTACCTGTGGTTGAGTACTATGTGGTGGGGTGACCATAGAATAGTTACCTGTGGTTGAGTACTATGTGGTGGGGTGACCATAGAATAGTTACCTGTGGTTGAGTACTATGTGGTGGGGTGACCATAGAATAATTACCTGTGGTTGAGTACTATGTGGTAGATGACCATAGACTAATTACCTGTGGTTGAGTACTATGTGGTGGGGTGACCATAGAATAGTTACATGTGGGTGAGTACTATGTGGTGGGGTGACCATAGGATAGTAACCTGTGGTTGAGTACTATGTGGTGGAGTGACCATAGAATAGTTACCTGAAGTTGAGTACTATGTGGTGGGGTGACCATAGAATAGTAACCTGTGGTTGAGTACTATGTGGTGGAGTGGCCATAGAATAGTTACCTGAAGTTGAGTACTATGTGGTGGGGTGACCATAGAATAGTTACCTGTGGTTGAGTACTACATGATGGGGTGACCATAGAATAGTTACCTGTAGTTGAGTACTATGTGGTGGAGTGACCATAGATTAGAAACCTGTGGTTGAGTACTACATGATGGGGTGACCCTAGAATAGTTACCTGTGGTTGAGTACTATGTGGTGGGGTGACCCTAGAATAGTTACCTGTGGTTGAGTACTATGTGGTTGTGTGACCATAGAATAGTTACCTGTGGTTGAGTACTATGTGGTTGGGTGACCAAAGAATAGTTACCTGTGGTTGAGTACTATGTGGTGGGGTGACCCTAGAATAGTTACCTGTGGTTGAGTACTATATGGTGGGGTGACCATAGAATAGTTACCTGTAGTTGAGTACTACAGTGACTATGTGATGGGGTGACCATAGAATAGTTACCTGTGGTTGAGTACTATGTGGTGGGGTGATCCTAGAATAGTTACCTGTGGTTGAGTACTATGTGGTGGGGTGACCATAGAATAGTTACCTGTGGTTGAATAATGTGTGGTGGGGTGACCATAGAATCTCTAGTAGACTTGACACTGTCGCCACTGACACTGACTGATATAGGTGCAAGGAATTCACGGAAGGGAGCATCTACAATCAGACACAAGATATATTAAGAACAAGTGTATCAATGGTAATTGTATCAAAGGTATTAATCTCTTATTCCCTAATAATATAACAGATTTATCAGAATAGAATGTAGAATAGAATACACTCAGTAACAGAATCAAACAATTAAGAGTATGTTAAAGATCACTGGAGTGACATATACATGTGTTACAACTACTCACATGTTTTACACACAATATCATAAATATGTATGTACCAACTGATGTTAAATACAGTAAAACCTCAGTTAATTGAACACTGCTGGAATTGGCTCAATGTGGCTTCACATTGAGTGACGTTAACATATAAAGGTTTACTGTAGGGAAAACATGTTTACAGACAACACTCACAAGCACAGCCATGCATGAGGTAGGCGAGGCAATAGCCTCACCAAGTCTCCCCAACATTTTACTGAAAAGGCAATCAGATCATTTTTCTTACTGAAAAGGCAAGTGATGTCCATATCATTGTAACATTATATTTGCCGCACCCATTAAAATTGCATCGCATATTTACAGAGCCTGACTAAGTGGGTTTGCCCTTACAATATCAATTCAAAATGAAACCTCAAAATGTAGACTTTTTCCAATTTTTAAGATATAATATTCCATTAAAAACATTCAAGAAGTCTGGTCAAATCCACAGAAAGCTACAATAGCAAATGAAATAATAATTGAAACTACGTATCTCCAATACTGTCTCTAAGCTTATGAGGTGATGCATTCAATTTGCGAAGGTTTCAAGACAAATGCAAAAAGTACAGCTAATCACAACACATTTACAAGGAGGGACTGAAATGGAGCTTTTACAAATTTGAAAATAGTATTTTGATAAACCTAGATAAACAGCAACGCCAAGATGTAGCGAATATAATCAAACATATTATGACAAGGGTGCTAAAAATCCTGTAGGTCTCTGTAGGCGTTTTGCAAATAGCAGCCATTTTGAAGCTGGTGGCTTTCGAGCAGAACTTGTTCTCTTTTTGAGCAATGGTGTATAAAATATAAACGATATTGGACCAACAGTATTGGAGTTATTGCCTGGACAGACAGATGTACAAACAGACGGATGGAGTTGTTCTTTGGGAAAATAATAAAAATCCATTCCCAAATACATTTATGATGACGATGTACAACATGAACTAAGTAAGGAATTGGGATGCCTATTCATACATATGCTATACATGTATCCAGTACATAAGTCATATATTAATATTGTGCATAAGCTGTACACATGTTTATCCCACCCTAAGTGCTTTATATGATTGTATAATAGCATGTATAACTGCATTACATGTATACAGTACATAAGTCATATATGTAAATTGTGCATAAGCTGTACACATGTATACTGTGCTTAAGCTTTACACAAATACTGTACATGAGCTACACAAGTACAGTATACTGTACACATAAGCTCTTCATGTATACTGTGCATAAGCTATGCATGTATGCTGTGCATATAAGCTATAAATGATGTATACTGTGCATTGGCTATATGTGTAAATGTATACTGCACATAAAAGTGTGGGATACTATACTAGTATACCACATGAACTAAAATAAAAAGGTTTACCTCCTTTTTCTAATTCTGAACTTGGATCTTTTTTGAAGCAAGAAAATAAAGAATCACACAGGTTATATCAGATGCCATGTATAAAATGCAGAAAAATAAAACATAAAGGTAACCTAATAAAAAGATAAAATATCAAAACAGAAAGTTTTCAGATTTCCATATTTAGAATTCTGCTCTATGATGAATTCAAAATATTAGAATTGCGATATTTCAATTGATATTGAGATCAACAGTTGATTCATCAAATGGGCCATTAGTGAGTTTTAGTAAATGTAATATGTGAAACATGATAGTATATCAGAACACTTCAATTTTGCTACACCTAGTATACTGTATATCTGTTATTGACTCTGATATCATCACAATGACATATTCGTCAGACTAGTACAAAATAGCACTTACAAAAATGTTAAACACAAACCAGGGTTCTCACTAGCCTTTTAGACTCCAGATATTCTCCAGAGTCTGATGTCTTTAGGCCCTCTTGCTCCAGAGTCTAATAACTTTTCCGGAGTCTAAACTGTTTTTCCGGAGTCTAATTTTACATTTTTGTCACATTATTTGTGGTAAAACTCTTGAGAAAATACACAAAACTGGGTACAAACAAGGAATAGGAAGTCAGAAACCTTTTAGATATAATATGTATAGTGATTAAAATAGGAGGATAATCTTGAGTAGTATTTTGAAAAGTATACTAATAGGATATCTCTGATCTCACATGGGGGAGGAGTAGTCACAAACTGTGAAAAATCTGGGGTCTAAAGATTTTCCCAGTGAGAACCCTGCAAACTTCCAGATTCAAACAGTACAGTTTATTTATAATGTATTAAGATTTTTCAGCTCAGTATGACATATACTGGGACAGGGTGACATGTTTGGACAATGTGACATGTTTGGACACTGTGACATGTTTGCTCAGTGTGACATGTTTGGACACTGTGACATGTTTGCTCAGTGTGACATGTTTGGACACTGTGACATGTCATTCTAACGGGACATTTCTAAGACGGGATGTGTATATTTTGTGCCACCTCTGGAAACAGCATGCATAAAAATGGGATTCATCAAATGATATAATCGTAAATTAGCTAATGGGTCTAAATAATCCATCACCATAGTAACTGTAATTCATACAACTGTTTTATCACACTCCACACTTTTACTGTGGATTAAGGGTCAGTGGGTGTAAACTGAATAGAACAGTGAAAAGCTGAAATGTGTTACTATGGAGAAGCAGTGTAAACAGCACCTGATCGTGGTAACGAAAATGGTCTTCGTGCTAAAATAAGAATAATGTAAGCAGTGACTTTACAAAATATGATACTTGTGAGACTCAGGAGACAACGTTAAAAGCAAATAGAATTGTGGAAATTGAAACTTTAAAAGTACTAAGACTACAAGTTATTTTATTATTGTTTTCTAAAGATTACAAACTACATCCTAGTTCAGTGTTATGTAATGAATAAGATAAACTAACTAGTTCTATGATGTTGAAATAGAATGATAGATTGGCGCTCTGATAGTAAACAAAACAATATTTTCTAGTTCAAAGCTAGACTCCAGAATAAACAAAGACATAATAAAGAAAATAATTTCTATAAAACAATTCACTCACCCAATACATTACTGTCCATGTTAAGGAGGCGTGTAACACGTGGCAGGACGGGTTGCTTGATTCCAGTGCTATCTCCTGATCCCCCATGGACAAATTGTCTCTGGGGACTGGGGGGTCCTGAAATGTATGGGCCTGATGGCATCTGAATTGTAGGGGTAGGTTTCTCAGGGGTCTTGATGACAGGACGTTGAGGTTGTGGCAGTGTTCTAATGTCCACACCATACCCAGGTTGGGCAAGTACCTTAAGTTAAAAATCATATATTTTTATCATAATAGTACACAGACAGTTCAAAGTACGAAATACACTGAGTTCGGTAACAATGAATTCGAGACAAGACAATTATATCACATTGATATTTTCTACTTGTGAAAAAACATTGTACACTTTGAATGAATCCTGTTGTACATAACATTGCAACTCTTGATATCAGGAAGTTCTATATACCTAGTGTTTTTTTGATCTATTCATTACATGTGCTCCGAATTATAAAATCTTTTTGTGAACATGAAAAGCAGATGTAAATATGTTACATACACATGTACAGTACTTGTGAATACATTTCACACCCCATCATTAGATAAAATTGAAATTCCACAAAGATCAAACTAAACAAGTTAAAGCTTATTATGCAAAGTACTGTAGCATTACATTGACAAACTATTCACCTGTCCATCAATATAAGCAACCTCTCCTCTCAGAACAACACGGCGAACACTTGCGCTCATTTTCATCCCTGCAAATGGCGTCCATTTTGATTTTGTGAACTTCATAGTTTCAGGGATTGTCCAATTAGAATCCATATCAACTTCAACATATGTGTCCGGCTGATCAGGCAGGTTGAAGATCTTCTTTGGGTTTGTGTATAACCTTTCCACAACATCCTAAAAATGAAATAAGGAACAAAATAACTTATGTTTTTTATTAAAATTTCGATTAACTCAATAGTTTTCAAGCAAAAATGCATGTTTCTGAGGGAGAAACTACTACCTGTACCCCAAAAAGCAGAGCAAAAAGGAATATATCAAAAGTAAATATTGTACCTCAATGGTGAGTTTTCCATCATTGACTGCAGTCAGTAACAAGGGGACTAATGTCTCTAGGCCTGGAAACCCTGGGGGAGGGGTGGCGCTGTTCTTCTCTTCAACTGTATGAGGTGCTGTAACAAATCACATATAGTTGCCAATCCCAACAGGGTATCAGTACAATAGTTTTTAGCACAATAAATAGATATTCCACCAAAACAGTCAATTCTCAATAACAATAAGTCCACAATTGATGGCTGAGACATTCTCCACAATCAAATGAACTTCAATCTGATTTTACAAATAAGTGACAACGAATTAATTTAAAATAACACAAATGCTAGTCAGCCTACCATGATCTGTTGCGAAACAATCAATGATGTCCATATTATCCCACAATGCCTGCTGGTCCTCTGGTGAACACAAGCTCGGGCAGACTTTGCCGCGACCTTTCACATCGAGGTCATTATAGGTGAGGAAAAGGTGGTGCGGAGCAACTTCACACGTCACGTCAATCCCCTTCTCTTTAGCAGCCCGAATGACTAAGATCTATAACATAAGATGGATTCAAGGTTTTCCAAAAGGGATAAAAACTAATTATCAAATTCATAGAAAACAATCATAACAGAGGACTCTACTTTTTTTTATTAATTTGGTGAAAAAACATTCTATAAATTGTAAATAGATTCTTAAAAAAATTAATTACATGTTCTAGAATAAAGGGAATTCTGTTTTAGAAAAGATTTCTTTACTTATGCTCTTTATAATCAAAGATGAAAAAGTTCACCTTTAGATTGTTGAAAGAACTTTTGCTTCGTGATTTCTTAGAAGAAGATGTATAAAGATTTCAGTTCTTTCAATTTTGCCGTGGATTCGATTTTAAATGCTCCTAAATGATATTTGAATGCTTACTATGAATTCTAAGAGTAAAATTTCTTAGAACTTTTTCAATCCTCAGACTAAATTTGCCTTTTTAAAGGTTTAAACATCGACTTTGAATGGATCTTCATGCATATTTCGAAAAAAGTTCACCAGAGAAGGTGTTAGACCGGAAAATCATGTCTTCAGCCAGAATAATGTTATTTTTAACCATTTTATTCTCTATCAATCGCAATGTTCCTTGAAAAGGTCTGACCTCTCTTTAGTTCAAAGTTGATCTAAAATAGAGTTTTGACAAAATAGTGTCTGATCAAACATTAGAGGTTTTATCAATTTGTCAAATCTCTTCATAAAACACATATAAACCATAGAATAATAGCTAGCGAATAATACAATGTTGATATTGTTTCACCTGTCAGGTATTTCATTGACCTGACAGGTCAACAATGAGCAGCTAATTAAATAGTACAATGGTCTAATTGACAATCATACTCCTGACTATCACACTCATGTAAGCTGTACATATAAGATTGAATAAAAAATGCAATGTAAATTGTCTGTACTTTTTTTTCATTATGCATGACATGTCATTTAAATTACAGAAATATTAGATAATCTTAATCAAGTTATCCAATTCTGAACACATTTGCAGTTGGTCAGTCTCAAATCAATGTAATTGTTACGTCAGTTGGTAAGAGAATAACTAATAGGAACTTAAGACTATTGTACTGCAATAAACCTTTGGAATATGATTAATATGAAATATGTCACCATTATATTTGCATTTGTGGTTTTTACAATGTGGATATTCTTCCATCATGTCGTGATTGTAAGTCTATCAACTCAAACAACTTACGAGAGGCAGTTTAACGGAAATTATACATCAGCCGAAAAATGGGATTATGCAGCTCAGAAAATGCTAGAAACTTACATAAAGAAACAGGATGCTAAGAAACCTCGTTATAAGGAATATCGCACATACACCAACTTCTCAAAATATTTCAAGTTAAACACTGAAAAACAGGATGATATGCAACAAATGGATAGTGAATTTTTAGACACTGAATTTTTAGACCAGGAGAATCCATTAGACCAGGAGAATCCAGATGAGTTCATCATTGAAACAAAAACACTTGTAAAGCCTAAAAATCAGACATACATGTATAAGACACCATTATATGATGTCACACAGCAGTATCTCCCTCAAATGAAAGATGGCACTTTTGTGCCACTGGTATCAGTCATGATCGCGGGTATCAAGAAAGGTGGTACAGCAACTATAACATCCCACTTGCATCGAGGGGCTAGAAAGACATTCTGCGTCATCCAAAATGGATATTTTGTCGAGTCGACATCTTATATAGACTTCATAAAACACATCCAGAATACATGCCGAAGAGGGAACCTTCCACAGAGGATAGTAGTACACAGAGAAAATGCATGCTTCTCAAAAAGAAAATGCATTGAAAATGTCCATAAATATAACCCTGCAATGAAGTTACTGTTCATGGTGAGAGACCCTGTGCAGAGGCTGATCAGTGAGTATACACAACTCTACAACCGCACGACAAGAGTCGGAACAGATTTCCTGGAGTTTCATGACTGGTATATGAGCAACAAGAGTCGTTTCGCTATTAATTTAAGTTATTATATCAACCATTTCAAAATATGGTTAGAATTTTTTCCTCGTAACCAAATACACTTGGTGGACTCTGCTGAATTTGTGAGGTCGCCATGGACTGCTTTTGAGAAAATAGAATCATTTCTAAATCTTCCACATAATTTTACTGAGGACAGATTTATCCCAGCCCCGCGAAAAGATTTCTATTGCCTAAAAACCAATGCAAATGTGAGGTGTATGGGGACCACAAAAGGACGTAAACACGAGGAAGTCAGTCTACCAATGCTAAGGCAACTATATGAACATTATAAACCATACAATGAAGAGTTCTTTGAACTTGTCAATCAGACATTTGACTGGCATATATGCAGGGATTGTTATCAGGGATATGTGTATGACACAATTTAATTCTTTATTCTTTTTTTAAATGTTCTGACTAGGAACAATCCCTATCAAACCTTATATTAAGGTTAACATATAGTTATCTTATAGGTGAATCAACAATCATGAGTATTTCTTAAACCCTTATTGTATTAAGGTAATGTTGTATTATGGCCCAGAAGGGTAACAATAATTATCCAAGACATGACATTAATTTACCTTTTAGGGTAGGAAGGCAACAGATTTTCAACAGGGATCGTATGAATTTTCTGATTTTCAATAGGGTGGCATTTAATTTTCTGTTTCAACATGGTGGAGGCCACCCAGTTGTTTTGTTCACCGAAAGCTCTATACCCATCCATTAAATTTAATGAGCCAAAAAGTATGTACTTCTATTCCCTATTCACATATACTATTCTGTATTGATTGATTTCAATCTCATCTGTTGTGTGTTTCTGAATTAATTGGATTTTATTGCAATTCATCCTTTGATTTTATGAACTATTGATCTCATTTGAAACAAAAGATTTAATTTACCATCTCATAATAGCCCAATTTTTTCATGTCCTCTGTTCCACAGTTAAGATTATTTGGTGCACAAAAATAAATTATTGAAACACTTTCAATACTTTTTGCAAATTATTTATAATGCGTAATATGCAATTGAACACAAATGAAACCACTCTGTAGTTGTTCATGACCATCATCTAGCTGACCATATAGCTGAGCGTGATTGGGATTTGTACCCTTTCCATTCGTTTAACTTCGCTTTTTAATAGAGAGCTTCGTTTTCATTCTTTCAATATACAATAAAGCTCTGAACTCACAGGGCCATTCAGAGTTCGTCGTCGAAATACGGACGACTTTCTATATATGGCCATTCAGAGTTCGTTGTCGAAATACGGACGACTTTCATGACATGGTTATTTTCTCTGATGTCATCGCATAGTTATGAGCATGCAATTAGCATGTATTCCTTCCAGCTTGCCTATTTGTTGAGAAAAGATCAGCATGGTAAGTTTGAAATGGTTTATGATCTGGGCTGTAACAAGCAAAGGTCATAAGGGAGGGTGGGGCTACTAAACTGTAAATAGTCTATACTAGCCAGAAGGTAGTTTATAACTAGACTCTGGGTTCAGGGTAGGCTATTCGTTGCCAGGCAGCGAAATGCAGCATATTGAAGCTCTCATTGGATGACCAACCTGATCAATCAACCCTTATGATGGTTGCATTTGACTACTTGAAAAGGAATTTGACCAACTCGGGGTGTTTCTACTACCTCAAAAGCTTGCCTTACTCAAGTAGAGACAGGTTTCTGAGAGGAAGGCTAGATTGACTACATTTTCTTACCTCTTCTTTGCGAGCCACATGGCAGATATGGACAGATCTCTGATAGAGTTCCGCCAGTAATAATACAGCTGCAGTTGTTCTGCTCTCAGCATGGACACAAAGTGGCATGTGCTTCGGCCAGTTCTCAAAATGCTGAAAAACAAATTTGCAGAAGTCTCAGAAGGTTGCCTCCATTCTGATTGGTCAAAGGAGTTATGATTTACCCATAGAATAAATTATACTCTCTTGTAAACATTGATTTACCTCAATCATTTTAACTTTGACATTTTTGATTTTGGGTAACAGTAGTAACAAATATGACTGATTTCTTCAAATAATAAATGCTGTTGTGAATATCCTATGTTAAAGAAATTCCAAATAAAATGACTGTATTCCAATTTTCATTTTAAATTATAGGCATGATCAGACAAAAAGCTGATTTCTCTGAAGTAAGTGTCAGAACCAATAATGTACATTACCTTCATCCAATCTGTCATATGGTCCATCCTAAGTGTTGTGAATGTCTCATTAAGGTACATCTTCAAAGCAGCTGCTGCTTCACCAATAGATGGCAGTTCTGTAGCATTCTCAGAACTCCCTCCAACAAATATTCCATAATCACATCTCGCTCCCAGTCTTGCAAGCTGAAACAATAAAATGTTGAGGTGAAGAAACATTATTTCTTAAATTATGATCTGATTAAAATAATGTCACATTTCACCACCACAAATCATCCCAAACCAACCTAAATCAAATAGACCTGGCCCATATTTCTATGACTTTGCATTTTTCAATGACATTCTATGGATCGATATTTTGTCCCATTTGTCTACAACATATTATAAAATTGCAATTGAGAGTGCTTTAAATTAATTAGAAGAAATATATCATAATCTGGTAGATGGTGTCTCAGAAATATCTCATTCGTCACAAGTCATTAATGACAGTACAAGTCATTAATGACATGTACTTTTAAATTACTGTATATTCATTCCATGACATACCTTTTGTGCAAGGGCAAATGTTGCTCCATCAGTGATAGCGGGGCTTGTGTTGGGCATGGCAAGGATGAGAGTGACCCCTCCTGCCAGGGCGGCTGCTGTCCCTGAGGCGAAGTCTTCCTTGTGGGTTGCACCTGGCTCCCTCAGATGGACATGTACATCCATCAAACCTATATAACAAATAGTTAAAATATATATGTTAACCATAATGTTAACAATTGTTTTTTAATCAAACCACTGCATATTCAATGTTTAGAATAAAATGTCTAAACTCTGAAAGTATAAAAAGAATATTCTATATCGCTCAAAAGGAGTATACATCAATGAAGCTTCTGATAAATGTATCATGCATTCAGGCATTTGTACATGATTACTATACTGTATATACCTGGTAATCGGATCACCCTCTGTGAAGCTATGCAGTCAATGTGAGTCTTCATGGCTGGTGCCCCTCCCAAACGACGCAAAGCCTAAGTAATATATCATGTGCATGTTAATTGCAAATCATTAATGGGAAGTCTTCAGATAATTTCTTGGTAGAGCTCACTCATGAATATCAAAACTTCTGAAATAATTCTAACAATGTCTACGAGACCATAAAAAGTTTGTTTGTCATCTTGAAACAATGCATGAAATAAATATTGGACAGAAAAATAGTTTCTGAATATACTGACCTCAATGAGAACTTTAGTGCATTTGACATCAGTCAATAATGGCACGGAGTAATCCACAGCCATTCTCCTTGCTCTGTAACCCTGTGTCATAAAACTGGCAGCCCGACGGGACCCCCTATTGGCCATAGGAAGGTTGATCACAAGATCAAAGTGGTTGTCAATGAGATAGTTGGCAATTGTTCGCTGGTCCCCATCGCCTCTGCGTTCACCTGTATCTTCATATGGCCAGTCTACGGCTTTCAACTGTGTGAAGCAAGTTTTAGAATGCATGTAATTTAATACATTGAGTGACAACTGACCTTAATATAAAAATCTGGGAAGTTTTAAAATTAAACAGTTGAACATCAAACTTTTTGCTGGTTGTGAGAATACTATGTAACAGTAAAATAAATAGACCTAAATTACTTTTAACAATGAATTTAATTTGTTTGAAGTTAAAACTAATTTCTGCATCTTATATTTTGTATGTTTTTTTGCATGTTAATTTACCTTGATTCCATGTTCAGAGTAGAAGTCAGCAGTCCCCATAGAGGCATACAGGTTGAAGCCAAGGTTCTCCAAAGTACGCACAGTTGGCAACAGCTCAACCTTAGACTACAAACAAATAAAATATGAGGTTTCACATTTTAACTGAATGTGAACTTGATTATTAAAAAAATTCAACGAATGATTTAGGTAAAACACACAAGCACTTGTACCTGTTAGATATTTAGAATATTTAGCCTATAAGAAAGACAATACAAGTTCTTCTATTTTTCCACTCTTGATACTGAAAACTAAAACTACAGTACATGTATTCTGCCAGACTAAATGTTATTTACCTTGTAACTGCCTATGGAAAGCAGAATATTTTTCTTTGGTATCTTAAAGCCAGAGCTTAGTTGAGCCTTGAGGTATGCCTCATATCTGTCATCTCCGAAACATGCTACCTCACCAGTACTGGCCATCTCAACCCCTAGCAGGACATCAGCCCCGGGAAGACGCGAGTAGGAAAATATTGGCACCTAAATGCAAAAACACAAAACTTTTTTAATATAATATGTAATTTTACTGTTTAAACAAAAACGAAAAAAAAATTGAAGGAACAATTAAAGTATGATAGGCAATATTCCATATTAAAAAATAAACAAATATTATTTCATTTACCTTGACTCCTACTCGTCCACACCCACTCAAAACATTTACAGGATCCACCTTTTCTCCAACAATAACACGGGTTGCCATGGCAATAAAGTCATGATCTAGTGTCTTGGAGACGAAAGGGAATGACCTTGACACTCTAACATTGCATTCTATCACCTTCAACTGGTTGTCCTGAAACAGATTTTTAATCATTTATAAATCTATAGTACAATTTGTTAAAACCTGCAAAACTCTTTCATCCGAAAATCTCTCAGTTTGAACACTTTTGTATATGTATCAGTTAATCAATGATCTCAACTTCTCATATCATATCTGCCCCCACCTTTGCTATGAGCTGCATGTTGAATGGTCCAGTGACCTCCAGTTCTCGACCTATTGCACAACAAATCATCTTGATCTTATCAAGTGTCTCTTCATTGAGATCCTGAGGGGGTGTGACCAGTGAAGCATCACCAGAGTGGACTCCTGCATTCTCTATGTGCTCAGACACTGCCATGCACAGCACCTCCCCCTCTACGGCAACAGCATCAACGTCTATTTCCTAAAACGACAAAAATACATGTTTGTATTCATGAATACATGTTTGTTTTTAAAAAATACATCCGTACAGCCACTCAAAATACAGAGTTTCAAAAAACAATATGGATGCGGATACATGACAAAATACATAGTCGGACAAAAAACGTTCTTATATTTTAACTCACCCTGTACATGTAACATTAGAATGCAGATAAATAACAAAGATGCTTTAATTCTGTGTAAAGGAATTAATACCATGCTAGGTTTGAGACACCCTGTATATACCTACATACCTTAGCTTCAAGGATGAACTTAGATATGACTACAGGGTGATCCTTTGAGACATCACTGGCCTGAGTGAGGAATGTCTCAAGATCCTGATAGGTGTGTGCAACATTCATGGCAGCGCCACTTAGGACATATGAAGGACGGATAAGACACGGATACTCTACTTCTTCACAGAATTTCTTTGCAGCCTAGAATAACAACAGATATGCGGGTGTACAAGATTTGGACAATATTTAATAGAGGATTTTAAGAGAAAATAAACAACAACGTGGATTCAAGAATAATTTATGTGGTGCAGATAATAGTACACATACATTGATCCAAATGGTTTAGCTATCCAGATTTGGAAATTACCAAAATTGCAGAGGCACTGGCAAAGAGCCTTGTAGAGCCATTTGAAAGATTATGTGCTCTGTCTTGCCAGTGTTGGCTTTCAAATGCCCATACAGCTTTTATAAAATAGCCTAAATGCTATAAATGTAACCCCCTCCCCCTAATCACCTCCACATCTGTAAGTTCCTTCCACTTTGGCTGCAATATACCGATTGTATCAAGCATTCTGGAGAATTTGAACCTGTTCTCAGCATTGTCAATAGACTCTGGGGATGTGCCAAGGATTCTGGCCCTTGCCCTGTGTAGGTCCATGGCGATGTTATTAGGGAGCTGTCCCCCCATACACAGGATAATACCCTCAGGGTTCTCCATTTCATATATATCCATCACAGTCTAAAAAATAGAAGTTACAGCTCACTTTCCTTTACATACCAATTCTGTACTTGAAATTCATATTAAAGTTTTTACAGTAAATACGTAGATGCAAAAAAATATGATAACAGTATATTGATGCATTTCAAGCTGTTAAATGTGATTCTCAATTTGTGGAGAATCTTACCTCAAATGACAGATCATCAAAGTAGAGTCGATCACACATGTCATAATCAGTGCTGACAGTTTCTGGATTGTAGTTGACCATGATTGTCTTTCTGCCTATCTGCAATACAACAATATAATCTCTGCAATATCATAGTCTGCATAATACCTATGTCTATGAAACACCATAATCTATGTATATTCAGACATTCGGACAACCTTATGAAAAGAATGAAGTATGGATGGACACATTAACAGACAGGAGGGTGATTCTATAGGCACAAACAGTTTAATGCAACTAGATAATACACAATTTAATTAAAGATGTACACAACCAACCTTCCTTAGTTCTCTAATACAGCCCACAGCACACCAATCAAACTCCACACTGCTACCAATCCTATATACACCTGACCCTAGCACCATAGTGTAGCCCCCTGTGAATTCAATGTCATTAGACTTCCCATTGTATGTCAGGTAAAGGTAGTTTGTATGAGCAGGCCATTCTGCAGCCACTGTGTCTATTTGTTTTACACATGGCATGATGTTGTGTGCTATTCTGGTCTGCCTCACTACAAGCTCAGTGCTGCAAAACACATTGACAACTTAACATTTTGAAATGAGGTAAGGTAAGAATGTAGAACTCTGCATTAACATAAAACGTTTCAAAAACTGACTGCTTATTCTGAACAAACGTGACAAAGATGTGACTATCACAATATTTTACCCTCTTCATTTTGAAATAAATCTTTAATTTAGGATGGATGATGGCATTGACCTACAAGTGATAAACAAATAATGCAAATCTGTGGGAAAAGTAATTCATCTGGTTCAATTTATTTGAATTCTCAACTTCATGGGTGTTTACTCTTTCTAACTTCTAATTTTCAATGCTACTCTAATCTTTGACAAATATTATATGTGTGTATATGTGAGCCTACCTCTGTGTGGCTCTAGCAATCTGTATGTCTGAAAACCCAAGCTGCTTTGCCTTCAGTAAAAGTTCAGCCCCTAGCTCAGTTGGCTTAAATAAAAATATAAGAGAAATTTCAATTTTATTAATTCAACATGTACCATATGCAAAATAAGGTATTTAGTGCAAAAATAGTAAACATCATAGCCTATATGAAGACCGTGAGTTTTATTAGTTTATGTAGTTTGACAGACTAAGTTTGCTCTCACTTATTCCATTTGGGTAAATTATATGATGACACAAAACTATCCTCTCTTCCTTGGGCCACCTACCAACTCATTTGATTCCAGCTGTCTTTCCATTTCAATAATATTCTTGAATTTGCAAAGAAACCACTTGTCAATTTTTGTCAAGTCATAGAGTCGGTCTATTGTATAGCCTGCTTTTAATGCTGCTCCCAATACGAAGATTCTCTGGTCTGTTGGATGGGCTAGTTCCTAAAACACAACTTGGGTTTAAAGACTGAAAAGTCAGATTAAGGTAGGCAGAGTACAATGAGTAATCTGGCTCATTAACCTAAACTTGCTTCATAGGAAAGTACACCTGTCCCACTGAAATCTGACAGTTTAGTAACAATGAAAAATATCGGCAAATATCAAACTTTCAACTTTGAGATGATTGCTTAGTCTAAAATGCCTTATTGGCAATTGACGAAAGTCAAGATGATCGATACCTTTACTACAGTGACAATATAAACACTGATCTTGACAGGGAAAAATGGTGAGATGGTGTATGTAGAATCAGCTGTTTACTGAAAAGCCAGAGTGAGATCTATGAATGACTTAAAGGAATATGTCGGGATCTAGTCATTTTATTCACAAGCTCGTGAAAGGGTAAATATTTTATGTACAACAGATATTATGTTTATTGTTATATTATAAAGTGCAGTAGGACCAACCTCATCATCTACAGCTCTACCATTTGTATCCAGTCCACAGACATTCTCATCCATCATTCTAAGAGCTTTCTGGAATGCCTCTTCAAACTTGCGTCCTATTGCCATTACCTCTCCAATACTCTTCATGGAGCTCCCAATCTAAAAGACATATTTCCATGTTCCAGAAGGTAGTTACCAGTTTACCACCAGGTGGCATCTCATATATAACACCTCGTGAAGCTTATTTTACAATGTTATGTACTATTCAATACTGTTATAATTTTAATAATCCTATCATCTAGAAAAAAATATTACATGTACTTGTAACAGTCGACCTTTGGTCCCTTACCTTAGAACTAACACGTGTGAACTTCTTCAAATCCCACCTAGGGATCTTCACGACGCAGTAATCCAGACTAGGCTCAAAGCATGCAGTGGTCTCATTTGTGACAGAGTTCCGTAGAACTGGAAGGGGTATACCCAATCCTAGCTTAGCAGCTACATAAGCTAAAGGGTATCCCGTGGCCTTGCTGGCCAAGGCAGAACTACGGGACAGTCGGGCATTAACTTCTATTATGTAATACTGAAACAAGGCATCGAAAATTGTCCAACTATAAAATGCATTTAAGGAACTTTAACCAAAATTCAACATTCATCCAATCCTTTATGCAGTCTGACAACATATTAAAGAGGTTTTGTACAAGATATTTGCCAGATATCTGGTGAAACATATCCATACTTCTGTAAGTTTATGTACTTTTTAATTTCACAGTACATGTTTTCTTTATGCATGTTTTATAATCTCTGGGTATATTGTTTGTATTGGCTGCAAATAAATCCTCATTCACCATGGAATGATTCTGTATATTAGTTTTACAAACCTCTCGAGATTCTGGATTCAAAGCATATTGGATATTACACTCTCCGACAATTCCAAGATGGCGGATGACTTTGATGGCTGTTGTTCGAAGCATGTTGTATTCTATATTGGTAAGAGTCTGACTGGGAGCAACCACTATAGATTCCCCTGTATGTATGCCTAGTGGATCTACATTCTCCATGTTGCAGACCTAGATACAATAAGACAAATGGAAGTCAACATAGACAGAATATTTTTGAACTTACGTTCAATATTACATTTCAAAAATTATATACATTCAATCATTTTATATCTCCTAAAGAAAAACAAAAAAATTATGTCAATTCTTAACAATAAAATAGCTGAATGATTGAAAATGTGAATTTTTGAAATAATTTTTAATTTAAATTGATACAAAATGCAACTTACTGTTATGCAGTTATCATAAGCATCTCTAACCACTTCATACTCCACCTCTTTCCAGCCCTTCAGGGACTTATCGACAAGAACCTGATTGGTGTGCGCAAAGGCTGTTTGAGCGAGCGACGACAGCTCAGCCTTGTTATCTGCAAACCCTGACCCTAAGCCCCCGAGGGCAAAAGCTGCCCGGATCATGACTGGGTAGCCAAGCCTCTCAGCAGCTGCCTCAACCTGGAGAAATCAACTGTTTGGTTATATGACAGGTATTTCTGTTCATCATTATAAATCCATGAATAGTTTTCACTGAGGAATTGCTTATACAGAGTAGACCTAATGACATAAAGCCACATATCTTTTTTAGCGATGATGACCCTATAAACAACGAACTTTTTTCAGAATCCCTTCAGGCCCCAGTCATCAAAAAACCTTCCAGTCTAACCTTTTCTGTCTTTTAAAGTTTTTTCCACTTTTTTCCATTCTGACACATACATGTATAATTACGCAATTTTAGAATATAAAATAAATAAAAAATAAATGTTACCTGTGATAGGTTATAAGCTGCCTCACTAGGGGCAACTGATTCATTTATCTCCAACATTTTTTCAGCAAATATCTTCCTGTCCTCTGTCCACTCAATGGCCTGTATGGGTGTTCCCAGCACTTTCACGTTGTATTTTTCCAAGATGTTCAATTTACGCAGCTGTATCCCACAATTCAGAGCAGTCTGGCCACCAAATGACAGTAGAATCCCATCAGGTCGTTCGCTCTTGATAACCTAAATACAGAGAAAAGAATTTTTATGTGTAAGTAGAATGTCATGTTTATTTTTATATTTTGTCTTGAAATATCATAATAAAACAATATTACTCAATTATAAATTTTAGTGACAGACAGCTCTAACATTGTACATTAATGAGGCACATGCTGATCAATATCATCCCAAAAACCCAAAATGGCAACCTAAAATTTACCCAACAAGTGCCCTAAACCTCATCAGATCTAGAAATATCCCTGAAAACTTCAAATTAATCAGCTGAGCGATTTGTCTGAAAAATGCAGACTTGAAAGTGAGACACGGCCACCCACTAATCTGACTACTAAGTACAATAACGACCAGCCTCAACTGGATGAAAATATATCAATATCTTACCTGTTGGACATAATCAGCTGTGATAGGCAAGAAGTATACTTTGTCTGCCATGCCTTTTGAGGTCTGTACTGTTGCTATGTTGGGGTTAATAAGTACAGTCTGGATGCCCTCTTCCTTCAATGCTTTCAGGGCCTTCAAAGTAGAGTACATGTTAAAAATTACAAGAAATATGATATCTCAGCTGAATATGGATTACGATGGTAAGATCTTTCGCGATCTGATTGGGTGTCATGCTGGTGTCATAAGAAAAACAAACTTTCTCATGCACAACATTTTCTGTATTTTACTCATATTAATGAATGGCTTACAGTATCTGATGCAAAACTAGTAAGTCGTGATTTACTCAAATAAAATAAATTAGTGATGCTATAAAAATAATGTAAGCATACAGGTATAAAGAAACAAGCATATTCCCTAATAATACATTATCACTTATTAAATCTTTCAGAAATACATTATATCACTTACTTGTGATCCAGAGTAGTCAAACTCTCCTGCTTGGCCGATAGAAAGACCTCCTGAACCCAACAATAGCACCTTCTTTGGTCTGACTGCAGAGGGCTCCTTAGTAACACCATTAAACCTAAGTGCCATGGTCAGGCGGTCCCTCACTGTAATAGGACTGTTGCTCATCTTGCTATCTCTCACTTGGTCTAAGAAGATGTCAAAGAGAAGCTCGAGGTCCTGGGGTCCCCCCATGTGTTCAGGATGGAACTGAGTACTGTATGTAAATACATTTAAAATTCATTTATTAGTGACAATGTTTAGAAAGGCAAACTCAATATGTAATGGTGTTTACTCTTTATGTATGTTGTATGTGTACCTCAGTGAATTAATCAAAATGGAGAATTTAAACTAAGTTAAAAGCAATATGAACAAGCATACAGGCTTGTGGACATAAACAAATGGTCTTCCTTAGTAGTTTATCTCTCAAATTGTTGTATAATAGGTATGCATTATCATTACCTGAAGAAGGGTTTACCCTTATGCACAATTCCCTCGTTTGTTTTGTCATTCTCATTGGTGAAGAGAACTGACCAATCAGAAGGTAGAGATTCAGGGTCGACAGCAAATCCATGATTCTGGGTAGTTATATAACATCTCTGCGTGTCTTTGTGTGAACATGGCTGGTTGTGACCTCGGTTGCCATATCTATAGGATGAATATAAAGAATTTCATCAAATTAAATGACAAAAACATATACACAACGTCCATAACTTCAAGGGGACTCAATAGGCCAATCATTGCGCACATTTGTCTAACAATTACCTATATGGACTACATTGCCTCCCTGTCCTTCAATAGAACATTCTAAAAATAATGGCACATGTGCCACCCTATAGTACTTACTCAATCTAATGTAACTTACTTCATCTTAAATGTTGTTGCTCCTATAGCTAGTGAAAGCAGTTGGTGTCCAAGACAGATTCCAAACACAGGTTTGGGATTAGACTCTTCCAATACGGTCCTTATATTGTTAATGGTAGACTGACAGTACTGGGGATCACCTGGGCCGTTGCTAAGGAACAAACCATCATAGTCTGAAATAGGACAAAACAGACATATCAATGAATCATGCTATATAGGGGATGAAAGAAATAGTTAAATGGTTGGGAGAAAGTAGATTCTAAAAGTCTACTGTGCAAATAAAATCAACATATTGTTTCACCTTTGCTTTGCAGTTTATGGTCCCAGGGGACAACTGTGACGCTAGCCCCTCTTTCACACAGACATCGTATCTGGTTGTGCTTAATCCCACAATCAACCGCCATAATCTTCACGTCACCTTGTGGGTTGTAGGTCACTGGCTCCTAATGAAACACAATGTTAAAATTTAAATGCACGAGTCTGCAAATTGACAAAGATAAGATGGATATTGAGTTGGAAAAAGAGGACAGTAAGGACAGATCCTCCAAGGAAACTCTTTTAAAATGCCTTAAAAAGGTTTTATGAGGATTACAAAATGCCACGCCCCTATTTCAGGTTGTTAGGTCATATCTGAAAAGAATTGCTGCTATAAGCATGGCAAAGGGAGACACACCAACTATTAATTAAAGAACATATCTAATTTACTACCTTCAGAGAGACTTCTGCTACCAGATTGCGCTTGTTAGGATCATCAAATTTGACAGTCGTAGGATCAACACCATCGACAACAATCTATAGGAAATAGTGAATGTAATATATCACATTTAACTCTCCTTAGCTTGTAATAAAATTTTAAATCTAGTCTCCAGTTCTCAAGATCAATCATTTCAAACCTGTGGTATTGTCATTCAAGGATTATTTATATCTATTTGAGAAAATGTTGAACATTTACATTACATTGTACTCAATTCAAAATGCTTCATCAAGAAAATTCTCAATACTTAACAGTACCTTTCCGAGCATTGTGCCAGTCTCTCTTATCTTTTTGGTCAATTCCCTGGTATCAATATCTAAAATAATGTCAGTTTTTAACGAACAATAAAACATTTGGGGAAATATGGCCTGAGGGGGATTTACTTATTACTGAAATTATTTTCCATAAATGGAAAAAATGATTTTTTTAAATTGTTATACATGAAATGAAATATTTAAAATGTATTTTGGACAGTTATCTGTTTTCTAGAAATGAAAAGTTAATTAATTATTTGGCCCTTAATTAGTTACATTTTTGTGATGTACATGTATTTAAACATACCATATATGGCAGGAATGTTCTGTTCAGCTAGCCAATCACTGAGAGATTTAGTTGCACTCCAGTGGCTGTATTCCTCAGAAAGATCTCCAACAATGAGACCAGAGGTATGTATTTCACTCGACTCAAATGTTTCACGTAAGCCAAATTTATCGTCCGAGTATTTTGGTACACCATAGTTTCCGATGAGTGGATATGTCAGTATGAGAATTTGTGATCGGTATGAGGGGTCTGTCAAGGATTCTGGATAGCCGACCATACCAGTTTGGAAAACTGAAAACAATAATCAAAACAAATACAGTTTAGTGTAGTCCTGACACGGATAGAGAAACGCTATTTCAGAAATTATTGGTGACTTATTATCATACAATCAGAATGTATAACTGAACCACAGGGCATTGGAACAGATAAAACACAGTGGGTGGATTTTTATGATGCCTGTGAACTGAACCATGCAGCTTTTTCCATACTGAGCAATGTAATAGATTTGTGATGACAAAGCATACTCACCCACTTCACCTGGTACACTAACAGCAGCACCAAATAATTTTCCTTTGTACTGACTGCCATCCTCAAGAAATAAGGTGGCTGCCATTTTGTTGTTGTTTTGCTTTGATGACCTGAGAAAACCCTATCAATTCTGTCTGAAAATAAGGTCAAGATTGAAGTGACAATAATTAAATGAAAACACAACTGTAGTACTAAAACTGATGTCCAGTATGAGCCTGGGTATCTTACTTTTACAAAGAACATATATTTTATGTCATGCTCACCTCACAGCCGCAGTAATCTTGATTTAAATACCAGCACGTGGAAAAAAAAATCAAAATATAAAATTTGCCGCCATTGAACTGAAGATTTTCCTTCAATCTGATTGGAGGATAAAAATTATTTTTATTGAAAATGCGACTTAGAAATAAAAATATTATTTATTTTCAGGAATAAAATAGTACATTTTATCATGGTATCTATTTGATTTATTTTTTCATTCCTTCAGGATTCCATATTTTATTGATTTCGTTTATGATTCAAACATAGAGTGTGTAATTTAGAGGTTACTTCCGTCAACAAATTTTTAGAAAAATTGGTAAGATATGCCCTGTATATTTGTAGTGTACACTGCTCGAAACAGTAATATTGTGGTATCAAAGCATGATCAAATTTAAGCCACAGAGATGAAACATCTTTTCACACTACTGTTATGATTTTGCATGTTCTGTATGAATCATTTTTCTTGCAACAGAATATGCAATACAAAAATATTTTGGCAGTTATTTTCACTGTTGAGGAACTGTCATGTCAACAAGTGCACTCAATATACAGCAAGATATGTCAGATAAGAAATAAGGTCCAGAGACTAGGTTTAACTTTTGTTGATTTAGCATACTCCCTTTCTTGGCTTTTCTTGCCCCCCCCCCCCCCCTTGGTAAAACCTGGCTATGTCCAAGCAAATCGTATTATAATAGGTGTTGTCATTAGGTCATAGTTACGCTGCTGGTAATTGAGACACCTGAGAATACAAAATGATTCTTGGACTGAGTCAAACATTTCCCTTTCTGTGGGTGTTTGAGGCCTTGCACACTACTGTACATCTGTATATTTGCTAAATTATAACTTCACTCTTTGCAAAAATCAAATGAATACTTGCTCAGTTGTTTCTGAGACTAACATAAAATTTTATGTTAGTCTCAGGTTGTTTACAATTCTTAAATTCCAGATCCCTAACACTTGATGTATATACCATAGACAGTCATTCTCATATGATGGCTAAACATCAAGATGAGCTGGATGTTTTACAAGCAGTGTATTGTGCACCTGGGGAATTCATGCTTATTAATGAAGGTAAAGTTCATCTTGCAGTTATAAAATCAATTTTTTTTCTTGCAAAACTAAATCAATTTGTCATTTGACTCACCAAATGGAACATTCATTCAATTGTTAAATCCACCAAAAAGATACAACTTTTGTTAAAATTTTGAGTCCCATCAAAGCATATTGTTGATATAGGATTACGCAATCTGTAAAATGTCATTGAACTGTTTTCAGAATGAAGAACATAAACATATACATCTTTTGTTGACTTGTGTTTTTCAGGTGACTGTCCCTGCTTTAAAGTGTCCACCCAAGATATGACATCACATTTTAATATTGAAATAACTTTTCAACTCTCTTCAGAATATCCCAATCAAGTTCCACATATCTCTATATTTTGTGATACAATAAACAGAACACAGCTGTCACAGCTGAAACACAGCTGCCTGGATTATGCAAATGAATTGAAAGGAGATAATATGATTATGAATGTAGTCCAATGGCTTCAGGAAAATACTGATTTCCTCATTAATGAACATCCACAAAAAGATAATCCTGATAGTGATGTAAAACATGACCATGATACTGATCCTATTAACAGAACAGAGAATGATAGTATTTCTGCTACAAATGACATTGGAGCATGCGTAAGGGCTAATGATACTGAATCATCAAATTGGACTGCATTACTCTCTTTGGACCACATGAGATCTAAAACCAAATATATCAAGACAATCAAGAAATGGGTTGACCAGTTGGGTTTACAAGGCAGACTAATATTTCAAGGCAAACTGATACTTATTCTTCTACAGGGGCACAAAGAGAGCATAAAGGTTGGTTCCAATGCTAATTTGAGAAGGGATAGGAAACTTTTCTTTGAATTATCATGAATTAAAATCTGTGTAAATACCTGCAATTTTGAAGAAGCAACATATTAAGGGAAGTGAAATACTGGGACCTGATTCCAAAGTAAAGAGGCGCAAGGTTAATAGAGTCTAACACAACATAAAAGAACATTGCATTTGCCTCTTGAGAAGTCCCAAGAGTTCTTCATCTTAGACCCTTAATTAAGGCAAGAATATATTATTTTGAACTTCAATCTTTCATTACATGTCATGCTTTATCTGTTTATCTATTTATTTATTTAAGGAATATTTAACGCTACAGAGGACTGTTAATGTTGATGTAGATTCAAAAGGCAGAAGTTGTAAGGAAAAGATGATGAAAATATTGCATGAAGAAGAAACAAAGTCTCCTCCAAGGTTAGTATGCACAATGTATACAGGTTCATGTACCAAGCTGGTCATGATTTCGAACTCATTGTACATAATGGCATTATATGTTTTTGGTATTCACTGAGGTAAGATATAGAATTTAAGAGACTTTTCAAAGTGTAGAAAAGCATTTTAAACATATTACCAAAGCCCACATTTCTAAACTTTTAACTTAGTTTTAAGTTCATGTATAGCTGATTTACTTCTGTTTCAGCTTGTGTGGGTTTGACTCTATGGAACTACAAACTAATAGTGATCTTCAAGACTTCTTCTCCAAAGCAAACTTAGGACACATATTCAAGTCTCACTTCTAACATACATCATAATCAAACAAGGATTCAGTTTGTGACTTTCTTTGATGTCATTGACTTTTGACCTTGAAAATTTACCCATCTGACTTTTTGAATCCAAATAACCAATCTGAAAAATTAACTTTTTGGACCTTTTGAAGATTATTGAAGTTCAACAAAAGGTGAAATGTCAAATTCAATGTCAGATTTGATTTCTTGGCAACTTGTATGATGTATTTTATGATTTTCAAAAAACGGTTTCCTCAATTTGAAGCAAGTTACAATTTGACCTTAAAATTTATAAATGTTGACCTACTTTCAGTTTGTAAATGGAAATATCTCAAAACTGGGGCAAACTGATAATTATTTAGATGTGAAGACACAGTCATTGCTTTAGATTATAATCACCAACATACTTCTGTTTTCTAGTACAATTCTGAAAACAACTGAATATGTAATCCTTAGAATATATTTATATGAAGCTATAAATAAAGAAAATAAAAATGTATGTATAAATAATTACAGGGTGACCCAAAAAATGCAACCCTCCATTCTTTCAATATTTTTCTTAAATGGAGGTTAATTGCCCTGAAATTTGGCACACCAGGACTTCATTCAATGTGGGATCCTCTGGCAAAGTTTCAATAACCATAGTCTTATATTGATAGAGCTATGGTCGTTCCAAAATATGCTCCAAATGTCGTCCATTTCCAATGTTAGGTTTTCAGATGAATCACATTCCCTTCTTTCTAAACATGTAAACTCAAGAAATAATGTGTTCTGGGATCACAAATTCCAGATGAAGTGCTTCAAAGGCCCCTTCATTCTGTTAAATGCACAGCTTGGGCTGCCAATTTCCAAACATGAAATCATCAGCCCCTTTTGGTTTGAGGTTGATAATGCCAACACTGTTACTGTTAACACACAGCGCAATATTTGCTAGTTCTAGGCAGTTCTAGAGTGGCATAGACTAGAGGCTTCAATAGACAAGAACAGTGGTTCTATAAGGATGGAGCTTCTCCTCACACTTCTAATGATAGCATAGCCTGGCTCACTAGTCATTTCTATGAGAAGATGATCTCTCCTAGGACGGAGAACCCATGGTCATCCCACAGTCTTGATCTCAATGCCCCTGACTTCAATATTAGGGGTTATTTAAAGGATAATGTGTATGAAAATAACCCTACCGCAATTGCAGAACTCCAATAAGCAATGGCTGCAAAAATTTGAGCCATACCCATGGGGAAGAATGCATCCGTATTATGAACAGTTTTTCTTGAGCATTGCAAGTTTGTTTTCAGCGAAATTGATGACATCTGGAGCATATTTTGAATAGAACATTTATTAAAGAAATAGACTTAGCTGAACAAATTCATAACCAGTTGGACTCTAATAGCCCAGATGAATATTTACTCGGAGTTCAAACACTTAGGCGTAAAGGCAGATACACTGGCATCCTGTACTGCACCAATAAAGCAGCCAAGGCTGAGATACTAGCTTTAGGAACTGTCAACATCAATGGAGAACTTATACCGCTTCTCCCATATGGTGCGGATGTGCTGAGACCTGCAGAGAGAGTGTCTATCCATGGCATTCCCTTACATGTCAGCAATAGTGAAGTTGAGCAGTGGATAGCAGAACGTGTCGACATAACAACACCAATACAATATGCATATAAAGAGAAGGGTGCCTTGAAAATCAACTCAGGCAACCGCTTTTGCTATGGACATGTTAAACCAGGAATTGTATTCCCAAGATTCAACACTTTTACAACTTCTGATCCATTAGATCGTCAAGAATTGATTGATATTGATACTGTTGTTTACATAAACAGTCAGATAATAAATTGTGCCAGATGCAAGCGTCTTGACCACACTAGCAAAGATTGCCCTGAACGGCAAACTTATTCGTGTAGGATCTGTCGAGAGGAAGGGCACTTTGCACGCGAGTGTCCTTCTCGTCAACCTGAAGCAGAGAACGATACAGCCAATGTGGCTCCAACCGCAGGCATCCAACCAGCCACTGGGGCAGCTACAGATGCAGCTCCTCAGGAGAACATGCAGCCAGTTACTCAGGCAAATACACAGATGGCTAACCAGTCATCTATGCAGACAGATATGCAATCAGCTCAAGACACCAACAAGAAGAAACTCGAAGGCAAGCAAACACATACAAACAATAAAAATGTCAAGGGAAACGGTAAAAAACAAGGGAGTAACAGCAGTGGAGGATTGGCAATTGAAATTTTTCATGATGCTACATCTGTAAAAAGTACATCTGTTAAAGAAACACCATGCAACCCCAAAAAAAGACCTCCAAATTTTACCCCACCTAGTATTGAAAAGTCAAGATTGGAGAAAAAACCAAACAAATAAATGTATAAACTCATCAGCATTGTGTTTTAACATATGAAAGTAGGTTCTTTAAATGTAAATGGATTGAAAAACAAGAGAAAGCGAAAGGCAATTTTTGATTGGTTAAGATCATACAATCTTGATATAATTTTACTCCAGGAAACATATTATAATGAAATGGGGTGGCGAATTATACGGAATACCTGGATTTGGAGATAAAAGCAAAGGGCAAGTGATCCTTTTTGCAAAGGGAACAGATATATCAAATGTTGAAGTATGTAAAGAAACTGAGAATGGGCGTGTCCAAGCCCTGAAACTATCATACGAAGGTGAAAACATAGTAGTGATGAATATATATGCTCCAAACAAAGATAATGAAAAAATTGATTTTTATAAAAAGTTAATAAATATATATGACAGACATGTGAGGCAGTCTGAATGCATCATAGGGGGAGATATGAACTGTGTAGTAAACAACGAGAGAGATATTATCTCTGGTAATGTTCACACAATTAAGGTGATAGAGCATTTCAACTCTTTCATAAATACTTGTGAATTAAATGATACATGGAGGATTCTTAATCCAGAAATAAAATCTTATTCCTGGAGTAGGAAATCACCTTTTATTGCAAGGAGGTTAGACTATATATTCATGTCAAATGGTCTCACAAGTAAAGTCATAGAATCTCAAATACTACCTGTAAGCAATTCTGACCACAGATGTGCTTTAGTAGATGTCAAAACAAATAAATATAAGATGGGAAAGGGCTATTGGAAATTGAATAATTCGCTTTTAAAATCAGAAGAATATATAAACAAGATAAATAATGTCATAACAGAGACCATTACACAATATGAAGATATAGTTAATCCTCAAATTTTATGGGACATATGTAAAGGGGCAATTCGAGATATATCAATTAAACATAGCAAGTTAAAAGCAAAAAAGTCAAACATCAAACAAATTCATGTTGAACAAAAACTGTTACATGCTCAGAGCAAACTTTCCAATGATGTTAATCCTGAAAATATTGATAATGTCTATAAGTTACAAATGCAATATGACCTTGAAACCATTGAAAAAACCAAAGGGGCACAGTTAAGATCTAAAAGTCAGTGGATCGAAAATGGAGAGAAAAATACAAAATATTTCTTATCTTTAGAGAAAATGAGAAGTAAAATGAAAACAATTGAAGTCTTAACAGATGAAAATGATATCAGCACTCGATCCCTTGAAGAGGTCATGTCGCAGTTGTATGATCATTATAGTAATATGTATAAAGAAAACAGTGACATACGTTACACACTTGATGATTTTGCTCATGATATAGAATTACCAAAACTTGATAATATAGAAAAAGAAAAATGTGAGGGTCTAATAACAGAGGAAGAATGCTCATTAGCAATTAAATCAATGAAAAATGAATCAAGTCCTGGAATTGATGGCCTAACAGCAGGTTTTTATAAGGTATTTTGGATCAAAATAAAACACCTAATTATAAATTCTCTAAATTTTGGTTTTGAAAACGGGCAATTATCAACGTCACAAAGACAATGTATAATTATCTTACTTCTGAAAGGTCAAGGATTACCACGTAATAAACTTAAGTCATACAGACCAATATCATTGACTTGTGTAGACTACAAGATTGGGGCAACAGTACTTGCTAATAGGATTCATAAAGTAATTAAAAAACTGGTAAATTCTGACCAAAATGCCTATTTAAAAAATAGAGGAATACATTTAAATCTTAGACTCATTGATGATATTATGAATTATATTAATAATGATAATCTAGAGGGATTAATGGTAGCATTAGATTATTCCCGAGCGTATGATTCGTTGTCTAAAAGATACATTTTTGAGGTAGTCAAAAAACTTAATTTTGGGGAAGATTTCATGCGCTGGATCCAAGTTTTTAATAAGAACACTTCAGCAATGGTTTCAAACTATGGTCACTTCACAAATTCTTTTATATTAAATGCTGGTTTACGGCAGGGGTGCCCATTGAGTTCGCTCGTATTTTTATTAGCAACTGAGATATTTTCTTGCAAAGTAAGACAGGACCCTACAATTGAAGGTATAAAAATTAGAAATACAGAGAGGGCTATAAAATTAACATCATATGCTGATGACACTACAGTTTTCATTAAAAATGCAACATCATTAGAAAATCTGCTATTACAAGCAGAAAAATTTTACTTAACATCTGGATTAAGATTAAATACTGAGAAAACGAAAGCAATGTGGTTGGGGAGATATAAGGATAACACTAACAAACCATGTAATGTGAATTGGATAACCAGAAAAGATGAACACTTAAAAATACTGGGTGTATTCTTTTCAAACCAAAAATCAGCTGCTACTATATCAGAAAATTGGGCACCACGTATTGATAAAATAGAAGCAATAATTAAAAATTGGGATAAAAGAAACTTGTCCTTTCTTGGAAAAGTATGTTTAGTTAAATCGCTTATTGCATCACAGGTTACACATTTACTATTAGTGTTCAAAGCTCCAGAGGAATTTTTGAGAAAAATAAACACTCTTATTTATAAATTTATATGGCAAAAATCTGGTAAAGGAACAGAGAAAATTCAAAGAAATATTTTAAGGCAAGATTATCAAGATGGGGGAATTAGAATGACAGACATAAATGTTAGTCAGGAAGCTCTTGTATTGACATGGGTAAATAGGCTGTATAGTACAGATGATGCAGCATGGAAGTTACTTAGTAACTTATTTTTAAATAGAATGGGACATGGTCTAAACTTTTTCCTGTATGATTGTATTTTCAAAGACATAAAACCAAGGCCTCAGGATGAAAATATCCCTGAATTTTACACATTTTTAGTAAAATGTTGGTTTAAGAAAGAGGTGAGTGAAGCAATTTCAAATAAAGATATAATTTGGAACAACAGAAACGTTTCTTATCGGAAAAATGTGATATATTTTCAAAGTTGGAAAGATGCTGGATTGAATACAGTGTCTGATATAATAGACGAGAATAATCATGTACATCCAATTGAGTATTTTAGAAACCTCATGCAAAATAATGCAGGGTTACAGTTAGAGTATAACGTGATAAAAAATGCCATACAGAAAATAAGTATTATAAAAAGAAATAATAGCAAAATTTTGAAATTTAACAATTGTATCATTAATAAGTCAAAGGCCAGAGATTTTCAAGCCTCTATAATAAAAAATGAGAAAATATGTCCAAATGTAATGTTAAAATGGAATAACATGTATGAAAACCTACAATGGAAAAATATATGGGGACACATAGGCAGAATAAAAGAGACAAAAATCAGATCATTACAATATAAAATAATACATCAGGTGTACCCTACGAATATTCAATTAGAAAAATGGAAACTAAGTAACACCAAGAAATGTAAATATTGTGTAGAAGAGGAGGATACTTATGAACATTTTTTTATTAAGTGTCACCAAATAAAAAGAATTTGGGATGATGTTAAAACAGTGTTAAAAAGAAAATATGAAAATATTAATTTCACTGATGTAGATGTACTTTTATTTTATGAGAACAAAAAAAATCTGTACAAGATTATGTAAATCAAGTCATACTTATCGCAAAACACTGCATAAGCAAGTTTAAATATGGAGAACATCCAAATATATCATTTCTATTTCAAAACGAACTAGAAATGAGAAAATTATTGTGAAAAAAAAAAAAAAAAAAAAAAGGAGCATATTTTGAAACAACCATAACTCTGTCAATATAAGACTATTATTATTAAAACTTTGCCAGAGGATCCCACATTGAATGAAGTCCTTGTGTGCCAAATCTCAGAGCAATTCATCTCCATTTAAAATATTGAAGAAATGGAGGGTTGCATTTTTTTTGGGTTTAATTTCAAATATTTAGGACTGATCTCAAGTTTTATTATCATTCTTGAAATTAGCATTTCAAGTTCATGTGTACTACATGTACTTACAATAGGTCTGTACAATTAACTTTTATGCTCTGACATCCAAACAGAAATACTTACACAAATGAGTTTCAGGGACGCAATTTCAATTATTTGCATTGCTTGGGCTTGGGCCTGGTGTAATTGAATGTTGACTCTGAACATAAGTAATAGTCTACTGTATAATCCGGGTGCAAATCACAAATTCTGGGATTTTTCCAAAATAGAGCTTAAATTTGGCGGATTATAAATTTTTCAATAAAAAGTGATATTTATCACTGTGTGTTGTTCTGCTTTGGCACTTGTGCTTATATTTTCATCTCCAGAGGTGAATTAAATCATCTCAGTTGCCACAATGTACATGTACAAAGTAAGGCATCTAGACAGTAATCACCATATCCTGAACCTCTATTCATATTCTGGTCATTTAGTTGAAGTAATTCCCATATGCTGAAGATCTTGTCAGAAATTACAATGTTCTGAAGAATCAGTCAGTGATCACCATGTTCTGATCCCCATTAGTAATTACCATATTTTGATCATCTATTCATAATCACCATATCCTGAATACTACTGAATATCCAGTCAGTAATCACCATATTCTAAACAACAGTCTTTGCTACAATTTTGATTTGTTGTCATTAGCTTCTTGTGCCTCAATGTCTTTCTCCCATGTGTAAGCTGGCATTTTGTCATGTTCTGGAATATAGACAAGATGATGCTGATGTAAAAATACTGTACCATTTTCAATACAATGTCTACAGGCAACTTATATCTGTTGATAGATTTTGTTAATTTACCACCTGGCTAGTTATCGCAAATGGCTACAAAAGTACAACAGAATTGTTAGTTACCAAACTACTGATTCAAAATGCCAGTCACAAAAATGTTGGCTTTAACAACTCCTTGCAAAAATCAATGATAGGATTTCTGATGCTTCAGTAAACTTAACTTAAATTTTGTTTTGGACATTGTGATAAATATAAAAAACAGTAATTCAACATTGCCTTTGGGTGAGCATAGCAAAGGATTATAATCATCTGTCACAATTTATTGTATATACAGTATAGACAATTCCTATTTAGAAAAACAAACATTGTTTAAACACTCACTAGATATTCTCCATGTGTGTGTGCCATAAAGACTAGCACCGCCATCTATTTTCACAGTTTCTCCAGTTATGAAAGAAGAGGCAGGAGAAAGTAGGAAACAAACCATACCAGATATCTGAAAAAATTTTCCTCAATTTAATTTTAACTTAACATTTTTTTATTTTTGGGATGTATTGTTGAATGTTATTAATAATGATTTTGAGGATTGGTCCTTGAGCCATATCATTTGTTAATGGTTTATCTTTCTTTTTCATGTATCATCCACAAGTTAATGAGAAAAAGGCTGGATGAAGTTTAAACGTTTAAAATGCATTTTACTTAAATCATCTAACTATTCATGAACCAATATTACTCATTGGGAATAAAAAAACATAAATCAGATTCCATTTGATCCGATGATGTGATCAAAACTATGTGTACCTCTTCAGTTTTGCCTAGTCTCTGAGCAGGAATATATGGAATAGCTGCCTCAAATATTGTAGCATCCCCATAGTTTGCAGCAGCTGTCTCTGAGTAGATGGAACTTCCCTGTAACAATGAGTTTATAAGTAGTAACAATAAATTCGGAGAAACAATGGATGCGTTAATGGAATCAATGGGTGTATTAATAACATTCCTCTCAGATTTTATGCTCAAATAAAATACCATTGCATTAATATTTTCAGTTATCCCATGAAGTGTAATAGCGAAATTAACTGGGAGTACAGTATGCTTTATAGATGTAGCTTTGGTTGTATACGTGGATCAGATATAGATGAATATGTTTATATATAAAATATGAATGAAAACTCAAATAAGAAGTCCCAAACATACAGATTGAATACTCACTGGTGCAACACTGTTGATTCTCACCCCACTCTCTGCCCATTCAATAGAAAGAGATTTAGTAATGTTATCTACAGCAGCTCTAGCAGCACCAGTGTGACTGGAAATATGGAATACCAGTGGTTATGTGAAACTGAAATACATGGATTGCATGCATTTGCCTATACATTAAAGTGATTTAGTAATAATATCAGCTCTAGCAAAACCTATATGACTGGAAATATGGAATACCAGTGGTTATGTGAAACTGAAATACATGGATTGCATGCATCTGCCTATACATTAAAGTGATTTAGTAATAATATCAGCTCTAGCAAAACCTATATGACTGGAAATATGGAATACCAGTGGTTATGTGAAACTGAAATACATGGATTGCATGCATCTGCCTATACATTAAAGTGATTTAGTAATAAAATCAGCTCTAGCAGCACCAGTATGACTGGAAATATGGAATACCAGTGGTTATGTGAAACTGAAATACATGGATTGCATGCATCTGCCTATACATTAAAGTGATTTAGTAATAATATCAGCTCTAGCAAAACCTATATGACTGGAAATATGGAATACCAGTGGTTATGTGAAACTGAAATACATGGATTGCATGCATCTGCCTATACGTTAAAGTGATTTAGTAATGTTATCTACAGCGGCTCTAGCAGCACCAGTGTGACTGGAAATATGGAATACTAGTAGAGGTGTAACTCCCGAGTCAGTAACTCGAGTACAGCTCGCCAGAGCTGCCTATACATTGCCTCGAGTTGTCCTCTAGAAACTCGCAATCTATTTCAACTCGCGAGCTAGCTATAACTCAAGTAAACTCGCGAGTTTTGCCTATCTTGTAAGCATGTAAAATGAATTCGGGTCCCAGAGATCGTGCAACATTACTTCATTAGTGGAATAAATATACCAACGATCGCCATATTTAGCGCCCGTCACCTAAAAAACACTCTCAAAGCTTCACAAAGTTCAACAAATATCGTGGAATGACAAAATATCAGAAAAAGATCGACTATCGAAGGAACTCAAGCGGGCGATAATAGAGAAGTCACTAAAATTGAATAGAAATGGTCTCCTTATTCTCACGTCGTTTACACGACTTTTACATAAAAAAGATGATCTATCATTAAATTTAGATCATAACTCTTAACTTTAGATCGCTTTAGTATAAATAATGAAGATAATCCGGGAAAACCATTCATTGATTTGAGGGGCCCTTCTGGGTTTTCTAAAATATTGTTTGGTTAGATTCTAGCGATCTCTCGTCCTTACCGTATGCGGCGACGTCTATACCAGATCGTTTTTGATTGAAATATGAGATAACTGCAATGAATACCACACTTTCATATGGCCCCAACGTGTTAAACAGCTTTTAGATGTGACTAAACCAGAGAAACTTGCCGCTAGAAGCTACAGTAATTTTGTATACCCGGGTTTACAACATGTACTGGACGAAATGAATGAACTCGAGTTTAACTCGAGTTTTGGAAATATTTGGCAAGTTGAACTCGAGTTGGATTTTTCTCGCGAGTTACACCTCTAAATACTAGTGGTTATATGAAACTGAAATACATGGATTGCATGCATCTGCTTACATTAAAGCAATTGAATAATGTTGTTTATACTAGCTCTTGCTGTGTTACAGTTACTGTACACAAAGGATGATATCAATGACTTTGTAATCCTGAAATGAACTGGTCACAAGGACACTACCTCTCCAATCTAAACAGAAGGATTGGTAATGCAATTTACAGCAATTCCTTTGAGACCCTATGACTGGAGCTAATCGTGATATTATGAAGTTCAAAATATATAGATACAGTAAAGCCTGTCCGATAGAACACATTTCTGGAAGGAACGCCCGTCTCCAATGCACAGTTTTCAAAAGAACCAAACATTTTTCCATTGGCTTACATGTTATCGGACTCTCTGTAAGAAACACCTGTCAACTGGGAACAAGGAACATTTTTTGACAGTTTTTGAAAACAGGAATTTTGCATCCCCCTGAGAAAAAAATCCTCAGGAGAACAGCTAAAATGAAACAATTTATGGAAATAAATACAGGGTGTCCCGAAAGTATGGGGCCCCCCCTAGGCAGATATATTCCACTGTCCTCATAGTATGTGTCATATATCATTTTAAAGCTTATCCAAAGTTACATTGATTTGCCAAGTATCATGGTTTAACTCCCAAATGGGAAAAAGTTACAGTCATTTTAAAAGTTAGTGTTTTGTCAAAATAAAGTCCAATTTTACACCAAATTACTGGTCAATGAGTCCCCCCCTTGGCCATGTTAACAGCAGCAATTATTTTCAGATATGACCTTAAAAACCCTTCAAATAGGGTTGTGGAATTTTATAACCCTCTTAAAACCTGTTAAGGCACTTTAGAAGAGTTTCCTTAGAGTTTCTACCCTCACCATTCTCTTTTTCCAACTCAATATCCATCCGACCCGAAAAGAATTGCTGCTGTTAAGATGGCCCGGAAGGACACATTGACTAGTGATTTGGGGTAAAATCGAACTTAATTTTGACCAAACACTAAGTTTTTAAATGCCTGTAATTTTTTCACATTTGAGAGTTGAATCATGATACTTGGTGAATCAATGTAACTTTGGATAAGCTTTAAAATGAAATATGACACATACTATGAGGACAGTGGAATATATCTGCCTAGGGGGGGGCCCCATACTTTCGGGACACCCTGTAGTTATCGTTATAAATACTGAATTAAGCCTACCTCATCAATGGGAAACCTTTCCACATGTCTGCTATTATATTTACTATTGCACCACCATTATCTTTCATCCATTGATTGTATGCTACAAAAATTAGGAATTGGTGTTTGTGTTCAAATATTTACATATACATATTTATATATTCTTGTGAGTTGAAGGGTAAATTGAGATTCATATCTACACACTATACACATGTTTGTTTCTTTCAATTTTAACTTTTTAATTATTTTAACTATTCTGATCTGAGCCATATAAACAAGATAAAAACATTGGATGAAACATGAGCTTTAAACATAGATGAAGTAACATGTTTAATGTAAAGCTCTATAAATTGCTGGTTATTATTAAAATACATTTAGAATTAGAATTGAACAAAGTGTTACCAAATTCACCCAAACTTCCTAAAAACTAACTTACTGGTTCATACATGTACATTTAGTGCACATTATATCATTAACAATTCACCATATGCATACCTTCTTTGCACATAAGGAATGTCCCAGTTAGGTTTGTTTCTACAACAGCATTCCATCCCTTCAGTTTGATGTCTGCTGCTGGTGATGGGAACTGACCACCTCCATTGTTCACAAGGAAATCTAGCTTGCCATATTTTTCAACTGTCTTTGATATCAGGTTTTGAACCTTAAAAAAATTAAATATTATAATAACATTTTAGGTAAAATTCAATAAAGTTAGATTGATGTTGGCCCTGTGTCACACATATGCATTGAGAGCCTTGACCTTATCTCATATCATTGTAGGTACGTGGTGGTTTTATGGTTTTGGAGGTTGATGTCAATACTGTAGTTCAAATTTAGGTCATGCCCATGGTTTAATTAAAAAAGACACAGTTAGCTCTTAAAAATGTCTAGTATTGGTTGTGCTCTTCACTATTCTGTTTTATACTTCTTGGGATTTTCTCACTGGCCATTGTTCTTACATGATTAAGATGAAAATTGGTTGTATTGGTATTGGTTGTGCTTTTCACTATTCTGTTTTATACTTCTTGGGATTTTCTCACTGGCCATTGTTCTTACATGATTAAGATGAAAATTGGTTGTATTGGTATTGGTTGTGCTTTTCACTATTCTGTTTTATACTTCTTGGGATTTTCTCACTGGCCATTGTTCTTACATGATTAAGATGAAAATTGGTTGTATTGGTATTGGTTGTGCTTTTCACTATTCTGTTTTATACTTCTTGGGATTTTCTCACTGGCCATTGTTCTTACATGATTAACATGAAAATTGGTTGTATTGGTATTGGTTGTGCTTTTCACTATTCTGTTTTATACTTCTTGGGATTTTCTCACTGGCCATTGTTCTTACATGATTAAGATGAAAATTGGTTGTATTGGTATTGGTTGTGCTTTTCACTATTCTGTTTTATACTTCTTGGGATTTTCTCACTGGCCATTGTTCTTACATGATTAAGATGAAAATTGGTTGTATTGGTATTGGTTGTGCTTTTCACTATTCTGTTTTATACTTCTTGGGATTTTCTCACTGGCCATTGTTCTTACATGATTAAGATGAAAATTGGTTGTATTGGTATTGGTTGTGCTTTTCACTATTTTGTTTTATATATTTTGGGATTTTCTCGCAGGCCATTGTTCTTACATAGATAAGATGAAAATTCGAGATATTTTTGGTATCCATGAGTCAGTGAATTTGTATTTTCAATACACCAGTTATATGAGATTACCTGTTCTTCCTTCCTAATGTTACATTGTATAGGCAGCACTTCTGCAGGGCTGGACTTTGGGATTCTTGATGTCATTTCAGCCGCAGCTTTGATTATTTTCTCCTCATTCCGAGATGCTATAACAACTTTACATCCTGTAAACATAACAAATATAACTAGATAACAGCAACACCAAGGTGTCTGCCATTTTTGGAAATGGTCACCTATCAGCCAAATTGTCATTAGCCAGGGTATTCTTCTAAGTATTTACATATAAAATTTACACAAAATCGCTTGAAATGGCTACCATTTATCGAATTGGCTGCTCACTAGCCAATTTGTCATAAGAAAGTGTAATATGTTTATAAGTAGTCACATATAAAAAAAAACAAAAATTGCTTCACTATTTAAGTAAAAAACATAAAATAACACATATAAAATTTGCGGCCATTTTTCAAACTTCTACATGTACTTTTCCAGTTACAGCAAAAATTGCCACCAAGTTTTTTTTAAATCATTAGATTTTCAACTAATCAATATCCTACATGTATATAATTTTTTGCATTAAAACATATCAATATTACAGTTTTGTATATAGTTCCTAAAATACCGGAATATTTACACTAAAATGGCAGCCATTTTAAAACTGGTGGCCACTTTGAAAACTGGCTTTCGAGCAGAACTTGTACTCACACGGGGCATATACATATACATATAAAATATTAACCATATTAGGCTAACAGTATTTGAATTATTGCCTGGATTGATGGATGCGGATGGAGATACGGATGGATGGCTTGATGAATGGATGGACAGACGAAGCAATTCTCTATATGCCCAAACTTTGTTCGATTGGATAATTAAGGCCATACTGCATGGGTTTACTGGTTGAAATAATAGTGCGAAACGAAAATGGCACAAACTGATCCAAGCTCCACATAGGGAATTACTAAATACGAAAATTTGGGCTGAAGTTGCATTTGTTCTTTTTCACTCATCCTACTGTGTTAGCGTCACATACACATAAAACGCCATGGTGTACTCTCAAAATTTAGAGAAAAAGTTTATTTTTTGTATTGAATTCCCCCACACTTTAAAAATACTGGATATTCTGAAAAAATGGCCAATAATTTATGTTTTATTGGTCCACATTAGTCTGGAAATTCGTATTTTAAAAATGGCACAGAATGCTTCAAATGCAATGTCATTTTCAAATTTCCTTGCGGGAAACCCCTCAAAGCTCTTTTGCTTCGCTAACTTGTGGCGTACACTCACAAGTCACAAAATACCCACACTTTGCCACTGAATGTGTAACTTATACAAATTTTAACAAAATCTGATTCATATTGGCTTGGGTATTTTATCAGATACATGTAATCCATGGGCTTTCAACTAGAATTGAAAGCCCATGGATAATCTGATAAAATTGACACGTAAATTTCCTAAGTTTCCTTGATTCAGGTGAATTTGACTGGTCATTCAAGGATTTACTGGGATGATGAATGTGACTTATATGAAAAAACCAGTGTAGACCTAGTTTATGACGGGTGAGAAACTGAAACCAAGCCAAAGGTCGTCTGCTAAAATTCAAATGGATCTAAATTTTCATTTTCAAGTTTTACCATTCTTAGTTACAAAAATATAGCAAATCCGTTAAAATTACCAAGATGCAAAAGTTCTTCTGTAATTGCTTTTCCTATTCCCGTTGCACCACCTGTTACAATGGCTATTTTGTCGTTAAAAAGCCCATTTCTAAGCACACTCGAAACTTTTGCCATTCTTGCACCGGCCGCCATTTTGTCCAGATCTCGAATGTCACATGACTTTGATAAACGTTAACAGCAAATTATTGATAAAACTTAGATATCAAACATATTGAAACCAAGTTAATCTATGTATTTAGCTGCATTTTATATAACACTCTAATTTAAAGTAGTATAAAAGAAAAGAATTCTCAAATTAATAAACTCACTTTGAATGTCATGTGACCTGTGTTCGAGACCTGTCAAGTTATTGGAAAACCCTAATCTCAGTTTCTCTGTTGCTTTTGTACAAATACGCCTATTATATCGCCTCTAGTCACACATATGGGATAAACTTTGGTAAGTAAATAGTTTATAGTATACTTCATGTCATTACATGTGTGTTTCCAATGTGCATATAGTAGGTATTACTGGAAAATGGGAATCTACACTTCAGTTCTGTATAATTTGCTGTCAATCAAATTTATTGTTTACATTTGTAATATCCATCATCTCAATTTAAAACTGATTTCAATCATTCACCTGTTTTCTCAGTTTCCTTCTAATCTAGGGAACCATTGAATCTCTGTTGTTCGTCAGATGGCCAGTCAAATCCGATGGCGAGATTTTTCATTGACGATCAGTCATACTGTAACGACCCTCACTCTGCATGGTAAGTGCAAAAGGTAGTGGTAGCGTTAAAGGGTTGATGAGTGAGTGGAAGAATCGTCACATTATTACCGGGTCCGTGTTATGATTGTTTATGCTCTCGAGGGTTTTACAGACATGACTGGTTGAATGGCAAAATGGCTGAATATGTCGCACTGCGACATAAAACATACACCTAACTGACAAAACAGATGATTTAGTTTAAATATAAATTATGACATAATTATGGGTTTATTTACAATGTGGTTATAAAGTGAGTAAAGTAATTATGACAATAACACACATAGTGTGGAAATATATATATATGAATAAAAGTTCTGATATTGTGACACATGGATGATATATGGTGCAGCGTTACTCAATGGCAACGGGTACCCATATTCAAGGATTACGCACAAAGGTGGATCGTTATGCAACTAAGATCCCTGAAATGTGGTTACGATAATATACATAGTATTTCCTATCCAGTACAATACATACTCAAGTAAGATTACATAATTACCAAGAAGCTGATACTGCAATTACACATTATTGAGCTCATATTCATAAATCCTACATTAACTACACATATAACATACAATACTTTCATCTGGGAGAGTGTGTGACACAACTGGTGACCAAATATACATACATAGCAATATGTATTACCATGACTTTGCAACAACCTATGACAATGAGAACAACAACAACTGGCACCTTGAAGTGTACGACATGACGCAAAGAACCTAATTACAACCACTGACAAAATGTAAGACCGACTAAAAATATCAACGTAACGTTATGTATTCACAAGCTTGGGTGAAACATACCAAATAATGACTATAACAATAACTTGTACAACATTTGATTCAACATACCAATTAGTGATAACAATGTATACATGACTGCTCATTATGTAACATGCTAGGAAAATTAATGTCATATAACATGTGGGTGCAATCACATGACATGGATATACATGTCACATAACTAGTGGGCGCCTGCTATGAAACATGCCGACGCGTGCTACATGACATATGGGTGCGATTACACATCATGTGGGTACATGCTATGTAACAAGTGGGTGCATGTTATGTAGTAAGTGATCAATCATGAACATGAGTGAAACTGTAAACCCAAGTTGGTAGTAGTACATCACCAACTTATAATATTCCATGACACAACATAAGGGTGGGTGCAACAACTTGTATTCCCTTTGGTAATATTGGGTGCAACAAATTGTATCTCCCTAGGGTGGCTTTGGGGAAAGCCATACATGCATACAGTATATAAAGTATAGTACAACCTTAACACAACAATACAATAAAACCGACACTCCAACCATCGATAAACAATAGAACAGTTCAAGTTCAAAACTAGTATCAGGCTAGACCATAAACTAGGGTTCCATCAGGGTTAAACTCAACACCATCATCTATCTGATACTAACTGTTGCCCAACAGTAAGACTTGAACTCCATAGCCAACTTTATACAAGCGAGACATTACGTAACATACAGCTGCACAGGGTAGTTTGCAGTGTACCTAAACATGATCAATTTGGGTATTGATCATCAACAATGATGTAAACTGACATGATCAAACTGGGTATGTTGATCATCAACCATGTAAACCAAATATGGGTCAAATAATTCCAATGTGCTTTTGCATTAACAAGTCAAATCCAAATCCAAATGTAATACTTGCCAATTTGTCACACTCGATACATAGAGTGCTTACAGCTTGAAATGAGGTGTAGGGTGTCCATCCACATGAGGTATTTGCATCAGCATATGAGTGGTTGGTTGTTGGTGGTATGTAGTTCGCCATTTGACAGACGTGCTGACATTTGCAAATCATGCGGGAGGGGTGAACCTCAAACTTCAAGCATGATTTGGGGGTCAGACTTCGTGCAGATCCTGTTGTAATCACCTCATGTGGACGGACGACTTACTGGTGTAAATCGTGAGACAGTTTAGACACCTCGACGGTCAACAATAGCGACATTTTGAGTGAAGATAGCGGAGCAAATCACGAATGATTTACTCGAAAAACATAAGATGGCTACCTGTCTTCTGCGCACGCGCAGCGTCCTACATAAATTACGAACTTATGTAAATCCACAAAAACGGCCATAACTTCGCCAATACGGGACCGATTGCAAAGTTTAAACTACCTATAGAGAGCTTAATTTACGTATTAGGTGCATATCCTACTAGATTTATGATAAAACATAGTCAACAGGGTGAAATTTAGACCAGAAAACTACGACAGTAACCTTGACCTTTTTACGTCAAAAGTAGAACGGAACTAAGAATAGTTCGAGAATTACGCCAAAAGTACGAACGGGAGCAACAATATCCACAAATTACTAGAATAGGACACTTTAGTGGATAATATCGATCTAAACATGTATGTGAATATATAAACTACATTAAGTGAAACCCAACAGTGGTGAGACATCGAACTGACATTACTGAATATCAGCAAACAAATAAGTAAATCTGTTGGGTTATCACAATACATGTACATTTATTGTCTGAATCTGTAAACAAATTTTGAAGTAATAATTCTTAATCAAACTGTGGCTCAGGGGTGTTTCTTTGAACTTGGACTTACCAAAATCATGTCTCGGGATAACAATAAAAAGAGTGAGCAAAAGAGGAGATTTGCCATAGATTATACATTGTAGTTGAACACCATGGGCTTAGCGCTATTTTTCTAAGTAGTACGCCACTACCACAGGAACAAGAGTCAAGAATGAACAAACGATCATTCAGAGGGGTCTGGGGGTTCACCTCTAGGTAGGAAAATGTTGAAATTTGGTTGTATTTGGAGCGAATTTGCAACCATCTGGTACGCCTCTGCGTACCCAGCGTACCGGGCGCTACGCCCATGAACACATACTTGTACGTACATGTAATTACCTCTTCTGTGCACCACCTAAACATTGTCACAAAATTTTCACCATCTGAATACCACTCACCTATGTGATGTTATAATTGATGTAAACACGTTCCTTACATCTTCCTTGATCTTGATGAGAAATAACAAGTTTAAACATTGCCAAATGCCAGAAATGAACATTATATTATTCAAAGTATTTGTACAAATTTTGATTATACCATTTTGACTTTTTCAGTTACTGATCCATAAATCATTTGACCAATCAGCCACTATGATATAATATGACCTATAGACCAATAGAAAGAGTTGCATCTTTACATGTATATGGAGATAGGTTCATCTTTGAAATCCTGGGTATTCCCCTTTTAGTTAACATAAAAATTTAGTCATTGTTTAATATTTTAGGTTCAGTTTCCTAGTCATTCCTGTTTTCCCATGACATTAAATAATTTATGAAGTACCGTACATGTATTATTGTGCAAGTCCCATCATATGTAGCTAATTACAGAGAAATTATGTTAAATAAGCACTTCATCTGCATTTTCAAATGTTCAAAATGGGTTATATAATTGATTGTGGTAAGTAGTAAATGAATATAGTGCACAACAGTAATACAGTACAGGATCTACATGTACATGCTGACTTTTACATTTACTGTATAGTAAACCGAATATAGACCTTTAACAATTTTGGCCCAAAATTACTTGAAAAATGCTCAAAATTATACAAAACTGCATGATTTTGAAAGAATTTTATGCCCTTATGATCTGTCACAATTGCTACTAGAACACTGCTATTAATATTGAATAATTGAATTGAATAATTGCTGGGGGCAGTCACGACAACAAACTAATCAATCACATAATTCTCCCTTTGCAAGAACAAATCAATAGACCTCTCCTAGCCATAACCACAAGATTAACATTGTAGAGGAATCAGGAAATGATAGTGAATTGGGTAAATCATTTGATTGATTTGATCCCGTGATATCTGTATGTCCAATACAAAGCAGGTTTAAGCTTCTGTTGTTCTGTTGCTTTACTACACAAAAGTACAATGTGCTCATATATACCATATATGTGCATAAAGGTCATCCCGTACCAGAACTATAGTCCTGTAACGAGCGCATTCTTTTGCCTGTACGATTACAACTTGGGAGAATTATCTACACCCCTTACACTTAAGATACCTACTTCAATAGATTCCTGGGTATTTAACATTCTTTTCGTGTAGTTTAATCCACAATTGTCTGGGTATATCGGCAGAACGGGAACATTTTTCTTTTTCATCGAGAGATATTCCATCACTTTCCAAGATGGCGGTTGGATTTAAAAGGGGATTCCCCATTTGACTGACCCGGAAGTGACCCGGAGCACCAACAAATGGAGGAATTTGACGGTTGAAATAAGTTAAATATTACACGCAAATATTGCAATCAAAAACGGAAATTTCTTTGTTCTACCGATAAACCCAGATAATTGTGGATTCAACTACACGAAAGGAAT